TTTTATTTTAACCTTTTTAAAGTAATCCGTTAAAAGTTTATTATAATATCGGTTAAGTATCTTTTAATACACCGAACTTTTTACCGGAATATAAATATAATAACGGTACTTTAATAATCCGTTTTAATTTAGTCTTTATCGAGTGTCTCGTAACTTTCCCGTTTACGTAACACTTCGTTTTATTATATAAAACGAATTATTAACTTATAAGGTTAATAATAAGTCTTATAACGAGGTGGAAGGATTTATTAACGTAACCTTTTTTTATATAGTTACGGATTATATTAAAGTCTTTAAAATATACTACGTTATAAGTGGTTTTAACTAAAAGTCGTAAGTTAACGACGAGGTTTTCAAACTCTTCGTTCAAACCTAACTTTTTTAAAGACAAGTTTAAATTTATTAAACTTATAAAGGTTTCTCGTTTAACTCTTACTATAAAAATACGACCTTTTTCTTTTAATCTTAACTATAAACTTATTAATACTTTTATTATAAAATTAACACTTATTACGTTACCGTTAACCTTTATTATAATATAAATAAAAGATCTTTATAATTATAATCTTCGTCGTTAAACTTATAGTCCGGATAATACGACGACGTATCGACGGGGTTTCTTTTCCCGGTCTAATATTTAATCTCGAAATTAAATAATATTAAAAATATATACTATTTAACTTATCGATTATTTAACTTTTACTAACTTATAAACGTTTTTAAATTAACGTAATCCGATAAAACTTCGACTTTTTAAAGACTTTTATTTAAGTATTATCGTTAATACTTAAAACTCTTTATAATTACTATTATTTCTTAATCGAGAGTATTATAATTTAACTTTAACCCTTTTTATTTCTTTAATTAAAAAACGATTAAGTAGTATTTATCTTATTCGTTTAATTAAAATAATACCCCGAAACCACCCTTCTTTAACGTATCCGTCTCGAGTCGGGTTTATAACTTAAAATTAAAGTGTTTTAATAACGACACTTTTTTAAAATATACTTTAAACTCGTCGAAAGTTTTTCGTTTACGAGTCGAAAACGTAATTATTCCCGACTTCTTTTTATTTTATATACCTTTTAAAAGGTTATTAAGTAAGATTATAATTTACGAATATATAAGGATAAATCGTTTATAAAAGTTATAAAATTTTAAGAATACTTATATATTACGGTAAAACCTCGACTTTAACTACTTTATAATAATAACTATTTACTCCGAGTTTATTTTAACTTTATAACGTATATAGATAAATCTTAAAAATTCCATCTTATTTATAAAAAATTTACACTTATATAAATTAACGTATAATTAGACTCGTTTAAGTCTCTTTAATACTTCGTATAAATATTACACGTATTATTCCTAAGATTAAAAGAATACTAAAACGTTATTTATATATACTATATATATAATATTAATTAACCTTTATAAGGTTATATAAATATAATATTAAAAAGTAACGAAAACGTTAATTAAACCGAAAAAAAGAACTATATACTCGAAGTAATTATATTACGTACGAAATACGGTTTTCCACTTATCACCCTTTTTAATCCGGATATAATAATAAATATCTTTAATATCGAGTTTAAAAAAAAACTAGACTTTATTTATCCGATTTAAAATCTTAAAAATTAATAAAAGAGTATACCGGTTTTTTACGGTAATTTTATTTAACTTACGATAGTCGACGTAAAGTTTTAACGTACTATCCTTTTTTAATATAAATAATATAAGTACGTCGATTAACGATTTAAAAAGACGGATACGTCCGTTTTATAAGTTATCCTCGATATATAATTATAGTTCTTATAATTCCCGTTTAAATAACGGGTAAATCGTTTTATATAAAGGTTACGTATTCGATAAAAGATTTATAACGTAATTAGTTTACTTAAACGACGGGATAATTATCGTTTTAAATATACTAAAGATATTTATAAAGTCTTTTAACTCGACGAGTAATACGACTTTTTTACGACTCTTTTACTTTTTTATATTAAAAGGATAGTCCTTATAAAAACACTTACCCGAGACTATTAAGAATATTATAACCCGTATATACTACTATCTCGTTTCGTATAATTTTTACGAACTTCTTTAAAGTTTTAATATAAATCTTTAAGGTTTTATATACGAAACACTATAATACTTTTATTAAGATGTTAATATTTAATACTTTTAAACTTATAACACTTAATAAAATAAAGTTAATATTTAAACTCTCCGGTTTATTAAGTACGATATAAAAACGGATCGTTTTTTTAATCCTTTTACGGAAATCCGTAAAAGTAATAAAAACGTTTTAAATCTTAAATATTTAAGTTTTAAAGACGTTTATTAAACGCGTTACCGGGTCGGGGTGTCTCGTTTTTTTTAATTAAAACCGTTTCGTAAACTATATACTTACGATATTTAACTTTACAACGGTGTTTAAAGTAATTATCGTCTTTTTTACGACTTTTTTACGATATATTACTAATACGTTTCTCGGTAGTTTATATTTTATTTTTATTACCTTCCTTTCGGACTCGAAAGAGATAATTAAAGGTTTTTTAACTTAATAAACTCTTTAATAATAATATTTTAAATAAGTACGTTTTTTAAATAGTTATTTACGTAGTATTCTACTTTATTATATTTAAAATAAGTGACCGAAGGTTTTTTTTATAACTCTTTTTTATTTTATAAATAAAAAGGTTAAAAACCCGTTATATTCCTCCTTTTATCGTTTTTACGATTCTTATAACCGTTCGAACGGTGTTAATACTTCTTTTTTTAAGATACGTCTTTTTACGGTTTATCGTCGAGTCGTTTACGACTTTTTTACGAATTACGGACGTTATTAATAAAACGATTTCTTACTCGTTATATAAATAATAATTCGACTCTTACGTATAAGTTTTAAAGACTAATCTTTTTATAGTCGATAACTCCGTTTAACGTATACTTAAGTTAATTATTTAACTTAAAATAAAAAGTCTTTTTTTTAAATTTATCGAAGAAAGGTACTATTTACTCCTTTAAAAAACGTAAGTAACTTAAAAACTCGAATAACGGTTAATTAAGTCGAAAACGTACTCTTTTATATAACTTATAAACTTATATCGACGGGTCGTTTATAGTAAAAACGAGTATCGTTATTTACTTTTTAAATTTATTTTAAAAACGTTCGAGTTACTAATATTCTTTAAAATCTTTAACGTTACGTACGTATTAGTTTCACTACCTTTTAAACGGTTTATTTATATAGTTATAAACGACGACGACTCGGTTACGAAAATTTAAAAATTCGTACGGTTTAACCTTAAATATTATTTTTAATTTTAAGATTTAAAATTTTTAATCTTTAAAAGTAAAATAATTCTTATAAACTTTAAACGATAATCGTATTCTTAAATCTTTTAACTTATAACTCTTTTATACTTCTTCGTCGACTTTTAAACTATTATCCGACTTAAAAGAATTTTCTTTAAATAATAAGGTTAAAAAGAAAGAAACGGTAAATTTATCTTTAATCTTTTTACTTTAACGAAAGACTCGTTAACGTCTCGTATCTTTTAAAACTACGATCCTTTTTTTAAAAGTTCGTTTTTTTTTAAACGTCGTTAACTTTTTTTTAAACACCTTTTTTTCGTCGTCTTTCTTTTTTACTTATTCTTTTATAATAGTATTAATCCTACTACCTTCTTTTCTTTTTTTACTACTAGTCGGTACTATTATTACCACTTTAATACTTAAAGATTCGGTCGGGTCTTCGACCGTCGGTTATAAGTTAAGGTTTTTAAGAATAAAGTCGACGTTTATATACGAAAGACTCGTAAAACCTTACGAATATAAACGTATAACTCGACTCGACCCGACGAAAGGTAGGTTTATTACTTCTTTTCTTTTAACTATCCGTAAAAAGGTATCCGTAAAAAGAAGAATTAAAATTATTATAAGTAATTATAAAATAAGTCTTTATAATAAATTAGTTAATAAAAAGTATTAGTTTTAAAGACGAAGGTAGGTGTATATTATAATAAAGACTAATTCTTACCCCTTTTTTTTAAAGGGAAGAAAGGAGTCCTTTTATTTAAGGAGAAAGGCTTTTCACTAACGTAGCGTTAACGTGTAGTTGGGGACTAGCCACGTCGCGCCTTATTATATAAACCTAGTCACTTAATTCGTAGCCTTCGGCCACGAATCGATTATAACAGAATTAACGAACTATCGTATTTAATTAAAAGACTAGTTATAACTTTTAACACTCTTTACCCGAGTAAAAGTAAAAAGATTAAAAAAAGTCGTAAAACGAATTAAAACTTAATTTATTAAAAAGAAAGAATAATTATTATAATCGATTCGTAATTAAAGGTTACGGATTAAATAACTAAACTTACTTAATAAGACGTAGTGTGACTAGTCCTTAACTATACGTTAACACTACGTTAACGAGAAACCTTTCTCTTTAAATAAAAGGACTCCCTTCTTCCTTTTAAGGAAGAAGGGGTAAGAATTAGTCTTTATTATAATATACACTTATCTTCGTCCTCGAAACTAATACTTTTTATTAACTAATTTATTGTAAAGACCTATCCTATAACCACTTATAACAAATAGTTTATAAAATTAATAATCATTTATTATATATTATATTATACTATTATTTAAGACTTATACTATCGTAAAGTATTTTAAATCGTGATATATGTAAGACCTTATTTCTTATTCCGTTACTTAGTATTTTAAAGTTAGTGACGTACTACGTTTAAACGTAATGCTTCGTCGACGCCTCGAAGTGTATGGTTACCGTGTCGTCTTTGGTGTCTCGCTCGGACATTTTTCCTGGGGTCGCTCGATGCACGATACAAGACGAAGATGGGGCAGAAGGGGGCTTCTGGGGCTTCTTCGGTGACTTGCATGAGATCGTGGACCCTAGGAGGACGCACCAGCTCTGGTCAAATATGTACTCCAAGAACGTCCCTGCAGATCTCTTTCTGGAGTAGTGGAGTCGTTTGACTTGGCTGCGCAATCGGCAATGGCAGCAGCAAGGCAGCAGCAACGGCAACGGCAACGACGGCTACACCGGCAACGTCACAGTAGCGGCAAACGGCAAACGGCACAGGGCCGGCCGGCTCTCCTTTGGCGCGGCCTCGCTAAAAGCTGACCCCCTCATCTCGCCCTTTAGCGTCGGCCTCATGTATCCCTTTTGTATCCGCCGGTCTGGATGAACCCCATATACATTATATAGACGACTGGGTAGCTGGACATTTTGCGTACGACAGCTTGGGCTTCATTTTCCCTCAGACTCTGGGCACTGCAAAAGAACCACCATCATCACAACCAAGGCAATGGCTTCGAAGATTGACTGGATCGTCATTATTCCGGACCACGACGGCGCCTTGGAGAAGCGCATGGCCGCTCGCCCGTACGTTGCCCCGAGGCTTATACTACACACGGTATACATTGTACATATATTCACAATATACAGAGAACATCTGGCCGGTCTGGCGCCGCGCGTCGAGTCGGGGGCCTGGACTATGGGAGGTAAGATGGAATGAATCACTGTCAATATAGTCATGACAGTAGACGGACACGCCACTGACCGTCCACGGCAGGCGCCACCACGGCGCATCCGCCCATCGAGGGCCAGCAGAAGCCGTTCAATGGCAGCTGCATCGTCGCCCATGCAGCCACGCAGGACGAGGTCCTGGCCGAGATCAAAAAGGACATTTACGCCACGTCGGGCGTCTGGAACCTCGACAAAATCATCATACGGCCGGTACGTTGGGAGAATGAGCCTTAGCAAACAAAAGGAGGAGGAAAGACGTAGAGTATGTGACAGCTTCACATGTTGCAAACTATGGCTAACACAACAGCTCATGACGGCCTTCCGCAAGGAGTTGGCAGGTGCCGCGTGGTAATTAGAATTCCACCTAGTACTCCTCCTAGTGAGACAACAGTATAGACGAGAGATAGTGAATACAGACGCAAGGCTTTGACTTGCCCATATGCACATGGGTCCCTATTTCCAGACTGACAATGTATAAGACGTAATTTTGCAAAAGCAGTCTTGGCCTCCATAACTCCACCCAACTCAAGTACGCAAGCTGCACCGGTATATCGGCTATACCGATTTTGGTTTTCTCCCTCTCTCCCCACGTTTTAGCATGCCGTCGAATCTGGGGCAGGCCGGCTGTCTGGGGGCCGCTTTTCCCCATCCATATCTTTACATCATTTCCTGTGGTGCGGCAGTCAGCTTACCGAGACGGTAAACGGCGAGAGTACGACATAGCCACGTTTCGTTTGCGTCACCGCCGATGAATCTGCGGCAGTCGGCAAAGGTGAAAGCAGGGGCGTGGCTATGTTGTGTAAGTTGTTGCCGGTGGCAGCCAGCGACATCGGATCGCATGCATTTGTAAATAGAGAAAATATAGAAAATACCAGTCCATGTTTCCAATCCTGTTTTCTGATTCGAGTTCTAGGTGCAGTCCCCAACGGCTACGAAACGCGACCCAACACCCTACGCAGCAATTCAGAAAGAATGGCCCAGACGATTGGATTTGTCGGCGTTGGGGCCATGGGGAAGGAGATGGTGATCAACCTGGTCAAGAAGACGCCAAAAGGAACCAAGCTGTACATTCACGACGTGAACGAGGCGGCCGTGTAGGAGCTCGTCGCCAGCTTCCCGGAGCGTATCTCCGCAAAGGCCTCTGCAAAGAACGTTGCGCAATCCTCGGTAGGCATTTCTGGGCTGATTCCGCATGACGAAAGCGACGACATGCTGACAACGCGCTGGCACCACAGGAAATCATCTTCACGATGCTGCCCGAGGGCCGCCACGTGCGCGCCGTGTACCTGGACGGGCCGGCGAGCATCCTCCAGGCGGACCTGGCCGGCAAGATCCTGCTGGAGTGCTCGACCATTGACACGGCGACGAGCCTCGACGTGCTGGCGGCGCTGCGCGCGGCCCACCCGACGGCGGCCTTTTACGACGCGCCCGTGAGCGGCGGCGTGCTGGGCGCGCGGCACGCGACGCTGGGCATCTTCGTGGGCGCGTCCGACGGCGGCGACGACCCGCACTGGGCCACGCTGCGCGCGCTGCTGGGCCTGCTGGGCCGCAGCGTGATTGCGTGCGGCGGGCCGTCGCTGGGGCTGGTGGCCAAGCTGAGCAACAACTACTTGTCCGGCACCATTGCCATTGCGACGGCCGAGGCCATGAACATGGGCATGCGCGCCGGCTGCGACGCGCGCGTGCTGGCGCGCGTCATCCACGCCGGCTCCGGCCAGAACCACGTCGCTGACAAGTTCAACCCGGTGCCCGGCATCAGCCCGGACGCGCCGGCCAGCCACGGCTACCGCGGCGGCTTCAAGGTCGAGCTGATGCGCAAGGACATGGGCCTGGCCGTCGACATGGCGAAGCGCGTCGGCGCCCGGCTGGTGCTCGGCGACGCGAGCATGCACACGTACGCCGCGACGAGCGCCGACCCCAGGTGCCAGAGCCTCGACTCGCGCGTTGTCTACCGGTACATTGGCGGCAAGGAGGACTGGGAGTAGGAGCGGGGGTGGATGTCTGTAGCTCCGGGCATGTCATTATATCTCCAGTATTGTACCCTTTGAGAACAAAACAAAATACAACAATCCTTGCCAATCCGCTATGGATTCAACACCATCAACCCAGGCGACGACCTCAGCCTCATGGCCTCGTGCAGAGATGCGGTTGGCACACATGAGGGTGGTTAAATTGACGAGCATAACCCACATATCTAGCTATGACACACGTCTCTAGGACTCATGGCTAGAAACAGCTACCGATGGCAACCGACAGCCGGGTTGCCGATCCCATTATGCAATCGAAGCCGGCGTGTTGGCCTACAAAACAAAGATCAACATGAAACATTTGATCTCTAAATTCGCTCAGTAGCTTTTCCCATCGTCTTGGTTTTCCGTCTTTCGACAAACGCTACTCTACATTCATCCACTCCCACAGCTACCACGTCTGCCGCATTCCTATCGCCACCATGTCAAGCCAGGAGCTGTTCAAGAAGGGCCTCAAGAACCGCCGCGAGGTTCTGGGCGACGCCTACGTCGATCGCTCCATCAACAACGGGAACAGCGAGTTTGCCTTTGCCGGACAGAAACTGACGACAGAGTGTGTTGTCCCTGGGCTATAGCGAGATTTCTTTTTTTCTTTTTTTGATACCCATCATAACTCTAAACTAACCACAACAGGTGGTGCTGGGGTGAGACCTGGTCCCGCCCGGGCCTGACCCGCCAGCAGCGCAGTCTTTTGAGTGAGAAGCCCGATGCCCGCGTGCCGTTTGCCTTTTCCCCGTCCGCTTCTCCAGGCTGACAACACTGCAGATCTCGGCATCCTCGTCGCCATCAAGAGCTGGCCCGAACTGGGCGTCCACGTCCGCGGCGCGCTGCGCAACGGCGTCACCGAGCTGGAGATCCGCGAGGCCATTGTCCACGCGACCATCTACACGGGCGTGCCGGCCGGCGTCGAGGCCTTCAAGGTGGCCGGCCGCGTCATCGACGAGATGGTCGCCAACGGCGAGCACGAGCGCCAGCTCAAGGCCACGTCGGAGGAGTTTGCCGCCTACACGCAGTAATGCGCCAACGCGCTGGGCAAGCTTGTGTCCATCGGGATGTAGTCATATTCGACAATGGGCCCTCCCGGGCAATCCTAGATCCCGTGGCACTCGTTGTACTTGTATTGGGTTGGTTGTGTACGGAGTACGGCCCACAGATATGTAACGTATACGACTCAGACCTTACGTGGTAACTATACCATTGTTGAATACAGTGTATGGCCATAAAAGTATGCATTGTTGTGTATGTGTAGAATCTGCCCCCGAATCCATAATTACCTCACTCCTAGGATTTAACCTCCTAGACCCCGAATTCGTATCACGTGTTCTAGTCACATATTATACCCCGTGACCTCCACTCCTCTAACATAAACCATAATCGTACAACAAAAAACTCGGATCATGTAACAAAAAATGCTATCCTTTTAAGGACTAGCGGGTCCGCTTTTCTCGTAACTACGTCGAAAACGCGCCGCGCCCTCTTTTTTGTTTACTTTTACCTACATCTATCACTATAATCCTCCGTTTATATAATCTACACGTTCTTTTACCCTTATAACTTTTCGGTAATTAAACCACTATAAAAGACGGTATATAGATTATTTTTATATTATTTATTCGACCGTCTTTTTATATATATAGTTAACTTTTCTTTTCTTTTTTAAGTTATTATAACGTTTTACCGTCGTTAAAAATCGACACCTCTTTAAAACCTTAACCGTCTCTCGACCCCTTTTTACCTCTCGACCCTTTTTTACCTCTCGACCCCCCTTTATCTTTTAACCCTCCCTTTTTACCTCTCGACCCTCCCTTTTTACCTCTCGACCCTTCTCCCGATAACCTTATTAAAAGGTATTATTTAAAATATTAAATAGTACGAGATATTATTAAATTCGGACTTTTATAAAATAATAAGTAAAAAAAGACTTATATAAGGTATAAAAAAAAACGTTTTACTTTTAAATTAAACGTTTAAAAGGTTTTTTATTAAAAGTTATAAACGTAAAAGTTATTAATATACTCTTTTTACTTAATTAATTTTTTTTTTATTTTCTTTATAATTAATATAATTAAAAGAATAATAAACCTACGTTTATTAATATATTATTTATTATCGACCGTTTATTTATCCCTTTCCCCTCTCTTTCGTTAAATTAATAAAATTTAAAAAAAAAAGAAAGGTACTCGAAAACGACGTCTTGTAAGTTATTTTAACTTTAATCGACACTATTTAATAAATTAATAGTTATCGTTTTTTCTTAAAAATAAACTATAAAACTTATATTTTATTTACGTTTTATTTTTATTATTATTAAAATACGAATATAAAATAAAAAAATAAAAACGAGAGTTAACGAGATAAAAGAAACTTTAAACGTTACGATTATAATAACCGTTTAACGATTAAAGTGTATTATATCGAGTACACGTTTACACTTTCTCTTTACCACCGTTACTATAAGATATATATAAATATTAATTTTAAGTAAAAAGTTTTAAAGTATATCGATATACGGTCTACCTTTTACACTTTTGTAAAGATTTACTACGACCTTATTACTAATAAAGTGTTTAACGTAAACCGTATAACCCTTTTTTAAGTTTATTACCGGTAAAGAAAGATTAATAAAAATCTTTAAGTACGAGATTAAAATTAATACGTCTTTACACTATTACTTTTATTAAAAAAAACCGATAAATTTACCTTTAAAGAGTACGTTTATAGTAATATAAAAGGGTTTACTTTTTTTTATAAAGAAATAATATAACCGTTTACTTTTATCGTAAAAGAGTTTTTTATCGACGTTACTTTCGGTATAAATAACGTTAATATAAATTTATTTACTATTTTTACGAAGGTTAACGGGACTAACGTTTTTTTCGTATACTTTTTCTTCGAGATAATAAAGATAACGTTTAATATTAAAAAGACCGACGTTAACGTTACGAGGGTTACGATTATTTTTTTTTAACTTTTATTCGAGATAATAGTTTTACACCTTCGTTTTTTAACTATAATAAAGACTAATTTAAAATTACGGTTATTCGTTACGTCTTTTCGGTTATTAAAGTATAATTATATACTTAGTATATAAAACGTACGATTAAAACGAGGTTAATAAATATTAAAATAACGAACTTATTATAATACCACCCTTTTAAGGTTTTATAACTCGTTTTTAATTTAAAACCTTACTAAGAATTCTTATTAATACGACGGTTTAAAAGACTATATCGTAAAAAGATATATAATTATACGTAACGTACTATTAACACACTAAAAAACGCCTCGTTAAAGTCTTTATCTTTAAACGAGAAGAAGATTATACTTAAAATATTTATACGTTACTTTAACGTATACCCGTTAATACTAAACGGTAACGGGACTTATTATAACGTAAAGTTTATTTATAAAGTATACGTAAACAAGATATACGGGTGGTGTCGAACTCGTAACTACTTTAAACTTTAAGTTTATATATATTTTAACTAGTATAAATAAAATTATTAATCTTTATAGGCTCGTTTTATAAATACCGTAAAAATCTTTATTTTAAAGACGATTATAATTATTAAGTCTTATTAACGTCGGATTAAACACGACTTTTTATATCGTTTTAATCGACTATATATCGACTTAATAATATAAGTTTTAATTACTTACGTACTTTTTAACACGGTTAAATAAATATATATAATACTTAAAAAAAACCACCGTATTACTTACGTAAATTAATATAAAACCTTTAAAAAGTAATAAAAGACGACGATTTAATAACTTATAAATCTTATAATTATTTAACGATATTATATAAACTTATAATATTAAATATACGGTTACTTTACCTTTTTAATAAACCGTTTCTTTTTTTATAAGTATATTTTTTATTACTTCGAACCTTTAATTAATAATATATACTTTTTCGATAGTATATAAAAGTATAAAACGTGTCCTTTTTAAAGTTACGAGTAACTTTTTTTAAAGTTAAAATATAAACTTTCGTAAATAATAAAGTAAGTTAATATTATAAATATATAAAGGGTAGGTAAAGAGGTTTTTAATAATACGTCGAGTATTTTTATTATTAATATTAGTTTAAACGATTTAAAAGACGAGGTTACCGATAAATAAGACTATAATATTAAAGATTATATTAAACGTCTTTTTTTTTAATTTAAAAGTAAAAGGTATAATAAAATATAAGGTTTATTAATAGTTTAAATATACTTTTACGTTTTTTTATACGGTTAATCGACGATATCGATAGTTTATAAAAGTAATATACGATACCTCGTACTTAAAATATACGTAAATATCCTTTAACGATATTTTACCGTTTACTTATAAATAAAAGTATTAGTAATATAAATAATAAGTAACTAGTAATATAATAATACTTCTTTTACTTTAAATACTTATAACCTCGTAAAAATATACTAATAAATATTATAATATAAACGTTTTTTAACTTTAAAATATATAAAAAAAGTATTAAGTACGGTTAAAATAATAAAAGGTAATATTATAATATCGAAAAAGATAATTTTAATTTAAAATTATTATACTTCGGTTACCACACTACTTTTATAAAAAAAAATCGAAAAAAATAAAAAAGGGTACTAAAAAATAATACGTAATTAATATATTTATAATATAAAAATAATTTTCTTCTACTTAATACAAAACGTGGTCATTTTAACGATATTCTTCGCGATGTATTTTTACAGCCTCACTTTTTTGACGCGCGGGTAATCGCTCGCGTTCCTGACTAATTGATCACATGACCTATTTTAGTCACTTTTGTCACATGATCCGAGTTTTTTGTTGTACGATTATGGGACGTCTCCTCTAAGCCAAGGCCACCAAATGTGCGGTCCTGCCCCTGAGCTCGATTCCTGGTTTCTTCATAGTATTCGTACAAATCTCTCTCACAAACGACGTAACATGCCATGTTTTTCTGATTGATTCCGTAACCTTTTATTTTCTCATATCTTCGGGGCCCATCTGCCGGCTGGCTGCGTCTTGTCATTTGTCATGAGCATCGGCCGCTATACATCCAGACAAAGACTGGAGCAAGATACTCAACTAATCCATCATCAGTCCGTTTGCATCGAGCCACCCTCGGCTCTGCACCGGTTTCGGAGGCCATGGCCAGAAATACGGCAGACGCCATATCCCTCACCCTTGAGCCATATTGTATATTGTGCCGACGCGACTTGCCACGATCGACCTGGAAGCATTGCATCGGTCGACCTTTGCGAGACAATGACAGCGAAGAGTGGGAGAGTGACATCATCGGCTGTACGGGGGTCCCTTTCTACTATCTTGTCCCCCCCGTTTGGGCGCGATCTATTTACTAATTACACGCCACAGTCTTTGATACGGCACCAGAAGATGCGCGGTCGGGTGTGCCCACGGCGCCCGTTAGCGTCCACGTCTTCCGGGCCGACCTGCGTTCGAGCAAATGGCCTCCCGACGTGCGCGGACCCACGTGGATCCTGAAGAATAGGGATAGGAATAGGACTCCGGAGCATGCCGCCGGGGCACAATCTCTCCATATATCCATCGCCACACGACCCAGCCAGGACGCCACACATGCCAGCCCTCACCGTGCCCTGTTCTGTGTACATGGATGTTGCTGGAAGGCGGTACGCCCGCCCGATACAGCACTGCCCTTTTCTCGCCTTTATCGGCTAGGTCAGCAGACGCGGTCCATCATGCCACGTCCCTGCGGCGATGAGGAATACACCCTGGCCCTCTCCACGCTTTCGTCGCCGCGTGTGGCCGAGTCCACGGGCGAGTCTGCGTCCAGCGCTCTGGATGTCCTGCTCGCAGAGGCATCCAAGCTGCCGGGAGAACTTCGAGCACAGGTGGCACGCAATGTACACGGCGGTCTCGTTGCCTCTCTTCTCCGTGCGCTTGAGACTGCGTCGTTTTTGCCATACTTGCTGCCACAGACAGACCCAAACATCTATGACGATCCCCTTCTCGACCTCCATCCACAAAACGCAGATGGTCGTGCAGGAGTGCGGGGTCATCTCGTTGCTCGCTCCATTCGCGTGTTTGGCCACATGTACCTCCAACGAGTTGCGTTTCTTGCCAAGGAGGAGACCCAGGTGCGGTCACGGAAGCGGAAGCGGACACACAGCGAGGCATACACCGACCTAGATGGCACGAGCGACAGTCGTCCATGGGATGTGTGCATTCCGATTCGTGGCGGAATCAGCATCACGAGCGTCAAGATTTGGATGGGGCCCCTCGGCGTCCAGGCTCTGACCCTGCGGTACGAGGACTGGTCCACGTCGCCGTCGCTGGGCGGTGTCGGTCGCCCTGGCCTAGATCGCTGTGTGCAGACGCTACTTTTCGACTACACGGCAACGCAGCTTGTCGCGTGCCGCGACGACATCAAGGTGCTGTGTATCCGCTCGGATGGCGTGGATGACACCCCCGACCTGCCCCATCATGAATGGCCAACGCGGTCGCTCTGGAACACAGACGAGACGGACGGGCCGCCTGCGTTGGACGACCTCGTGATTGCCGATACAGAACGGTATCCCGGCCGCCTCCTGCACCACCCAGGCCGCCGTCTCTGCGAATACCTGCCTCTGCAGCTCGGGGATGGAGATACTGTGGGCACGTATACGAGCGGCCTGACGGCATACTGCGCCCGCGACGGCATCGTCGGGATGACAGCGCATTTCGGCGGTGACGGGATTGCGTCATCGGACGAGCAACGGCACATTGGCTGCCACTGTGGCGTGCGGGTGCATTTCCCACTCACGCAAGGCGAACGTATCATCTTTGTAGCCCTACAGGTGTGCGAAACGCGTCACCATCGCGCCGACTACGGGCCGGCACTTGTTGTATGTTCCGTTCGCTTTCATACCCGCCTTTTTTTTTTTCGTGTGACTGTGTCCGGCACATGTCTTACTAATGCATACTTAGTTGGCGACCAACATGGGACGTCATTCTCTGTTTGGTCGTATATTTAAATCGTTCACGAGAAGCAGTACCTCGGTCGTGCTGACGGAGAACAGGGGAAACGAAAAGAAGAAAGCAGTGCAAGGTCTGTTCATCGACCGTTTGACGGCCGATGCCTGTTGTTGGAAGAGCATCGGGGTCCGTGTCGACCGGTGGTCAGGGTGGGATGCCAAGTCTGTACCTCCGGCACCCGTTGTGGTCACGATTCCATACCCTCCCTCGCCTCTGCGTGTGGACGAGTCGTTCAATAGAGGGTCCGCCTTTTTCAGTTCGGCCGATCTTGTTTCGGCCAGTCAGACTGACATTGGCGTCACGCGACTCCAGGTCTGCCGGCAGGGAGCAGGACCACAACCACGGTGTGTCGGTCTGTGCATACATTTCGACAACGGCCGCGTCGCGATTCTCGGGCGCTGGTCGCCGACTGCCGTGGTCTCACGCAAAAGTCACAGCGACCCGGATCCCGCATCGACCATTACAGACCTTGGCAACAATGTCGCGTCGTGCTCGGCCATCACGTTTCGGTTTGCACCCGATGCCAGCTACGTATCCGACATTGTCCTGGGTAGCAACGCCGTCGGGCCCTTTGACGTTGTATTTTCCCATCAGGAATTGAAGGTGAGTGTAGATTTGTGGCAGTGGTGGTAGTGGTGGTAGTGGTGGCGTTACTTTTCGTTTCACGTGTTAATATTATATATAGTTTATCGTGTGGTGGTTTACAGAGAGGAGAGACCTAGTTTACGCCTGGAAGCCGACATTCCTCCGTGTCACGTTTCCCGACCCTCGAGGTAACAGCTTTCGCCTACGGCGCGTGCGCAGTATCGACTCCGATCGTCTAGATGATTAATTTAAAATCAAATGGTATAGCAGCCTACGGCAAACAAAACGAACCACACAGCTTCGCCAGCTCGGTGGCAGGTCAATACTAGACATGAAGAGAACTGATCTGCTTCCCCTTCCTGTCAACGTCCAATGTCCATGTCCAGTAGCATCGGCGCGTCGCCTTACCAATATAGATCCAGCAACTCTGGTCACCATTGTCTGTATCCGTACCGCATATGACCTGTTCCAGCTCCCTTCCTTTCTTCTCCAAAATACCACCTCTCTTGGGCTTGAGCCGGAATACTGTGTCGGCGATTGTTCTCCCAGGCCTAAGCACGGAAACGTCAACATAATTGTCTGGCGTGAGCTGACTTTGTTCTTTGGATGTTGCGCTTCGGATAGTGCGAGCTGTGTTCGCAAACGTGTTTGTATCGAGTTCCGTTGATGGGATATCGTCTTGGTTTGGAAAGAAATCGACGCCCGTTAAGGGTTGGTCCGGCCGTAGGTACGATACGCTCGTCGATGTATAATTGAAATCAATAGGCGTCTCCGTTGCGTCGGGCACGCTATCAACACTAAAGGTGGGAATAACGCGTCCAATGTCGCTATGTTGCATATCGAGTGGCAGGGCCCCATCCAGGGGCATATTCGCCATAAAGCCAAATGCATCTAGGAGAGCGCCCCGGTTGGCGTCTTCTCCAACGTCAAGGTACTGCGCGTACGAAGATCCGGCACCGCTCCAAAACGGCCGAAGAACGTTGTCGCCGCGCTGGAGCGACCAGCACCGCACAGAAGCGCCGACGAGTGTACAAGCAAAGATGAGATTGATGTCGCTGTTTGCGGCCAGGTGGTCGGCACAATAGCCGAGTGCTTGCTTTTCCATATCTTGGATCTTGGCATGTGTCTTATTTCGAGCGCGCTTGGCCTCGGCAAAACAAAAGATCCTGTGCTGCAAATTGCCGTCAACGTATTTGATGGCGATGTCGCAAGCCTTCTCGCTGCCTTTTTTTGATGCAGGGGGCACTTGCGAGTTGACGAAATAATCGTCACCGGTAAACAACACCCGGTTGAAGAGATTCTCGAAAAGGTGAACTGTGGCGTGTTCCTTTGGATCGATCTCGTTCCCATTGCCGTCTACCGACAACTTTGCGTCGCGATACGGCATCTCCAGACGCTTGTCGACAATAATGCCATGTGCGATCCACGTGTTAGCCATAGTGGAAGCTCGAGATGGTGAGACGTTTTCGAGGGCTTGCAGTGCAACGTAATGGAGTCGTTATTTGTCGTGGGTGCAACGATAGGCAAAGCTGAGCAACAAACAATGAACAAATTGACGTTGTCTACGCTCATACAAAATAAAAGGGAAAAGCAGTCACTTGTATGTTCACACTATCCTCGTCGGCCGCAAACAATGTTGGGCATCAATCTGCAAGGCCAGTCTTGGTTTTGGCCCCCACGGTTGCCTAAATTCGGTGTTCGATATGTAGCCATGGTGCTGCTCTGTCAAGCAAGAAAGGGGGCAGGTGTATGCTTACCTCTCTCACAGAACTGTACAGTATGCTATTCACACGCCAGAGTGCAATGAAAATGCTGCCTTGAATTTCGGCGGAAACCCCTTTCCGCAGCTTATTGTTTCTTGATACCTGGCCTGACTTGTCCGGGTCTTACAATGCCCGCCCTCTCCTCTTCCTCTTGTTCGACACTTGGAAAACATTCATTGCAACTTCAAGTTTTCCGCCGGCTCGAGAGCTGGCCTCCAGTCATTTTCCGACGATGCATTCTTGTCCCGTGATGCGATTAGCATGCCACATGGTACTTGGTGACTACATACTTGGTGACTACAGCATCTTTCTTTGCAAAACCATCCGTATCGACGCCACCATCAGACCATCAGAGTCCGGTGATTGATGGCAGTCCTTGTGAAGAGCCTTTTTTTCTTCTTTTTTTGTCGCTCCCTGTCGAGGAAGACTGTTAGCAGGAAACGTCTCCATGAGCTGTCCAGCTCGTTCCTTAGTTCCGCGCGCGTAAAGATTGCGGTGGGTGCTGCTGAAGACGGAGCCGGGTCTTTGCTCGGCCAAAGTATTGTGGTGTAAGTCACTCTTTGACTTGGCTGGACTTCCCCATAATTATGTGGAGAATTCCCCGGCTCTCCAACGACACCTTGATGCTCGTTGCTGTCCAATACCGACAGCCGCCGGTCTGCTTCTACGAGACCTAAAATCCAGAATCATCCCGAACGAGGTCCAGCTGCGTTTATCTTATGTGTAATTCTTCAACGCTTCTTTGATACAATTAGCTATTGGACAAGTAAAAACAGGAAAACAGAATACAAAAAACAGGAAGAAAAGACTGAAATAAGAGACAAACCAACACCAATATGGCCCCGTCCTCATCCTCCCCCTCATCATCGTCATCCCCCCCCCTCAATCCCATCCATCTTGACATGGTTGGACGCCTCGACCCGCGCTTCGTCGAGTACTACAACAAGAATCTGGCGCACAAAGAGGCCACACACCAGGTGCCGCTGGCCGAGGTCCGCGCCAACCCGGCGGCCTGGGCGCGGCCCTGGATCCAGGACGACGATCCCGACACCAAGGACTGGACCGTGCCCTCGACGGATGGCGCCTTTGTCGTGCGTGTCTACCACCCGGACGCGTCCAGGGCCGGGCCAGGGCCGTATCCGGTGCACATAAACTTCCACGGTCCGTATTCGTGTCTTCTGGTCTTGTCGTCTTGTGGTCTTGTAAACGGCCATTTGTTTCTGTACTCCTTTCTGACCCCCTACTGGCTGCAGGCGGCGGTTGGGTGTTTGGCGACCTGACGTCGGATGCGGCCATCTGCCGACAGCTGCGAGACCGGCTGCCCATCGTGGCGGTCGATGTCGACTATCGGCTGTGCCCTGGTACGTTATTGTTGTGCTTTTCATCTCGTTTCGTGTCTGGCCATTGCTGACGGTTCAGAGTTTCCGTTTGGCCGGAACGTTGAGGATGCTTGGGAAGCGTTCGAGTGGGTCAGTGCGCTGCTGCTCAGCCCCCTGCACGACGCCCCAGGCGACCACTGACACTCTGCCCATCTGGCGGCCTAGGTACGAGCCAATGCGGCCGCGCTCCATGTGCGCCCCGACCGCGTCTCCATCGGCGGCACATCGGCCGGCGGCCTCTTGGCCGTCGTCGTGCAGCACCGCGCCCGCGATGCCGGCCTGCCACTTCGGCTGCTGGTGGCGACGGTGCCGGCGCTGGCGCCGGACGACCACGCGCGCCACGAGCGCGCCGAGGACTCGGCGTGGGCGTCGGTGCGGGCCATGCGGCACACGGCGCTGCTGGACTGGGACCGCATGCACTACCTCGCCCGCGTGGCGATGCCTCCGCCCCCCACTGCCGAGCGGGCTGCGCGGCAGAAGCACGTGCCAGCGTGGTGGGTGGCGCCGCTGGAGGCGCCGCGCTGGGACGGCCTGTGCGCCACGTTCCTGGCGACGGCCGAGTGCGACATCCTGCGCGACGAAGGCGAGGCGTACGGACGCCGGCTCGTCGCGGCGGGCAACACGGTGACGATGCGGCGGTGCGTACAAGAAAACAAGTGATCCGGCCGTACCGATGTCCCAGTCCGATCGTGTCCGTTGGCTAACTTGTCACTTGTCGTGCGGCGTACAGGTATCTGGGCGTTCCACACTCCTTTATGCAGATGACGGCGGTCCTGCCGCAGGCGACGCAGTATCTCGACGACGTGGTCGAGGCTCTTTGCGCGGCACACGAGGTGGAGTAGGTAGCAGTTTGGGTTGTTCTAGGCGCTGGCCACTTGCCTCTACCAAGCAATCCGAGCGAGCGGACCCTTGGGAAACAGGCGAACCAGCAGCTTGCGCATCTCGTCGACGCACAAAATGCCGACGCCCAGCGGAATGGGAATCAACCAAAATTCGAGCGGAACGCTTGCCGTATTGAACAGAGACTGTATGCCGGGCACTTCCGTGACAAAGACGGCAATGCCGAGGCTCATCGCCATGCCCAGGCCGAGCCACGGATTGCGACGCGCCCGGGTAAAGGGATCCGCCTGCACGATGCTCATGCGCCGGTTGCGCACGGCCAGGATGTTGCCCCACTGCAGCATGACGAGGCAGACAAAGTAGACGCACTGGCCGGCGTTGTTGAAGTGGATCAGCTCGTCCACGGTGTAGCCGTGGAAGCCGGCCGTGTAGCCCTCGAAGAGGAAGAAGAGATCGCGGACGGGGATGCCTGCGTAGCGCCACATGTACAAGAAGAACATGGCGTGCGCGGCGCACGTCTCCATGGTGCCGGTGACCAGGTAGGCCTGGATGTAGATCTTGGCCGTGATCAGGTGGTCGCGCTTGTGGTTGCGCGGCGGCAGCGAGAGCAGGTCAAACTCTTCCTTTTCCATAATCAGCGACAGCGACAGGAACAGGTCCGTGAAGACGCAGACGACAATCATGAGGAACGCGCTGAGCGGCAGCGGCACGCCGAAAAAGACATTGACCAGCACGGGCCAGATCTCGGACCAGCTGCCGGCGGGGAGCAGATAGGAGATGACCTTTTGCAGGTTCTGGAACACGAGGCGCCCGAGGCGGACGGCGTCGACAATGGCGCTGAAGCGGTCCAGCAGCACCAGGTCGGCCGCCTCGATGGCCACGTCGCTGCCGCCGACAACGGCCACGCCGACGTCCGCCGCCCGCAGCGCCGGCGCGTCGTTGACGCCGTCGCCCGTCACGGCCACCACGTTGTCGCGCTGCCGCAGCTCGTTGACGATGCGCAGCTTCTGCTCGGGCGTCGTGCGCGCAAACACAATCTCGCCGTACTCGCACACCACGTCCCAGTCCGCCGCCGACAGCCGCACGATCCCGGCGCCGTCCAGGAGCAGGCTGTGCTGCGCGCCGTCGCGCAGCGCGCGCCGCAGCTCCTCCGGCCGCGTCGCGGAGGCCCACTGGACCGCATCGAGCGTGTCTGGCGCGCGGTCCCCCGTGAAGATGCCAATGGCCCGCGCGATGGCGGCCGCGGTCAGGCTGTAGTCGCCCGTGACCATGAAGAAGCGGGCGCCGGCACGGCGGCACTCGGCCACCGTGTGGGCGGTCTCGGGGCGCGGCGGGTCCGTGATGCCCAGGATGCCGACGAGCGTGAGGTCTGCCATCGCCGTCAGGGCCACCTCGTCGCTCAAGGCGTTGGTGCCGCGTGCATGGACCGGGTGCATGACCTTTTCGCACAGCACAATGACTCGCTCGGCATTGGACGACAGCTGGTCTTGGTAGGCCCGGACGGCCGCCCGGGCGGCGTCGTCGAGAGGCGCGACCGAATTCGACGTGCCCGACCAGTATTTTGTGCAGGCAGGGAGCAGGACGTCTGGCGCGCCTTTGACAAACACCTGCACGGGGCTGCCGCCCGCGCCCGCCTTCTCGTGATCGTGGTCGTGGCCGGCCATCGGATGCATGGTGAGCATCCACTTGTTGGTGGAGTTGAAGGCGATCTGGAAGAGCCTCGGCGACGCGGCGACAATGTCGTCGGCATTCTTGCCGGCCGCGGCCCAGCGGAGCACAGCCGCGTCGGTGGCGTTGCCCTGGACGGCCCGGTCGTCCACGGGCAGCGCGAGAGTCGTCGGATCAAAGGTGGCGTCGTTGCAGAGAAGCGCGGCCTGGCGCAGCCGCGCGAGACTCGGATTCTGCGCCGCCGGGTCCGCCTCGTCCTCCTCCTCCAGCATGCGCGTCAGATCCGCGGGGTGCAGAGGACGGTCGACGAATGCGGCCGAGCTGACGCGCATCTGATTCTGGGTCAACGTGCCCGTCTTGTCCGAGCAGATGACATTGACGCAGCCCAGGGTCTCGACAGTCGTCAGGCCTTTGGGCAAGATGTCGGCGGCTTTCATGCGCTTGGCGACGAGCATCAACGTCAATGCCACCGCGACCGGCATCCCTTCGGGAATGAAGGCGACAACGCAGCCCATGACGTCGTCTGTTGGGAAGGGTATGTCAGCGAAACGCAAAAACAACAAAAAACAACAAAAAACAACGGTCGATGAAAACGTACTCAGCATGGCCACGACGTTCATGTAGCCATAGTGGTCCTTCCGCAGCCAGCCGACCCACGTCAGCAGAATCAAAAGGGCGAGCACCACTGTGAGCACCACAATGATGCGGACAAAGCGCCAGATCTCTTGCTGGACGAGCGGCACGCGTTCTTTGGCGTTGGCTGTGGCCTTGGCAATGCGGCCCATGACGGAGCGCGAGCCCGTGAGAATCACGACGCCCACGCCGCCGCCGTTGACGACCATGGTGCCCATGAGCGCAATGTTGCGGCTCTCGAGAATGTTGCTGTCCGTGGCGTCCACCGTGCCTTCAATCTCCTCCGGCTCGCCCGTCAGCATGGAGCGGTCGAAGCGCAGGTCGCCCGAGTGGCTGACGACGCGCATGTCGGCCGGCACGCGGTTGCCCATCTTCAGATGGACGACGTCGCTGCTGACCAGGTCCGCGGTGGGCCGCTTGCTGAGTGCGCCGTCGCGCAGGACCAGCGTCTCCGAGGGCATGAGGCCGAGGATGGATTTCATGGTTCGCTGGGTGGACCACTGGAAGAGAAAACATTAAACCCTGCCCGGACATGTGGAACAGAGGGAAAAGGAGAATGCAATGGGAATCGGGAGAGAGACCTTCGTCCTGGAAACCGGAGAAACCAGCCTGCAGCAAGATGACAATGATGACCAAGATGGCCAGCGCGAGGTTGGTCGGCGAAGGCGGGTTGCTCAGGGGCTTCCAGCAGACGAAGAAGACGATGACGCCGATCCACAGGATGGAGCAGAAGCCGCCAAAGAGATACAGCAGGATCTTCTTGAGATAGTTCGTCTTGGGCCGCGGGAGCGTGTTCTTGCCATCGCGCGCGAGGCGCTGCGATGCGGCGTGCTCGGACAGGCCAGCGTCCTGGGCGACATTCAGCTGCTGGCAGAGCTGGTCCACGTCTACCTCGTGGAAGGACAGGTTGGCAAAGTAGTCCTGGTCGTCCTTCTTGGCAGCCGCCGCCTTGCTGTCGGCGCCACGGTCCTCCTCGACCCGGCGGCTCTCGGACACTTGGATGGAGAGCGTACGGTCTGGCAAAGAACATGTTAGTCAAGCCCAAGCGATGCTTCAGCGATACACAACAACGTACACTCAATGCGGATGCCGGCAACCGGAGATGCAGGCAGGCGGCTGCGCGAGCTGCCACTGTCACGGCTCCGGGAGCGTCTGCGCGACGCAGAACGCATGCGCGACGGAGTGCCGCCCTGGGGCTGACGACCGTCGTTTGCATTGGGATCAAAGGTGATGCGGCCGCGTACGCCATCTTTGGGCTCGGCAGCATCCAGGGGCGGTTCGTCGGCCATGTTTGAAACGGGGTTTTGCAGGGGCAATATAAAAGTGAAGGCAGGCAAGGCAGGGAAGGCAGGAAAGGCAGGGAAGGCAGTGAGAAAGCTGATGCTGTGCAGGCAAAAGGGACTTTAGGGAACTGGGGGTTGCTGTATGCTCTGTGGCGAGGAATATCTCCTGTTGGGAGGGGTTTCCTTGCGATTCTTATACTTGGTTCGACTGTTCCAACAGTCGGGATGCTTTTAGTTTGCGACTATCAAATATGCCTCTCGTACCCCATCCATCACACCATGCTCTGATTGCGCAGAGGAGCCCTCCTTTCATTTCGTTTGTTCCTTCACGAGGCCGGAAATAAGTCAGAGGCCCATTGCATGTCTCCTTGGCTGTTATGCCCTTGAACTCGACTAACATATCCCTCATAACCAAGCTTGTGTTGCCTGGTAATGCGCAACAATCGAAAGGAGGACGCAGAGGTAGCCATTACGAAATCTTTATTCAATCGAATCCCATGGCGAGATGAGCGCAAGCAAACGCTTGATGGGCCCCAGGATGCTGCCAAACAGTTGAGACGCCAGAACGCTCAAAAATATCTCAATTGCGTCCATTCTTGCCAATGCATTTCACCGCGCGCACGCAAGAGAGAGGAAACTCGGCAGCACATGCCCGTGACATAAATCGCCACCTGGTGAAACCTCCCAAGTATGATGGGCTGCTTATGCTTGCTAGTGTTAGGAGGAAGATAGCCCCAACGACAAAGGCCATGGCACGGGACAGCAAAGCAGGAAATGTCGACTAGACTGCTATGGCCTCAGAGAGAAAGGTGTGTTGTACTCTGTAGTATGCTGTCTGTACACTGATTGCCTCGCCCCCTAAAATAACTGGGCGAGGTTTTTGCCTATCTATAGTAGTGAGAGGCCCGTGATCTATCACATTTATTTAACAGTTGATACAGGAAAGTCGGCTCACTGTACGCCTGTGGCTGAAGAATGTGGCGCACTAGGTAAACGTTGATCCACCGTTATTAAGGCTGCAAAATTCATTTTTTATCGTGAAGAACACAATGTTGGCATTCGAGTGAAGGAGGACGAGAGTGGAAAACCACATCGAGCAATGCGAAAAGCCCTAGACCGACATCAAAGCGATACGTGTGATAAATAACCAGAGAGGGGATGGCCACACAACAATGGGCTATGACACGCCACCCACCGCCCACCCGTATCAAAACACGGGCGCAAGGAAGTCATGGAGCGGGTCCAGAAAGCCCTGCAGCTGAAAGGCCAGGTCGGCGGGCCATCCGGGGTCCGGGAAGGACGGCACCAGGACGGGGTCCAGCAGCAGGGCCACCAGCGGGCTGGTGTCGGGCGTGAGGTACGGGAAGAAGTGGCGCCAGTCGTGGCCCTCGCGCTCGAGGCCCGCGTGCTGCGCCAGCTCGGGCACGGGCACGGGCAGCGGGTCTGCAGGCAGGCCCATGTCGATGTTCGCGGGGCTGGGGCCGCCGGAGACGGACACGGAGCCGCTGCGCGCGGCGGCTGCATCGCCGGCCTGGAAGCGGTCGATGCGCTCGAGGCCGCTGGCAAACACGTGGGCCGAGTGCCACAGCTTGGCCATGGCGCCGAGGGCGACGCGCAGGACGCGGATGTGGGCGTCGGCGGCGCGGGCGAGGCGCCGCGGAGGTGCAGCAGCGTCACCGTCGTCAGGTAGGGCAGGTGCAGCTGGTAGACGTCGCGGTCGAAGCGCGGCGCCGCGCGCGTGGTGCCCTGCAGCGGCAGCTGCAGGTGGTCCGGCAGCGACGTCACCCACTGCTGCAGCTCCGCGGCCAGGTCCACGGGGAAGGGCGTGTCGGGCGTCCGGCGCGCCAGGTAGGTGCTGGCGCGCCCGATGATGGCGCACAGCCGCACCCACTGGATGAAGATCTCGGCGCGGTCCGTCGCCGGCTGCGGGAAGTCGGCCAGCGTCAGCGCGGCCACGTCGCAGTCGTCGACGTTGATCATGCAGGGCCGGCCCATGCAGATGCTCGTGAGCCGCTCGCGAGCCTGACTTTGTTAGTGGTGCACGTGGAGTGTTGTGTACTGTTTCATACAGTCTTCCGTCTTCCTTGCTTACAAAGAGTGTCCACCAGATGCGCCGCCGCAGCCCCGGCGTCTCCCCCGGCAGCGGCGGCTGGCCCGGCCGCGGCTCGCGATGCAGCCCCAGCTGCTGGGCCTGGCGGATGGCCACGCCGGTCCACCACCAGACCGTGTCGATGCTCATGACGTCGGGCGGGCCCGGCCCCCAGCAGTAGAAGAGCATCAGCGCCGAGATGGCCAGCAGCGCGTTCTTCTCGTGGTTGCTGTAGAAGAGCACCTTGGATCGCTCGTAGTACTCGGCGGCGCGCGCGTGCGGCAGCACCGGCGGGTCCACGTGCGAGCCCACGAGGGCCAGCGTGTTCTGCAGCAGCACCGACTCGCGCGCCGCCGCCGGCAGCTGGCCGTCGACGCGGTCGAGGATGGGGCACCACGTGTGCTGGAACTGGTAGAAGGTCTCCAGGTAGCTCTCCTGCAGCGCCGCCGGCGGCACCTCGTCCCGGCCGTCGCGCAGCCCCGCCGCCAGCAGCCCGCGCAGGTTGTTCTCGTCGCCGTAGCTCTGCTGGCGCTCGGCCATCACGGCCGCGCCGATGCCGTGGAAGATCTGCAGGAAGCCCGAGTCGCCGACGTAGCTGGGCGCCGTCGTCGTCGCCGTCGTGGACGCGTTGTGCAGCCCCGCAGGCGACGCCGTCGGCGGAACAGCCTGGCTGCGCAGTGCCGCATCTGCGTCTGGATCCGGCAATGGCCGCTGCGGTGGCTGCGGAAGCGATGGCTGGTAGTCGCTGCCCGCAAAGACATCGGCTGCATACGACAGCAGCGACATCTCATCGCCTCTGCCTGCCACGGCTGTGGCCACTTGCGGTCCTGTTCGCCCGAGCGTGCCCGGAGCGAGGTCGGCGCTCTGCTCCAAGCCGCTGCCGTCTTGGTCACTGTATCCGACGACATTGCTCTGCACTCCGGCTGCTCGTCTTGAAGAGCTCGCAAAACCAGAGTTCTGCGCGTTGGCGTTCTTGACGCGTTTCGACGACCGGATGCTGCCATTGCAGAGCCACCGTCAGCCATAAGCCATCTCACGACAAAGGGACATTAGTAGACCGGCAGGACGTACCGGCACTCGCCGCCGGCATCGACGCATTTCGTGCATGGCGCAGCCGGGTTGTTTTGCAGGTCACATTTGATCTAGCCGGCATTGTCAGTCGTCGTCGTCAGCCGCAGCCGCCGGACTCCAGACTTGCCTTCTTCTGATGGCACGGCACGCACACAATGTGCGGCCGCCTGTTGCTTCTGCCAGACGGTACCCGCGTATGCGCCGACGTGGTTGAACCCGGGGAAGCCAGCATCCTGTAATCCTGTAAAGTGGTGACTCCGTTGGGTGGAGATATTCTATAGGCAGTGCCGGTTGGGGGTCGGCGGTGTATGCACCGCTGGTAGTATGTTGGCCGAGTGGTGCTTTAAGAGAATTCAGAGAAGTGAAGAGAGCCAACTGACAACAGTCGGCTGACGACTGACGCTGACGACTGACGACTGACGATCGGAGAGTATTGCCAAACGAAGCCAGACAATTGTCGCCGGAGACCAACGGAGGACAGCCCACGTGACCATGTTGGAGAGTCTGAAATTACCTAAATCGGACAAGCGTCGCCAACACAGCCGGATCAGCCGACTGCCGATCAACATCGCCGGCCGGCACAGTAACAAACGACAAAGCAAAACAGCACGTCCAGGGATGTGCTTTGAGTCTACCGCAGTCGGCCTTGAGCATCCTTGGCGACCTGTCGATGCCATACTGGGCAACGGCAGTGCGGATAAAGTCTCTGCCAAGGCCGTGCGCCGATGCACTGCCAACGACTCTCCAGTCTCCCAGTTTGCAGGACTGACGACGGCGGCGGCAGCGAGCAGCGGACACTGCAGACTACAAAAGTAGAGTATATGCTTTGAGATGTGGGGCCTCTTGACACGCAAGTTATCCGGCTCTCCTTCTCTGGTGCTGTTAGCTTGTTTACATTCTATACTTTATATTCTTTATTTACGGGATCGCTTCGCACACGGGCGATTCCATCCACTTCACCGTCCACATCCCATAGCCTCTTTGCCACTCTTAGCCCATACCGCTGTACATCTTCATCCACCTGCTCTTCTCTTGACAATGGTGCCTGGTATAACGACGGGGTCCGCGGTGGTCGAACCCCTTGCCGACGCCAAAGCGCTCGCCACGACGACGACTGCCGACCCAACTGCCAACCCGACTCCCAAGGTCATCAACGGCCACTACCAGGCACCACAGCACGGTCCCGTCTACGAGGTCTCGCCGACGCCGCTGGGCACCATCAAAAAGATGCGCATCATCACCATCGGGGCCGGCGCCAGCGGCATCAACATGGCGTACCAGACGAAAAAGCACCTGAAGAACGTCAGCCTGGTCGTGTACGAGAAGAACGCCGACGTGGGCGGCACCTGGACCGAGAACCGCTATCCGGGGTGCAAGTGTGACATCCGTACGTCGTGTTATACAACACGAAAAACCTCATTGCCTCCCCTACAAATCATGACCCTTCGTTGGGGGCCAAGCACAGGCGTTGTACAGCCTGGCACAGGCGCTAAACATGTCTACACAGGCGTGCACAGGTGTGCACCGTCTACGCTGCCCTGTCTCTTCTGCCTACGCCACAACACCATATGCACGGTTATAAACATATAACTCTAAACATATAGCCTCATCTATTAACGAGGGTCCCAAAACGTGGAAACGCTCCTCAAAGGAGGAGGCCGCAAATAAGTCTTAACAGGTGTTGTAAAGTCTTTACAAGGTAACATGGTTCCATATGCTTCTTACTGCCTATACTACTATGGACGTCTATAAATACGGTACCTTCCCGCACTGGAGGCTTGCTGGTGGAGTTCCTCCTCCTGATTGTGACTGTCTGGTGTCATTTTATTCTTTTGAAGCCTTATACTAACTGAAAGTCGTCTTACGTATCGGCCGAACTATGAGTTCTCGTAATTCAACCCGGGGTCGAAGAGTAACTTATCTAGACGATGTCATCTCCTTTACTTTGGAAAACGGGCTCCTTGATCGGTCGATAATCGACTCTAACCCCGTGCGGAGGCAGTTAAAACTAAAGACCGAAGAGTTTTACGACCGAGACCTTTAAATATAAAACGCGTGAGTTAGTATCTTACCCCGGACGGCCTTTAAGAATAGTAAGTGTTTAAGTTACGAACATGGCCCCCACGGGCCTCACCAACGGGCCAGGGACAACACGACAGACCCCTCAACGGGACGGACGAACGATAATACGACCGATGCCAGAAACGGGCGGTGCAGATGTGGCTGAAAAACACCAAGCTTTCAAAACATAGGATAAAGGAACGAACCAATCAGATCACACGGACTGTAGATCATGCGACGAATGAACCTACGGTATGATCCAAGTATAAACCATACGGATGAGGATTATATAAAGAATGAACCAACGGAATGATCCACGAATGATCATAACTAGATATATAAGACTGAGGCTTCCTCACAGTAACTAGATAGAAGACTCAGTCGCTACCGATTGTCTGAAATACAAACCTACATGAACCTGTATTCCTGTGCCCTTAGAACATACAATCCCCATACCTATTATCACGTGTTGAGTATTGTTCAACCGTTACACCTTCTCATCGTTCTTATTCGAACAAGCCCTCCCCTAGCCTGATCACCTAGCAGAGACTCTATCCCCTGGGAAGTGCCTTTGTAGCATTAACGCTCGTACTACGACGAGAAGAACGGTCAACCACCGTTAACCGTAATCACCTAGGTCGGTCTACGTTAAACACATTCTAAGTAAGACAAGGGTCTTTATATCTTACTTAACGAGCTCGGTTTAATTACGAGCCCAGTTAGAACCACGCCGTTTAGTACCGAAACGCTAGGCACTAACAGCCTCGTCCTCAAAGACCATCGTCAAGAACAAAAGAAGCCGTGCGGCATGTTTGGGTGGGACGTCATTGCGCGTTCGGAGCATATTCACAACGGGCTCCATCTGGCACAACGCGTGAAAGTAAAAAACGTCATCATCTGATCGTTGAATGATGGACGCGACTGTGATCTGATCCATGGTGGCCCAGAGACCGTAATGGATATGTCAACAAAAAGAAAAAAGGGAAATGTAAGGAATGAGACGCTTGACGAGACCTTGACGGGATGAGGAATAGTAGCGAAAGGGCGCATTTTATCGTCAGGTTGAACGAAACGACCAAACATATTTAAGCGCCTACTATCTTTCTCTGTAATGCAACCACCCTCAGGACTTCACATTTCATTTCATTTCAACTGATCGCGTTCCAAGTCCCCACCCATGCGTGGGAGATCATATTTTGCACCTAATCCAAGGGCGGGTGCAGCTTTAACAGGGGTGCTCACTCGTTCGTCCGGGACAAAGTTCAGTAGGAATACGGGACGCTGGCCCGAATCGGATGCTTTACGGGATGGTCAGCTGAACGTCGCATAATTCAGTATCACAAAACTAACCCCCACGTATTGCCCGTCTTTTAGTCAGAGGACACAAGTCTCCACCTAAGGACTTCCATTTCACTTGGCGCTCCGTGCCGTCACTAGTCTCCTGCCACCCGCATGTTGGGCCTGTCAAAACGCCCGTTGGCCCGCAAAAAGCGATGTATTTCCCTGTTTGGGTGTTTGTTTACCACCCTTGCATGGGAGGTGGTACTTTGCAGTCCACGACCTGTTGTTGCAGACGTAGCCGGACATATTCGCCACCTCGGTTTTATTTTTTCGAGAAGCGGCAGGTGGCTTGTGAATATGTGGGCGTGGATGCTTCCTCCCTCGCCTTGATAACACTGCTCGAACTTGTCGCATATCCTTCTCTCCTTTTCCTTTTCCTTAAAAAAATTTAGGTACTCTTATCTGTGACGTGTTGACCGCGTTTTGGTTCCAACATAGTATGTATTCAAAGTTCTGAGATGTACTGTGCACTTTAATGTTTCTGTGCGCCAGGCCGTCCAAAAAAAGGCAAGAACAAAGAGACGACGGTGCGAGTGAGGCTTAGAAGAGCGAGGAGGGGAAGGTTAAGATAAGTGAGGGCAAGGCAAAGACAAAATAAATTCAAAACATTTGACTGCCCGACCATGATGAAATGAGAGAGCAGTAAAACAGCTTGAAAGCAGAAAAACACACAGTCGTAAACGAAAGAGGGAGGCGACAAGAAGGCATACAGGCTCCCAACGATAGATGGGACTGCCACCAGGTTGTTTTTGTTGCTTCAGTGTGCCTGGGCAGTAACGCATATATTAGAGCTCTCCCTGTGTGTATATACCTGTGAAGGAGCATAGACAATGCATTATCCACCACAAAAAGAAAGGGACGTAAAAGTTTAATTTTGACACGGAAATAATGTCAACGCACGGTAAACGACAGAGCAGTCCTATGTTTGGTTGCATAGAGGGTGGCTGGCAGTTTAAACGACTGCATCCGCAAACACAGGCTCGGCGACACTTGAACGAATGCTATCAAATCTTGGCGTGACTGTGTAGCAGATCTCACGCCGATTTTGAAAAGCTCGTAGGGCAGGTGAACATAAAAGACGTGGAGAGTGATCACCATGATTCGCCAGCCTGCTTCTTCCTAACTACCCGGTGTGGGCAGGGTGTAAGACCGATGAGCACTCCAATTTTATTTTGTGAAAGTCCTACTATCACCATTCCATAACGCTATCAACACACCTTAACTCATTTGTTCTTCTTTGCCTCCCACCACTGGAAACATGTCAGATACTATTTCTTCATCTATACAGGCGGTGACTTGTTTTAGCCGCGTTAGAAACCGAAACATATGTACAAGGGCCCCAGAAGCATTAAGAACCTGGATAACAGGCCATCTTCGACCGCTCTCGTCTAAACGTCCTTCTTTACCATAAGACTCTGGGTGATGTTAACAAATACCTCCGCCACGTTTATATTTCTCATTACAGATGTTTCGATAAACTTGCAATTTAGTTCCCTGGCGGCTAAGATCGTATTTGTTTCCAACAAGTATCAAAGGGACCAGGTCGTGTGAGTCTACTGATTACGATGGTGGTGTAAATTTCGACTTATGTTAGATCCGGTCGACAATTCTTCTAATACTTAAAAACGACGACCACGAGTTGGTGTTATAGACGATAATAAAGCCATCGTATCGCTCGATATCCAGGTATAAATTCTCTTAACCACTTAAATCCAAAATGTTAAGAACACATAACTCGTCGTTAACGAGCGTTTCCGCCCGGAAGGATTTTATGATTGACGGGTCGTACTACACGAACAGGTTATTTTTAAATTTTATTAATATAACACACGTTGTTTTACTAGGAACGCTAGGAACATACCTACTTAATAAAATGATTGTAACACGACCGACATACTAAAGACGTCTTTCCAACGCCAGAGTCGCCTAACAACGCCAGTCTGTACCGGCCCACTATGTTTCGTCTTTGTTGGGCGTCGGTAGTGGGGAGGGAGAGAGGAGATGGTTAGGGATAGTTGTTGTACTATAGTAGAGAGATGACACGGAAGAGATTAGGTACTTAAATATAAGAGTCTTTTAAACATATCTTCCACCAAGTATTTTTAAGTGATATTGTATCCTCCGTCATCTAAGTTAGAGTTATCCATCGTGTCGAAAACTAAAGTACAGTTAAATTAGTGTTAGGTCATTTAATAGTAAAGCCGGACAATACAATCACTTTATAAAGAGGGTAAGGGTAGGATCCCACCTTTAGGAGTTCGAATTCCTGATATAAACAATGTTGTCTGGATGTACAAGTGGAATTATACCGTAGATCACCAAGCTTTTCATCTCGTTGATTTACCGATACATGAGCTGCGTACTCGTCTCCAACCCTTGGACACTACCATCAACCCCTGTGAGACTAATCTGTAGATATTTCAGCTGTGGAAACAATCATCACGACGAACTTGGAAGAGCGATGCGACATGGGTAGTTTCGGGCAAGAGTGTGCCGGTTGAGTGTGGCATTCCCATTCTCCGGACAGAAAAAGTAAAACATTCGTCAAGGAGGTGAAGGGATGCCCGTTAACCAGGTATGCCAATGTACATCTGGATAAATGGGAGTGTTTAGGAGTTTTTTGTTTTTTTTCTTCTTTTCTTTGCCTGTTGTATTACTAAAAGAGATAAAAAAGAGTGTGCAAAGCGTCGTCCTGTCAAGCGACGTCCCATCAGGCGTCTCAACCGGGCTAGCGTCCACGTGAACACACAGGGGCTAGGAGGAGAGAGGACTGTTGGTTTCTTTATTACTCTTTTGGTTTGCCCTAGATTTACAGCCCTGTTAGGTTTTGACCCAGTGGGGCTTTCGTAGCTAAAGAGGGTGGGGGAAAGGAGAAACAATTGCTCAGAGCCAGCTCTTTCATCCTCTGACAAAAGAGGGAAGATGGGCCTCGCTTGTTGGTACCGGGAAGATTTGGGCGAAACACCTACGAGCGCTATTCCAGCTCTTCCCTCTCAAGTACCCCTTTTCCTTTATTCTCCTCCCCCAGGATTCCCTCCCTGAGGATGTCGCGTCTCTCTTTTCCCTTTAATCAGCAGGCCAAGCCCCAATGTGAGCGACCTCTCCCCCATCCTTGTTTTTTTTTCTCATCTATTTCCTCCTGTTCTTGGACTCTATTTCTTCCCCTTTCAACCTCTCATCTTTTCAACCCGTCTCGCCTTCTCCCTAAATCTTCGCATACTTTGTGTTCCTTCGCATACTGCCCGATAAGAATAGTTTGGTAGATCTCATTTTTCCTCCATTGCACTCCCCCGATCAAACGGCACTCTTATCTTTACTCTTTTCGCCTCTTCCCACCAACATTTAAGGACTCCTCCACGCATCGTAGTGGGCGGTTGACTCGATGTTGCATGCGGCAGAAAATAAGACCTAGGCACGGACCCGGCCACCTTCCCAGACCTAGAAGAGGAAACAAAAGGAGGAGGGGGCATTTGGCAACTTTCAACGTAGAGACATTATGACCGATACCGTAAAATAAATTGTCGCCCACTATCCTGCGTCCCAAGCCTCGTCGACACCCTTCGAGCTTTCCCAAGGACGAGGGATTTCAACAAATCGCTCTTCGGCGCACGTTTGACGGGCGACTTCACTCTGTATATAGTCTGATCTCTACCTGGATCCTACATTGTGACGCCACAAGCTACGTCCTGGTCTTTCGCCCCTGTCATACAAACACCCCCCATGAAACAAACTATAGTTGCCGCTAACCTTTGCCCCATGCTATATCCCTAGCCTCCACCTGTCTCTCGTACAGGTTGATTCCGTGGCCGGCCTGCCGTCTCGAAAAACGTCGACATCCCGTACTGAGCGCGTTCCTCGTCGGGGATGCGCCTGCCGTTGTCGTACAAGGGCGGGTTATCCTGGTCCGAGTAGAGCGGCCGCGCTCCCTTATCCATGCGTCGGGTATCAATATACGTGTTCGATACCTTCGAGTCGAGGTCTTGTCTCCGCTGGACGTAGTACGTGTTATATTTCCGGAAAACGAGTTGGATGGGCTCCTCGAGGCTCTGGTCGACTCGGCTACGCATGGCAGCGTCGCAGTCTTCGAGGAACAAGTCAAAGCAAAGAAGTACATTTTTCTGCCAGATGTTAACCAGGTTCATCTTTACGTCGAAGCCGGTTATATGTTTCTTTTTATTTATAACGTCTTTTGACTCTTTTGTAGGTTGTTGTGGTTGTTCGAGTTCGACGGATTCTTTACCGTGTTCTTCGTCACCGTGTTGTCCGTTCCGTTTTTCGTTAAACTCTTCGTTAAACTCTTCGTAAAACTCTTCGTTAAGTTTTTTAAACTCCTCGTCGCCTTCTCCGTGTTGCTGTTGTTGTTGTACCTCCTCTCCCTGGTCGATCGTATTGATCCCAGCCATCAGCGCCTGGCCAAACTTCTCCGCGTGACCTTGAGCCCACGCGATAACGACGGCCGACCGGCGTGACTCAGTCCGAAGCGTGGTCCTGTACAAACATCGGATAGTCCGGTTCTCCGACAACGTGACTCGGGTCTGGGTAGCGATATTAATCTTTGAGTGTTCGGGCATCGTCGGGAATGATAGAGAGAAGAAACATAATCTAGGGAGAAAAAAAAAAAGAAAAGGGTAGGTATAAAAAGAGAAATAAAAATAAAATAAAATAAAAAAAATGGAAAGATTAAATGAAAAGTGCGGGGTATATATATCACGTGATATAAAAAACCCCGCCTTTTAAAACAATAAAAGGAAATAAAAGGTTATAAAAGGACTCTTGTTTATAACCGTTTTTCTCCGTAATATAAAGAATATTTAACTTTAAATAATACTCTTACTTTTTACTATATAATAGTTATTATTTAAATCCCTATCTCCCTTTCTCTTCTTATTTCCCTCGAACTTCTATATTCAAAACATGTGTACGTACACGGTTTTTAGATGCCCGGGGTGTAACGACTTAATAAATGTGGCACTGGCTCGTTGTACTAAACGGCCAGGCAACACAGAGTCGCATCCTCAAACCGACGATAATACTGCAAACGGGACTGCCGCCAACCGCTGCCCAGCGTGCGAGGGCAATGACTCCGGGTATTCTAGCGGGGACCCTTCTGTGGCTGGGAGCAGCGATTCTGGCTATGGCACCGGGAACTGAGGGTAGCCGCGGGTGATCAAACAGGCATGTAAGTTTATATTTGTTTTATTTTTCATCTTCAGCGTCCAGTTTTCCTTCGGCTTACCCAGCTTTACAAAGAAACTTTCCCAATAGGCAAGAGTCTCTACTAGGTGATTAGACTAAGGGAGGGTCTTGTTCGGTAAAACAATGAGAAAGTGTAACAGCTGAACGATATCAACACGTATAAGGGGTGTTGGATTGTATGCAACGGGGGCACAAGAATACTAGTTCATGTATGTTTATATTTCAAACAATCGGTAGCGACTAAGTCTTCTATCTAGGTACTGGGAGGAAGCCTCAGTCTTTTATATTTAGCTAACTTTATTCGTATCCCTACGCGTGTCAGTTTGAGTCTTTCTTTATTTTTTCACGACCAACCATAGTGGAAGGCACGACGCTTGGTAGGAGCTGTTAGCGGACATCAACGTTACGTGCCGGTTGATGTGCATGCAGCATCAAAACAAGAATACGAGAGACGGCTCCGGAATTCCGGCGCTTCGGCTCAGTTTCGTGCCCAAAAGAAGACGAAGAAAGAAGAGACAAATCGAAAGATACTAATGCTGGAGTCACGAGTCAAGGAACTGGAGGCACACTGCAAGTTGTACGAAACTTTCCACGCCGAGCATCCCCGAGTATGCGGAATCCCACCTTGCCTTACGCCATGACCTACGCGAGCACGGAGTGCGGCGCCGCGTCCGGCAGACAATCCGTTACAGTGTCGCGAAGCACGCCCGGGTTCATCGGCGCCAGCCATAATGTTAGCATATACCTTTTTTCTTTTTTTCTTTTTTCTTTTTTTTTTTTTCTTTAATTGTCGTTTTTCCCTCTATTTCCAATCCATCGACTCTCTTCTCTTTGCGTTTTTGTTTTTGCTTTTCCCTTGAGGATAGAAGTTGCTGTACGAGATATACTCTGTAAATAACAATAGTATGTTGGTCAGATTTTAATTAAATACCCTCACAGAGATCCTCTTCCGTAGGAATAATCTGCTGCTCAATGGGCCGACCAGACTTTATATATGCCTCTCTTGTCTTCAAACCTGTTCTAGATACTGGAAGCACTGCTTATTCAATGACAATCACCATCTTCCTCGTCTAGCACAACATGCAGCTTCTAGATCGTTACCACCACGAAATCGCCGTCCCTTGCGGGCGGTATCTTGTCGACAAAACTAGAAGATCGTCTGTTCTTGATCCAAACGGACGGTGGTACAGTACGAATACGGCCATCGACACAATGTGCTTTATCCGGTATATTTGTGACTTTCAATGGCAGCCTTCTTCGTCGCGTGTGGTATACAGGCATAAGAAAAAAATTAAAAAAGTGGAAGAGATTTCTCGTAAAAGAAGGAATCAGTTTCGCGGCTCAAGAAACAACTGCAAATTCCAACAATAGTCTCTCCTAGAAAATTAGGCTGGTTTTCGTAAACGTGAAAAATATGGTCGCGTTGCAGAGAAGAGAAGATGGGCGGCGCTCTCCAACAGCTGAGAAGAAAGCTCGAGGCAAAAGTCTAACTACTAAGGCTAGCTCCGGAGTCCTCTTTCTTGTCTTCCTCCTTTCTTCCTCCTTTCTTCCTCCTTTCTTCCTCCTTTTTCCTCCTTTTCCCTCTTTTCCCTCTTTTCTTCCTCCTTTTTCCTCTTTTCTTCCTCCTTTCTTCATCCTTTCTTCATCCTTTCTTCATCCTTTCTTCATCCTTTCTTCATCCTTTCTTCATCCTTTCTTCCCATCTCATAACATTCTAAAAGGCAAATAGCCTTAGTGCGGAGGATCTCTCAACACTAAGAGAACTTGGTCTTTCACTCAACCCAACGACCTTTGAGCTCACATGTCTCAACCCTCGTCCTCGTTGCCGACCTCTCGAATTAGACGCTCGCCGCATAGAGGTACACCTACGGAACAAACACCGAATACAGGGCAGATCGAAACAGCTCAAATATCTTCACTCGATCTAGCCTGGCCCACACAATATACCTACCCACCCGCGCAAACGCAGAAAGATCAACCAAGGCAGCCACGATACACTACACGCACGCCAGCCAGTCAATATCGGCTTTGAGGAGATACACGCCGTGTATTGCGGTGAACAGTTGTCGAAAGACGTGGTCGGTGCCTGTCTTCAGCAACTCGAGCAAGAGCACTTCTTCTTTGCTACGTTCTCTGTTGGAGACCCGATACAATGGAGTGTCCCCGACACAGCAAGCCTCAAGTACATTGTTGTCTGGTATGCGAGGACCGCCACTGGTATACCGTCATTGTCTCTTGCCAGTCTAAATGGACTATTGTCTTCGACCCGCTTGCTCGCAACCACTACAATGTCGTTTCTATGCTCGTGGAGCACCTGGCATCGTTGCGCCTCGTGGATAACACACACGTCTGGACTACCCCGTTGAAGATCGAGGACAGCGGTGTCTTTGTGCTGAACTTTGCCAAGTCGATTGTGGAGGAGCTGGGAAGCAGTGACAGGTGTTTACGAGCCGACTGTCCCATTTTCTGGGACACCGACCCCGTAACAGCACGAAATAAGGTTTTGCAGACCATATCACCTGCTTATTATGCTTTATGTACGTGTTACCTATGCGTTAAACGATGATTAAACCGCTAACAACGAGGCAGGTACGGCAAAGGTAGCCTTTGAAGAAAGCTTTTCTCCAACCCAGCTTGCTGAAGCGGTTCAAGCGTGGAGAGGAGCGCCGGCTACTTTCGTCTCTACGAACCATAAACATCTTATCGACGAGTACCAAAAACGACAGGAGTCGACTATCAACCGCGTTCGCGATTGGATCCTGGAGCAATCGACAAAGCCTCTTCGTGCGCGGCTCCAAGAAGACCTGGAGATCTACAGGGATATTGTGAATAGTACAGTGGCCGGCAGAGCTGTGTCTGCAGAACGGTATCTCGCCACACGGGAGGGCGATTTTGTCATTTGTTCCCATGCAGAGGCAATTGCAATCTTTACCACAGGGCTCCGCGTACCCATTGTCATCCCGAAGGCTTTGTCCGGAGAAGACCAAGTCCGGGACGTCCCAAAAGTAAAAGAGTCTTTACAGGATTTTCTCGAAGAGTTAAGGACATTCGATACACTAGACGCCCATTATCTCGACAGTGATGACACCAGCCGCCAGCCTGTGTCAAAAAATGCCTCTGATGTTATAGACGACTTCAAGTCAGGTCGCAGGGGGCCTGTCAACCTTATCAACTTACAAGGACGAATCCAAAGCCCACCGAGTGTCTACAGGGCAGACGGTTTAGTATCCTCGAGACAATCTACGAAACCCACAAGGCTGGCAAACGCAGAAAAACACTTGACTACGACCTCAACGCTTCCGCACGGTTCACGATTTGCGGCTCTGCAGGGACTGTGTCAACGGAACACATTGATGAAGGCGGTGTTACTGCATCGGTTCTCAACAAAGAAGGAGTGAAATTATGGACTTTGTGGCCAAACCTGAGCCTCGAAGAGGTCCGAAGATGGGCGGAGTCGGATTCAGACCCAGAGAGCCCGCCTGACGGGATTCTCCTCGAAGAGGGCGATCTTCTTATACAGCCGGCCGGAACAATTCATGCCCCCTTCTCGGTGACAGACTGCTGGATGGAGGGTACAATGCACTGGGACACACTCGATATAACACAGTCGATGCGTTTCACGGAGTTAGAGCTACAACACAGCCATGTTACAAACGAGGAGCCGGCCAAAGAGTTGCGAGGGAAAATCAACATGATCGAGAAGTTGAGGGGGGAGAGAAAAGGTCCGTGGCAGTGGCAAGAAACAGAAATTGACAGAGTTCTTTGACTTGGCAAAGAAGATTCGACATGGTTTGCGAATGAGGAGACGTTGAGAGATAAAAAAAAATATAGCCACGCAAAGTTATTCTTCAGAACGACTAGGGCCTAGGCCTCTTCGTCTTTCGCTTTTATATTTTTATTTCCTCACGCGATTGATACAACGGCGAAGTGGAGATGGATCGAAGAAAATCAGACAGTGTTCTCAGAGCCCAGGAAAGGGAGAGCGTGGGCTAAACGCCCGTCACTAGAGGAGAAGCAATTATGAAAGCAATTAGTACACAAATCATTCCACTGCTCAGGCTGACAGGCAAGTTATAAAAGAGTAAATTGATAAGAAGCCCGTATATGCATGTATAAGAAAGAAGAAAAAAGTGGAAGGGATATTCCGTAAAATAAGGAACCACCTTCACGGCTCAAGAAACTAATACAAATTTCAAGAATAGCCTCTCTTATAAAACGAATCCAGTTTTCATAAACGTAAAAAAATGGTCGTGTTCCGGAGTAAAGAAGATTTAGTCTTTTACTCTTTCTCGTTAATTCCACGGCAGCAGTGGCATCCACCCACTTCGACTTCATTCCCCCCCGTGAGACCCTCAGCTACTATCATGTCTCATTGTCAAAAATACCGCGTCTTCTCGTCTTTACCTTATTTTTTTAATTCGTCTTTAGTAAGACTCCTACAACCCGCCGGCCAAACTCCAGCTACAGATGGACAAAGCGCCGACGGATGGACCAGCCGTGGCAGTAGCGTGGTCTTATGGATGCTTGCTTTGGAGAAATGATTCTTGGAACCGCGATTTGCGATCCTTGTCAAGATCCTCTTGTGGGGCGTGTCGCGCCTGTCGATCGACCACCTGACGAGGCAGAGTATCGAGGCAGCATAATAAGACCTCTGTTTTCGCCATTTTCTTTTCTCTCTCTCCTGCACCTGCCCCTTTTCTACACTCGCACACTTCGACATTTATCTTCTTTGTTTTCTTACACCATGTCACCAGACGAAGCATGGAGTATCGTCGCGGCTCTGCTCGCCACTTCTTGTTATGTGGTTTATTTTGTTTACCACTACACCCGCGGCTCACACAATGGACGAGAATTCTTTATTCTCTTCCCACTCTATATCTCCACCACGGTCGCCTTGACTGTTGCTCATTTTTGTACCGAGAACACCGTCGCCTCTTCTCTCCTCGTTGCCTTGAAGATCGACACCGTTGCATGTATTAGCTTTATTCTAGTTAGGTCTCTCCCGCGCTCTATACCTGTCGACCTACTCTAACCATCTTCTTAGCTACGGTTTCTATGTCCCCTCCTGGAGATATTCAGTACACATCCTCTTATCGTTATACGTGTCATTCGACCTACACCTACCTTGATTGTCCACACACTGTTCACTACCATCTGCGTCCTAATTGGAATTGTCGTCGACGCGTTCCGTCCATTTTCCTACGCCTCTTTTTCCATCGTGCCACTCCTGATGGCCACTACCTTTTTTGTTCACTCGGTATATACAACGCGAAAGCGAAAGAAAACCCGCATCCTGGTTATGGCAGGTATTAGCCTTTTTGCGATAGTTGCCGACATCACTTGTATTGGACTGACTGCACGGATTTCTATTGATCTACATATTCTGTCTTGTTTTTTGTGCGCCTTTGTATGGTTTTGCTGGCCAGTGGGCTGCCTCATTACGAAATTTCGCCCGGGCACGGGCTCGGACAGGAGTTTGGACGACTGGATTGAAGTGTGGAGGAAACGATATCATGCCTATATATTACTTTCAGGGAGCTTTTCTATTTTCTTCTATTTTCTTCTATTTTTTTCTATTTTTTTCTATTTTTTTCTATTTTTTAAATTTGTTTTTGACGGCGTCGACGTGGATGCTACATACGAGCTGATCCCGGCCGGTTGGACTCCCAAAAGGAGGTTAAAAATGCAGGAGCCACAACTCCTTTTTCCTACTCAATTTTTCCATCTACCCTCAAAAATATTTATTTACTTATCTTCTTTCCTCTTCATTTTACATCTCTTTCCTTCTGCCCTTCTTTTTAACATCACGTTGACGAAATATTTACAACCAAGTACCTCTTCTCCTTCTCTATTATGGCCACCGCGTAAGCTCGGAAAAGAGCGATCACAGAAAAAGTAAGACATATTTACAGTCTATGGACGCGCCCTCCGCATCCTGGGCGGTTTTCCTTCTTTGTTACTGTCTCACGGGCAAGCAATGCCAATACGATCTATGTTTCTCGACCCCCACAAGCAGGCTCCTCTCCGAGGACTCGATCAATGAATTCCCGATTGGAGCTGTGCCCTCTCTTACCGCCGGGGTCTCCCACTACGTTTTACACACGTGGGGAATCCGCAGCGCCGCTTGTCAACTCGCCGTCTCAAATACCATCTGGCATGCCGCACCCTCGGCAAACATATCTTGCATGGTTGCACCAAGCGGGCCGCCAGGCTCAACTGCGTCTTCCCCCTTCCTGCCAGACCAGGAAAATGACTGGTGCTGGTAGCTTCTCGTCTTTCGGGACGGACACAGAGGAGTTTCGAAGAAGTGAGCCGGAAAAGACGCATTTCCCAATGCAGCAATATTCGAAAAGGGGATCATCAGCCATGCACCATCAGCCGTGTAAGATTCAGGCTCTGGAAACGCCGCCAGTTGTATTAGAGGAAGACTGGCCCATATTCGGCACGGCCTTGTTTATATGGTCGACAGAGAAGCCTTGCTGGTCGCCCTGAGCAAACAGCGAATAGCCCGCACCGCCGCCCTCGTCGTCCGGATCTCTGTAATCTAAGAAGGAGTCTTTAGGCGAAATGGCCTGCGGTCGTGTGGCATACCGCGTCCTGGAAACTACATGGCAGAGGGCCTAGCAAACTGATTCGCAGAGAACGTTTCATGGTTTCTGCCTAGACACATGTCGGCGGTCAGTTATGCATTTTGTTTTTTTTTTTTTTTTTTTTTTTTTTTTTTTCATCTATCACCGGTCTTCACCTTATGGACCATCCATAGTACCTTGGAGCCAACCAAGATCCACTCCTCGTCACAAAAGTTTCATCGAAGGCTAGGCGATTGGCTCGCATCGTTGCCCAGTAACCTGCAGTATCTTTTTTCACTTTTGAGATTTGGTTTTGGTTGGTGTCGGAGAACGTTGCGAAAAGAAGGTAACCAGGGAGGAGCAGAAAGGTGGGCATACGTGCAGGAAGCGATATTGTGGTACTGACTTGCACACCTCTCTTGGAAGTAGGGCGCACTCGCCTTGCCTTGTCCGAGGCCCATTTTGGGTCATAGCTGCAGGACCAAGACCGCAATTCGCTCGCAAATCGAGACTTCCAAAACGCTGCATGTACGACGCTCTACCACTCAGCCTGCGACGTCCCGTGGCCAGGCCAGCAGAAGAAATACATGACTATTGAGAGCAATCGAACGCGTCACAGTCCCTGCCCCATTTGTTTGCCCTGTGCACATTCCTCCCCCTCTTCTCGTATGAAACCTCGTTGATTCTCTTCCTTTCTCCTTCATCGTTTACCGACTTCTCAACTCCTGCTTCTCTTAGTTTCTCGCTTGGTATTTATTCAACATCATTTTTGCCGTCCAACTCTGCTTTCCTCGTCGAAAGTGCCACCTCTACTTCAACATTTCGCCACCCTGAATCGCCCGCTCAAAGTCCATTCGACAAGATGTCGCCCTTGGTAAGATCCGTCTCTTCGACGTGTTCATAACTTAGCCAGAACTAACCAACCCGTTCTACAGGATCTTTGCTTCGGTGACAAGTACCGGATCGACCATCAAATCGGCTCCGGCTCGTTCGGTGTCATTTACAAGGGCACAAACAGCATTTCCGGAGAGGAGATCGCGACCGCGACCCAGCTCCGTATCCCTTTTTGTGAGAACAAGAACATGACGGGCCATGTCCGTTATGCTTCCCTTAACTCCCATGAGGGTATGGAGCAGTCCCGCCGTGACGACATGGAGAGCCTAGGCTACGTCCTGCTCTACCTCTGCCGCGGCTCTCTTCCCTGGCAAGACCTTAAGCTTGAGACCGCCACAACGAAGAAAATCAGGGATAAAATCATAGACAAGAAGAAGACTACCCTGATCGGGGACCTCTACCGCGGCCTCCCGAACGAGTTCGCCGTCTACCTCGACTACACGCGCTCACTCGGCTTCAAGGACAAGCCCAACTACGGCTTCCTGCGCAAGATCTTCAGCGACCTGTTCGTTCGGGAGGGCTTCCAGTATGACAACGATTTTGACTGGGATGTTCTCAAGCGCCTGAAAGAGAAAAACGACCAGGCTACCGCTCATCCAGCATTTCATATGAGTCCATATTCTGGCATTGACTTACAGTTCATCAAACAGAGCTTTGGACGTCATGTTGAGGACTTGTGACTGGTGACTGGTGGCTGTTGTTCCGCTTCGGTTTCGTCTTCTTGCAGTAAAGGAACGAAACTCCAGGTTGCCTCTCGCCCAGCACGTGACTTCGACTTATACCATAGATCTCTATGCCGATGCAATCCCCTCTTGCAGCCACAAACAAATTCTTGGCCTATTCCTGTCGCAGTATCTTTCGGTCTCGATATCGGACCCCGCGCCGGCTCTTATCACCTAGTGCAGCCGTGACAGCCGGGGCTACCGGTACCTTTGCCGTGAAGCTAGTGCCACGCCAACTTTCCGGCAGGCTTAGCTGTGCCTTAGCGCTGGCGTGACGGACACGAGACAGACGACCGGCAATGATACGCGATGAAGGCACAATACTCACGGTCGATTGCGGCTCTCCATGGGAATGAGGATCGATGCAAGAAGACGCGGGCGGTGAATACGACGCCGTTATAACACGAAGGAGCTGAACCTGTCAAAGTAGAAAGATATCTTGCGTCTTGTGTCCTGCGTCGTACGTCCTTCTGCCCGCCCTCCTGGCTTGCGCCCCTTTCTCCACAAAACCACTTACAGCACCGGACAAGATGGCGCAGAAGCTTGAGATCAAGGGCAAGGGCGCCATCGTCACGGGCGCCGGGTCCGGCATCAACCTGGCTTTTGCAAAGGCGCTCTACACGGCCGGCTGCAGCGTGCTGATGATGGACGTTGCGCTGCACCCGACGGCCAAGGACTGGCTGGCGACGCTGCCAGCACACGCCGCCGCTGGCCAGCCAAAGGTGCATTTCTTCGAGGCCGACGTGGCCAACTGGGACAGGATCGAAGAGTCCTTTGTGGTGTTCGACCGCGAAATCGGCGGCATCCCCTACATTGTGTGCCCAGGCGCCGGCATCTACGAGCCAGTATGTCCTTCTACTCGTTGTTCGTTTGTTCATTCTCGTTGCTCTCCGTCCCCTTTCTCTTCCCTCTCTGACCCCTAGTCGCACAATGGCTTCTGGAGCAACACCGACACGGACGGCCACTACCGCCTGCTCGACATCAACCTGCTCTCGCCCATCAAGTTCACGCGCTTGGCCATCACCAAAATGCTGGCGGCCGGCCAGCCGGGCATCGTGCTGCACGTGTCCAGCACCGGCGCCCAAAAGGCCAGCATCATCACGCCCCTCTACCAGCTGGCCAAGAACGGCATCAGCTCCTTTGTGCGCTGCATGGCCGAGCTGCACGGCTACAGCGGCATCCGCGTCGTCGGCGTCGCCCCGGGCGTCGTCAAGTCCCCCCTGTTCACGGACCACCCAGACGTCCTGCGCTACCTCGACCCCGTCAAGGACCATCCGCTCGAGCCCGACGCCGTCGCCCGCGGCATGCTGGCCGTCGCCACGGATCTCCGGTACCCGCCCGGCACCGTCCTCGAGATCGCCGACAAGGACGACAACTGGCGCGAGGTGCACATCCTCCACGACCCCGGCCCGACCGGTGCCGCCTCGTGGTCCAGCCACAAGAACCTCGCGCTCGAGGACGTAAAGGCGGTGATCGACGGCGAAAAGGGGCCCAAGTAGTCATTCATGTAGTACTAATGGCACAGCCAATCTACCAGTTTGCAAGCCGGTGGTATTCTCGTAGGAACGGCTCTCAGGAAGTAAGAACGAGGAACCTGTATTATTAGTTGTAGAACGCTGCATGCCGTAAGGGCGGCTGGGACGCGTTGGTGAAAAGTGCCTCTGTGCTCTGGGCACTTAATCAACAACGCGGAGCAGATGTTGAGAGGACAATATGACGTTGAATCGCCGTTTTTTTTGCCGCTGTTGAGTCCCCAGAAACTGTGCCTCTTCAGTCACTGCACGATCTCTTCTTCTTTCGTCTACGACTCAGCCCTCTTATCGTCGTCGATGTGGTCTAGTTCGTACTGGCTGGTGAGTTGGAGACCTTTGTCCATATTCGGCGAAGAGCATAGCGCAGTAAAGGAACTATTGTGTGCACCTCGTCTAATGCAATATTTGTCGTCCCAGATGATGACCCTGGGGTATAGCTGAGCACAGACTATTACTCTCTGCACGGAGCGAGGACAGTCCGGTCACATTATCACAGGCACCGGCACCGCCTACGACACCTAGCTTTTCTTCACTGCGGCAGTGTTCTGAAGGACGACTGGCAGGCCGGCTCCTGCTGTTTCCATTATAAGCGCTTATAAAAACGATAGGCGAGACTGTAAGACGAAGATGCAGCATGGTGTTTCTGAGTTTCGGCCTCGGTGGCCCCTCTTCAGCTGTACTGTGTCGCTGTGTCCAGCACAAGCCTTTTCTACGAACAATGGAGCACCAGGGCTTAGCCTCTAAGCTGTTCCCCTAATGCGTCGCTGGTGTCTCCACAAACGGCGGCGGCCCGGCCCCGAGACGCTATCCTTCAGGGCCTTTTCCTTTCTGCAAGTGCGACGGCGGCAAGTGGATGAGTCGGATTTGCGGTGTCCAAAGTGGACCATCACAGCCGCCTTCGTATTACCCTCTCAACACTTGTTCCGCCTGGCATACCTTCTTCTCCAAATTCTCTCTCTCGAGTTCTCGATCGTCGCCAATTCCCTGTCAGAAATCACAGAAAAGAAAGGCAGCAGCAGGCGAACAATGTCCTCGAGAAATTTGCTGCCCATTGGCCACCTGCATAGCAGTCACCTTGACGTCGTGCGCAACGCTCTTGCAAACATCCTCAGCAGCCAGGTGGCGCAGACAACGTACGGTCAAATCCTCGATGGGTTGCCACTAGCGAGCGCGGCGATGGATGTGTATGATGGTGAGATGATATGCGTTGGGCATCCACTGGTTGACGAGCACGTTGCGCTCTCGCCTACGGTGCTCTCGAAGATCGACGAACTCCGCGCGAGCGTGCCCATCGACACATTTCAAGTAGACGCCTCGGTAGGTCACGAGTGCATGTGCCAGATACTTCTCTATGTCTTTCTCTGCTAACGACAGGCCCTAGACGGTTCTTGACTTCCAGGCGGCCCGTCCTGGATCCCAGGCGTTCCAAGCACGTCTCGTCGAGCTGGTCGCCCGTGTGATACATGCCATTGCCGTCTGGATCTACACCAACCATAGTCCGCTGCGCCCAAAGGACGACCGGCTCATGGCATGGAGGCCAGAAAAGGGCGATCTGGACTGGGCCTACCGCAAGGGCTATCCACCGACCTTGTTCGTCCACCCCTGGTACACGGCGTACGACCAGTATCCCGATGGCGTGGCGGACGGCGTGGGCTACTGGGCCGAGGACCGGATCTTCGGCGGTGTGGTCTTGTTTGACCGGCGTGGGCCAGACGCGCCGGACACCATCTATGAGGACTCGCCCGTGTCCAAGGCGGTTCACCTGCCCAAGCAGCTGGATGCCGTCTATTTTCACACAAACGCCGACGGCGTGACATATCGCATCTACCGTCTTCGCACCGATCAGAGGCAGCGGCTTTTGCACTTTCTCCTGTCGCCCGCCGACGCCACCGCCTCCTCCACGTCCTGTCCACTGCCGATTCGCGGGGACGACGACAACCGTGTGCGCATCGACCCGGAAGAGCCCATGAACGAGACGGGCATCTACCGAGACCTGTGGGAGCGCAAACCGCTCGGCGACGGCGATGACGATTGCCGTTCGCGCGACGTGGTCGACACGTTCAACTTCCTTTCCGAGGAGGACTATCAAGCAGCCATGCGCCGTTATATGCATATGAAAGACAGGCGCGACGAGGCGTATTATCGCCAACATCCAGAGTTGGATCCGCGACGTAAGCCAATCAATCGTAACACGGTATGACTTAGCAACTAGAACAAGTCAATTCGAGGGGTGGCCTCTACTTTTTGCAGCCTTATCGTCGTGTCCCAGTTTACAAAAAGAACGTCACACAAAAGAATGTATTCCCCAATCTTCTCCAAAAGATGTTCTCCTTTGTTTCCCACACTATTTTTTGTATATACAAAAGTGAGCCGTGAAAAAGACACACGCTTCACTGTTTTCGTAGCGATCTACGCTAATAACATAAACACAACACTCTCTCAGTCATCGTCGGGGTTCCGCTGTCCACGTATTATCGCCATCTACTGCTGGCACGCGTTGCCAGTGCCAGTGGTCTTCTTGCCAGCGTGGTGGCGCTTGGCAACAGCCGCCGCCGCGTGGCAGGCAGCCAGCTCGGCTGCGTTGGCAGCATCGGCCGCGTTGTTGTTGTTGTTGTTGTTGTTGTTGGTCTTTTGGCCAGCGTGGTGACGACGGGCAATGGCAGCACAGGCGTCAGCTGTGGTCGGCGGGCAGCCCGTGGCGGCATTGTTGTTGGCAGCGTTGTTGGCAGCGTTACCAGCGTTGTTACCAGCGTTGTTGTGACCAGCGTTGTTGTTGCCAGTGTTGGTCTTCTGGCCGGCGTGGTGGCGCTTGGTGACCTCGGCAAAGTGGCGCTTGGCAACAGCGTTGGCAGTAGCCTGGCAAGCAGCGACAGCAGCAGACTCCGCCTCGTCGGCAGTGGTGGCCGTGGCGGCATTGTTAGCAGCGTTGTTGCCGTTGTTGCCGTTGTTGCCGTTGTTACCCGACGTCTTCTTGTCGGCGTGGTGGCGGCGAGCCAGAGCACCGACCTGAGCGCACTCGGAAGCGACCGCAGCCGACTCGGATGCGCAGGCAGCGGCAGCATTGTTGGCGGCTGCAGCCTGCGTGGCAGCCGGCGTGGTCTTCTTGCCAGCGTGGTGACGCTTGGCGACAGCATCGGCGGTGGCCTGGCAGGCAGCCAGAGACGAGGCAGCGGCGACGACGTTGCCCGCAGCCGCCGAAGTAGCAGCGGCATCCGCAGCGGCAGTGTCGGAGGCAGCAGCTGCGTCGGCAGCGGCCGTGGTGGTGTGCGTGGTCTTCTTACCAGCGTGGTGGCGCTTCTCCATCTCGTCCAGGTGGCGCTTGGCGACAGCCTGCACAGACGCCTGGCAAGCAGCAACGGCAGCGGCCTCGGCCTCGTCGGCCGTGGTCGCGGTAGCCGCATTGTTAGCAGCGTTGTTGTTGTTGTTGCTGTTGTTGCCAGTCTTCTTGCCGGCGTGGTGACGGCGGGCAATGGCACCAGCCTGAGCACAGTCAGCAGCAACAGCGGCCGAGGCCGAGGCGCAGGCAGCGTCAGCGGCAGCGGTGGCCGTGTGAGTCGTCTTCTTGCCGGCGTGATGGCGTCTGGCGACAGCAGCGCTCGCCTCGCAGGCAGCCAGCGTGGAAGCAGCGGCATTGACGTTGGCGGCGGCGGCAGCTGATGTAGTGGCGGTCGTCTTCTTGCCCGCATGGTGGCGGGGCTCAACGGCAATGGCCACCGCGGAGGTGGCCAGAGTCAGGACGGCGAAGAACTTCATTGTGGCGGTGAAAGAGCGTGTGAAGGACAAATAAAAAAAAATAAACGAAAAGGAATGACAAGAAAAGAGTAAACACAAAATGGCCAATCAAGGATGGAGTACGAAGAAATAAATAAAATCAGGACCTGCCAGAGGGATGTAAGAAGAAAATTGTGTGGAAAAAAGAAAGAACAAAAGGAGAAAAGAATTGTGTGTGTGAGAGAAGGTGAAGAAAGAAGAGATGAAAAATCAAAACGAAAGGCAATGCAAAAGACGAGATAGTGGTGGTGTTTTATATATACCAACTAGGTATTTCAAGAGGAATCAAAACGGATGCAAGAGCACCAAAGCCCAGCTTCCAGTGTGCAAGGGCATCCATCCCCTTGGCCCCCTGTCCAGCGACAAGCTTTTGCCTGGAGACACCGATCTTCCTCTTGTGCCAAAAAGTCAAAAAGTCATTGAAGCCAAGACATGTCTATTCTCGTACCGGGGTCGGCGGCGGGACTCCGTTCTGGTTATGCCCCATGCCTGTTTCTTATGTTCCACATGGGCATGAGACGAACAGAGAGCCAGCCAGCGTTTGGGCCCGTGTCGTATGGATCTCCTTTCTCCTCTCCCCTCTCCGCACAGAGTTGCACTTTTCAGTGATGCAATACGGAGAAGTCGAGGGATAGAAGCATAGGTAAGCAGTCGTCTCAACAACTTGGAGATGTACCTCGTATGCTGCGAGGACGAGTCGTTCGTTGGACCCTTGTGAATGATGGATTATGCCGCAAAATCTGTTTGCTTGCAGTAGAAGGTTCAAGTTTCATGTCGGCAGGGGACTTTCTCTGCAGTGCCATAAAACCACAACTATAAACAAAGAGTGAAGACAAGAAAACCGGGGAAGGCAATGGCAGCAAACAGCAGCGGCAAGGAGAGCCGAGCTGGCAGTTTGCATAAACGAGCGACAAGCGACGCGCCCATCCGCGAGCATCAACCAGTGCATCAGCGCCCAAACGACGTGCAGCCAAGGCCCATCACTGATGAGCACAGCCGCTCATCACCCATCGCCCGTCGTCGTCTGGGACGCGCCGTCGATCTCGATAGGGGCAAACAAAGGTGTGTGCGAGTTTCGGGTCACAGAGTCATGACTCTGTGTTTTGCATTTGCTTTGGCGCGCAGTCCGTTCCGCCACCGACCAGGTCAATGGAAACGCACCTTTTGGGGCTTCACTGTCTTCTGTCTTCTGTCTTCCTGTCTTCCTGCCTTCTGTGCGTCCCTCTGCGTCTCCAGTGTCGTGGAGGCGCTGCGTCGTATTGAGGTGGCCGTAGCGAGTTTGACGGGTTTGAAGTCGTGTTTTGTCTTGGCCCTTGTTTTGTGGATGTTTTGTGGGGTATTCATATGGCACCTGTCGGGGTTAGGGTTGTTGGCGAGCAATGGCAGGTACGACTGGGTGCGGGCAGTGCTTGAGCCTCCTGAGGCTCGTCCCAAATAGGGGTTCCATGAGCCTCTCTTCGGGCTGGTCTCCCCTACTTGACCCCTGACTTAAACACTCCGAAACATCAGCCCAAACTTGCCGCGACACAACCTGGCGACCACCTGGGTCTGCAGGCCTCCGCAGTCGATGGCCGACTGTCGAGGGGGCAGTAATGAAAGTACGACGACAGCATTGATGAGGAAAATGCGGACTGCAAACCGATCATAGAAGTTGTACGAAACGTGTGGATTGCCTAGGACGTATGAGTTCCAATGACCATCGAGTCTTCAAAGTCGTCAAACATCGACCAGGAAGTCAGCCAAGGCTCGTGTCCGAGCATGACGATCGTCAACAAGGTACGATGGGGGGATCGTAGGGATCGTTCAGACCGAAGAGTTGACAACTGGCCAGAAACGTTGCGGTTGTGAAAAACCTGCACAGGGGAAACTCTACGCGCCGCATGACTCTCGTTGACAGGCCGTCATGAAACAGTCGGAGTTGCACTGTCTAGAAGCGACATTGGGGATCGTGAGGACAGAAAAGTGAAGAACAATCAAGAAAGGAAGTGTAATAAATGACAATGTGAAAAATACAAGGCAAGAAGAATGAACGAAAATTAAAAAGGAAAACAATAGTAATTACTATTATAATAGAATTAAAGAGAAAATAGCTTATGACAACTGGATTAAATCAAAATAAAAATTGGTGTGCCCAATTATGCATTTTTGACATGCTTTCACTCGCCTCTGCCATTTGACTCTTTGGCCCTTTGGCCGGCCCCTTCCTTATTGCCATATGACTTGTAAAGAAGACCTTGTCTCAGAGGTTGTAAAAGCTTGTCGTCCAGATTCTCCATCTATTTTCGTGCAAGCTGGGTTCCCTGCTCTCGAGTCCCTGTGATGTTGTGAGTTGTGATTCGGTGCTGATTTTCTGTCGCTCATAGATGGTAAACGGGTCTTTGGCCAAAAACACAGGACACTGGTAGACGGATCCGTGGATCGATGCCCCCTGGACAGTCAACAGGTGTCCACGCCCCTGCTTGCTTTCATTTTGTCCCTGCAATCTCGTGTGCCGTTTTCAGAACCTGTTTTGGGTCATGCCCGAACCGCCCCAGAAACAGCCCGTCCACGGTCCCGCCCAGCTGTGCAAACAACCCGGGCCCGGCACTGCCGCCGTACAAGATGCGCGTCCGTGCTGCACCGCGCCGCCGGATGGCCGGGCTGTGGTCGCGGATGGCCGACACGACGGCGCGCACATACGCGGCGCTCGCCGGCTGGGCAGCGCCAATGGCCCACACGGGCTCGTAGGCCAGCAGCACCTCGGCGTCGTCGGGCACGCTGTCGAGGACCGGCGCGATCTGAGCGATGACCGTCGCCGCAGCCACGGCGGCCGACGCCTCCACCTCGCCGTCGGCCCGCGTCAGCTCGCCCACGCACACCAGCGGGACCAGCCCGTTGCGCGCCGCCGCCCGGGCCTTTGCGGCGGTCGTGGCGTCCGTCTCGCCCAGCAGCCGGCGGCGCTCGGCATGGCCGACTTCGACCAAGCGAGCACCGCAGTCGGCCAGCACGGCCGGCGACACGAACCCGGTGAAGGCGCCGTAGTCTTCGTCGGCGCAGTCCTGGGCGCCCGGCAGCAGGGGGACGCTGGAGGCACGGACCTGCTCGACGACCGACGGCAGCGCAATGGCGTCTGGGCAGACAAAGACGTCCATCGTGTCGACAATGGCCTTGTTCTCGTCCGCAGCAAGCAGTGTCAGCAGCTCGTCGACGTAGCTGCGGGTGCGTGCGAGGGTAAAGTACATCTTGGTCGACACGCCCATTATGGGCCGGCGGGCGTCGGGGACGGCGGAAGCCATTGTGTCGTGTGGTGCAGTTGGCAGTTGTGCAGTGGGGCTTGTCAAATAAAAATAAAAGCAAAAAAAAAATGAAAGTTTGAGACAGGAAAGAAAGGTGACTGTCAGTTGGTCGTCCTTTCCGTTGACTGAACTTGTTCCTGACGAGGGTGTTAACCGTCAGTCGTAGCTTCACCGTTGGCCTCTCACCCAGACCCAATTGACTCCATACGGAAGGTGCGTCCAGCGGTCTGTTAAGTCCCTTTTTCGCTAAACGAAGGGAGTAGTGCAAGAGCTAGTATTTCGTACAACCCACTTGGCAAAGTCGCAGCTTCCTCTGTTTTCGTTTCTTTTTTAAAATAACTAATACTAGTAAATGAATACGTCAAAGTAGTGGACCTCACCGGAGAACCAAAAAGGGCAAATCTCTCTTGATCACGGCAGCTCGACGATGACTCAAGAATGGCGCATGTGTAACACGCCTACGTTTCTCTGAACATCTTCGGCGTATCAAAATTACGGATCACTTTCTGAAACTATTGCTGTATTTTCTATGTGCTCGTTTTCATGCCAAGTTGGCAACCGTTATTATGATAACTCTTAATCTTGCGGGCCACAGCCACCGCCCCTTAGCAGCCATCTGCTGCCGTCGCCGTCTCCGTGGGGCCGACGCCAATGCCGCCCGCTGCCGTCTCGTACTCGCCGATGGCCTTCACCTTGGCCGCGCTCGCGCTCGTCTCGTCAAAGACGTAGCCCAGCCACTCGCGCGCCAGCCGCCGCGCCAGCTCCAGACCAATCACGCGCTCGCCCATGCACAGCACCTGCGCGTTGTTGGAGAGCACGGCGCGCTCGACCGAGAAGGAGTCGTGGGCGGTGACGGCGCGCACGCCGCGGATCTTGTTGGCGGAGATGGCGACGCCGAGGCCAGTGCCGCAGATCAGGACGGCACGGTCGACCTCGCCGGAGGCGACGAGCTTGGCGGCGCGGACGGCGATGTGGGGGTAGGCGGTCTTGTCCTCTTTGCCGTCGGAGCCGACGTCGACGACAGAGGCAACGCGGCTGTCCTTGGCAAAATCGGCCTTGATGGCCTCCTTGTAGCTGACACCGGCGTCCTAGAAGGTGATGGAGGGTTAGTCGAGTTCAACGCAAAGCGGGACAAGGAGGACGGGAGTGCCTACATCGCAGCCGATGGCGATGCGCCATGATGGTTGTGAGGCCGCCATTGTGTGTAGTGGTTGTGAGGGAGGAACGGTAGGTGAGGTCGTGGAGAATACCGTGGAGAGTGTCGAGTAGTGGTGTGAAAGCAAGGTGAAGTGAGCAATGTCGACGAGTTCGCAAGGTGAGAATATGGACGAGTCCAGAAAAGAACAACAACGCAGCGTACGGAAATTATTCAAGGAGGCTTCAATGGGTTCAATGGTTGGTGATCAACGCCACCAAGGAGCAAACAACAGCGTTCCGCCCGGACTCCAGCAATTCGTACCTGGTACTGCATTAGCAAAACGCTACTTCATAGACAAAGCTACAGCAACCAAAGTGACGCAACGAGCGGCACAGGTGGGTGGGCATACGGGTGGAGGAGGTGGGCAGGCAAAGACTGGACTGGAACATGAAGGAAGAAAGCACCGGTCAGCGGAGACATCTGCCGTCCACGAGGGGCGAGCATTGGTGAGGAGCCCTCTATGTTCCTCTACCTAATATTACTTGCTTCCATATCTATTATTAACGTTAACTCATGGATGTCTCTTGGAGCTGTTTGTTTTATTCCAAATTTGGGGCAGCCGTACTGAGGATCGGTTGTTTGCAGCACACTTTCCTTTGAATTTTTTGTTTTATTTTCACATTTTATTTCGCGACGGCTGCCTCACTCTGTCTTCCCGTGCCTCCCTCCTTCATCGGCGCTTCATTCATTTCATCAGAGCGCATTCACACGGCATGCCATAGCTAAGATACATCGGCGGATTCGCCGAGCGGCAAAGTCACTACTACGACTGGTGTAAGTGGAGGCCATTCTGTATTCTGTATTCTGTATTTGTATTCTGTATTCTCCGCTGAAAGGCAAATACCTCCTCTGGCCAGGTTTTACAGCAATGTCCTCAGCACTTCCCCCCGTTCTTGATTTTACTTGCGCCTCCACTCACTTATTTTGCCTATTTTGCCTCTGGCGGCCAACTGTGGAGGTGGAGATAGAAGGCCTCGAAGGCCCAGAGTCAGGGTTGCCTAATCAGGTAATCCGAAACCCCCCCCCCCCCAAGTGCTCCCTCCTTGTCCCCAGAGCATCTCCTGTCTAGCGGGGAAGGGCCCACTAACAAACCTCGGATCAACTGTCTACACTACTGTCTAGCGCTTGTAATAGTCGCCTGTCCTCCGAGATTTCGGACTCCAACAACCCGAGCGTAGGCCTTGGAGGAATTGGTTTCCCCCGCTTTTCCCACTTACACGGTCCAACGACAGGCACGCGCGCTACACCTTTGCGGCCGTCTTGACGTCTTTGGTTCCGCCAAAAGGCATGACATTTGGCTACTGAGTATGCAACACAATTACACTGGGGGGACGAGTACAGAGTACACAGTACAAGCATCATTCCAACTCTGACAGCCAAGAAATGACCCGCATGTATATGAGGGGAGAATAAAAAAAGAGGAAATCAGTGAGGGATGGTTACAGATTACACAGCAGCGGGGAATAAGTGACGGAAAAGATGGACGGAGGGGAAGAAGAAAAGGAGGAAGTAAAAGAAACATACGGAAGTGGAGGTACCTGTTATGATCGTGGGGCAGAACAAACTGAGGACAGGTCTCGACCTGGAGCTCCTGTGGGTCAGTGGGCGTCGCTGACGACAGTGGACTACTGCTTTGGGAAAGAGAACAAGAGACGTAAGAAGCTCGAGAAGAGACGCGGAGAGCAATTTGGAGGAAGCCGTTGACAAGGTCAAGGCGAGGCAAAGTAATGTGAAGGAGGAGCAAGACTGCCGATAAGTCTCAGCTTGCCACGACACGGGAGCTGTTCTTCGTCCGTTGCCGTTATCTGTTTCTTCCCAGTCACCTAATCATTATCTTCTTCTTCTTGCCGCTTCTCATTTCTGTTGCTCCTGATTGCCTTCTTCTTGATCTTCTTGTCTATTTTGTCTTTCTACCCTTTTCTCCCACGGCGAGCTTTCCACCGCTGCCTCTAGGCTCCTTTCCTTTCTTTTGTCCTTCACATCCTCACATCCTCACTCCCCACCATGTCGACAGCTCACCTCTTCAACTCCGCCGACGGCCTCGTCGTCAAGGCCCTGCGCGGCCTCGTCGCCTACAACCCCAACCTCGCCCTCGATGCCGACCTCCGCGTCGTCTACGACACCGCCTACGACCGCTCCAAGGTGGCCATCATCTCCGGCGGCGGCTCCGGCCACGAGCCCGCCTGGGCCGGCTATGTCGGCACCAACATGCTGGCCGCCGCCGCGTGCGGCGACATCTTCGCGTCGCCCTCCACCCGGCAGATCCTGTCGGCCGTCAACCGCGTGCCCTCCGACGCCGGCACCATCCTCGTCATCACCAACTACACGGGCGACTGTCTGCACTTTGGCCTGGCCGCCGAAAAGGCCAACGCGTCAGGGCAGCACACGTGCCGCATGATTGTCTGCGGCGACGACGTGTCCGTGGGCCGCGGCGGCGGGCGCCTGGTGGGCCGGCGCGGGCTGGCGGGCCAGATTGCCGTCCTCAAGATTATGGGCGCCGCCTCCGCCACGGCCGCGCACGCGAGCCTCGACGACGTGTACGGGCTGGGCCAGGCGGTGGCCAAGCAGCTCGTGAGCATCGCGGCGACGCTCGACCACTGCCACGTGCCGGGCCGCACGGAGCACGGCGCGCTGGCGGCCGACGAGATCGAGATCGGCACCGGCCCGCACAACGAGCCAGGCTACCGCACGCTGCAGCCGGCGCCGTCGGCCGAGGACCTCGTCGCCAACTTGCTCAGGCACTGCCTGGACGAGACAGACGCCGAGCGCGCGTACGTGCACTTTGCCACGGCGACCGAGGAGGGCACGACAAGCGACGAGGTCGTGCTGCTGGTCAGCAACTTTGGCGGCATGTCGCAGCTTGAGCTCAGCGCCCTCGTCGACGAGCTGCTCGTGCAGCTGCAGCGCGACTGGGCCATTGTGCCCGTGCGCGTCTACGCCGGCAGCCTCGAGACGTCGCTCAACGCGCCCGCCTTTTCCGTCTCGCTGCTCAACCTGACGGCCGCCGCCGCCGACCCCCAGAACCCGTACAGCGTCGACGCGCTCAAGAGCTTCTTGGACACCCGCACGAGCACCTACTGGGAGTCGTTTGCCGGCGCCCAGGCCCAGCGCCGGCCGCGTGCCGAGCAGTTTGTCCCGTCGCTCGATGACGACGAACACAAGGAAAGCAGCACAGTCCACGGCGGCGGCGGCGACCTGCCCGTCGATGCCGCGCGTCTGGAGCGGGCACTGCGGCGCGCGTGCCGCGATCTCGCCGCCGCCGAGCCCGACCTGACGCGCTGGGACACGGTCATGGGCGACGGCGACTGCGGCGAGACGCTCAAGACGGGTGCGCTGGCGCTCCTGGCAGCCGTGGACGGTGTCGACGGCGCCGCGCCGCTCGCCCAGGCCGGCTCGTCCGTGGCCGTGCTGCGCGCGCTCGAGCACATTGTCGAGACAAAGATGGGCGGCACGCTCGGCGGCATCCTGGGCATTTTCCTGGTGTCGCTGTGTGCCGCCGTCGAGAAGGCCGCCAGCGACAGCGTCAAGGACACCGAGGTCTGGGGCCACGCGCTGACGACGGCCATCGACCACCTCGGCCACTACACCCCCGCCAAGGTCGGCGACCGCACCGTCATGGACACGCTGATCCCCTTTGCCCAGACCATTGGCCAGGGCGGCTTCGCGGCAGGCGTGGCGGCTGCCGAGAAGGGCGCCGAGAGCACGCGCAAGCTGACGCCCAAGCTGGGACGCGCGACGTATGTCGGCGCAGGCAAGGACGCCAGCAGCGATCTGCCGCCGGACCCGGGCGCATGGGGCATCATGGTGGCCATCAAGGGGCTGTATGACGGGTGGCAAGGCGAGGCGTGAGCCGGGGTGCAGAAAAGAGTGTCAATTGCAAACATTTCATTCGGAGTATGGGCGGCATATTTTGTTAGTGTCTTTACAGTTGTTTACTTAGGAATGCGAATGCGCTGCGCTGATTTCTCCTTGCAATTTCCATGCCATTGTAGTATTTTCATTTGCTCGCTCCTGTCTTCCGTAGCCCGCGCGCCTGCTTCGTCACTTGCCCGCCTTGCCCTTGCTGCCAAACCACTGCATGTAGACCTCAATCGCCTCCTGCATCCGCTTCGTGCCGGCCTCGATGACGCTCGTCAGCGGCCGCCCGCGCATCTCCTCCTGCACCGCCGCGTAGTGGTTGTTCATGCCCTTGTTGATGTTGATCTTGGTGACGCCCGCGTCGATGCACCGCCGGAAGATGGCCTCGTCAAAGGGGTCGGCGCCGTGCAGCACCAGCCGCACGCGGTCGCCCACGGCCTTGTTGATCGAGTCGAGGCGGTCGTACTCGAGCTGGATGCCCCGCGGGCCGTACTCGCCGTGCACATTGCCAAACGCCGGCGCCAGCATCTCGATGCCCGTCGCCACAAACTCTTCGGCCTGCTCGGGCGTCGTGAGCACCGCCTCCAAGTCGACCGTCTCCGCCACACCGTCCTCGCCGCCCTCGATGCGGCCCGGCTCCGCCTCCGTGGCAATGCCGCGCGCGTGGCAGTACGCCACCAGCTCCTTGGTGAGCCGCAGGTTCTCTTCCTTTTCGTAGTGGCTCATGTCGCACATGATGCTGTCGAAGCCGTCTGGGATGTCGGCCGCGCGCCGCACGAGCTCGGGCGTCTGCGCGTGGTCCAGGTGCAGCGACACCGGCACGCTGGCGCTGTGGGCGGCCTCGGCGGCCGCCTTGACGAGCGCGTCGCCGGCATACTCAATGGCCCACGGGAAGAGCAGAACCATGGCCGGCGACCGCGCAGCCTCGGCGGCACGCACCGTGGCAATGACCGACTCCAGGTTGTAGCAGCACATGCCGGGCACGGCATATCCACCGTCGCGGGCGGCGTTGAGGATGGCCATGGTCCGGTTGTCTGACAGCGGAGGGCGCGTCATGGTGGCGAGTGGCACGATCGGTGGAGATGTAGTAGGGGTGTTTAGCGGTGGTGAGAATGAGTGTGAAGCTGTCGAGTGATCCAAGATGGATGAGATGATTTCTTCAAGTCAAGAAACGCCTCAAACGATCCCCTTCAGTGAAATCTTTCAAGTAAACAATAAAATACCCCGAGAGTCCCAAAGCGGCCTGCCGACCAGACGTCAGTTGTCCAGTCGAAGTACACAGTACTTTGAGAAGCGGGCAGGTGGTGATCTCCAACGCCCCCAGACAAGGAGAACCCCGTCGACCCAGTCTAACAAGTGCCGGCTAAATTGAAATGAAGAGAAGAATGGGGCGGCCCAGGCCCAGAATTGCGGCACAAATAGACGTAAAATAGACGTAAAATAGACAAAAATGGAGAATAGGAACAATTAAACAGTAAAACACGGCAAATGAGGGGTGCGGCGCCAGAGAGTTATGCTGCGGCGGTCAATGGCTGCCAAGAGCGAGGAAACGAGAAGAGGGTCGCGAGGGAGCTGTGTGAGGGTCTGGTGCGTTCTTTATCCGCAGGAAGCGTTCGCGGTAGATGATGTTGAGAAGAGCTTGAAGAGGGCAACAATTTTGGACGACGCTGCGAACGCCTCCAGACACGGCAGATTGGTCAATAGCGTATACGCGTGGGGGGACGTCGCCCGATCTCGGGGTGGACCTGCCCAGCTGTGCCGTGTGCACCTTCCGTGGACAGACACTTGCACGATCATTGCACTTCGGTTGGGGAAAGAGGGGCGGACTCCTCGGTTCAGTGCCGCCCGAGCGGAAAGAGCAACCAAGGGCCAAACACACGAATAGGGAAAGACGGGCGAAGCACAACGCAGAGGCAAAAGGGGCAGGAGCAGAGAATGCACATCGACACGAACATCCTTTTGAGCTTCATTCAACTCTGATCCACTTCACTTGCTCCGCGGTATTGAACCGGAGCCACGCAGAACACACCTCGGGCCTCTTTAAGGAGCTGAGCGGTATGCGCCTTGTCGAAAAGAGCTTTCGTCACACCAACCTGCGTTGAGAATCTGGTGACATTCCGTTGACATTCCTGTCTGTTTGGTCAGCCCAACTATTCCATCTCCTCTCACTTCTCACTTCTCACTTCTCACCTCTCACCTCTCACGTCACCGCACCCTTCCTCTTCCATCATGACGGCCAAACCGGATGTCGCCTTCATCGGCCTCGGTGCCATGGGCTTCGGCATGGCCACCCACCTGGTCAAGCAGGGGTATGCCGTGACGGGCTTCGACGTGTGGCAGCCAACACTCGACAAGTTTGCGGCCGCCGGCGGGCAAACTGCGACGACGCCGGCCGCGGCCGTGGCGGGAAAGAGTGTCTGCGTCTGCATGGTCGCGACGGCCCAGCAAGCACAGCAGGTCCTCGTCGAGGGCGAGGCCGCCGCCGCCGCTGCTCTGCCGCAAAACGCCGTCATTCTCCTCTGCTCGACGGTCCCGTGCGGCTACGTCCAGTCGCTCGCCGCCGCGCTGGCCGACCCACAGGGCCCGGTGCGCCGGCCGGACCTGCTGCTCGTCGACTGCCCCGTGTCGGGCGGCGCCGCCCGCGCGGCGGATGGCACGCTGTCCATTATGGCCGGCGCCTCGCCGGACGCCCTCGCCAACGCGGCCGGCCGCACCGTCCTGGCCGACCTCGCCGACCCAGCGCGTCTGTACTACCTCGTGGGCGGCGGCATCGGCGCCGGGAGCAACACCAAGATGGTCCACCAGGTGCTCGCGGCCAACCAGATCCTGTCGGGGCCCGAGGCCATGGGCCTGGCCGTGCGCCTCGGCCTTCCCGCCAACACGGCCACGCTCGAGGCGCTGCTCCAGTCGCCCGGCCGCAGCTGGATGTTTGGCCACCGCGGGCCGCGCATGGTCGACGGCTCCCAGCCGCTGGCGAGTGCCGTCAACATCATCGTCAAGGACACGGCCATCATCACGAGCGAGGCGCGCCGCGCGGCGTTCCCGGCGCTCATGACCAGCGTCGTCGAGAACGTCTTGTACACGGCCGTGAACCGGGGGTTCGGCGGCAAGGACGACTCGCAGCTGCTGCAGCTGTACACGGAGGGCGTGCCGCCGCCGACTGCAAACGCAGCGTCACCCGACGCCTCCCTGCGGCTCGTCACCCATCTGCTCAAGGGCATCCACCTCGTGTCGGCCGCCGAGTCGCTGGCGTTTGCGCACCACGTCGGCCTCGACCTCGACCTGGTGCTGGACCTGTGCATCAATGCCGCGGGCGGCAGCGCCATGCTCGAGACCCACGGCCCGGGCATTGTAGCCGTGCTGCGCAACGAGTCGGCACCACCACCCAAGGGCGACGCATCGGCGGCCACTGAGTCTCTCGGCGAAATTTACAACAATCTGGCCCAGGTCGTCGACGCCGCGCAGGCGATCAAGGCGCCGATCCACCTGGGTACGCAGGCACTCAACCTTCTGCGCCTCGCGCTGCGCAAGTCTGGTTCCGAGAGCGTGCCAGCCGCTGCCGCCGTGAACGTGTGGATAGGATAGGTAGAAGCTGTGATTTAATTCAATTTTTTTTTCTTTTTTGGTTTACAGTTGTCTTCAGTGGCACGGCTATGTATACAAAAAAAATAATGTGACAGCAAAGCTTTAAAAGCAGAACAGAAAGTGTGACAAGAGTGTGACGAGAGTGTGACAATTAAACGCGAAAAGAAACAAAGGAACATGCTGCTCTGCTATGCGCCCCGACTCATGCTCACCTACCACAGCTCGCACGTCGGCTCCTTCACCGGGCACTGGAAGGCCTCGCGGAACCCGCGCGAGTTGAGCAGCGTGCCCTTGATCCGGATCGGGTCTGGCGAGTGCTCGTCCGTCGTCACACGGTTCGTCAGCATCGCCGGCCGGAACTTGGAGCACCACGCGTTGCCGTACGAAATGTAAAACAGCTGCTCGTGCGTAAAGGCGTCCAGCCCGGGCAGCGACAGGCCGTCCACGCCGCTCGTGGCCGTGCCGTCTCGCTTGGCGGCCGCCCGCCGCATGTCCCACGCGAGGCGCGCCGCCGTCAGGCCGCCCGAGTCGGCAATGTTCTCGCCCAGCGTCTGGCGGCCCTTGATGTGGATGGGGCCGTCCTTGCCAATTACGGTAAAGTTGTTGAACTCGTCCACGATGCACTGCGCCTTGTCCGTAAACGCGTCAATCGTCGCGTTCGTCCACCAGTTGTTGTAGCGGCCGTGCAGGTCGTAGTGCCGCCCGTTGTTGTCAAACGCGTGCGACAGCTCGTGGCCCGCCACCGCGCCAAACGCGCCGTAGCTCACGTAGCTCGGCAGGTCGACGCTGAACAGCGGGAACTGCATAATGCCTGCGGGGAACACAATCTCGTTGTGCGGCGGGTTGTAGTACGCATTGACCGTCGACGCAAGCATGCCCCACTCGTTCATGTCCGTCGGCTTGCCCAGCGTCGCCCACATGCGCTGGTTGTCAAAGTCGTCCGACGACAGGATGTTGCCAAAGAACGAATCACCAATCTGCACCGCCTCGTAGTACGTCTTGAGGTCCTCGGGGTCCATGATGTTGGGCGACGCCGCCGGGTAGCCGACCTTTTGGTCAATGTTGTGCACCTTCTCCGCCGCCACTTTGCGCGTCTCGTCGTCCATCCATGCGAGGCTGTCAAAGTTCTGGAGGTACGCCGCCTTGATGTCCGAGATGATGCGGTTGCCAAAGCCCTTGGCCGCGGCCGAGAACGACGCCTCCACGAAGAAGCGGCTCAGGATCCAGCCCAGCGTTCCGCCGGCATGGCTGACGCAAGTCCGCCAGCGCTCGGGGTCGGCGTCGGCGTCCTTTCCCTGCAGGACGTTCTGGAACTGCCGCCACGGCCGTATCTCGGGGCCCAACACTGCGCTGCTGTAGTACACAATCAGGCGCCAGTACAAGAAGTTCTGCACGACCTCCGCCGGCGTCTCGGCCACAATCTGCGACACGTTGGCCAGCACCTCGGGGAACGCCGTGACCGTCATGTTCAGGGTGTAGTCAGTCGGCACGAGCTCTTTCAAGGCCTTTTCGAAGCCAAAGTTCGGAAGCAGCTTGGACGTGTCCTTGACCGACAGGAGGTTGTAGGTTTTCTAGAGAACGTTAGAAACGATGCATCATCCATGACTGCGGGAAACAAAATGCCGTCCTCCCACGTACCGTCACATCGTCCATGTCCTCCTTGTCGGGGGCAGCCTGCGACAGGCGCGACTCGAACGCCACGAGGGCCTTGGCCGCCTTGTCTGCAGGGCCAATCTTGGCCACGCTCGGCTTGATAGCGCCCAGCACTTTCGTCATGGCGCCCAGGTACTGGTCCACGACATCCTTGTCTTCAAAGTACTGCTTCGAGGGCAGTCCAAAGGAGCGAACGGGGCTCACGCCAATGATCTGCGTCTCTGGATCCTTGTCGTCGTCGCTAACATAGAAGCTGAAAAACGAGTTGATGCCACGCTTCTTGAGGAAGAGAACGGAGTCGCTGTAGTCGACGGGGGACGTCGACGAGCTGCCAAACGTCTTGGCCAGCTCGTCGATGAGGGCGACGATCGGCTGGATGCCCTGCTTCGTGATGGCGTCCACATCCATGCACGCATCGTATGCCGCCTTGAGCTCTTCGAAATTCTTGCGGTCGGTCGAGCTCACAGCAGCGTTGAGGTTGCTGGGCGAGAAGGTCGAGTGGCTAGAGGTGTCAGGATAGCTGCCCTCCAGAATGTTGCGGATGGTGGACGTCACGCCGTCGTTGATGAGGCCCAGCGCGTCCGTCATGCCCTGGTCGGCCCGCATGTCGTGCGCGCCACGCCAGCCACCACAGACAAACTCCTCAAAGTCGTCGCACGGGTCCATGTTCTTGTAGTTGGGCGACAAGTTGGTCAGGTAGCCGTCGGCGGCGTGGATGCAAGCCGGGGTGAGGCAAAGGCCCGTGGCCGCGCCTTTGTCGTGGCGTCGAGACAGAATCGTCGCCACCAGAACAAGGGCGATAATGAGAATGACGATCGCGATCCGCTGGATACCAAGCGCCGTCCAGGTAGATGTCACTGACCTGTAGCCCCGGCGGAAGCGGCCCTCCTCGACATCACCATTGGCAGTGTGGCCGTCGGGCGGGTTGTCCAGAAGCGGCGAGCTCTCGGACGGGCCGTTGTTGGTAGCTGGAGACGCCATGATGCAGTGTTGTCGAATTGGCGTCTTCCTCGAGGAACTTGGCCCTTGACCGACGAAGTCAACCCAGCTGTAGCTACAGGGAGAAGGCGGCCAGCAGCACCTGTGCAAGCAGTCAATGCAAAGACAAGTCGATAGTCGTGTATGGTGGTTTGACGCAAATCGCCGATGCAGAGCGTCGTAGATGATGAGGAGAGTTGAGAAGGAGAGAGGGGGAGAAGAGAGTCACGGCAAATAGCCAGGCCGTGCGGAAACGTCATCAGTGCAGCGACGATGGATTACAGTGCAATACGACATTGTAAACAAGCTTACCCCAGGCGGCAGGTGCCTGCGCTTAGGCAGGACACGTCGATCGCTGATTGGCGGCCGTGCAAGCTATGAGCTACTGTCCGCAGCGGTACTGATTTGTGGGGCCAGGCTGATTTGATCCGATCCATTTTGATCACGTGCAGCGTTCGCAAATGGTACTGTACGTAGGTAGCATCGAGACAAAAGCGAATCCAGGGCGAGCTCCTGTTCTCACTGGGCATTTTTAAGGCGACGAGAGATTTATGGGAAGTTCTTCACAAAGCATATCACAAGGCTACGACGCCTCTGTGTGGGCCCAAAGATAAAGCGGCAGCTCCACAGGCTCCTCAGAAGGACAGCCAAAGTGACTCAGTCTGACGTGAGAGGCATAATTGGGTCACAGAGATAAATACGGCAAGCAAAATGCATCTGGAGATCAGCAATCAATAAACGAAAGGCGCTTGAGGCGGAAACTGGATGCTTCTCGTCATGCAAGCCGTGATCACGATAGTGAGGTCATCCAGGTTCTTGTACCTAAAAGCGCTGTGGCCCGATAAGGCAGATAAGGTGATAGCCTGCATCTGCATTGTCAACTGGGGCAGCGAATCAGGCGCTCAGCGTAACTCAGCCGTGGCCAAGGGCTCCACCCAAGCCACGACGCTTTACCCACTCTCCCACTGCAGGCGGCCACACCTGAACCTATGACCGTTTCAGGTGACCTGCGCTTGCTGGGGCGGGGCGAGACCGTCTTACTGTATCGTATGCACCCGAAATGGGGAACGCCGTAGTGAATCTGTGCCTCGTTCTTTCCAAACCGCCTCTTTTGTGTCCCGTGTCGCTCTTTCCCTCTCTTTCCCTCTCTCTCTCTCATCTCCTTCTCAGCATCACCAACTTTCTCTCTCAACCACATCTGCAACGAGGGAACACAATCTGTCCCCAATTTGCTCAACACCGCCTGATTCCGTTGCCGTCGCATTTGCAGCGCGGCACGAGAGCGACAAAGAAGCGACCAACGCCAACTCGAAAGCGGCCAAGACACCCTCCCTTGCCGTCCAACAGGGCGCCCCGCGACAATACGTTGCCCAATTTGGCTCTATTCGGGTCCTGTCTTTGTAGTCTCCTTGAATGACAGAGGCCCGTCTCTTTTTCGTCTTATCCTGACCTGTTACTTTCTCTTCCTCTCGTCTCGCCGCCTCACCAGGTCCTCCTTTACTTGTCGCACCACCTACTCCACCGACCATGGCTTCCCGACATCTCATCCCCGTCCTTGTGGCAATGATGCTGCTCACGGGCGTCTGCAATACACTGTTGACAAAGTATCAGGTATGTCTGCCAGGACGATGTCCACGCGAGTCTTAAACCCCCGCCCCTACCCCTCGGGACGCCCGGCTAACAGATTCAACAGGACAACCAGTGTGTCCGCAACTGCGATGACCCGGATCCGAAGAAGCGCGCCTACTTTGAACAGCCCGTGCTCCAGACGGCACAGATGTTTGTGGGCGAGATGGGCTGCTGGCTCGTTGTCGGCCTCATGTCCCTGTACAGACGCTACCAGGAGCGGAGGAACGGTGGCTCGGCCACGACCGCTGCCGAGGGCGGCTACCAGGCCGTGGCGGCCGACGATACGGGTGCGGGCGATGCCGCGAGCATCCACTCCACGACGGCCCTCAACGGCAATGGGAACGGCAAGTTCTTGGCGACCCACGAGAACTCGGTTCTGCGCGGCTGCGGCATCCTGCTGCTGGCCCTGCCGTCCATCTGCGACATCCTCGGCACCACGGTCATGAACGCGGGGCTGCTCTTGGTGGCCGCTTCCATCTACCAAATGACCCGCGGCGCCCTCGTCTTGTTTGTCGGCCTGTTCAGTGTCATCTTTTTGCACCGCCACCTGCACGTCTTCCAGTGGCTGTCCCTGGTTGGCGTCGTCTTGGGTGTGGCGGTCGTTGGCCTCGCAGGCGCCATCTCGCCGGATACGACGACGGCTGGCTCCGACGATGCCGCCATGGTCTCCGCGACTGCCCTGGCCGACGTCGGCACGGACGCCCTGCGTGTGATCATTGGTGTGCTGCTCATTGCGGGCGCCCAGATCTTCACGGCGACCCAGTTTGTCCTCGAGGAGTGGATCCTCGAGCGCTCGACCATTGAGCCCATCCGCGTTGTCGGCTGGGAGGGCGTCTTCGGCTTCGGCGTCACCCTGCTCGGCATGGTCGTGCTGCACGTGACCATTGGCCGCACCGAGGCCGGCCAGTACGGCTACTTTGACATGGTCGAGGGCTGGCGCCAGATGACGTCGAACCCGCGCATCTTGGTCACGAGCGTCCTGATCATGTTCAGCATCGGCGGCTTCAACTTTTTCGGCCTGTCGGTGACGCGCAACGTCAGCGCCACGTCGCGGTCCACCATCGACACCTGCCGGACACTCTTTATCTGGCTCGTGTCGCTGGGCCTGGGCTGGGAGACGTTCAAGTGGCTGCAGGTCGTCGGCTTCATCATGCTGGTGTACTTCACCTTTGTCTTCAACGGTATCGTCAAGCCGCCGCTGAAGGTTCTGCAGCCGCCGCGCGTCGAGGAGCTGCTGCCGGAAGAGCCTGTCGAGCACATGTAATCCACGCATGGCTCTCTCTGCTATTGCTACCGCATTGTAGAATCCTTTCGCCATCGCTTTCTTACTCTTTTTGGTTATCGCGGCGTTGATCTATGGTATTGAGGAATGGTTGTTCTTTTACGTTGAAGCGTGTCATCTATGCACTTTAGGCGTTCTCTGGGATCTTCTTTTCGATTTATCAATGTCATCAACGTTTTTGTTTCAGTCTTGAACTTTCGTGATGTAGACTTGCGGTGCATGTTTTTTTGGTTATAGTTGGCCTTCGCTTTTCCAAAAGAAAAGTAAAACCAATTTCATAATGCCGGAAATGCAGTAAAAATCATCCTAAACTACAAAATATCTCGTTCAAATCATAATCGTAAAATCAAAACTCCTGCCACGGACGTGCTTCCACACGATCACTGCTCAGAATGTCCACTCGGATGCCCACATTCGGCAGCCGCCGCCCATTGCGTATCTCAACCACCACACGAAACCATGGTGTCGTCAGGTCTCGACCCTGGTACGGCGAGGCCCGACTGAGATTGACCTCTCCTGTTCGCAGGCCAGAGACCGGCATGTCCTGGAACTCGCCGCCGCCTGTCGCTACAATTACGTCGCCGCTGCGTCGGCCGCTTCCGGTGGCCATGCGCTCGATCGAGACACGCACAGCGGTCGTGCTCGCAGCAGCAGCAGCGGCAGCCGTGGCCGTGTAGACGGCGTGTGCACGCCGTTCAACGGCCTGGACGACAAGGCGCACGCGCGTATTGAGGCGCGTGTCGAGCACGGCCTGGCTTCGCAACTCGCCCTCATCTGCATCCCCAAGGCCGTGGTGGCCTCCGCCAGAGGTGCCGTCAAATGTCAGCATCAGCGGCTCAAGCGACGTCCGCAGCTTGCCCGAGTCCTCCGTTGGGATCGGCCGCAGCTCGATGGGCACAGCCGAGCCGACTCGTAGCGTGTATCGAGACAGTTGGGCGTGCTCGAACGTTGACACCACCACGGTGTACGTGCCGGCTTCGACGAGGCCGGACCCAAAACCTGCGCTCCCGCTTCCGTTGCCACTGCTTACGCTGCCGGACATTTGCGAAAGAGGAGACGATGCTGCCAGCCCAGATGCAGCAGAATAGGATGCCGTCCGTGGCGCTACGGCTGCCATGGCGCATCCCCGCTGGTATTCGCCGGACGACACGACGAGATCGCGCACTGCAAGCGACGCTACCCGTTCGCCTCGGGCCCATACTAGGTCAACGCGGACAGGGACATCGTCGGCCTCAGCACACAGGAGCAGGCTGAGAGGAGTAGCCTTTGGTACGGTAAGTGCGTATTGTGGGTTTTGCACAAAGTCTGGCGACGCTGCACTGCCGCCAGCCGTCGCCCTCGACCACTCGTCGGATACTTCGTACTGGTTGGCTAGCATCTCGACCGCTGGCTCAACCTTCAGCGATGCAGAAGAGAAAAATGACAGAGTAAATGAGTAGCTAGGGAGTGGCAGGCCGGATTGGGCCACAACGATCGTGTAAGGAAGCGACTTGCGCGCCTCGAAACATACCAATGTCTGCGGGGAGTCTACCAATGGCGCACGGTTGATCCACCGAGGACGGTCCGCCAGCTGGACTCTCTTGCCATCGGCAGAGTACACATATAGCGAAATAAACCCGACCTGGCTGGACGACGTTGGGCCGGATTCAGAAGTAGGAGGAGCGTCCGATGGCGTGCTTCCTCGATTGCCCAAGAACGCGGACACGGATCGTTTTTTCCTGCGGACGATATCGAGTTCAGCGTCCTGGAAGTGGCGGTTCAGCAAAATCCAAACGGTACCGTCAGCGTCTGGCGCCATAGCGTATTGGGGATTGGATGCAAACGAGTGGGCCATTGCCTTGGTGGGAAGGGTCCAGCTGAAATGGTGGTCCTGGCGGTGGTTGAACAGTGACGGGTTCCAATTCAAATAAAGAGACTCATAGTACTGAATGACGTCTTCGAAGCCTATCCAAAAGGTTCCCGTCGTCGATGGACTGGTTGCGGAAGAAACAGAAACCAGACCCCTTCCACGCCAGACAAGATTGTCACACCAGGGATTCTTGACCAGCATCCGGCGAACGCCGTCACTATCAACGTCCAGGCCAAGGACAGCATAGTCATGCTCTCCGGCCAAGCCAAGCAGTGTTTCCTCTTCCGAAGAGAGCCGGCCTGTGCCAAGGGTGACCATGACGTCGCCGCGTGCAAATGCGTCTTTAACACGCGTCCAGACTTGGTCCAGATCTGATTCGTTGCTCTGAATAAAGACTTGCTCCGGGATCCACCCGGTGAGAACCCAAAGGTCGGTGCCGGAGTTGCTTCCAGGAAAATCATAGCCTCCGTGCACCTTGAGATACGCCTTTTCGAGGAGAGCAGGCCACAACAGTAGTGGGTTTCGGCGGTCGACGACAAACAGGGCACGTGAATCCGACGACGGCAGCCTATCGTCAACAACGACCTTGCGAAAAGCTCCGTTGAAATGCATTCGGAATATGTATTTGCCGTTCTCGGAGACTACTGGCTGGCCGTTGTCGTGGTCGAACGGGCTCATTATTGATGCAAGTAGTGCAGACGGGCCGCCATGGTCGTCGGCATACTTTGTCATGGCACATAGACTCGCGACGACTGAGCAGTCGGTCGTGATGTCCTGTACGAGGTCAGGCTCATCTTTGGCGAGCATAAATCGATCTGTTACTAGTGTGTCGTCCGCTTTGCCCTCCGCCGCTGCAGGCTCCGAAAATAGCTGGACTGGTCGCTTCCAGCCGGTGAATATCTCGTTTTGCTGAGATGACATAGAGAAGGTAGTGTTGTCCCTGGCGGTATCAAAAGAATGTTAGCTGGCAGCTACACGCTGTCACTGCTGTTCGTACCAAATACGTACTCGTAGAGAACGTCGGCAGACGACGCCAGCTTGAAGGTGTCGTTGCTGGGTGCCGCATCCCATGGAGGGAAGACGGATCCATGGAGCTTGGATGCCCTCAAGAGAACAATCTGTTCGCGTTTTGGAAGGTCTCTGGTGGAAATAGGCGCAGTCCGGCCGGAGGCACCTATACTGCGGCCTGGAACCAGACTTGCGGTTGTCTTCGCAGTGGTGTCGATGCTTGACGAAGCCTGTGCCGGCGTTTGTGGCTGTGGCTCCGGCGGGGACGTAGGATTCGGATTTTCCGGCTTGGACTCCAACGACAAAGAAGACAAGGTGGCTTCCACTGGAGCTGCCTGCGCGGTCTTTAGGCTTTCGCCATAGGCCATCAACTCTCGGCATTTCTTCTTAAGCCGTGTCCGCGCGGCCGGAGTGGAAGCCTCCTGGACGGCCTTCATATACAGCTCGACGGCCGCAATAACGTGTAAGACCGCGTCCTTGCCCGATGACTGGCTGATCAGAGCCTCCTCTTCCTGTGCTTTTGCCTCCATTGGTAGACTGCTTCAATGTAGTGACAGAGGGCCAGTTGTGCAGGCGATACGATCAGAGGGTCACTTGTATTGCACGGCCAAGCATGATGGCCACGCATCAACACAATAGAAACATTGGCCCTGGCGGGCTGAGCGGTAAGGCTGTGTCGAGTGTCGTGACAGTGCTGAGAACGGCCCAATTGGCAACACAGTATCTCAATCTCATTGGACATGTGCGACAACCGTCCCGTGGCTGAGCGAGCGCAAGAACCGTCTGGGCTGCATTAGCTTAAGGTTGGCCATTGCATGGGGGAGCGGCATGTTGACGATGAGGGGCTTGGAAGAAGCGACAGTTTGGGGACTGGAGAGGTGTTGGGATGAAAGGAAACATCACGAGAAGCTACTTGGGCTTCATCCACGATCCTTCCCAATTGGGATGCTTACACAAAGGGCCTGATAGGGGACGAGATTGGCAGTAGCCGGTAAACGCACCTTCCTGCAATGGCTCCGTTCACAAAACAAGGAAGCAGGCGACAACGCCACGAGGCCACCAGACAGGAGCGATGGCCACAGTGACGGAATTAGCCAGTATTATTTCGTACTTCGGCAAGAACGAGCTGTGTGCTTTTCCCCGACTGCTTCGCGGCCACTCCAAACGTACTCCAGAGAGCGATAGCGCTCCACTTTACTGTCAAAAAGCTCGGCATTTGTGGACACATTGGGTCGCAGGCTCCTATAGGGCGTCCTCCTGTTGGCTGGCCGGACCGCTCAGCATCCCCGAAAACACAAGGCTCAGGGCTTCAGTGGTGGAAGATACTCTGGAGCGCTGCCGAAATGCGCTAGCCTCCAGACTTACTCGTGCACCACCCCAGGTGCCTTTTTGCTGTGCGGAGTTTTAGCACCATTTCCCCTACGCAGCACACGCCTACTCTGGATGGCGGCGCCACTCAGTCCCACATGTTGAGATATGACCGAGGTTTGGCGGCAGACAATGGAGACTTCGGGCCAGTGCCTCCAGATGCCAGCCCGCCCACCTCTGAGTGGCTGTTTCTCCTGCAGGTTCCCTCGGCGCCCCGTTGCCGGCTCTTTCCTATTGTATCATCCTTTTCTTATTGCCAGTCCTTTCTTTTTTTCCTTTTCGTCCCGTTCGCTTGGTGACTCTCGTCGATTGAGCATTCGTAGAATCCGACATCGTTCTGGTTCGCGATCGTCTGTGTTCCTCTGCTCCTCGATTGTTCCCCAAGCTCGTCCGGAAGCTGTGCCGCTTACAATAGCCCCAAGCGCATATCGGCAAATCGCATCCAGCAGCCACAAGCTATCTCGCTTTCTCACCTGTGTCGCTTGTCTTGCCTGCGTCCCTGACGGCCTCGTTTTTCGGTTTTCGAAACGCTCCTACGCCAGTTCTGTTTCTCTTCTCCATCTTTTCTTTACCGTTTCCTTTTTCTCTTTACCATCACATCACCACACACAATGCCTGCGCAGTCAAAGCCTGTAATTGGCCCTTGGGGCAAGGCTACGGCCGGTGCCACCGGTGCTGTCCTGGCCAATGCTCTGGTGTACCCGCTGGACATGTAAGTTTCCCTCGGCTTTGACTTCATTGTCTGCGTCTTTTGCTGGGGTTTTCATGTGGTGCTGCACCGGTCTATCGGACGGACTGCTGACCAAATCCCGCGATTCAGCGTCAAGACCCGGTTACAAGTGCAGGTCAAGCGGAAGGACGGCAGTGTCGCAGATGATGCGCACTACACCTCGACCTGGGACGCGATTACCAAGATTGCCGAGGCGGACGGCATCATCGGCCTGTACGCCGGCATCAGCGGCTCGCTGATCGGTGTCGCTTCGACCAACTTTGCCTACTTCTACTGGTACTCGCTCATCCGCACCCTGTACGAGCGCTACGCCAAATCCACGGCGCCGCCGTCGACGGTCGTCGAGCTGTCTCTCGGCGCCCTGTCCGGTGCTGTGGCCCAGCTGTTTACCATCCCTATCGCCGTCGTGACCACGCGCCAGCAGACGCAGTCCAAGAACGAGCGCAAGGGCATCCTTGGCACCGCGCGCGAGGTCATTGAGAGCGAGGACGGCGTGTCCGGCCTGTGGCGCGGCCTCAAGGCCAGCCTGGTCCTGGTCGTCAACCCGGCCATCACCTACGGCGCCTACGAGCGCTTAAAGCAGGTCCTGTTCCCCGGCAAGACCAACCTGAGACCTTGGGAGGCGTTTGCCCTCGGCGCCATGTCCAAGTCTCTGGCCACAATCGCCACGCAGCCGCTGATCGTCGCCAAGGTCGGCCTGCAGTCGAAGCCGCCATCGGCGCGCAACGGCAAGCCCTTCAAGAGCTTCATTGAGGTGATGCAGTTCATTATTGCCCACGAGGGTCCTCTGGGTCTGTTCAAGGGCATCGGCCCCCAGATCCTCAAGGGTTTGCTGGTGCAGGGCATCCTGATGATGGCCAAGGAGAGGTTCGTTCCTTTTTCTTTCTTTTCTTGTTTGTTTTGCTTTGCAATATGGTCAAATGCACGACACTAACGCGGATTTTCAGAGTCGAGCTGATGTTCATCCTCTTCGTCCGCTACCTCCAGAAGCTTCGGTCCGAGCAGTTGGCCCGTGGTGCCACCCTCAACTCACTCCGCACCGTTGCTCCCCTGTCTGTCAAATAAACGATTCAATTCAGCAACCAAGTCCTCGCGGAATCTAAAAAGGAGGTGATGATAAAGAGGCATTCTGTATAAACCTGCGGCGGATTGCGTTTTGTGATTTTGTTTATTTTTCCAAGTTTTTGGATCTGTTTCGTTTTTGCAATGTTTTTCGGCCCTTTTATGTCATCATTTATAGAAAACAAATGCAGTCATTGTGTACATGGTAATATTGTTAGCATACTAGATCTCAAGAATCAGACAAGAGATACCAATTGACAAGCTCAAACTTACGGCTGGGATTCATGCACATTCCCAAGTTAGTACCGGGTATGCGCATGAAAGATAGCCGGGACCTAAGCCGTACCAGTCATTGACTATGACCATAAAATTACACGTGATGTGTCATGCCTTTATCTTATGTAAATGTGGCTGAAGAGCACGCGCCACACATTTTATGGAGACTAGCCCTTTTTTTTCCCACAACAAATCGAAATTCACCTACCAAAGAGATTTTTTTCGCAATCCCACTCTGGCAGCGTTAAACCTCCTTCTACTTACCACATCCTCAATTCCTTACAATTTTGATCAAGGACCGACACAACAACAGTCGCCATGGCCAGTACGTGCTACCGAATGGAATTCTGAGCTTCACTCTCGCACTTCCGGTTTTCTAACAATTCCTTTCTTCCAGAGTCGAAGAACTCGTCCCAGCACAACCAGTCGCGCAAGGCGCACCGGAACGGGTATGTCGAATCCAACCGCCACGTCCTTCGAAACGAACGAACGACTACATGATGCGAATGTTCCAGGAAGAAGGATATACGAGGTCCCAGGGACACAGCAGACAGACAGGTGGCTAACAGGACTATTCTCGAACAGCATCAAGAAGCCCAAGACCTCCAGATACCCTTCGCTCAAGGGCACTGACCCCAAGTTCCGGAGAAACCACAGACATGCTCTGCACGGCACTGCCCGCGCTCTGGTACGGCCTCCCCTTTTCCATCCCTGCAAACGAAAAGACACGTTCCAACGTTATGAGATTTTGCGTACTGACAACACCTGCAGAAGGAGTTCCGGGAGGGCAAGCGGGAGTCGGCATAAGCAACCAAACACCTGGATCGAATTCGAAATCAGCACATTACGTATGACGACGGCTTCGCTTTAAATGGTTTTAGGGAGCGACAAATAAAAAAAATACAATTGCGAAATAAACAAACAAGAAAGAAGTCTTGGTGATTTCCTTGTTTTCTTTTGGGAGTTTTCTAGGGAACGGTACCGATGGAAGGGACAGAAATCAAACAAATCAAAGAACATGAAAATCTAGCCCCCCGCCCCTTCTGCAAACGAAACTACGATCCGACCGGCCTCTTCGACAACATTCCCCGACTCTTCTTCTTCCTTCTGCGCCCGCTACAAAACCCGCCAGAAACTCACAAGATGATTGGTGCGGGAGAGTGAAGAGCCGACAATGTGAGGCCGGAAAGGTCCGTGACTATGACGTGCATGTCAAAACGCAAACCGTGATGTTTCCGACGACCGGACTACAAAACTCTACATATCTCTTGTCACAGCGCCCTCTATTTGCACCTGACATTTTCATCCATCTTTTGCGGTCGTTGACCAGCCCTTACCCAGGGCAATGACACAGGGGATTGTGACTTGAAACCCGAGAAACAACAAATGGCATTAGTGTGTACAGCATAGAGCCTCTTTTCCAGTACTCAATTGCTGAAGGATATTTTCTTTCGTGCCAAGATCAAGAGGATTCGTCCTCTCCATGTCTATTACCAAGCGCCTCGAGCCCAGTTCGTTTCTCCCCACGGCCGGGGCGCATGAATGACGCGGAACATGCTTTGATGAGACGCCTTCCAAGGTTCTTTGCAATATGCACTTCACAGATGGCGATGTCCAAGTAATCAGCATTTTATACAAGGCGGCCACCAACTAGAATATACGTGTAGAGGCAGGTCGTGCTATGTTCAAGTATGGGAAGGACACCTGAGACACCGCACCATCGCGTGAGAAAGAGGTGCCAGTACTCCCAGATGCCAGTGGGTACGATCCGAGGCTCACAAACGTGCCCGCGGATAAAGTAGACGGGCAGCATACCCCAGGGTTTCCTTCTCGTCCTGCCGGGAATGCAAATCACAAGGGGGCAGAACCGTGTCGTTGTAAGATCAAGCCTTGCGCTCGCCCCAGGAAGGAGCAAGGGACGAAAAGGAGGCCGAAGAAAATTCATCAGAGAGCCGCGCAACCGTTGCTTCCATGTTTGCTTTGGATCTGGTGCACGAGGCTGTTTGTGGCTCCTTCTCTTACCACATATATTTGATGTCTTTGAACGAGTTTATTATACTCTCTTTGGGCAGGTAGCAACGAAGCAAATGCCACACAAGTGGCAACGGCGATGGACTAGCCAGGCCCAGGCACTCCGGAGCTCCAATCCGGCACCTCACAAAAATGCCCCCTTAGCGCTGTGACTGTCGCCGTTTCCTTTCCCGGCCATTGGTCCTCCTTTGCTCCTTCCTTAGCTACGAGAGGAGCGTGCAACTGCAACACCTGGGGCGTGGGCTAGTGCTGAATTGCGCCACTCGATGGGGTCCTGCTGCGTCCCTGGCCTAATATCGCCCACCGTTTCAGAAGTTTCTTTTCCACCATTTTTGGAACCTTTTTCAGGACCTATTTTTCTTCCCCGAATTTTCTCGACCGCCTCCCCTCCCTGCGGTCACTGAGAGCGTTCTTCTGTACTGCGTACATCGATTGCCCTTGGTTAGACCTCCTCTCTTTCTCTATTTTCTGCGGCAATTTACATTTACTACGGCCTCGCCATCTGCCTTCTCTTCGTTGACTTCGCAGGCCGGCAACAGGGGGCAAAGCCTCGTTTCTCGATCGTTTTGGTTCTCTCCGTCCTCGTTCTCTGCCTCGACTTCGTATCTTTCTTCTCTTGTTTCCTTGTCTCTGTCCTCTGGTTCGACTCCTTGTTCCCCTTAAATCTGCTTTCCTGGTCCTCTTTGTCTCCTCCCTTTTTGGAGCTCGTTTTTTATTCTATTTTTATTGGATTCCGGATCCTTCGAATCGATTTTCTCGCTCCGTCTTTGGAAAACAAAGCCCGCGGGTCGTCTTGGCATTTATTTCCTCGCTCGCTTCTCGCCGTTCTGTTCGACTGCTCGACTGGCTCTCGACGTCTTTTGCTTCTCCCTGCACCGCTTTCCGGAGTAGGATACATCTGCATCTGTGGCTTCAGCCTGGACTTGCTGCTGGCCCACCACAGCCCCAATACATTGTAAGTTACGTCGATGCCCAAACCCCTCCTGTTAGCATGAAGGACCGCAACGCCCTTCCCCCTCCCCGCGAGCCTCCATCTCTCCCGTGCCTTTCGGCGTTGTCTGGGTTTTCCGCGAGACTCTTGGCGCTTCCTCTGCCTCGACAATCCGGGCGGCATATATCCCGATGGATCGTCTACCGCCTTATCGTCTGAAGAACAAAAGGTCCAGGGTCTCAAAATCCGCCCAATGTCGTGGCATTTGTGTCTGAGCGGCCTGGCCTGTACCCCCTGTCACCAGTCGCGGCCTCCTCCAAGGTTCTCGAATTCCGCTTACCCTGAAATACACCCACTTGCCCACACCAACCGCGACCGCCCTGAAGCATTCACACTCCCCCTTCCTTTCCCTTCCCTCCCCCCTGTATGCACATCCGCTACTGCTGTAGCTTACGGGACCCTCGTGCTTCTTGGGCTGGTCCGGTGCTATCATTTGCTGCTTCTTGTGCCTCAATGTTGCATTTCTCCTCCTACAGCGGCCACTAACGGTTTCTCACTCTGTGATCCAGAATCGTCCTTCACACCATTCACACCACACCCCCCTCCCCCACCCGCTCTCTTCCTTCAGGCCTCCCTCCTTTTAGGGCAGCTGAGCTGCAGGAGCGTTTCAAACAAAAATAAAAGAAACAAAAAATAATACTCTGCGGGGCCACATTCACTGAGGACTCGCTGTTCACCCCTTCGTGTCAGCTTCACTGCCGCCAGAAAGAAGTCCCAGACGCTTTCCGTTCGCTTCTTCAAGTTTCTCCACGATCGCATTTTTTGACGACGGATTTCTTGACGATTTTTTATTTTTTTTCTGCAAGCACGATACCCGTTCGCCAAGCCGAATCGGCCGTGTCCACGCAACTGGTAATTTTCTCCAGCAAGCATTGCTTGACGGCCAGTCCTTGGAAAATCTCGAAACACGCATTACTTGTTACGGGCCACTGATCGCCCACTCGTCTCCTTCTCCGTACTCGTACTCTTCTCAGCGGCCTTCAGGCCTTGTTTCATATGCTAGCAGCATATCGACCCCAGACTGTCGTCCTCGCCAAGCAGCGAGTCGTCCGTCTCTTTTCCTCTACCATCTATCTCCTTCGCTGATTGTTACCTCCCGGTTCCGATTCTGTGTTGATACTTTCTTACCTATCCTCAACAGTGGCTCTTGCGCACCTCAAACGCACGGCTTCTGGCTCTTCTTGTCCTTTTACTTTTTTCACTTTCTCCTCCTCCTCGTTCTCGTCTCTCGTCTTTCTCTTTCTCTCTTTCACCTCCGCCTGCCGCTCTTTTTCTGCCACGACCACCTAGTCGCCACCTCCACTACTTCTTTTCTTAAAGCCTTCCATCCCGCGTCCTCGAGATCGGCTCAGTCGATCATGAATAATATGTCGAGCCTCGCCGGCAACCGGATGAGCACGCCCGAGGCCAGCCAACCCTCGTCCCTCCGGCCGCCCTCGTCCCGTGCCATGGTTGGCAATGCCCACCTCCGAGCATCCGCCGATATGGCTGCCCTGTCGGGCACAAATCCGTCTAGCCGCATACGTCCGTCGTCCGACTTTTACGGACAGCCGCAGCCGCCTCCGCCCCCGGCCATAGGCGAGCTCGACCCCCAGGACAAGCTTGCCCAGGAGTGGATCGCCGATATCGATCAGTACGAGACAACGCTGGAGGAGATGGCAGCAGCTACGCTGGACCAGGATTTCAAGGACGAGCTGAGCGCTATCGAACAGTGGTTCCGCGTGTTGAGTGAGGCCGAGCGGACCGCCGCGCTGTACGCCCTGCTGCAACAAACCACACAAGTTCAGATTCGTTTCTTCATTCAGGTGCTGCGGCAAATGGGTAAGAACCACCCCATGTCTGGTGTTTTGTCGCCGGCCAACTTTGACAAAGGTCGGTGTTGCTTTTTTTCTTACTCCATTCTCTTTCTGCTTCGTGATTTTTATGCGTATTTTTTTTAATTGTTTAACGTCCTGCTGTTGTAGCTCGTCATACTAACGTGCCATCCATCTGCAGACCCCATGTCGAACCGGTTAAGCGACGCGATGAACAAGCTCAGTGTGGACTCTGCGAGAAATTCCATGGCGCGCAACTCGATCATGTCGGTCAAGCGCCAGTCCGGCCTGGACCCTTCGACCATCAATGCCATGTTCCCCGATGCCGCCGCCGCCATTGCGACCGAGAAGGCCAAGTACACGCAGCAGACAGGAAACCCGCCCGTCTCCAACCGGAACAGTGCCATTGATCCGCGCAACTCGCTCGTTGCGCCGACAATCTCTACCCCTGCCGATGCTGCAGCGGCAGCCACTGCTCTGCCGGGGCCGTCCAACGGCCAGAACCCCACCTCACCATGGGGCCCCTCCTCTTCGGCTAACCCTGCACAGCCGACTGTGACATCACCAGGACAGCCACCAATGGGCCAGTTCTCTCAGCCGCCCCCGTCCGCTGGTGGCCTCCGCTCTCCTCGACCGGCAATGACGCTGTCACCACAGGCGATCAACGCTGATAAAAACGCCGACCTTCCTCTGTTGTCGCCCTACGGTGCCAGTGGCAACTGGGCATCAATGGTGAATACGCCGATGGTGGCCAACTTCAACCAACAGCAGCAGAGCGGGAACCAGGCCGACATGGTCGCGAATGCCACGGCCATGAAGCTTGCTGCCCTGTCAACGGTTAACAACCGTGTTTTCCTCGACGATGTGCGCAAGTACCGCCGTACTCGGTCGAACGATGCTCCAGGAGCTCCGCAGAACCCGCTGTCGCCAAGTGCGCCGACGATCCAGCTGCCTGGCGGTACGACGAATGTTGTGATGGTCAACGAACACGGCCAGATTCTACGCACCGAGCCGATGCTCGCTGTGCCTGGTCAGGCGCCGCTCGGCTTTGGTGCGCAACGCTCACGGCCCAACTCGCCCGGCATAGCGATGCAGGGCGGCTTTGGCGGCATCCCCTTCACGTCCCCCCAGAACAATGGCTTCTTGAGCGCCTACGATGGCTCGGGGCTGATGAACAACTCTCTGAACCTTGGTGGTATGAACCTCGGCCAACTCGGCCTGGGCGGCCCGCCCGAGGGATACCTCTCAGACCACTCAGACATTATCCGGGGCCGTTCTCCGCGCGGACGTCGCGGTAGCTCGAAACCTCCAGAGGACCCTACCGACCCTACGCTGCTGCAAGACATCCCCAGCTGGCTGCGTAGTCTGCGTCTGCACAAGTACACAGACAACCTCAAGGACATGCAGTGGATGGACCTGGTCGAACTGGACGACAAGCAGCTTGAGGAGCGTGGAGTGAATGCGCTTGGCGCTCGGCGGAAGATGCTCAAGGTATTTGAGCAAGTCAAAGGTTCGCAGTGCTCGGATCCCCCGGCCCGTATCACATAGTGACCCGAACTAACAATCCTGCTACAGAGGCGAAAGCGGAAGGAAAACTCACCGAAACCGACAAGTAAACCGCATTTGCGTTCTGATTTGAACGGCTTTATTATAAACGACATGCCAGAAAAAAATACTATATACAAAACGAAACATGTGCTCTAGAAACAGAGCTTGGGGAAAGACTTTGCGACTTGCATTGTTATGAATCAAAGGAAACTCCATTATGTTGTACGGCGGCGCTTTTTCTTTTCTCTTTGGTGATCGGGCGTCGATGTCGGTCCGGACGAGCGGCACGGAAAACAGCGTCGTGGGTTTTTAGTTGGATATTTATGTTTTTATGTGTACTGATTTATAAGTTATTATAATTTTGACCATCTCATCAAGCCTTGTTTACGGCTATCAACCCATATCAAAAAAGTATAAAGAAATGATTTACCACGTGGAAATGTATTATTTCATCTGTTCTTACATATTCCCCGGTTTCATGTGTCTCTTTTAATTTATTATTTTTCTCATTTTGTTTCCTTTTTTTTTTTTTTTTTCTTAAACAAAAAAAGCAAATAAAAATGCACAGTAATAAATAAGAGAAAGACTTAAAGAAGAAACACTATTTCTATTTTTATGAGATGTTGTGTACGTCTTCGATAATGCAAATCCAGTTCCGCTGTTAACAAGAATGGTACGATGAATCACATAAAGAATGTGAAGTTCCACGTCGAAAATATGAAGCCACTGCTTGTACCAGGTTGGTTAGATAGTTAAGACAGTTAAAAAGCTTAATGTTACCTGTCAATCGCGCTTTCAGGGCGGTGGACAGGCTAAATCTGTAACAAGGCGCTAAGGCAAACCCCTCCGACAGGGCTGCGGCGCAGTGGAAACAGACGTTGGTCGCTCTTGCTACACATTTTGGCGTGAAATCACCACACGTGATGTCTCCACTAAAATATTGAACGTCGAACTTGCCTCTGAACGCGCCTAACATACCAACAAGACTTTGGCAACAAGCAAAGCAAAACAATACAAAGAAAGACGGAGAGGGAACGATGGGCAATACTGTGGCTGCTTCATTATGACATAAAACTACCACCTTTTGCATTGGAAAGCTCCGACCATTGCTGGCGACAGGGACATGGACGACATGGACATGGACGATGCGCCGTCGAACGCGTATCTCGACGATCAGAGTGTTCCCCCCACGGCCACAGGTTCTCCAATTGGGCTTTCTGGGAGCGACAATGATGATGTTGACGAGGTCTCGGATGCCGACTCGGACTACCTCGAGCTGCAGGCCGACATTGCTCGCCTCGACGCGAGTCGCAATGCATTTCTGTCGGAACACCTCGGCCCCGATGCCGTAGCTCCAGCCGCCACAGGAGCCAGTGGAACGGCCGCGCGCCGCCGCCGTGGGCCACGCAAAGCAGCCGAGCCTTCGGCCGAAGTCAAGTTCCGGCTGCAGCAGGCGCACCAGCTGTTCATGGACAACCGCTACGAGGACGCGCTCGAGGCGCTGCACGAGATTATCCGAGTCAACGCCGAGACGCATGCGGCATGGAACTTGTTGGCGTCGATCAATGAGGACTTGGGTCGACGCGAGGAATCCCTGATGGCCAGAGTGTTTGCGGCGCATCTGGAGCCCAAGAACGTGGCTGGTTGGTTGAGCACGGCGGACTTTGCGTTGGCCGAGGCTGCGGCTGTCGACGCCGAAGAACCTGCGGAAGGGGAGGACGACGACGGCGACGGCGGCGGCGCCCGCGAAGAAGAGCGTCAAAACCGGCGGCTCCAAAACTTGCAGATTGCCCGGCTGTGCTATTCAGGCGCCATCCGGGCTGACAAGGACAACATCCCAGCGCGGCTGGGCAAGGCAAATGTGTGCCTCGAGTTTGGACAGGCGACGAACGCAGCGACCGAGTATGTGCGTGTACTGAAGCGGCGGCCGCTGGCGCTGCAGGTGATCCGCAACCTGGCCGAGGCATCGTACGACTCGGTACGCGGGTCCGAGACGATCCAGGCGGCCATCAAGGCGTACCGCAAAGCGGTGGCGTACCTGCGGGGCAAGTCGAGCGTGGCGACACACGGCTACTTTGCACCCTACCTGACGCTCGACGACGGCGAAGAGTTTTCGTGGATGGACATTACCATTTATGTCGAGCTGTACGCCGCCATGGAGCAGTACAAGGAGGCCATCGCCGTGCTGAAAAACCTAGCGCGGTGGATGCTTGGCCGAGGTGGGCCGGACGAGGCCTACTGGAAGGACGTGGACAAGGACGAGAGCACCAACTACGAGGACGGCGAGTGGGACCGGCACGACGAGCCACGGCGGCGCAAGGTGCCTGGGTTTCAGCCAGGACGGTACCCGCTCTCGGCGTACGGCGAAGGCCTTCCCGTGGACCTGCGGGCCAAGTTGGCCATCTATCGCCTCAAGATCGGCCATGAAGAGGAAGCCATCGAGCATCTCGCGTGGATCGACCCCCAGGACGCCAACACGACCGAGTCTATGCGCCTGTACCCGCATCTGCTCAAGGAGGTGGGCGCTGAGCTGTTTGGGGCCAAGCGGTTCGAGTTGGCCCTGCAGTACCTCGAGCTGTACCGTGACCTGACCCGGGCTGCGGCAGCCGGGGGGCTCAGCGGCGCGTACGAGCAGATGACGGACGAAATTGGCGAGGGAGGCGATGCAAACAGCAGTGCAGCTGCGGACGACGACGCTGATGCGCTCGTGCTGCAGGGCAAGTGCAATTTGGAGCTGCACGACCATGCAGCAGCCGAAGAGTGCTTCCTGGCGGCCATTGAGGCGGACGACGAGAATATTGATGCGCGCTACGAACTGGCCAAGATGTACGAGAAAGCACAAGAGAAGGAGCAGGCATATATTTTGGTCAACGAGGCGCTGTCGCTCGAAGCCGCTCAGCAGAAACGACAGCAGCTACAGAGCCGAGAGGAGGAGGGCGATGAACAAGAGGACGGCGCGGCAGCGGAACGAGCAGCAGGCGACGGTGCCACCGACGGCGCCGCGCCTGGAAAGCGTCGTGGTCCCATGGCCAGCTTGGAGACGGCAGCATACCGCGTGTTCCTCGACAGCGAGGGCAAAGTCGTGCGGCGTCACCGCAAGTTCCGCAAGGGGCCCGACGGGCAAGACATCCTGGCCTCGACCGAGCGCAAGCGGCGAACGAAGACGGCCCAGGGGCAGGAAGGAGAAGACGGCGACCAAGAAGGAGGCGTTGTTGGCCCAGACGGCAAAATACGGGTGCCTCATCGGCAGCCCAAGACGGGCACGGCGCGGGTACGCGCACCCCAACGGCGCTCGCAAAAGTCGCAGCAGCAGCAGAGGCGCTGGCGGGCCGTTCGCGGCCACGCACGGCGGTTCTTTGCCAGCCCTGCCGAGCAGGCCGAGTTCGAGGCGTCTACATCCGCGCGTCTGCGTGGCCGCTACCAGGTGTGCCAGGCGCTCAAAGAACGGGCCGATGCCGGCGATGTAGATGCGGCGGCCGAGTGGATGGAGGCGGCCAAGGAGCTCATCGACGACTTCCGGTCGTTCCGCGAATTCTACACGTGGGACAAGTACGTGCAGTTTCTGGGCGTCAACAATTTTCTGCACGACCAGACAGGCGCAGCAGCCACAGCGCCGGCGACGGCGGCAGTCGAGGGTGCCGGCATCAGCACCAGCACCGGTCCCGGTACCGGCCAGCATAGCAGCCACCTCACGGCCCTGGCCGAACGACTACACCAGAACCTCACGCCTGCCGACGCAGAAGCTCAAGCCCTTGCCAATTCAATGATCGATCCGGCGCTGCTGGGGCCGGCAACGGCCGCTGCTCCTGCTCCGCTTGCGTCTGCGCGCCGCGACTACCGCGGCATTCCCTTTGACGACTGGCTGGCCCTGTTCTTGGAGTATGCGCTAGGTCTTGCCCACGCGGGCCGCACAACCGAAGCCTACGCCGTGTGCCAGTCCGCGCACGACTCGACCGTGTATCGGCAGGAGGACAGCATGTTCCTGATCCACCTGGCATGGGCGTCGTGTGCCGTGCGCGCGGGCGACGAGCAGACGTGTGTGGCGGTGGCGCGCTACTTTATGCGCGAGCAGCCCTACACGACCGACTGCTACCGCCTCTTCACGACCATGTGTCGGCTGTGCCGCTCGCCGTCCATGTGGTTCAGCTCGAGCCCGGCGCAAAAGTACATTTTGCGGCAGATCCGGTCGCGCGACGAGGCCATCAAGCAGGAGGCGCGGGCGGCCGGCAAAGACGAGACTGCTGTCGTGGACCGCCTCGACACGTGCCTGCTGGTCGTCTACGGACACATTCTGTTTGCCTCCATGAGCTACCACTTTGCGCTCAACTACTACCAGCGCGCGCTGGCCGTCGACCCGGGCAACCCGGTCATCAGCCTGTGCATCGGCCTCTCGTACGTGCACTGGGCGCTCAAGCGGCAGGCCGACAACCGGCAGTACCTGCTGACGCAGGGCTTCCACTTCTTGTATCGATACGCCGACGGACGGCTGGCGGCGGCGACAAAAACAGATGCCAGCGACGACGCACATGCCCGGCGCGAGGCCTACTACAACCTTGGCCGGGCGTACCACCTGCTTGGCCTGCACGCACTGGCGGCCGAGTTCTACGGCAAAGTGCTCCGCGAGACGGATCCCAACAAGGAGGTCGAAGCTGCCAATCGCCAACGAGGCAGACATCCCGACCTGCGGACGGAAGCGGCCTACAACCTGCGGACGTACTACCTGCTGGCGGGCAACTATGAGGCGGCCATGCAGGTGGCACGAGCCTACCTGGTGCTGTGATGAGGATACGCATGCGGTGTGCGTTGCGTGACGGAAAGAGAAGCTGTATAATTGTGTTGTAAGATGGGCGTGACAGAGGCAGTAGACAGACTGTTACATGCAATATACCCCCCAATTTCGAGCTACCATCAGGTAAAGCCACCCCACGCGATATTTTCGTCCTGTCCCCAGTAAAATGCCGATCCACGGCGGCAATGTGAGGATGGGGGTGTGAGAGGGATAGAGTTTCCAGAATAAATAGTAAAAAATGGTAAGTATGTCCGAGTATAGATGTACACTTGCAGAAGGGCTGAAAGAAATTATGTGCACGCCGAGCACTCTTGAACAACCGCCGTCCAAGCATTCATTCTTCCACGTATCTCTGCACTTCTTCACACACACTGCACGCTCTCCGAAACGAAGAGCCAATTGGGGCCGGCAAATGGAACATGTCCCTGAGCGGAGTCGTTTTAGGCTGAGTTTTTTGAGGGCGAACGAAGCTCCGCTCAAAGAGGCTGCGTGGCAACGACGACGACGGTAGAGAGCAAGGACATGTGGGATATGCTCGAGCCTGGCCAGAGTTCTCCATTCTTGCAAAAGGGGCGTCCTTGACAGGTGAGGCAAATTTTGCAGTGTGTCAAGTCGTTATAAAAGCGAATGCGGCGCTTAAGAACCGGGGCAAGTCAGTTCTGCTTCTCTTCGGCGCCGATGCGCTCCCTGTCTTGCCTGCCGTGGCCGATCGGTCACAGCAGCGGTCATGTGCGGTTCTTGGAAAGGTCCAGCCTTACTGTGGCAGTTTGTTTTCTGATGTAGTTAGTTTTTTTTTTTTTTTTTTTTTTTTTTTTTCTTTCTTGGGTCGACTCTCGCCACAGAGGCCCCGGACACCGAAAAGGGCAAGAACAGGCCCTTCGCGCCAGTTTTCAACAGGGCCGTCTCCGAAGCCAGATTGCGCCCAAAACGGAAAGAAGCAAAATGGCTGTGAAAAGAAGGCACGAAGAGGCAAACCGACGAGCATTCAAACACCTAATACAAACTGCAAGATTGGTTCGTCCGAGAAGCAATTACCAAACTCGTTACATGCATTGTTATTTTGCCTTCTCCTTTGCTTTTTTTTTTCTTTTTTAATTCTTTTGTCTCCCACTTAGCCAAGAAGCAGGACGAATGTGGAGAGCGACCCGCAAGGCTAGTGTCCACTTAATGCAGCGTAGTGTGGCCACCGCCCGCGTGGTGACGTCGGCGGTGCCTCACAGAGACACCCAGAGCTTTGTACCGCCAGATGTATAACTACTTTGTGGACGGCAAAATCAGGTACCTTTTTCTTTCTTGGCGCATTTCTTGCTAGTTATCTGCGGGATGGTACAAAGAGCTATGTACTGCGTTGGCTCCTTCCCTCCAGCGTCTCGAAACGATGAACACGCCGCATCGCTCCTTCTGTAATTGCCAGCCAGCTCAGCTCAGCATCACCAAAGGAAAAGGAAGCAGCGCTTATTGTTTTCTGTACCTTCTTGATTCGCGAGTGGGGGGCCTTAGAAGAGGGGGAGAGATTTATTCTTGCCCGTGTTGTGCACTGTCGTTGCGTCTGTAGATGTACCCTGATGCTCTTCTGACTGTATGAAGTATATACAAATGTCATCTGTGGTCTACACATTAGAGTGGTTGTATCTTGGATTGCCGTAGTTTTTTGAACTCTTATCTGTCTTGTCTTTTTCATATTTTCTCTCTCTCTTTCCTTCTTTCCCTCTTTCTCTCATTCCCTCTTTCCCTTCTTGAAATTTCCTACTCGTCTCCCTGTCGTACCTTCCATTTGCATCAACACTGCCCTCCTCCTTCTACGTTCCTTGATCGCCGCAACTCGTCTCAAAATCCTCCTAGTATTTTTCACTTCTTGTTTTTATCATCATCATGGCCGGCCGTCCCATCTTTGTTGCGACTCATCCCCGGTCGTGCTCGACTGCCTTTGAGCGTGTAAGAGCACCACAAGCAACTCCGCCAGAGAAGCCAAACAGTTTCTAACTAGTTCACAGGTCTTCATGACCCGTCCGGATGACATCTCGTGTGCCCATGAGCCCTTTGGTGATGCCTTTTACTTTGGTCCAGAGCGTCTCAGCGCTCGTTTTGCCGACGAGCCCAAGCTCCGCGAGGAGAGTGGCTTCACAAAGACTACTTACAAGGACGTCCTCGACAGCCTCCTGAAACAAGACAAGGTAGGGAACTTCTCATCGTCTGCTATAGATGCGTGCTCCCACACTTTCTCTAACGTCTCCAGCGACTCTTTATCAAGGACATGGCCTACTACCTGTTTGCGCCCAAGGGCCACCCAACCAGCGTGGCCCCGTCTCTGGCTGACCAGGCCAACGGCGTCGACAAGCAGACCAGCGATCGTGCTGCTAACCCGACCACCATCCCGCTCAGCGCCCTGCAAAAGTTCCGTTTTGCATTCCTGATCCGCAACCCACGCCGCTCGATCCCCTCATACTATCGCTGCACAGTGCCGCCTCTCGTTGAGACCACAAAATTCAACGAGTTTATGCCCTGCGAGGCCGGCTACAAAGAGCTGCGGCACCTCTTTGACTACCTGCGCGCGCAGGGACTGGTTTCTGACGACGACATCACCATCATCGACGCAGACGACCTGCTCGACCGCCCGGCCGAGGGCATCGAGGCGTTTTGCAAGGCCGTCGACCTCGACTTCCGCCCGGAGATGCTGCAGTGGGACGACTCGGCACACCAAGATCACGCCACGGCAGCCTTTGAAAAGTGGGCGGGCTGGCACAACGACGCGCTGGCGAGCACCGGCCTTAAGGCACGGACGTCGCATAAGAAGACGCCGTCGGCCGACGAGGAGGATGCCGAGTGGGCGTCCAAGTATGGTGCCAAGGGCCAGAAGATCATCCGCGACTGTGTGGATACCAACATGCCCGACTATGAGTACCTGAAGCAGTTTACGCTCAAGTTTTGATTTGCCCTGATACGTGTTTTATGTCCAACTGCGTTTTGGGGTACAAAGGCGTTTATTATGGGAGAAAAAAAATCCCAACATGTCACATCATAATGCAATTGTGGTGAAGGGATACCCTTTCTCTTTGTTTTGTCTGTCATTTATATTTTGCCAAATACTGCCAAATGTGATACTTGATGTAGTCACGTAGCCGTAAATTCAACAATGGTCTGTTGTACAATAGTCGACGATCTGTCTGTTCACTCTCTCGCTCCATTGCCAGCTTGAGAATCTTTGATGCAACGATTTGCCATCGCACGTTTTGTGCGAAAACTACAACTGCAACCGCTCTCGTCCTCCAAGTCTATGCTGCAGCAACCTCCTCCTCCTCGCTCTGTCTGACCCGCGTCAACGGCGGTAGGCCCGCCGCATGCCGCACGTTCTTCGACCACGACCCGGCAATGTTGCGGTCCTGGTCATTGGCCCAGAACACAATCGCCTCGGCCAGCTTGCCGTCGGCCGGCACCACGGCCGACGTCGACGCCGACGCCTCCGCGCCGCGCACCTGTATCCGGTTGCCCTGGCCCGCGCCCGCCAGCACCGCTGCCATGTCCGCAATGCTGTTGGCCCGCTGGTCGTTCAGCGCCTCGCCCAGCGCCTTGCGGTCCAGCGCGTACATGTCGTTCTTTTGGTGGCCCCACGACAGCTCGTGCAGCCGCCGGAACTCGCGCAGCTTCTGGAACACCGACTGGCCCACGACGCCCTCGCCCTCGCCAAACTGTATCAGCGCCATGGGCCGCCAGTAGTCCTTGCGCAGCTTGGCCGGCTTCGTCTTCTTGCCGTTGAAGGGCAGCTGCTTGAGCGCGCGGTTGCTCTGTCCTCTGTGTCAGTAGGCGCCGAGGTGAAAGGAGATCGACAAAAAAATAGAGTGAAATAAAATAAATTAATAGGCGGAACACACTCTCAGGACTGGTGTGTGCGAGTAGACGACCTGGTTCGTCACAATGTTGTTGTAGACCCAGATCTGCTCGCCGTGGCCCTCGGGGAACTTGGTCAGCTCCGGCTTCGGTTGCCGGTACCGTTTGTACGGCACTACAGGTGGTGTTGTCGGCTTCGGGGCCTGTGTTGTTGGCTTCTTGGGTTTCGGTAGCCGTGTGGCCTGGACTGCGGCCGTGGACAGAACACGGGCAGTGGGGTTGCGTGATGATGTCGATGCGATCGTGAAGGTCGCGGCCGTTGGCCGCACGGCTTGGCTGCTACCAAGCGCCAATTGGCGGAGGCTTCGTATTGACGGTCCGCTCATCGTGTCATGTGCGTCCTCCGGAACAGAGAGACGTGTACTCGTTGGTCGCAATGGGGAGTTGGGCGCGCCTGGCTGAAAAACAACAACGCTGCGTCGCTCGTCTGAGGATTTTCCGTGAAGCCGAAAAATCAACAATCTCCAGATTTTTCCTGGAATTGGGTCACGTGCACCTCAGGCCAATATGTCATTACGATGTATGCGCCCAACCAAGTTCCAAACAACTTAGCCTGGCCAATAAAGCTGTGCCCCACAAAACAGGCCAATAAGGGTGCCCCGCCAGGGCTCGACCAGATCGGTTTCCAGCATCGGCTGGGCGCTTCGAGAGCCTTCCGCCACGGCCTCCAGCGGCTACCAGCTATCTCCAGCAGTCTCCCGCATTCTCCAGCAAGCTACAGCGCCTAGAAGCACACGCTACCATCCACTAGCACTTACTGAGACATTTGCACTCTCACACCACCGGCAGGAGCGATGTCGTTCCACCGCCGCACCTTCCGATTCTTGAACAGAGGGCATAAATAACCTGACGTCGTCATCGATTGCTATTTCTTGCTTCGTCTTGCCCCCTTTCTGCCTCTTTTTCCCTTTCTTCTCTTGTCCCTCCCTCGCTCCATAAAACACCTCGATCTGAGCCCATCCACCCACTGGGACCTCACGATACCTCTCGACACACTTACAGAAGTGCCATCTCGGCAGCTGGTGAAGTCGAATACCCCGCCTCTGCTACTTTACTGCCCGCAGCTCTCGAAGCTTCAAACCGACGAGACAGCTACGGGAGCTTCCAATACACTTTCTGCTGTCAACAGCAGAGCCTCCACTCTACATATCCGCCTCGCCACTAGCCGACACATCACACATCACACATCACACATCACACAAGATGGCGTCCAACAAGCTGGACTTCACCGACCGTGCCCAAAAGGCCGTCGAAGACGCCGTGGCCCTGGCCATGCAGTATGCACACTCCCAGGTGCTGCCCGTTCATCTCACAGTCTCCCTCCTCGATCCCCCGCCGGACCTGTCCAAGGACCAGCAGAACCCGCCGGCCGGTGCCAACAACCCCTCCTTCCTCCGCCAGGTCGTCGAGCGCGCCAACGGCGATCCCCAGCTCTTTGACCGCGCACTCAAGAAGAGCCTCGTCCGCCTTCCCAGCCAGGACCCGCCGCCAGACCAGGTCACCTTCTCCCCGTCCCTCCACGCCGTCTTCCGCAAGGCCGCCGAGCTGCAAAAGATCCAGAAAGATTCGTACGTCGCGGTCGACCATCTGATCGCCGCGCTGTCCGAGGACAGCTCCATCCAGGCCTCGCTCAAGGAGGCCAACATCCCAAAAGCCAAGCTCGTCCAGGATGCCGTGACGGCCATCCGCGGCACGCGCCGTGTCGACTCCAAGACGGCCGACACGGAGCAGGAGAACGAGAACCTGGCCAAGTTCACGATTGACATGACCGGCATGGCGCGTGAGGGCAAGATCGATCCGGTTATTGGCCGCGAAGAAGAGATCCGCCGCGTCATCCGCATTCTGTCCCGGCGGACCAAGAACAACCCGGTGCTCATCGGTGAGCCCGGTGTGGGCAAGACGACGGTCGTCGAGGGCCTGGCACAGCGCATCGTCAACGCCGATGTCCCCGACAACCTGGCCGCCTGCCGGCTGCTGTCTCTCGACGTCGGTGCCCTGGTCGCCGGCAGCAAGTACCGCGGCGAGTTCGAAGAGCGCATGAAGGGGGTCCTCAAGGAGATTACCGAGTCCAAGGACATGATTGTCCTCTTTGTCGACGAAATTCACCTGCTCATGGGCGCCGGTTCGTCCGGCGAGGGCGGCATGGACGCCGCGAACCTGCTCAAGCCCATGCTGGCACGTGGGCAGCTGCACTGCATTGGTGCAACGACGCTGGCCGAGTACCGCAAGTACATTGAGAAGGACGCCGCCTTTGAGCGCCGGTTCCAGCAAGTCATCGTCAAGGAGCCGACCATTCCCGAGACCGTGTCCATTCTTCGTGGCTTGAAGGAAAAGTACGAAGTGCACCACGGTGTCAACATCACCGACAGCGCCCTGGTCTCGTCCGCCAATCTGGCCGCGCGCTATCTCACCTCGCGCCGCCTGCCCGACTCGGCCGTCGACCTGATCGATGAGGCCGCAGCAGCCGTGCGCGTGGCGCGCGAGTCGCAGCCCGAGATCATTGACTCTCTGGAGCGGCGGCTGCGCCAGCTTCAAATCGAAATCCACGCTCTGTCGCGCGAAAAGGACGACGCCTCCAAGGCCCGTCTGGCCCAAGCCAAGCAAGACGCCAGCAATGTCGAGGAGGAGCTGCGCCCCCTCCGCGAAAAGTACGAGAGCGAGCGCAAGCGCGGCAAGGACATCCAGGAGGCCAGGGTCAAACTAGAGCAGCTCAAGGTCAAGATGGAGGACGCTTCGCGCATGGGCGACACGGGCCGCGCCGCCGACCTGCAGTTCTATGCCATCCCCGAGATGGAGTCCCTGATCCGCAAGCTCGAAAAGGACAAGGCAAATGCTGATGCCGCGCTCAACGCCAACGCCAACGACACCGGCGGCTCTATGATTACCGATGTGGTTGGCCCGGACCAGATCAACGAGATTGTGGCGCGCTGGACCGGCATCCCCGTGACGCGTCTCAAGACCTCAGAGAAGGAGAAGTTGCTGCAAATGGAACGCCACCTCGGCCACGTCGTTGTCGGCCAGCGCGAGGCAGTGCAGTCCGTGTCCAACGCCATCCGCCTGCAGCGGTCCGGCCTGGCCAACCCCAACCAGCCGCCCAGCTTCCTGTTCTGTGGTCCCTCGGGTACTGGCAAGACGCTGCTTACCAAGGCACTGGCTGAGTTTTGTTCGATGACAGCAAGGCCATGATCCGCTTCGACATGTCCGAGTACCAGGAGCGGCACTCGCTGAGCCGCATGATCGGTGCACCCCCCGGCTACGTCGGTCACGATGCCGGCGGACAGCTGACTGAGGCGCTGCGCCGCCGGCCGTTCTCGATCTTGTTGTTTGACGAGGTGGAGAAGGCCGCCAAGGAAGTGCTCACGGTGCTGCTGCAGCTCATGGACGACGGCCGCATCACCGATGGCCAGGGCCGTGTTGTGGACGCCAAGAACTGCATCGTGGTCATGACGTCCAACCTGGGCGCTGAATACCTGGCGCGGCCCTCGGGCAAGGACGGCAAAATCGACCCGACGACGCGCGAGCTCGTCATGAACGCGTTGCGCAGCTACTTCTTGCCCGAGTTCCTCAACCGTATTTCGTCGATTGTCATCTTCAACCGGCTGACACGCAAGGAGATCCGCAAGATTGTCGACTTGCGCATCTGGGAAATCCAGAAACGGCTCAACGACAACAACCGCAACGTCGAGATTGTCATCAGCGACGAAGCCAAGGACTACTTGGGCAACGCCGGGTACTCTCCCGCCTACGGCGCCCGCCCGCTGCAGCGCCTCATCGAAAAGGAGGTCCTCAACCGCCTGGCCATTCTCATCCTGCGCGGCAGCATCCGTGATGGCGAGAAGGCCCATGTGGAACTCGTCGACAACAAGATCACGATTGTCTCCAACCACAGCGACAGCGAAAACGAGTCGGACAGCGATTCCATGCTGCTGGACGACGAGGATGCCGTGGAGGAGCTCGTCGGTGACAACATGGACGAGGAGGACGACCTGTTCGACTAAACGGAAAAAAAAATATGTGGCGATGAAGTATGATTTTTTCTTATGATTGAAGCGTTTGTTTTTTTTTGCCTGTCATATATAACCGAATGTTCTGTTTGTCATGATTGATTTCATTGGTACTGAGTTGGAAGATCTTATCATGGAAGGCAATTTGGGTTGGTGTTAACAAAGAAGGCCAGCTCTGACCGTAGTAGAAAACAAACTACTATTAGATAGCATGTTCCAAAGAGGAACGCAATACAAAATAAATACCAATAAGGAAAGGCAGTGCCCACAAGTGACATTGGTCATGTTGCTAAAGCGAATGCAAGTGATTCAACGCAGTAAGTAGTATCTCAAGGGCATTTGGCTCACAGGTTGGGGCGAGGCAACATGGCCGCAGCGAGCTTTAACGCGTCACCATCTCTTCGTTTGCATTTTGAGTGCAAGAGTCGGGCAGCACAAGAAATAGAACCAGGAGATCATCTAGTCAGTGGCCAAACAGTTGTGACTACCGTGTAGAGTGAAGATTGTTTGCGGCACGTGACCTGTCGTCTCTTGTTGACAACTCCTGTCGTATCTACGACTAGAAAACCTACTTCATGCAGCTGGATATCGTACGGCGTCATCGATAATGTATTCACTCTCTAGTGAGCTGTCTCAAGGCTTTAAACGTATAAACTTTATATATTTGAACGGCCTACTGCTTCAGATCGGCAGTTTTTTTATTTTTGGCCAAATTTCCCACCCAGACGTGCACAATAGCCGTGCTTCAATAGCCTCAAGATACATCCCAGTATAACACGCATAAAGTAGAATGAAACAAAACCAGACAACCAATCCCAGACGAAAATCAGAAATCAGAGCAAATTGTGACAAAATGAAAAATGAAATCCCGGTATCGTCAAGCAGCCATTATGAGGAGGGCTGGTCTCCTAGGTAGTATAGTAGAATGAAAAAATAGAAAAAAAACCATTCCCAAAATAATAGAAATCAAGAGTAATGTAAAAGGAGAGGAACAGAGGGGCGAAGAGAGGTATCGCAAAACGACGAGAAAAAAGACAGGATAGCGTAATGGGGAATCAAGAACAACAAATAGACGACGATGGAAGGTGTTTACAGAATGTCCTTGGAGTGCAGGAGCTTCTGCAGGTTCTCGCTACTAAATGCGTCATCGTCATCCTTGTCTTCACCCGGTAGCATCTCGATCAGGCCCGTCAGGTTGGCGAACAGGTCGCCCTGGTTGCGGTAGGCCAGAATCGCGGGGACGGCGGCGTTGTCAAACTCAATGTCGTCGTAGTGGACCTTGACAAAGTGGACGGCGGGAAACGCCGAGACCAGAGGCCGCAGAGCTTGCTCGATAGCGCTGGATACTTGGCACTGGCAGACTGTTAGCATTGATTGTTCGGTGCGGCAGTACGGTACTGTCGTACAGAAGCAACGGCGTGGTGTAGCATCGGAATACATACCTCGTCATCATAGACAAAAACGACAACAACGGTCTCCCGGCCGACCTTCTCAATGGCGTCCAGGTAGCCGAGAGCGTCGACGCTGTCGAGGCGACCATATAAGCGGACGCTTGGTGACGTCCGCCGTGTGCGGATGTGCGCACCAGGCCGTGCATCGCCCTCCAATTCTCGGCGGCGGGAGTCACGCCACTGTGCCAGGAACGACTCCTCGTCCTCGTCCTCCTCCGATGAGAGATCGCTCTTCTTGTCGTTGTCGACGGAATCATTGCTGACATGTCCAAGGCCAAACACACTCCGGCGGGCACTGCGGACACGGTTCATAAAGGTAGCCTTGCGGGCCAGCTCGTAGTTCCGGGCATCGGCAATGACACCCTTGACACCCGTGGCACGACCCGAGTCGAAAGATGCTGGGGGCAGATTGTAGCCATATGTGTCTGCGCCAGCAGCACTGTGGGACGGCATACGCATGGCGGCGTCGATTTGCTTCACACGGTACTGTTCTTCTTCGTCCACGTCGTCAATGCCGGTAGATGCGGCTTCTTGTTTGAAGGCGAGACGGTCTTCGGGGTGTAGGTGGCGGTCTTCGTCGGAGCCTTGGCTGCTTTTATCGACAAGCTGTTGGAACTCCGCCTGGGCTTCGGTTTGTGACATGATGAAAGAAGGGGAAAAAAAAAAAGAAAAAAGAAAAAAAAGGGAAAGAAGAGAAGAAAGAAGAGGAGAAAAGAGAACCAAGAAGGTGGCGATAGTGTGAGCAGGGGGTCACTCCGCTTTAAGTAGTGACATGCAAGTAGCGGAGCAAGAAAGGCACAAGGGGGGTGATGTGAAAATACCGGAGAGTCTTGATAGGCACAAAACAAAAGAAGCAAGGCACAGGATGAGCGGTCTAGACAAGGCAAAACCAAGCAGGTCCTCGAACGGCGGGGGTGTGTCCGAAGCAGTGGAGGAAGGAAGAAGTGGAAGATGCCGGTGCCAAGTCAGTGAATGGAATGGCTGCAGCAGCGTGTAAGAAAATGCGGTTTGAGCAGAGAGCACGCGGCGTTTGGCAGAGTTCCCTAATGGGGTAGGGCAAAACAACAGAGCCCTTTTTCAGTAACGGAAGGGATGAATGAAATGGAGAATAAACAGAGGCTGAGGCCAACAAAGGACGTCCAACAGAAAGACGGAAAACGAGTGTTGGACGGGAAGAAGGGCGGGCGTGTAACGAAGCGCCTATTTCCACGAGGCGCAAGAAACGTGGATGCCACGAAAAGAGACAATAACCACGCGAGAAGCGGGTTGGCTTGTCGACTTTGCGGAAAAGGGAGAAAGGGGGGGATGAGAGGCAGGGGATCCACGGACGTGAAGCTAACCGCTCGGCTGGATCAAGATACAACAGGTAGAAATACAACAGGCAAGGAATCGAGAGCTATGCGGCGGCTGAAGAAGTGGCCGTGAGAAATGGAACGCGGGCTCGAAGCTCGGTGTGGCCGTGGGAGACGCGAGCGTGCAAGAATGTGGGAAAAAGAGGCGTGCAAAAGTAGTTAAAGGATGGGAATGTCGAAACGTCCGTGTTCGACAGGGAAGTTCCGATGTTTTGCTCAGGCGAGAGAAGAGTAGCGAGGATGCGAGAGAAAACCACAGGAGAAGGATTTGCGAGTGGCTTGTGCCTGCTGTTTTGTTTCTCCCACGCCTGACGTACGTCGCAGGGGAAGAAGGCCAAGCCCAGAGTGAGGATCGTATTCGATTGGGACAAGGGCGAAAACACGACTACTGCGTCAGGGACGATCCTTTCTGGCTTGGATGAGCAGCGCAGGCTGAACCCCTGGGATGCGTCAGGCTGTTTCAGAACAGTTGGGGGGTCTAGCATAGGGGGCGTCGGCGAGAGCGAGGTCGCAGTCTTCAAGTGTTGCGTATTTGCGTGTGAGGAACGAGGACCACAACCGAATGCGTGGTTTGATGCCGTGTGAAGAAGGCTTGTGTTGTGGGGAGCATAGGCGAATGTCAGTTGGCTTTGTCGTGCGGCCGCGTGGAGTTGAGGTTCGATGTCTCGGTACGACGTCAGGACGTCTCTTCAGTGGCGCCAGGGGGGATTGGGGCTGCCGTGTGGTGCGTGCTAAATGTCATGCGCAACTCTGGGTCGGCCAATAAACGGGTCGACGGTTGCAAAAGATGGGGCAAGGCCGAGGTTTGCAACGAGAGGTGACAACGGACGACGAGAAACGAGCAAATGGCGATGTCAAAGGGGTCGGAAGGCGCCAAAGTAATAAATGAGGTCAACAGGTTTTCATTTAGTCCATGCACGAGGAAGGAGCAAAGGACAATATTGACATTCTATGTGCCACGGAAAGGGCTGCCTTGCGTCTTGTGTAGATTGGAGATCCAAATTGCGGCAGGAACCAAGACGGCAGAAGCAGGTGGAAAGCACAGAAGGCAGACGCTGCACGTTTAATAACGATAAATAAACAGTGCTGATAGCCACAAAATAGCGGTGCCCTAGCGGGGCGCCCGCTGACGATGGTGGGTAGGATACCGCTGGCAGCCTGGTGGTATTTTCTTCTTATCTCCTTTTTTGTCCCTCGCTTGGCCGCGCCTTCCTCACTTTGGCGTGCCGTGCCTGCCATTCGCGTGGCAGCAGGGATTTGTCAACCATCGATCAAGATACGGCAACTGCGGCGAGGAGATGAGGACGATGCAGGTGCGATGGTCGACTTGCAAGTACTGCAATTACGGGATACAAAGTTGTCATGAAGGTTAAATGCAGACGCCTACGCGCAACCTCTTCTTTATCGGCACCAACAGCACACCGGTCGATATGTACTAAACACAACGGGTCACGATACGCGTCGATATTCGCAACCAAACACTAACGCACTAGACAAGACCGCTGCAGATATTTGGCGACATTGGACTGGTGGCTATTTCTTGTATTTTTTTTTTTCTTTTTTCTACGGAGAACATGGATGCGATGGGCTGCCGAGGCAGCAGCAGCAGTGAGGGCAGGCTCGGCGGCAGGGCAAGCAGAAAAGGTGACGAAGAGCATAACCTAATGGAGTCAGATCACAGGTTGGTCAAGGCGTTGCTATTGTGGATGCTGAAAGGAAATGAGCAGAAAGATGCGTGTGTGGACATCGAACAAAGTACGGAGCATGTCGTCGAGGACACTGAAAATGCATGCGTCACGAGTGATCCACCACGACAAGGAAGGATGTTCTCTCGACGTTCCTCGTGAACAGAAAACCCTGATGTTCGATCGGCACTTCGCCTTCTAGTGCTCTTTCGTCTTGGCTAGCCCCTGGCTTTTCCTTCACAAGACCCCTGCTAGTAGTTGTCATATATTGTGGTCTCCTTTTTCGTTTTGGCGATGTTTGTGGCTGTCAGGCGGCGGAGCATTTGCCCACTCTCCGCCTTTTTTCGTATGCTTTAGCGTGTTACAGGATCCGTTGACAGGCTCTCAAGGGTACGGAGTACATGTACGGGAGAGGGGGCAGGAAAGGGAGAGATGTTCTGTCGATCAGGACACTGGAATGGGAAAAGGAAGCGAGAGCCGGTCTGGCCAGAAAAAGGATCGAAAAGGAGTACGACAAACATAGGTGACAGACAACGGAAAATATGGCGGGACGTATAATGAAAGACAAGAAAAAGCAATCGAGACATTGTGCTGTCCAGAGCTGACCAGAGACATTACGAAACCTTTGAACTCGGAGGGTTGTCCCACTGGCATTTTCATGCCTGACAGAATAGCGAACTGTGCACGGCCCGTTTTGCTTGTTCGATTAATCGAGGCTTACGAAGCACATGAGGCAAACAGAATGAATGCAATGTGTGGTTTTGATGCTGTGTGGAACCGGTGACAAACAGCAACAGCATCTCAACGTCATGGCAATTTAGGGCCCCTGTACGGAGTACTTCGTACGGCGTATGCCATCTTCTGTTCGTAGCACGACGTGCAGATGAGTACGACATATGGGACCGTCGTATATTCCACATGCAGATAATGCGTGCACAGGGCTGGGAGAGCATTGTCATACGGCTCGAGGAGGCGTAGGATGACAGATCTACGATGAAAGAAAGCAAACTACATAAAAGGCGCCGCACAGAAACTGGGTCTATACTTCGCACTTGACTACTCCGTACAGTATTCATTCACACTAAAACACGACCGATCGTGAGGGAAATGCGAAGCGGTGGGTTCTTTACGGATATGACCGATCTAGTTTCTGTTCATCTATGTGTCCATTTAGAGTAGTTGGGAAGAGGATAGCATCAATACTGGGTAAAAGGGAGCCTGGTCTTGCCCTGGCCAGGGACCACGAGCCTCGTCCCTCGTCCCTTGGGCTGAAACCAACAGCGCGATGCACGCTGGAACAGACCATCATAACTGATCCAGGCGTAGCATGATCAAGGTCGAGGGCGGAACGAATGGAGAAAGTTTCGTTTGCCTATCAAGCATTTAATCCAAAACAAGACAAGAATAAGTGTGGTTTAAGATCGTACCCAAACACTGATTGTCATGGTGCTTGGTACGATATGTTGTGTTTGTCCAGACGCAGGCTTTGAAGCTTGAGTAGGACAGCACCATTTAACGATCATATCGTTCGTCGCTATGATTATATTGTGGTAGTGCGAACTACTTTTACCAATATTGTCATGCCCACTCCCATTGGAAAGCCGTTTTTCATGAAAAATAAACAACTACATCATGGAAGTTCGCTGTGTCCATATAGTTTAATTTTAGCTTTAATATTCAAATAGAGAGATGAATAAATCAAGTCACTGCAGAAACTGAACGATAGACATCCATTTTGACGAGATTAGCCGACAAGACTGAGAATTGTCGAAACCACGGAGAAAAATACATAAACATGAACTTACAACGTCATTCAAGCCTGGGCATTCAATTCACGCCATATATTTAACTGTGACGTGCTGACATCAATACTCCGGCAGTCTGTCCAAGCAGTTGGCCACGATAGCGTATACGGCGGGTGCCTAGTCATATTCAAGTGTGTCCTTACGTATATGAGTACGTCTTATGCAGGGGAGCTGTTTGGACATCGTCAACCAGGACCATAAGAGGCAGCTGAGCAGATGGAGTTTTTAAATGCAAGGAACACAAGACTATAGAGACCAGGAAACGATTATCACTGGCCATAAATACGAAGCAAGCAAGCTGATGCACCAGAACGACAAGGCACATCGGGAGAGAAACATCAGCACACAGTGGTCGTCGTCAATGTCACAGTAAGACACTTTTTCGAGTTGGTACAAAAAAGTTATTTTTTAACGACAAACGAAACAGATCAAGTAATAAAAAGGATATCGTTAGAGTGGTGGTGTGAGCTTCTAGTAGATAGAAGGTAGCGGTCGGACGGCGGAGCGAAAGAGGGAGGAGTATTGGAAATAAGAAGGTGGATGTAAAATGAGTTAAAAGGTCAACGTCGAGGGAACAAGAAAACTGGGCACTCGTGTCGTGATACACCGGCCAACTATACAAGAGGAAAGATCGTCTTGAACAAGACACAAAGACGGAGGATGAATAATAAAAAAAGGGAATATAGAACAGAGGAAAAAGTAAAAAGAAGACAAAGTTCAAGAGAAGAACAGAACAAACACGAGAGGAAAACAGTTGAGCCGAATTATGACAGAGCAAAGGCAAGAAATAAAAAGAGACCCTTTTAGCAGACAAAACAGAGGAAACAAGAGCACAGGAAATACGTGAGCTAACAAGGACCCGAAGAGAAGCGTCGCAGCGGCAAGGCTGGGCCGCTGCTTCAACTCGTGCATTGTGGATTTGGATGTATGCGAACAAAAAGAGAAGAAGAGAACGAAGTAATAACAGCACTTGCTGCTTCCCGTATTCAACGTCAACAGCCGCTAATGTGGAATTGAAAAGCCGGGGCGGGACAGACTGCCGTGGACTGGCCGCTATGCAAACAAATCGGAAAAGGTTCGCTTGTAAAGGCTGTGCATTGGCCCAAATTTGTCCCACTTGTGCCAACCATACGGAGAGAACCCGTATCGAATTGTTAGCAGTGTATTGACAATAGATTATGGGAATATTCGTTCGTCGATCCCGTCTGAATATGATTTCGCTACATATTCGTCGCCTTCTCCAGATGTCTCGGGGGTGGCGGTCCCCCGTTTTCGTCGCTTTTTTATACTGTTGTAGATCGATAGAGCGAAATTTGTGGCAAACGTGGTTCGTTGTCGGAACAATATCAAACAAATGAGGCATTCGTCTCGTCGTTATAGGCAATTGCCTTAGTAAGCCCAGATCTTCAGCTACGTGGTTGTTAGCAATTTGTGACAGAGGACAGGGTTTTGCAAAATAATTGAGGAAAATACTGACCGAGGAATCCCACGAGCCTGTGCACAGGCTGATGCCGTCGTTGCTGACACCCAGGCAGCTTACACGGTTCTCGTGGCCGACAAGAGAGCCGACCTTCTCGCCGCGCGTGACATCCCAGACCTGAAGGAGCAGTTAGTACTGAAAAAACAAATGAGAAAACAACAGAGACAATGCTGCCAATGTGGTATGTAGCACAATCGGAGAAGGATGTGTCTTACCTTGCACTCGAAATCGTCGTAGCCCGCGAACAGTAAACGGCCAGACACTGAAGTGGCGACCGATGTGATACCGCAAAGAATGGACTCGGACTGAACACGACATATCGGTTAGCATCTGTATACCGTTCATCAAGAGCACAAATACGGGCCGCAAGCGAACACCCCGTAAATGATACCAGAAAGCGGAAGAAGTAGGCAAAACGACAAAAAGACGTACACCGTAGACGTTGAGCTCGCGATCGGCACGGATATCGAACAGACGGCAAGTGGCGTCGTCGGAGCCAGTCACAAACGAGTGGCCGTCAGGGAAGAACTGGATGGCGTTGATGTCGGACTCGTGGCCGGCGAATGTCTGGACGGCCTTGCCGGCGCGGATATCCCACAGCTTGGCGAAAGCGTCGCACGCACCAGAGATGAAGGTGTTCTGGTTGGTCGGGTTCAAGCTGATGCTCATGACGTCGCCCAGATGATCGGCAAACTCGACCACACGTGTGCCCGTCTCAATGTCCCACTTCATGCAGGTCATGTCGCCGGACGAGGTCAGGATGCTGCGGTCATTGATGAAGCGACAGCACGAGAGGTAGCCGGCGTGGCCAGACAGTTCGCGAGCAACACGAGTGGGACCGTCACGGTTCTGGTTGAGGTTGTAGATGGAGCAGATGTTGTCGAGACCACCGCAGGCAACGTAGTTGCCACTCGGAGCATACGCGCAGGTCATGACCCACGACGAGCGCAGGGGAATGGCGTGGACTTTGTTGGTTGTGTAGGCGTCCCAGATGATCAGCTTGCCGTCCTGCGAGGCGGACACGAGGTGTCTCCGGTCGGTGGACCAGTGCATGGCATAGATCTTGGCCAGATGGCCCTTGAGAGTGCGCTTCGGCTTCATCATCTGGTTCCGCGAGATCGGCTCGTGCGCCTGCTGAGCAACAGCGCGAACTAGACAGCAGCAAGGTTAGCAAAGGGGGAGGGAACACGACCAGGGCCATCACGCAAAGCTTCCCATCACGAGGGCCCAAAACGCCATGTAAAAGGTGCGCGAGGAGAGTATTGGACACTAGAAACAGGTTGAGGATATGACTAACGTGTTGTATCGGCGAGCTCATCCTTCTTTCTCTTGATGCGGTCTTTCAGCGTCTCGGCCTCACGGCGTGCTTGCTGGATCCGTGCCTGCATCGCCTCAGGCGACACGTCGCTTTGCCGTTGCGAGTCCATTGTTGGCTGTTTGATGATGGTTGGGAAGAGAGTGTCAATGTCGGTAAAGGGGTGGGCGCGACGAGGTAGAAAAAGGCGAAGATCGCTGGTCGTCAGGTGAAGCAGAGCTGACGGGGTGCGGTCAATTGGGAGCCGACGGTTTGATGAATCAGGTTGGCGAGAATATCATGCGAAATAGAACAAAAAAAAGAGAGCCTCCAAAGGATTCGGATCTCTTGGCTGTTTGAAGCGCAGGCTTCTCGTGTCTTTGCTCTTTCGTGGTTCGTTCAGGAGAGCTGCCGTTGATTCGTTGCGAAAAGGCAGGCAAGAGACGAAAGGGGGTGGATTGGAATGGGCGAACAGGAACAACAGAGAAAATAAAGGGCGACGCCCGCTGTGCGCTACGGGAAGGGGAGGAGGTGAGGAATTGGATGGCCTTGAAAGGGGATTTTAGCAGAGGAAAACGGTGTGCCAAAGTGGTAAGACGAGCGAGCGAAGGCTGTTTTCGCCCAGTTGCAGCCACCAGATGGTAAAAAAGTGGAGAGCAGGGAAATAAGAGGGAGGTTAGTTGGCGACCAGGGTTGACCAAAGCGACGAAACGGCGATGGCAGTAAGCGGAAAGACAGAGAGGACATTCGCTTTTGGTGAGCAGTCGACGTTCGTGAGAGCTGAGGACCGCTGCAACAGGAGAATTGTCGAGAGATGTGGATTGAGGGGTGAAGATGGAAAGAAAAGGAAACAATATGCTAATTGTTCTGACCGGAAGAATAAAGCAGCAACTGCGGCTGCAACGGACGGGAAGGAGAGGAAACAACGACCGACAATAACGGCCGCGTACAAGCTTACTAGGGAAGGAGGCCAGTGCTGGTTCTGCAAGCAATGTGGGTTCTTTCCCTCTCTGGCAGGCGTTCTGCATACGCTAATTATCCTTTGGGGTTCCCAAATGCAAAAGGGGAAGGGGAGGAAATGCAATGCGAGGTCGAGGTGGTGTTTTAGGAGGTTTGCGGGTGCAACGAGGAGATCTCTCAAAAGGGAGGGGGGGTTTAGCGTAGAAAGGGAAGGAACGAAGGGGAGATTGGGGGGTGAGAGAGGAAAGTGCCACCGACAACGAGGTTTAGGGGCCGCGGAGGGTAGAGCGGGTGGGTCTTTCAGGCGAGCTGCCAAGGCGGCGGAGGACACAGCTCTTTCCTGGAGAACGCACTTGCACAATGGTTGCGGAATGGATTGTGAGAGAGCTCTGTGCAACCACCGGTGATTTTCGCACAGTGCAGCTGGCTAATGAGCGCCATTTCTAGCTGTGTTGTGCTTCTCGGTCCGCTGTAATTACACAGTGCATACACGTTGCGTCCTGTGCGCCGAAAAGAGCAGGCTAATGATGCACTATTGACGGTGAGAGCTAGAGTTAACAGTTTGTTCTATTACTCCGTTCGCGATATTTACTATTTAGAAAGAAAACAGGTATTATCTCGAGACCCTTGTGATGCGGAGCATCTGTCGTATCTGTCCATTTCGTGAGAACAGAGGACTGAATAGTCCGGTCAATGAACGTGCAGCACTCTGCCTTGCCGGTCTGCCGCTGTCGCTTGTCGTTTCTGTGGCGCTGTCAACTCTCTCGACGCCATTTCTGCACAACTTGCAGACAGGCGAATCCCGGTAGAGCCTGGCCTTGCTTGCGGTGCATGCAGTTAAACGGCTATGCCTATATCTTGGGAGCGTCCTTGTCCAATGTTCAGGCAAGATAGGAGACGGACACAGGAATATCTCTGTGCAACGAGAACGATCGCAGTTGGACCGGAAGCTCAATCGCGCCGCCAGTCAGAAAAACCAGATTAGAGTAGTAGTAGACGGCGCGTCGGGTATTTTAATTTACGCACGCTAAAACGAAAGCAAATGCAAGGGGCCCAGTTGACGAGACACGGGAAAAGGGGAGATGCATTACTAAAGCACAGGGCGAAAGTTGACCAGGTGAGGCAGAACGACACAAGACAGACGCGAACAGATCAAAATGCATGACATCTATGTGGCCCCTGCGCGGGAGCCGACAAAAAATCGAAGGATCGGGAGACAAAAAAGGAACTACAGACACAACAGACGATCAAAGTGGGCAAATCATTGGCAACAACGGCCAACAGAGAGGTGTGGATGTCTCACATTCTGAACCCATCGGCCAGAGAAGGATACGGACAGGCATTCGCCGTACGGAGCAATACGCAGTGTCCGATGCTCGCCACACGCAGCGATGGGGGACTGGACACAAAACAGCCAGCCAGATGCAGTCGAGACAGGGCAGAGACGCAACTGGCGCAACTGGCGCAGGACTCCGTCAACAACCAATACCGTAAAGGCTCGTTAAACTGCCTCATTAACGGCTGTCCGTGACAGGTTCTGTGTTCCTATCTCTTTTTTATGTGATCTCTTGTCGGAAGCTCTGCACTTTAGAACGCGCCGAGACCCCGGGATTGGAACAACGTTAGTGCCTGGCCTGGCATTGCTCACGTCGTTTTGACTCCTGATATATCGCTGAAAGTACTTTTGTGAGATGTGACTTCTTTCTCAGAAGACAAAATATCAATGCCTCCAGCTCGCTGTGCCGTAAAATACCGTGCAAGTATCGACGGTGGACGATTGTAGGCACTCGCCGACATGTCTCAAATGCAGCCGTGATCGCCCATTCCCGGAATGAGGGACGTTGAGACAGAAAGGAAGAGATGTGCCCACACTGACTGACGCTCAGGGATGGGGCGGCCCAGGCTCAAATGGCCCGTGCACTGCTGTCGTGACATAACGCAACGGCTACGGACACTTTATTCTTCGCTCGTCTCACCCTTTGTTTGTTTCCGTTGTCTCATTTGTCGTCGACTTCGATCTGCTCCAAATAGCCAATGTGCGGTGCTTTCGTTTTTCGTTGGTGGGAGGGATAACGGCCCTATTTTATTTTTCGTCCATTCTTTTCTTTTTTTCCGGTGATTAGCTTGCTATATAGCTGGAAGAGGGCCCACATCCCGAGCTGCGGCGTAATTTTTGTCTCTTGAAGGAAGCTACGTCGCCAACGTAGAGGGGGGCCTTCCTCGTACGAACGCTGCCTCACTGAAGATGAACGGACAGTACGAATTAAGTATTACGACATATACGCTGTTGCTTTCTCAACATCCTTCAGTGCAACATCGCGCCGTCGATACAATCAAAAAGTTTGGTCGCCCGAAGAACGGTTGTATTAGGCCCTGTATGTCGCTGTGGTGGACTGGCCCCCAGGTACCTCAAGGCTGGTTGCCATTTCGAGCCTAGCCTGAACAGCTGGAATGTCTGGGTTGTGGTAGGATGGGGGATAGGCAGGGGGGTCCATCAAGAGCGACAGGAGAAGCAGGAGGGAATGGTCATCTACAGGGCCGGACCCCAGTGAAGGGAAGTTGTTACTCCATAGAGCCCCATTGATTGTCCATGATCCTCGACTTCTTTCGCAGCTCCGTGACCCTCTATTTTCGTCTTGATATTTTTGGCCTTTCGGCTTGTATTTTGTGTGTTTTGGTATTTTATTTATTTATTCGCTTTTTTTCTCTCTCACTTCCCTTACCTTTTTTTTTTTTTTTTTTTTTTTTTTTTTTTTTTTTTTACCTCAGTCTCCATTCTTGTAGCTCTGATTCATCGTTTTCTCTTAAAGGTCTGATACGCGGCCGTCGATCAATCAAGCGCACCCGCGACCTTGGTTTTCGCCGCACCTATGACGGTACTGATCCGTGACACTGTTGGGTTCTTTGACAGCACGTGATACTTCTCACCGGCCGTATCTTTCCATCTTTCCTTCTTTCCATCTGGACGCTGAGATCAGCGGCCCACCCGTGAGCCTCGTCGGGCAAGCTGTCGGTCCCGTCTTGGACAGGTCTTGGATGGGCAGGCGGGTTGAAGATGCCGGCGGGCTAATCACGACAAACGATGTGTGCGTTTGCGGGTGGAGCGGCCCGCGGGGAGAAATTATGAGCAGCAATGGAGACTGAAACTTGAACAGGCAGGCTTATTCTCGTTTCGAGTGATGAGTCTCTCCCTCTTTAGACTGTTGTTATTTTGCCGAAAACATACCGCCTCCAAGCTTGGGTTTTATTTTCATTGGCTTGTATCTAAGTAACCTCTAGACCATGTACGTCATATAACCAAGATGTTTACCTGTGCGAGTTAGCCCAGGCACGGAACCAGTCGAGGGTCTCGGGGTTGGCAACGCTGGCATTCGTCTTGACCTGCATGCCGGAGAGAATCTGCTTAACGGCAACCTCGATCCTAGGAATGGTTAGCACGATACTCACACACATAAATACATGGGAGGCCCGGATACACCGCTGGTGACATACTTCTTGCCATTGCTTGTCCGCGGAATGCCGCTGCACTTCTCAATGACCCCGGGCACGTGCCGGGGACTCAGCTCTTTCCGTATGGTCGTCTTGATGCGGCTGCGGAGGTCATCGAATGTGACACCGCCTGACGTCGGGATAACGAACAGGCACACCGTCTCGTCCGTGTCCTGGGCCCGTCGCCGGCCGACACACAGCGAGTCCTCGACCTCACTGGCAAAGAAGCGTGTGATGATGTTGTAGATCTCGGCACTGCCAAAACGCACTCCCGAAGGTTTGAGGACGCCGTCAGACCGGCCCAGCATGACCAGCGACTGGTTGTCGGCGCCTTCGAGGCGGACAAAGTCACCGTGGTGCCACCAGCCGTGAAAGCGCTCAAAGTAGGCGTCGCGGTACTTTTCGTCGCCGTCGTAAAAGGTCAGGGGCTCGCAGGGGAAGGGCTTGATGCACACGAGATCGCCCTCTTCGCCGGCCGGAACGAGCTTAGGATCGTCGGAGGCAGATGCCGAATCGGCGACGGCAATGGCCATGCCGAGGCCGGCGCACTGCACCGCGCCCGCCGTGACTGGAAGGAGCGGGCATGGTGCGCCGAACAACGAAATGATGTCTGTGCCGCCCGTAATTGAGGCAAGGTGGACCCGCTTGGGGAACGTCTCGTACACGTATGCGAAGGTCGACGGCGGCAGCGGCGAGGCGGTCGAGTAGATAGCCTCGAGGGCAGACAGGTCAATGGAGGGGTCGGAGGAGATCTTGATCTGCTTCGACTCAAGTGCAATGAGATACGCTGCAGAGGTACCGAAGTGTGTCACGCGCTTGTCGGACAGCACCTTGGGTAACGACAGTTCACCTTGTGGCCGGAAAGGCGAGCCCATGTACAGCACCAACGAAGCCCCGACCGACAGCGCCGCAACGCTCCAGTGCCACATCATCCAGGATGTGGTCGTGTAGTAGAGCATGCGCGACTTGGGGCCTATGGAACAGTGCAGGGCAAGCTCTTTCTTGTGCTGGATGAGTGTACCCAGCGCTGTGTGGATGATGGCCTTCGGCAGGCCTGTCGTGCCACTAGAGTAGAGGATGTACAGGGGGTGCGAGGGTGGCAGCGGCTCAAAGCGCAGCGGCTCATCTGGCGCGCTCGCCAGGAAGGTGCCGTACGCCTCCGCCACAGCGACCTTGCCCCGCAGAGTTTCGAGGCCAAGGCTGGCCTCTGTCGGTTGGGGGTCGGGGTACTTGACGGAGTCAACAATAATCACGGCCTTTAGATGTCCACCGTCGCTCAGAGCGTCGACAATCTGCAGCGTTTTGTCTGTGCTGGGCCACAACTTCCCGTTGTACATGGAAACGTGGTCCGAAAAAAGAACCTTGGGCTTGACGCGCACAAGACGGTCCAGCACAGCGCTCACGCCGTTGTCGGGGCTGATGGACGTCCAGACAGCACCAATGGAAGCGGCCGCGAGCATGGTGACAATAGCATCGGCATGGTTACCAATGAACCCTGCCACGACATCACCGTCGTGCACTCCGATGGCCGGTGAACGCAATTGGGCAGCACATCGGCGGACTCGGTCGCGCAGCGTGGCCCATGTCATCTCTTCCGAGCCCAGTGCGTCCCAAGCTTCGGTCATTGTGATCAGAGCGGTGGCAGACGGGTCCACTTCGACACCGGCAGGGAACAGCATGTTCTCGGCAAAGTTGAGGCGGGCACCCTGGAAGAAGTCGGGCCGTGGGTACATGGTCGTAGTCGGCAGGACCGTGTCGTATGGTTTCGAGGCCGTGATTCCAACATAGTCCCAGACGGCGGCCCAGAAGTCGGCGAGGCTGTCAACGGACCAGCGGTGCAGGTCAGGGTAGTTGGTCAGCTTGAGCCCATGCTTCTTGTTGACAGTCTCCAGGAACTGGAACATGGGTGTTTGTTGAGGGTTCGGGTGCCGCCAGAGCTCCTCAGGAGCCGGCGAGGCTGTGGCAGTGGGGACAGCCATGCTAGCTGAGCGTGTGTGTATGCGTGGGCTGTGCTTCCTCGTGCAAGTTGGAATTGTGTGTACGGGTGCCCGTGTGCTGCGTGTGGCGATGTGTGCAAGTTTGCAAATTGGCTGCGCCGGAGCTGCAGCCTGGCGCTTTGGAGAACTGTGACAGGAACTGAAATATTATACAGCCGACGGGAAGATAGTTCGGCTTCGTAGCTGCTTCCTATGGTGCTGCCCTTGCAGATTGTGGGGAGGCACGACGGAAAGGCCAGGAACCAAGTCACGACTCAATATTCCGCGAAGGGAAGGTACTCGGCTTACAGCTGGGGTTCTAAGCCGAGAATTGCCTTTTGGTATGGGGAAAGGCTGGCCCACGGAGCAAGTTGCGCGCCACTTCAGCGGAGTGGCCCGTCCGAAGTCAGGGGTTAGCAAAATATAGTCATGTGACCTTGCTCGTGACAAATGTGAGTCTGCAGCCTCACACACAACAGTTGAGGAATGCGAAAGGGATATGAAAGCCATGCAAGTAAACATGGAGAAGGGCAGACGTCATGGAGAAACTTGCGTGCCTGAGCATTCCAGGTCGACGGATTGTGTCAGAACTGGCACAAGATATTAAACACCATGTGACTCGGTGTGTCTCCCGCAGCAGATGATCATATCGAAAACGTCGATGAAGATGTATCGTCAATTGCGAACAACAACGTAGACTCCCATCAATCATCTGAGACGCAATTTTCGGCTGCTGCCGTATGTACCAGACAGCTAGCCGGCGTATCATCTCCGTGGCGGGCGTGTCGAGGACTGCAGCAGCCCTTTGGTCTCGGCACTGTCATCCAAAGAACGGTCTGGAGTATGGATTCCTCATTTTATTTACACAAATGACGTCGAATGCAGCTGGCTTTCCGTCGCATCGCGAAAGTTGCCGGCATCCCCTTCGGAACATCCTAACGTTGGGCCTGTGCGAGAATCGTAGCGGGTGCTGCACAGACGAACGCGACTGTCGTGTGATTCCCACTCTCACAGGGCTCGCTCCGGCCCATCCGACCATCGTATCTCGTTTTCGTAGGGCGGTGTGCAAGGCTGGCAGCCGTGCCTGAATCCTCAGGGCCAAATGCCGAAAAGCTGAAGCGGTCTGCATGAACTGCCTGCCACTTGCATACGACCTACAGCAAACCTAGCACAAACGTATTCCAGCGTATTCAGTACACACAGCGAATTCCAACAAACAGCTTTATCGCTGAGGGCTGCGATGGCGCAACGATGTGCTGCAACCCTCGCACAACTACGTCGCACTTCCTCCCCAACGTGCTAGCATTTGATTGAAGCTTTTCTTTCTCACTGCAAAACGCGGGCAAAGGCGGAATCAGCATGTCATCCCATGTTTCCCCTGGCCCAATTTCCGGATTCTCCGGGTACGCGACAAGACCCGAACAGACTACGAGGCTAGCGCTGTGGTGGGTGAGTGGCAAGTGAAATTTGAAGAGGCAGAGGGAGAATTGGGGACAAGAAAAAAAAAGACTTCTGTAAAAAATTTGGGACCACAAGAGTCCAAATCCACCGTAACCAGCGCACGGTGGCTCCAACCGTGACATGTGAATTGCTGGTCACTTGCGCCCCTGCCGATGTATCTCTCTTACTGCGTCCCGCCTTCTGCCCCGCTAATTAAACGGCATCCATACGCTTTGTCATTTCGGGACTTGCCAGTGTGCTCTCTGCTCGCACCCCATAATCCATACTGTCTCAACCTGATTCGCGTCGTTCTCGCGCTCTTTCTCCTATTCTGGCCTCCCTTGCAAATCTCGCCTCTACTTTCCTCCTCGTTGCGTTGGTATCCTCTCCTCTCTGCTTTCTGTTTTTCTTTTCATCTCCCTCTGTCGACATTCGCCCTTTCCTGGTTTACCTTTTGCGATTCTTCGTCCCGTTTGTTCGTTCCTTCCTTTCCTTGCTCGCCAAGTGTCGAATTGAGCATTGTGGGAAGTGATAGACAAGGAAACTGCGACGCGAAACGACCGACGACGCCCCCCGCGCATTCCTTTCTGGCAAAAGTCGTCGAACCATCTCCAAAGAGGAAGCAGGGAAAACCCAGAGGTCGACTCCCTCGTCTCGTCGAACTCGCCTCGTTCGTTCGCGGCCAACCTTCCCCTCGTCCTTCGATTTCGTCGTTGTTGGCTGTTGGGCACGCGAGTCTCAGTCGCCAGCCACGGACTGTTGCGTAAGTTTTGTCTCTGATTTTCGCAGCCGTTACGCCCAGCAGGGCGGTGCATCGTGTCTCGCATCGCTCCTTCCCTTGACTACACAACGCATCCAACACAACCGAAAACAACTTCAAAATCCAAAGAGAGCAGGAAGGCGATACACATTACACATGGAAGCCGCAGCGAGGCAATTGAACTGCTGGGACTGCTCCTCGTTGTCTCAGAAATAGCAGGAGCTCCCTTTCGCTACGCCTTATCATCCTAGTTTGTCGTTTGACCCATGGCCCAATTGCCTGATTGAGCAGGGGGGCGGAATTGGGCAATGTGGTTCGCGCCTGTCGTCTCAAGCTTTGACCCCAAATCGATCCTTTCCCCTTTCCCTCCTTCCCTCGTCGCGTTTTATTACCAAAAAATAAGACATCAACTGCCCAGCCCCTTTTTCTTACCACTGGCTTCAGGGTATATCCACACGCCTTGGCAACCTTGTCCCACGCTCCTACAGTCCGTTTTCTTACGGCAAGCGGCCTCGTGTCTCTCCGTCACTTCCATCGTCTCTCCCTTTCACTGCACCTCTCTCCCGGGAACCCGGACCTTTCATACCTCACGTTTCTTGGGTTTCCTGCATCGTCACTTTTTACCCTTTCGTCTCTCTTCGCCGTACTTTCTACCACCTCTGAATTATTTGTTTCCTGCTTTTTCTCCCGCATCGGCCACTTTGGCTGTCTTGTCCCTCTGTCCTATTCGAGCAGCCGTCCCAAAAGTCAACAAAAACTCCTGAATACTGACACCGTTTTGCTGCATCAGCTGCTGCCTTGCCCATCCTAGCGATGCCGCGCAAGCTTGCAAATCCTTTCTCGAGTTACTCCAGCATGTCGCCGTTGGAAAGGGTGACAGAGCGAAGATCATCACAATCCAAAGGCGGCAGCCGCCTGTCCCAGTTCTTTTCCTCCTCCCCCAAGTCCCGGGACCAGGCGAACATGACCGCCCAGCAGTCACTCCTCGCCATGCAACAATCTCCGGCCGCTGGTGGCATCTCTGCCTCTACCCTTTCCCTTCCCAAGATTTCGCTCTCGACTGCGACTGCCGGCGAGGCTGTCTCCGACGAGGCTACCACTCTTTTCGAGCCGCCATCAGATGCCGAGACCGAGCTGCAGCGCCGCAAGGATGCGCAGTTCGGCCCTCTCCTCAGCCGCAACCACCTCTACGTCAGCCAGCACCCGGGCGGTCCGTTGGACCCGCCCGTCGTCGACGAGCCACCATACTACTACTTTTTGGCCACGTACATTAGTTATCTGCTCCTGATAGGACTTGGCCATACACGCGATTTCTTTGGCCGCCACTTCAAGAAGACCAATGTGAACGCCACCGTTCGCCTTAAGAATGGCTATGCGCCGCTCAATGATGACTTTGACAACTTTTACGTTCGTCGTCTCAAGAAGCGTCTTGACGACTGCTTCGCCCGGCCCACCACTGGTGTCCCTGGCCGCTACATTACCCTCCTCGACCGCAAGTCGGACGACTACAACGACACCTACCAGTTTACCGGCACCTTCACCGAGACTCTGAATGTCAGCTCATACAACTACCTGGGCTTTGCCCAGTCCGAGGGCCCCTGTGCCGACGCCGCCGAGGAGGCCGTGCGCAAGTACGGTGTCACCGCCGGTAGCTCCCGCGCTGATTCTGGCACGAACGACTTGGCCCTGGAGGTTGAGCGCGAGATTGCCAAGTTTGTCGGCAAGCCTGCTGCCATGGTGTTCTCCATGGGCTTTGTGACCAACGCGAGCTCGTTCCCAGCCCTTGTCTCCAAGGGCTGCCTGATCCTGTCCGACGAGCTGAACCACGCTTCTATCCGCATTGGTGCCCGCGTGTCTGGTGCTGTCATCCGCTCCTTCAAGCACAATGACATGGTAGACCTGGAACGCCACCTCCGTGATGCCATCTCTCAAGGCCAGCCCCGCACGCACCGCCCGTGGAAGAAGATCCTCGTTGCCGTCGAGGGTTTGTACTCGATGGAGGGCACCATGGTGGACCTGCCCAATGTTCTTGCCCTGAAGCGCAAGTACAAGTTCTTCTTGTTTGTTGATGAGGCTCACAGTATTGGTGCCGTCGGCCGCAACGGCCGCGGTGTCTGCGACTACTTCAAGGTGGACACCTCTGAGGTGGACATCCTCATGGGTACTTTCACAAAGTCCTTTGGTGCGAACGGTGGTTACGTCTCCGGTGAGAAGCACATCATCGAGAAGCTCAAGGCCACGAATGCTGCGACACACTACGGCGAGGCTCCTTCGCCTGCTGTTCTGGTACAGATCCTGTCGTCTCTGAAGATCATTGCCGGTGAGCTCGTCCCTGGCCAAGGTGAAGAGCGGCTGCAGCGTATCGCCTTCAACTCCCGCTACCTTCGCCTCGGACTCAAGCGCCTCGGCTTCATTGTCTACGGCCACGATGATTCGCCCATTATTCCTGTTGTCCTCTACAGCCCCGGCAAGATGTCTTCCTTCAGTCGAGAAATGCTGAAGCGGAAAATCTCTGTCGTTATCGTCGGTTACCCTGCCACGCCGCTTATCAGCTCTCGTGCTCGCTTCTGTATTTCCTCGTCTCACACCAAGGAAGACATGGACCGCCTGTTGATTGCCTGCGACGAGGTCGGTGACATTTTGCAGCTCAAGTTCTCCACGGGCATTGCCGGCGGCTTGGAGCCTCTCCCTGCTAGCGTGACCCCCGAGATGGAACGGGAGATGATCAAGCAGGAAGGTTCCAAGGCTGTCATCCGTGCGCCCCGGTGGAAGATTGAGGACGTCCTTGCTGCTGGCGAGGAGGACGCCAAGAAGCGACTACGGTAGAACCTTCCATCGCATTACCACCGCATCATCAGCGACATGCAATTGCGACAAATGGGAAGGGAGAGAATGCTGAAGCATTTGACCACGCTCTTCGTGAGACGTCGATAGACAACCGTGGCAGTACCATCCACACCGGGGACCTTACTATACTTTCTGGCGTTCAAGGATGGCACTGTGTAGATCATCTTCCTCTGCGCAGCCTCTCTGGTTTTCATCAGCTGTCTTTTCCTTCCTCTTCTTCCCTCTTCTTCACTTGATTTCCAAGACCTCCTATTCATTAATTATTATCGCCCTCCCCCCTTGGATGTACGCTCCGCTTTTCTATTCTTTTTCTTATTCTTTCACTTTTGCTCCGGGGACATGACGGCCGGCTGGGTGTTACTGTATCTTAATATGGTGTATAATTTTCGGGGGGAGCCGTTTGCAATAGATAGGTGTCCTGGGCGCATTCTCTGGACAAGGGTTCCAAGCTTTTAGATACTTAACCGCAAAACCAAGCATTTACATAGAAACAATCGTATTGTGGTATGTGATAGTTGATGTTTGTCAGTGGTGATTTGTGACCTTTACAAATTGCAATAGGAAAAGCACTCAGTGAGATGTTGTACAACGTACATCAGTTCGATTTCGCGCATAAATAATGTCACGTGACTCCGCGGCGAGAAGTTCTAACGACAATTGACTGAACGCGAGTTCCTGAATCCTCGACAGGAATGGGCACACTTGGAGTTGAGGCATTCGCCACATTGTCCAACATTTTGTATATTGCCGTTAATAAGTTCATTTTCTGGATTCTGATATAATATACCGCCATTGTTTTGTCGACTACTGGCTGATCAGTGACAGGCTCCAGTCCAACTCGTCTCATTCACGCACGCGTTTTTACTCGACATGCGCGCTTCTCCGTTATTATAACTGAGACAGCCTGGCCGACCCGATTCACGGGTAGGGTGGATTCCCGCTTGATTCTTTCTTTTACTCCACCTCCTCTTAGCTTCATTCTTTACAACGAAACACCGTCTTGTCTTCCGTCCTCTCTGCCTAACAGATATCTCGTCTCCTCGACAAAGATGGGCCGGTCGAAGAAAAAGAGCAAGCAGATTACGATTGAGGATGTATTAGGTATGTACGGCATCGATTGTCACATACGCTTGGCCGGTTTGCGAGTCAGTGGGCTGACCATTTTGACATTCGTACCTCTCCAGGCAGAGCTGCGCAATTTAGAGCCTCTGTCTCTTCTCCTGTTTCCAGGAACGCCGTAGTGGTCAACAGATCCGACAGCCGTGATGACCATGATGATGATGATTATGACGAGGACGACCTTCCCATACAAAGATCTGGAAGGAAAAGAACAGCACCACCTGGGGCAAACTCATCACCCGTGCCGCGCATGTCTCGCCGTGGTACGATTGTGGACGACGACGAAGAGGAGGATGAGGACGGCGGCGACTCTGACGATACGATCGATGAACTGCCAAGACGGTCTACGTCCAAGGCGGTAGCCATATCGGATGACGACGACGACGACGACGATGTGCGGCCAGCAAAACGGCTTCGCCGAGGTCGCCAACCGTCTTCCGGCAGCGACGACAGCAGCGACGACCTTGTCATCCTCACGCCGCCACCAAAGCAAACTCCGTCACGGCTGGTCCGTTCGACACCAGCACAACAGCAACAGCCGACAATTAGCGTCTCGCGCTCGGCACGGAAAAGTGGCCCGCGATCAGCCCGGCAGCGCCACATGGAATTGCTACGGCGACGGCGGCTGGGCGAGAAAGTCACAGAAAGCGATCTGGAGGACTCGTTTTCGGACGAAGAACAGCCTCGGAAAGCGCTCTACGACAAAGATCCGGACCACGTTGCGCTGTCGGATTTTGAGGACGACGACGAGGAGGCGGTGGGGAAGCAAAAAGAAGCAGCTGGCGACGTAGAAGAAGCAGAGCCTGTCTCCGTCGAGCAGATGGAAAAGGACTTGAAGAGAAAGTGGAAGAAGGACAAGAAGAAGAAGAAAAAGGAGGAGAAGAGGAGGAAGGCAGAGCGCGAGCAGGAGCAGGAGCAGGAGCAGGAGCAGTTCTCTGCCATCATGCAGCTCCGCAGCCAGTACGATGCAGAGTCGGACGACGGCTACGACAATTTGCGACTGGGCGACGGCGAGGTGGCCAACGAGGACGACGAAGAGGCCGAGGACATGGCCGATTTCATCGACGACAGCCACACGGGCCTGCTTGGTGCGCCGGACGGTAGCGACGCCGAGGACGAGCAGGCCATGCTGCGGCGGGAGATTCCGCTGCAGTTTACCTTCCAGGCACACAAGCCGCTCAAGAGCCATTTCAAAGACGCCATTGAGTGGCTGGTGCACCGGCGCGTGAATCCTGGCGGCGTGTTTGCCGAGTCGGACGACGAGCTGTACAAGGTCGCATGGGGCCGGCTGGACCGCGAGGTCGGCGGGCTGGCGCAGTCCCGGTTCATCTCGTCGGTGTGGACGCCCGAGTTTTACGGCACGCTGCGTGCGCGGCCGTACATGGACAGCTTCAACATCCGGCCGTCTGGCGGCAAAAAGGACAGCATTGTCATCCCCGGCATGGACGAGAACGTGTGCCACGCGTGCGGGCGGACGAACCACCCGGCGTCTTTCCGGGTTATGTTCAGCGGCAAGGCCTACGACAGCAAGACACTGGACGACATTGAAGAAGCAGACAGCGACGAGGAGGACGAACCAGATGATGACCACGTGTCGATTGATATGAATGGAAACAGCCTCCCTCCCACGTCGCGGCAGTGGTACGTCGGCGTCGTCTGTCACAGCAACGCCGAGACGGCACATGACCTTTTGCACTGGCGACGGGCACTCAAAGACTGGGTGGAAGAGAAGCTCCAGGCGGACCATCTGCTGGACCAGCTGGAGGGCCGCAAGAAGAAGATGAAGACGAAGAAGCGGCGCACCTTTGCTAACAACATTGTGGACGACTGGGAAGCTAACGGCACGGTCGACTCTTTGTTCCGCGACTTTTCCAAGATGTTGGAGGGTGCGCAGGCCAAGTCGACCAAGACGCTGTCGCGGTTTGGCCGATAAGTTCAAGGACTTGGGGGGCCTGTAGCGGCCTGTAGCGAAGCCTTGTGTGTGTTCTTTTGATATGCTGTGTATCTTCATATTACTTGCAGGTTGTATATTGCTGTACGCCGACACAGACTCCCTACCTGTTATGATGGCCGCGTTATGATAGTCACAAAGGCCATTAAATAGAAACAATGATGCTCGCTATTCAGACATTGCCAAGACCTTCGGCATGGCTGCGGATTTACTCTTGACAAATGTTCTAGAAGAAAAAAGAAAATCAGAAAAACTTGGGCTACAAGAGATTCTTCAACAAAAAGGGACAAAGAATACAAGATGCAAGTCTGGAACGAGAGAGGGCGACAGGGGGCACGCCGAGAATAGAAAAAGAAAGGGGATTTCCGTCCAGCATCAAGAGGACAACTTATCCTCCGCATGATCTACGGCGAGCAGTGACCAGGCAAAAGAGGGTATTATGTGTCGAGGGGGGAGCCGTGTTTGGGATGGACAAAGCGGAGCCCACACAAACCAGGCGGTGGAATAGCCAAAATCAGAAGCGAGTTCGAGGGTGAGGGCCGGGTTGAGGAAGAGGGCGATCTACGTGACACTGAAGTCTACTGCCCAGATGATGCTTCGTACAGAAATTGAAGTGAGGAGGAAAGAAAGACAAAAGTAATGCTCTGAAAAGAAGATGTTGAAAGAAAAGAAGGTTTAATTTAATTTAAAAAAAAATTAGCAATCGGTCGAGTTTCAAGAGGTGATGCAAATGAATGAACACGAAAGACAAGGAACAAGGCGAAGACAAATGGCTCTTGAGTTATAGACGAATGGCAAGGATACAAAACAAAGAGGCCATGCTGACAAAAGGGTAAAAGAGAACAGTGCAACGGAAAAAATGAAATGAAGAAACCACACGCAGCAGCATCTTACTTCCTCGACAATGAAAAAAGCTGAAACTATCTCGGGAGCGGCCAACGGAGCAGCTGTTTCAAACCATCGGGAAGCAGCCATTGTCGCTCTTTGCCTCGGTCGGGGCCTCTCACACCCCCTTACCCCTGTTTCCTTTGATCCTTACATGCCTTCTCTTGTTTTCTTTCGTTACTCTTCTTTTCTTCTTTTCTTTTTCCTTCCTTTCTTCTTCTTCTTTTCTTTTTTTATTATTTTGGTACAGATGCCCCCTCTATCCCGTGCCTCCAACCCAGTCCATGCAACCACTTACAAGAACCGCCGGCCCTGGGATGGATGGGTTGGGCAAGAAGCGAAGCACTGCTCCGTGCCAGTGTCTGGACGAGGCACACTCAACTAGCCATTGGCTAATATGTCACAAGAAGGAAAGGAAAAGGACTGCGTCGGTTGCGTAGACACCAAAAGTGCACGTCCACGGTTTGTATCATGCATCCCGCCATCACAAACGTTGTCTGTGCAAAGAACTCATCCGTAGTTCTCGAGTCAGATGAGCTCATCATCCCAGCCTCGACCAAGATCAACGTATCGAGTTGCGTCGTTTGGGACCATCGGGCAGGTTGTAGACCAGGCCACCTGCATAACGTGCGCCATACAAACTGTAAGGAGACCACCGTCCGTTTTCCGTCTCGTCTGTCGGGACATGAAGTTGGGGAGTGATATGTCGCCGGTCTGGGAAAGCGTTCCTGCACATAGTGTCCACAGACAAGGCTGCAGTAGGCTCCGCTCGCCGAGAGCCACGTCCTCTTACATATCTGCAAGTACTCCGTCAGGTCGACAATATACTCCGTATTGGTACGTATCTGTACCCAGAGAGCGCAGACGCCAGCTGGCTGCAGGACGATGCACGCTGCGGCGTTGGCAGAATGCGGGTGGACCTGGCTGCTCGATCCAGGCGCTGTCCTGCCAGCGGTCTAGCACGCTTTGGGACGCCATATCCATTCTCTTGCATGGCTGTTGCTCTGGACTTGCACAACCTGCATGGTCCTTGGCCTTTTGACTTCACATTTCGTGGTGTGCTGCTTATTTCCCCCTCCTGCTTACTCAGTTGTGAGTGGCTGCAGCTTCGGAGGTGGCGTTTTGGGATGTCTTGGTTTGCTTGCGCATCGCTCCTCCCACTCCTGGCCATCTCTGTGAGCGTTTGGGCAGGAAGAGGCTCCCAACTCACAAGCCGACAATATATGCTGGCAAGCAAAAGTCAAGACATAGGACAACACATACGACGGTCTAAGTGTGCCACAGGACTGAGGCGGTGTGCTCGCACGAATAGGGCAGATTCCCGTTGCTTCAAATGACCACTCAGAATCGTGCTTTCCTTCTTGCCCCCGACGATGTCCTTCCCTCCTTCTCTAACTGTACGGCAAGCCTTGGCTCTTGCCCCGATGTACGTCGCATGCCCAAGGCAGCGCTCTTGCCCTCGTCGTCGTCCTTTCCTCCTGCCTTCTCCTGCCTTCTGCCCCTCTCACGTCCCCTCTTGTCCCCACTTACTGCACCAATGTGCTGTGGGCGCTAGACTCTAAATATACCACCCCCTGGCTTATGCTTTAGGTGTGTCCAGTCCCTTGTGAGCCTGTCTAAGTCGTTGCTTCTGCTTGAGTGGGCCGCGCCTGCCAAACTCTACCCACTCGGCGGCGCTGCGCTGTACGAATGTGCTAATGTGCCCATCCAGAACGCTCCTGCCCTGCTCACTTTGACGCTTCGAGTCAATGCCCCGTCGTCCCGGCACAAGCGCAACAACGCTGTCGTTCCTTCCCTCTGGAATCTTCAGGGTTGTCAGAGGGCACTGTCGTTCTTTCCTCTTCGTCTACCGTCGTGCCTTCCTGGTATTGCTGCCATCCTGTGCGTCTTTTTGTCCTTCTATTATAATCTTCGTGATCTCTCTCTTGTCCCTTTTCCTCCTCCTCCACCACCCCTTCGACCTCTGTCCTACACCAACAATAGCGATCATCGACCAAGTCCACTGTGCGGAAGCCGCCCGCCTCGACGTTCCATTTGTCCAATTGCCCACCCCAGAAATCCTTCCCTCGTCATTTTTCGCCTTTCGCTTCTCGCTGGAGCTTGGTCGGCGCTTGGCTCTCTGGCTCCCTTTCCATTCCACAGCCGCCTATTTGCACACCCTCTCCTTCTTTTCTGCGTCGTTGCATTTTCCGTGTTTCCCCCCTTTCCTTTCACCTCTGTTATTCCCTTGGACGAAGAATCAACTCTTGCATTTTGCGAATCTATTTGCAAATCGCAAATCGCAAATCGCACATCTTCTTAGTCGCTCTCCTGTCAGTCCTTGGTTCAGTCGCCGTCCGGCCCTCCCTTGCCAAACTGCCACCGTTGCTCTAAATGAGCTCCTGCCAGTAGCGCGAGCCATTCTTCCAACCCAGCGAAAGGAGGTACCCAGTCCACTTCGCACCGCGCTCTTCGCTTCCCATCTCCAATCTCGTCCACATCCTAGTCGACGAGAGGTTGAGAAGAACGGAAGCGAAGACGTTCAAAGACGTCGAAAAAGAGGCAGGAAAGCGTTTCCACGGATGATGCTCGCCACCTAAACCCAACACTTCGTGGACGTAAAAGGAATATTCGTTCTGCGAAGCGACGTCCACACTCTCTCTTATATTGCAGCTTTGGCCCACGTTTGTTCCTACCATCACCCCTCGCTACTTCCCTTCCTCCCTCCACCTGTCCTTGACGAACAACCAAATTTTCTCGCCGCCATCATGAGCTTCCAGCAGGGCACGGCGTACGCCGAATCCGACGCCGACGATGAGTACGAGCGCGACATCCACGACAGCTCCCCGATCGATGCCACCGAATCCGAACTTTCTCCCACTGAGACCGATATACCATCCGCCGAACACACGCCCACCACGTACGGTTACCATAGCAGCGCCGATCGGCTACCCGAAACGATCATCACCGACTGGAGCGCCGAGGAGTGTGCTGATTTTATAGCCACGATTGGTCTACAGCAATATGCAGATGGGTTCATCGGTACGTTTGGCGATAGGGGAGCGTCTGCAGCCCTGCGTCGTACTTGGCCTGTGCCTTGCATCATTCGACGGCCGCTGTTGTTGTTGGCTTGTGCTAACCCCATGGACCAGAGAACGAGATCGTTGGCGAGGCGCTTGTTGCCCTACTACACGACGATCTGAAGCAAATGGGCATCAACAGTGTCGGCCACCGCTTGACAATCCTCAAGAGTGTCTACGAAGTCAAGAAGGCTCAAGAGGTCCCGATAGAGAGCGACCACTATGTCCCTCTAAGTACGTATTTTGGCCCGCGTCCCCAAACCTCAAGCCTCATTCACTATTCGTCGAGTGTTCATTCTAACATGCTACCCACCGTTAGCCGCCGAAACTGAAGCGCAAGCCACCATGGCCACACTGAAGGACATCAAGCACCTCGTCGAGCAGCTGCGCTTACGAGACGAGCGCATGAGCCTATTCGAGCAGGACTACCGACGTCTAACAGATGACTTCCGCCGTTTGCGCGAAGATGTCCTGCCGGCTCTGCGTCTCGTCAAAGATGCCCAACAACCGCTGCCGCATGTGAACAGCAATGGCAGCACCACCACCACCGCCAACAACGATCAGTCCTATCCCTTTGAAGCCATCATTTCTCCTCCCGTACCAACGCCTCAATCCGGCACACAGTCCATCAATATCAAGCGCCAGTATTCGACCCGGAAAATGGTCCCGACAGGGACGACACCGAAAACCACATCTCCCACACACCTCCAAATCTCGCACGATCGGATGATCGCCGAGCAAACTCTCGATCCTGCCAATGCCGCCGAACGTGCCGTGCTCTCCTCGCAACACCTGGCCGCGGCAAATGGCAACGGCCAGACCGCCTCCTCACCATCATACCCCTCGCCCAATATACCATCTCCAACATCTCCGCCCATCTCCATGAACGGAACTACGCTCGCCTCCCGCTCCTACCGCTCCGACCAACCTACTCCATCCGGTCGTTCGACCTTTGCCGAGAGCGACCACGCCTACAACTCCTCATCTCGTGACAAGCACACCGGCGCACCACGGCGGATGCAGACTCCTGCTCCCGACACGCCTGGCAGCAATGCATCCGTGGAGATTTTCAAGTCATTCCGCGTGAGCATGGATGACCCTTGCTACAAGGTCCTGCCGGCTGCCCTACGACGCTATCAGATCAACGCACCTCCCGACCAGTACGCGCTGTATATTGTGTATGGTGACCAAGAGCGGTGCCTGGCCTTGAACGAGAAGCCGCTGATCCTCTTCAAGCAGCTGGATAAAGAAGGCAAGAAGCCAATGTTTATGCTTCGGAAGACGGCAAATGCGCCAGCGGATGGACCAACAGATGTGCCGGGCAGTGCAGGCCTGAATGCAGCGGCTCGGGGGACGTCAACTGCCTATGACCCGCCGGGTGGTATCATATGAACAATGTAGGACTCTATGTGGAAGGAATGAGATGATGACAGTTGAAACTTGAAATGCACTCCTCTTGGCGCCAGCCCAAGGACAGTTGTCGAAAGCAAGCACTCCCGGCGCCATTCCCCTACCGAGCGTGAAGTGCGGTAGAACAACACGATGCTACGATTCTTGCTCTATGGGCAGGTTAAGCATTCATCGCCTGGCAGTCATAAAGACAACCGTGCGTCCATAAGTGTGTTCGTCAACGCACATTCTGAGAAAACAAAGAGGTTGCGCCAAAGGACCGACAGAGAGAAGGGCGGGATCGTGTTTGTTCGCTGTGTGGGACGACCACCAAAGCATTGATCATTTTGTAATTTTGGCCCTTTGGGGAAGCAAGAAAATGCGGCTGCCCTTGCGACTGCATCATGACAAGGCAAGGACCGAGGCTGACGAGCCCCTTCGTGTTTCTGTCTTTGATTTGTCCTATATATATTACTACTTTGGAGGGCAGGCGTTTTTCCCCGGTATATTACTTCGCATCTACATACGCGTGTATCTACTGCACCGCCCTTATATAAGCCCTTAATTCATCTCAGTCGTTGATATATGTCCTTGTAGTTTGAAACTTATTCGGTGTGGCTATATTTGAAAGCGCAATGTGAGTAAAACAACTAATAGACTGGCTATGCTGTGCTGCAAAAGTTAGAAACAATACATGTGTTGAAAACAGTATTTACCATTCCAATGGGGTATAAATTGCGACCGACAGATGTGAGGTATGCGAAATGAAAACAAAGATTTGGATCCCAAAGAGTTGAAATATTCCTTCCCATTTGTTGGCGGGAAAAGCTGCCTTTGGGTAGAGACGATGAATGATGACACTTAGAAATGCACACTCCTCTTCTTCTGAATACGGCTGCGTTCGTCACCCGAAGCAGCCGACGAAGACCGGTTCCGGTTGGCGGACGAGGACGACGAAAAGAACCCGCTGACACTGGCCGCCGGGTTGCTCAAGAATGCACTGGACTTTCTGTGGCCATTTCCGCTGCTGTTGCCGGTGCCGATGTGGTTATCGCTACTGCCGTGGTGGTAGCCGCTGTTAGTAGCGCCTCCTCCTGGTCGGGGCCTTTGCCACCGCGAACTCGAATTTGAAGCGCCGGGTGGCCCTGCACTTACCGGCCGCGGGGGGAGTGCCGGGTGTTGTAGGTAGTGCTGCTGAGGCGGCGGGTAGTAGTAGCCGTTGTTGTACGAAGAGGCCGGGGGCGGCGGCGGTGGAGGGACAGGCCGCGATGCACTGGGCGGGCCGGGTGGCGGTGGCACGGCTGAAGGCAGTTCCTGGCCCTCGGTGCCATACTTCCTTCGCAGCCGCTCGGTTTCTTTGGCGATCTCGGCCTCGCGCAGCCGCTGCTCCTTCTCCTCGGCTTCGAGCATCTTCTTGATGCGCCTCTCCTCCTCGCGCTCCCGCTTGGCGCGCTCTTTTTCCTCGCGCTCCAGCATCGCCTGCAGGCGCTTGGTCTCCGCATCAATCGCGGCAGCTGAGGGCGCAGAGCCAGCAACACTGCCGCCGCCACCACCGCCAACCGGCCCTCCTGGCCCGCTCGCTATGGCGGATGTCATCACGGCCGGTCCGTCGTGAGTGGCCTGTGGCCGCGAACCGGCGCCATGGCCGCTTGGTGATATGTTGCCTGCAGATCCAGGCGCAGGTATGGGTAGTGTCGCACCAGCCGGGCGGGAATTCTTTCGCCGACCACCGCCAGTCGCTGCAGCACCACCCTCCAAGTTGAACGGGTCCGACCGTGGCACTAGGTACAAGTCACGGATCACCTGTGCGCTCAGGAGCAGCACCAGATCCAGGCCCTTGCGATCCTGCACTTCCACCCGCTGCAGGTTCGGCTCGTAAATGGTCACCGCAGGGTCGCGCGCGTGCTTGAACAAGGCCACCGTGATGTCGGGCTCCTTGCTGCGCTGCAGCCCCACCGTCTGACCCGTCATGTAGCACGTCATGTCCTTGTTGCCCAAACGGCCGTCCCGCTTCCAGCGGAACGCGTTCTTGGGCGTTACATTGACGACAGCGTCACCCGCAGCTGCCGACGACGCTGCCGTGGATTCGGGAAGCATCTGTTGCCGGTCGAGCCGGCTCGCGCTGGGCGCGCGGAACGACTCGATGGGGATCTCAAACTCCCACGACTCGGTGCGGTTCCAGCTTCTTGGCGTATACCGCACGACCACGGACTGGTCCGGATTGTAGAGCTGAACCGCAAACGAGTCGGGGATTTTCGGCGTTTGGCCAGCAGCCTCGGTGCCGCGTTCCCGGTGTTCCCGCACCTCAGCCGCAGACAGCGTAGGCTGCTGCCACTCGGGTGTCACGGCCGCTTCACCGTAGACAACATCGCTGCTGTTGTAAGGATCGGTGAGGGCCGCTGCATAGACGCCACGACAGGCAGGCTTTGACACAGGGTCGGCGATGCGTAGCACGTATTCGGGGGCGGGGTCGGAACCGCTGCGCGTGAAGTAGACGACGGAACTCGAGGGGTGGTCTGGCATAGGCCGGAAAATGAATGTGGGAAGGTTTTCGTCGAGCATGGCGAGCGGTTGGCTTCGAGAACGAGCCTCGTCGACAAAGATGTGAAGCGTTGGTAGGGTCGGCCTGCAGAGCTGGATTTGGGGAGAATGTAGCTGCCGCCTGAGAAGAGAAAACAAGTTGGGTGCGAAGGTGCGCCCACAGCGATCTGCTGCAGAGACAGCTCAAAGATATAAAAGAAAGTGCTTATGCTGCTCGTAGCAGAGACGAGAGAAAGAGGAGGCAGATATCAGGGCCTGCGATGCCCTCGTTAGCGGGGTTGCGGATTCCAAGCGAGGCTGAGACCTAATCCAGTTATCGATATGATGCGAAGGGAGGTTCGGGGGCAACGTTGGGAAGCGGAGGTTGGCAGAAGTACGTGTTGAAAGGGACAAAAGGCTTTGGGAAAGCTTTTGGAGAGGCTCAAGATAAATGCTCTGGGATCATATCACGGGCACAGACAAGGCAGGAACGTTGTGTTTCTGGTTACGCCTTGCCGTTAATTCGAGGCCAGAAAGGGCAATAATTGTACCTGGAGGCGGAGCGCACCTAGCAGGCTGGGCAGGCTCGGCCTGGGTCCAATAGCGCTGTCGGTCGTCGCTTCCTACAGGGACAAAAGGATGGAAAGAGCGACGCAATTGGCCCCACATTACAAGGAGGCTGTCAACATGGAAGGCGCCCGTCGTCAACGACACTCCCGAATTCACTTATTTTGCCACACGATTTTCTGTTAAAAATAGACAAGGAACCACAGGGCCGATCAGGCACCGACATTTCCACCATAAGGACTCCCGGCACAATTTCGTGTCGTACGATTCGAATACGAATGTGAGAATGGAAAAGGAAGTACGTGGATGTACGTAGATGTAATTACGTCGTACAAAAGGCAACGAAATGCGAGTAACTTTGATCTCTTTCATTTTTTATTTTTATTTTTATTTTTCGGAGGAAAAATAAGAGGTGAAAAGATCGATATTATCTTTGCTTCGCCAGCCAACTTTCACAGAGTATGTAACAAGTATCAGGTTTCATTTGCCCATGTGTCTAAAAAATGTACGTCAATGTCCTTTTTACAGTGCAAAGACCCCAGTGCCCAAAGATAGGTGCCAAAAAGAGTTATAAAAAAGAAATTGAAAACTACACTCTGGCCCGGCTCTGAATCCATCTCACCGGAATCGAAATATATTTAAAGCGAATCTCCCCTCCTCTAAGTCGACCGTCTCCGCCGTCTCCCCCTCCCACCTGTGCCCCTTCTTTCAAACCTGGGGCTGCATAAACATGAAAGAAACCTGTGGGTTTCGTAGCGTAACAATGGAAAGCGAACGGGCGAGAAAAAACGACCAAAGAGGAATTAGATAGAAAGAGTCATCATACATTGCTGCCGCCGTTGCCGCGTCCATTGCCGCCGTCCAGCAGCAGCCTCGGCTTGATGAAGTCTTCGTCGAGCTGCCGCAGCAGCGCCGTCGGATCTTCCGTGTTCCACAACTGCCGGATGGCCGCCGTGGCCGACATGTGCGTGGTGGGTGTGCTCGTCCCTGCAGCTGCTGAACTGCCTGCGGCTCCTGCGGCCGCAGCGGAACTGCTGCCGCCCACGTCGACTTCGTACGATTCGGGTGCGCCTGGTGGCATGGGACTGGACCGCCGGCGGGGTGCTGGTGGCGGCAGGTCGGATGTGTCAATGTCACTGCCGACTTCGGAGTCGGTGGCACTGGCCGAGTAGCCCAGCAGGTCGGACCGCTCACCGGACGCCAGATCGTGCGCAGAGCTCTTACGACTGAGGCTCGAGCCGCCGCCCATTGGGTTGGGCGACCGCATGCCCGTTGTCCAGCTGCGGCGGTCAGCACCATCGTCAGCGCTGCCGCTTGGATAGTATCCGCGTTTTGTGCCGTTAGCCCCGGCGCCACCACCACTGCCGCCGCCGCTACTGCTGCCCAGCCGGTTGAGAGGCATGGGCGAGCTGGCATACGTGCCCGGAGCGCGCGGTGGGTTGTAGCCGAAGCCGCCATTGCGCTTCGCATAGTTCCCGACGGGCTCAATGTCAAACTCGTCGTCCGAGTCGATCTCGTCGACCACGCCCGTCCGGATGCCGAGGATCTCGAGCATGCGTGCCGTGGTGCCGCCAAAGATGATGACGGTCAACACCACTACAACAAGCACGGTAGCCTTGAGCGCGAACGAATCTTTGCCAGTCAGCAGCGCCGCAAGAGCGACGCCGACAGCACCACGCAGGCCGGCCCAAAAGAGCATGGCCTGGTAGTTGTACGGCAGCTCGTCGGCTGAGTTGACAATGCCGCGGCGGCGCTCGCGGTAGTGAATGAACCAGTTAATCGCCTTGGACAGCGGGAACACGGCGACCCAACGCGCCGCACACACGGCAATAACAGTGACGATGATGAGCAGCGGCTGATACTGCAGGTCCTTTTCGGTGAAGAGCGAGAGCCCAAGGTAGATGAAGATGAAGTTTTCGGAGAGCTGCGCAAGCACCTGGAAGATGTATTTGGTGGTGAGCTGCGTGCGACGGGACATGTTGAAGTAGGCGTAGTGCTTGAGAGTTATTCCGCAGAACAGCAGAGACACGATACCTAGCGGGGTTAGCAGCGAGCACAGGCGGTTCGAAAACCGAAATGAATGAAAGTCCACGAGACATACCAGACATCTCCACAGCTTGAGAAAAGAAGTAGGTGGCGTAGGCAATGAGCACAATCAGACAGCTCTCAATCTTGGGGTAGCGGCGCACGTAGGTGTACTTGAGGCAGAGCGCTGCAATGATGCCGACCAGGGCACCGATGAACATGCTGCCGAAGAAGTCCTTCAAGAAAATGCCGATACCTTTCAGCAGGCTGACAATGCTCGACGATGTGGCCGAGCCGTTCTTGGACTTTTGCGCCGACTCGAAAATGACAATGGCAATGGCGTCGTTCAGGATCGACTCGCCAAAGATGATTGTGTACAGCTTCGGGTCGACCTTGTACGAGTTGAAAATGGCCAGGATCGTCACGGGGTCGGTGGCCGAGAGGGTGGCGCCAACAGAAATGGCGTCGATCCAGCTCATGCTGAGGCCCTCGAGCGGGATGCGCGTGTACAGCCACAGAATGACACCAATGACAATGGCCGACAAGAAGGTGCCGGCGAACGCAAACGTGAGGATGGTGCCTATATTTCGGAAGAAATTCCCTTGATGCAACTCGTAGCCGGAGGAGAGGATAATCGGTGGTAGCAGCAAATTAAAGAAGACCTGGTAGTCGAAACTGACGATTTCGCGGATACTGTCGCCGGCCGTTACGCGGAGGATAAGGCCAACCGTCATACCTAGGCAAGGGGGTAGGGGTTAGGGGTTAGGCTGAGCTCAGTGGTCAGGTTGAAAGTATGGGAGGCTCACCTGCGAAGATGGAGATGACCGTTTCGTGGACGGCCGTAACCTTTTGCTGCTGCAGGATGTAGCTTGTGAAAAAGGCCACGATCAGCAGCATGATCTGGATGAAGATGGCCCATGATGCGTTGATTTCCTTCTCGGAAGAGTCGCCGCCTGCCGACATGTCAGTTTTGCCCTTGTGTCTGTCGAGAATGGATTGCGGATGCCTTTCACATCTCAACGTCTCGTCGTCCGTTGTGGTCGCCCACGGCCTCCATCCAGCCACCAACGACGTCCTGCCCGCTACTCAGCACCTGCGTACCTTCAGAGTCTATATCCTCGCTCGCTCTTCCTGTTGTTGGAGGGCCAGTGTCAGCATTTCCATCGTGGTTCTTGCAGAATAGGTTCTCGTGAAACAACAGCTTCGGATAACGTACGGGCCAGCTCCACCACGGTGCCGGTCACCATGGACCACATCGCGCCGTTCGGCATGGTGGCAGCACGTGGAATGCGCCGCCAAGGTGTGTCCGTCGAAGCGTATGAGGTAATGAAAATTGGACGGTGGTCGAGCGATCGTGAGTTGTGCTTGGCAGGGGGGGTTCAATTTCGCTGCACAGCGGAAATCAGCGGCAGCTGAAGCGGAGGCTCTTGGAGCAGCGGCCGAGTCGCGCGCGAGCGACCATGAACAGGCAAATAGGCGACGCGGGAGAGGAAATGGGTTCGTCGCGGCTAACAAAGGGTGTCGTCTTCGCTGGAGGCTTCGCAAAACGACGTTGAAAGAGAAGGCTGTCGAGGACGTTGGTTGATGCAGAAGAAAGAACAACGTGTTGCGTCGACGCTATTGGCTAGGCATCGAGAAAAGACGAAGAAGGAAAGTACGACCCCAACCCTGATTTGACGTCTTGCAGTTTCCCTTTTGTCTCTGGCACTGCAGAAACAGAAGTAGCGAACAAGCCTAGCCGGCGCTGAAAGCCCTGTGGGACCGCCCGTCGCGACTTATGCGAAATTGCCCTCCTGGAGCTAGTTCAGCCCCAAAACCAGGATTCCAACACCGACTAGCGCACTAGCCAAGTCACTCTGGAGCGCTGTATCCTCACCTATCCCCTCTATAGGTGCGCCCAAATGACTAATCCAATATACCAGCGAGGCTGCATGCGGCTGCAAAGCGACCTAGCTGCAGGAAGCACCAGCAATGCGTCTGACGGCAAAGGCAGCCAAAATTTCGTATGCACCACACTGCGTTTCCCCAGCCTTGCCCACAATGCCCGCTGCACGCAAGCTTCGAATGGAATAGGGCTCGTCTGCATCTCTCCTGCACTTCTAGCGGATTATACTTACCGTCGAACACCCACACGAGCATTGTTTCCTCTCACAATGTCTGGCAAACTCGACCGCCTCGACGCGCCCGGCATCCGCGCCGAGGGTGCTGTGCTGCACAGCATGCGCCGTGAAGTCGCAAACCAGCTGCGCCGCCAGCAGCTCGGCTTCCCAGGTGCACAACCCGTCAGCTTTACGCGCAAGCACATGGAAGAGCTGCGGAAACAAGAGTAGGTTGTCAGCGGTCCCCTGGTGTACACCAAAGCGAATTTGTTGCTAACACCGCACCGCACCGTCCAGCTACTACGTCTGCGAAAAGACCGACGGCATCCGCTACCTGCTCTACCTGACCGAAGACGAAGAGGGCGCTGAAATTCAATACCTCATCGACCGCAAGAACGACTACTGGTTCCTGCCGCCCGGCTCGCTGCACCTGCCCCGCGCCGAGGACGAGGCGGGCTTCCACGTCAAGACACTGGTCGACGGCGAGCTGGTCATGGACGACCTGGGCCACGGCGAGAAGCAGCCGACCTTTTTGGTGTTTGACTGTCTCGTGCTCGACAACAAGGACATGACGGAGCGCACCCTCGACAAGCGCCTGGGCTACTTCAAAGAGGCCGTCTACAAGCCGTACGACGCCCTGTTCCGCAAGTACCCCGAGGAGAAGCAGTTCCAGGCGTTTGCCATCCAGATGAAGGACATGCAGTACAGCTACGGCATCGAAATGATGTTCCGCACCGTGCTGCCCAACCTCAAGCACGGCAACGACGGCCTCATCTTTACGCGCTGCAATACCCACTACCGCCCCGGCACCGACCCGCACATCCTCAAGTGGAAGCGCGTCGAGGAAAACACAATCGACTTCCGCATCCAGCTGACCTTCCCGCCGTTGGCACCCGACAGCGTGGACGACGACGCCCACGGTCCCGTCAAGAACGGCGACACGCGCAACGGCGACGGGCACGCAAGCACAAATGGCGGGCCCGTTCTGCCGTTCGACTACGACGCCCTCCCGGCCGCCGACCTGTTTGCCTACTACGGCGACAACACCGCCGAGCCGTACCGCCACTTTGCGCCGATGCACCTCACCGAAGAGGAGTGGGAGCTGCTCAAGGCCACGGGCGACCCCATCTCCAACCGCGTCGTCGAGTGCGCGCTCGATGACCAGCAGCGCTGGCGTATCCACCGATTCCGTGACGACAAGCCTGAGGCCAACCACATTAGTGTTGTGAACAGTGTCCTCGAGAGCATCCGGGATAGCGTATCAGAGCAGGAGCTGAAAGAGGCCGCCAAAGGCTTCAAGGAAGGGTGGCGGGCACGTCGGCAGTCGACAGGACGGTAAGGCTTGTCTGGCGGAATTGGTCTTTTCTCTATATACGGTTGGCAGTCCGTGTCCGGGTTTGGGTTTGGGATGGCGTTGTGGTATATCACTGGACACAGTTTTGCGTTTTTTTTTTTTTTTTTTTTTTGTTTAGTTTTCTAGCCTGACAGCTTTTGTCTTTCATGTTTTGTAGCATTCATTCACTGTTTTGATCTCATGGTCGGAGGGACGGTGTATTAGGTATTCAAAATCAATGGCTTTGCAGAAACACGTTATTTAAAACGACGATGTTTATTGTCTGGCTCTACATGATATAGTGCTGCCTAAGCTGCTTACACGTAGATTGCCGTTCTTTGACTGACCAAAGAAAAGACTATGATATGATATCCATCCACTCGTCCGTGGCGACAATTGCAAAAATATAGAGAAGAAAAGGTAGCCGGAAGTAAAAAGAAGGACATGACAGGGATGTGCTACAAAGCTCCCTTAACTTTCCTTCTCGGCTTGCAAAACATGCTTGGTGGCCAGTGCTGATATGAGACACCTTTCTCAGCCGCCTTCACCCTTCCGCAGCCTCTCCATTATTAAGAGTCTCATACACATCAGACCAATTAGTGGTAGTTTTTCTCGTCCCCTATGGGCCACGATTGTTTTCCAGTGTGGTCTCATGCAATGGCGGCATATCCTTAAAAGTGGAAGGCCGCAACAAAGATGGCCGCAATGGCCATGCCAACCCAGACACCGCTAGCCTTGGCGGCGCCGGAGACGGTGACAACCGTACTCACTGGGTCGACCTGGCTAGTGGTGGTGCCCAGAGGTGTGGTCAGCTTGCCAGTGTTGCCAGTGGCACCACTGACGCCGGGAGGGACAGTGAGGGTGTAGCTGGCCGTGCTCGCGGTGTTGTAAGGGGAGAGGATGGTGGTGGTGTTGGGGAAGTGCGTAAGGTGGAACGAGCTGGTAGATGCACTCGTGCCCCAGACACCCTCAGCAGTGCTGGTGGACGTGCCGCTCGAGGTCTTGTTGTTACCACCGTGGACAGTAGCAAACTCCGTTGCGGTAGCCGTCACCGTGAGCGTCTCCGCCTTGGGGGTGACGAGACCACTGGCTGTCACATAGATCGTGGCAGTCGTAACGTGAGTCTCGAGCACAGTGATGGGGGCTGGGGAAGAGGAAGGGAGAACAGAGGACGAGCCACCACCGGTGACAGTAACCGTGACGGTCCCAGGGAGACCGGCACTGCACTGCTGGGAGGAGACAGACGAGCTAGCTGGGAGGCTAGACGACGAGGCAGTGGTCTCAATGGTAATGGTCGTACCCTCAGTGACCGTGGTGGTCGTGTACACATACGACTGGGAGGGAGACTCCATGGCCCGGTGAACGAGAGTAGCAACAGGGGCCACGGGCTTGGTGTTCTGCTCGGCAAGCAAGTCGTTGTACTTCGAGAGGAGAGCATCATAGTCTTGCTTGTCTGTAGATGTGGAGGTTAGCAAGTACACGGACATACAATCAAAACTCTGTGGGAGACCGGTAGCCACTTACCATGGACGACCTGGTAAATCAAAACAAGAGCAAAAGCCAGGAAAACGATGGCCAGAACAGCCTTCGCAATGAGCTTGCCGATGCGGCGAGCCTTAGACGGCTGAGCCGGAGAGAAGCCATCGGTGGCATAAACAGCCGGAAAGGCAGTCTTGGTGGAGGTGAAGTGATCCATTTTATTTGATTGAATTTGTAAAGAGAGAGATCTTTGAGGTGGTCAGCCTTGTGAGAAGGGTAGATAAAAGAGTGTGGTGCCGTCGATTAGGCTTTGGATGAAGCTTAAAAAAATAGGAAGCAACAAGGAGCGAGTGAAAGATGGATGGATGAAGAAAGGCGAGAAGGTAAAAGGAGCGACGAAAAGAGGAGACCGAAAAAAAGGAAAGAGAAGTAGAAGACGAAATAAGTTGGTGGGAGGGGCGAGAAGAAAAGGGCCAAAAAATATGTTTGGTCGTTTGAGCAGGAAAGGAAGGAGCAACCCACGCACGACAATCGAAACAGGAAGGAACAAACACAACACAGCACACCAAGACAAAACTGAAAACAACATGAAAAATGGCACGTTGGGCAAAAGCGAACGGGCAGTTCGTCTTGCTAGTCCGGAGAGATTGAGCGTCAAAGACACAAGACCGAAATTTCAAGGGATGGTGAAGGTGACGCAGAAACATGTATGCAACAGCTCTCTGGCGTGTCTAGCCGAAGGCGACACAAGAAAGGAAACAACGATGTGTGCCCAGCCAGACACGGAAGGACGCACGAGGACGAATATGTGCAAAAGGAAGGCTTGCCAGGAAAGAGCATCCGGGGCGTAGTGGCAGAATGAAGATGCATGGGAAGGCGTGACCGACGTACCTTAGGAGGAGACAGATGGCTGTAGATTGGCGGGATATTCGAAGATCGAGAGGGTGAAACGAGTGTCAGTTGCAAATGGTCAATGGGAAAAGAGCATACAGGTGATGATCAGATAGGGCCAAACGAGTGTGATGCAAAGAATTTGCTGTTAGATGTGAGTCGAAAAGTCCGACGTGACAAGAGATTGTGAGAAGAGGAAGGAGAAGGAGACCAGAGAAGGTACCACCCGGCCAGTATCACAAACGGAAGGGCAGAATTACGTTTCCAGGCCGACCCGCGTCTCTCGATACGGTAAACGACGGCGGTAACGGAACCCGGGAAGCGTTAATGTCGTCGTCGTGAATCGCCAACATGGAAGGAACGACCGGGGACGCCTCCCTCTTGCCTCGTTACCATATAACACGCCATTTCTCCGCAATGACGCCTCCAATCGACACTGTATCAGAAGGTCTTCTCTAGTATACAACCATGCTGGTTGAAGCCATGGCCGTACAACGATCCCAACTCTCGACCTGCGAGAACAAGGCGATCCTGATGCAGCCCGATGCCATACCAAGATTCGCGGGCTCCTTTCACTGCATGCCACCTTCCCTCTTAAATCTTATGGCTGGCAGGCAGTCCAACGTCGCAATATGCAGTCAGACAGGTTATTCCACCGATTCTTCCTTAGAAACCTCCAACTTGGCGTCTCTCATTCGTCCTGGCATGACGTCGGTGACACGTTTATTCTCCATGACCAGCAGCCAGACAAGCATGGCCCCAGAGCATCGCGAAGTTCCTACCTATACTTCATCCCACTTATCCGTGTGCTCTTCCCCCTGCTACATCGTATACTGTGGACCTTCTCAGATCAACAGCTTAGTCACCACGCTCGTGGCAGGTGCTTCAAAGCTTTGCGACACCTGCGGGTGGGAGAGGTAGAGCCAGCAAAAGCTGACTGGTGCATTTGCACGTTTAACGTTATATTGCACAACTGGTGCGTCTAAGATCCGATACCGACTCAACGTGCAGCGTATTGCATAGTCGCACTTCGTCAAGGAAACAAAAAGACATGGGATCGAAAGAAACGACGTTGATAAGTGTGGATCGCGGAGCTTCGCGCGCAAAGTCACGGTACTTTAACCGGCGCGTAGATTGGCTGACTTTGGGTGTATAGTGGTGGTGTCGCAAAGCTCTGGAAGTACCAGTACAACCAATGAGAACGGGCAGCCATTAACAATGATGGACCGCTGCACCTAACGCGTCTGCTAGTACGGTCACGCCCAGCTAAATTACACGACAGCACGCGACGGAAAGAACGGCCAGGCCCACGCTAGGGTCTTGCAGTTGGTGGCCGCCGGCTGTGTCTCTCCAGTTCACCTTCTCTCCCAACCGCCAAAGCAAGACCAGCTCCTGCCGCCAAGTTGCCGTGTATTTCGCCGTACCTGCCCTCCTGCCCGGTCGCGCGAAATAGTATTCGTAGGGCACCTTTATTTCGTCGCGTAACGCATCCGTCCACTTCCCCTCTCTCCTCTCCCTTCCACTTTAATCCTCGCCATTGCGTGTGGATTTCCCATTCCCGTCTTTTTTTATTCTGCAATCCGACGGGCCAAGTTTCTACCTCTGATCTCGTCGCTGTTTTCTCTCCCATTTGCGCATTTCCCCTTCGCATTGGCATTGTCGAGGATCGTTGCTGGCGCTGTCCGCTGCGAGCCCGGCCCCCTTTTTTTTTACCACTTAAGAAGCTCGTCAGTCTATTCTGTCGCGTCTCTTCCCATTTTCTTCGGGACTCTTTTCTGCGCCACACCAGAAGGACTCGATCGAGACAGAGGCCCAAAGGCTGCCCGAACAGACGAGCCCGCACGCAATCATTGTCAGGCCAGGTCAGGGCACGGATCACAGGTTCAATCGAGATAAATATACCCGAGACCCCCCAACTCCCGACGCCTCTGCGACGACCAGCCACCCTTTTATCCCCGGCGGCGTCATCGCCAGTTTTTATCGCCATGGCACCGGCTCGTCGACGCGCTCCGGCGCGGAACGGAGTCTCTGCTAAGAGCCCTGATGTCGCAGAGACAGCGACCCCCGAATCAAACGCCGAGGTCAGCCTGCCGCGCAGAGCGGCCGCACCTCGAAAACAACAACAAGCGGCTAGCCGTGGCCGCGGCAAGAAGGCTGCCGACCCAGAATCTGAGGCCGAAGAGCAGGACGATGAGGACGAGGACGTGATCGATGCGCAGGAGGCAGACGATGACCAGGACGAGGCGCGGCCACACACTGCGCGGACAGCAGCAGGGACGCAAGCCGAGGGTCCGCGGGTGCGCCTTCGCTTCAACGAGCCTCTCTCATGGCGGCCAGGAAAGCCCATCCCGACCGAAGAGCTGATCCGGCGTCTCGAGACACTGAGTCGTGAGCTGACGGACCTCGACCAGGAGACGTTTGACACCGAGTCGCTGGCCAAGACTGCCAAAGAGCTCGCAAGCCATAACCTCCTCAACCACAAGGACAAGGGCGTCAAGGCCTTTGCCGCCGCCTGCCTCGTCGACATTCTCTGCCTCTGCGCCCCCAACGCACCTTTCACCCAGACCCAGCTGAAGGTTGGTTTTATTTTATTTTATTTTTATTTTTTTTGGTGCACAGCGGTTTCCGGGCTCTTGTAGCAGGCAGTACTAACAGACCTGTCACTCTAGGACGTCTTTGGCCTCTTCATCACTTCCATCTTGCCCGCTCTACAGGATCCCTCCAACACCTATGATGCCCAGCATAAGTATGTTCTGCATTCGCTGGCTGAGGTCCGCAGCATCGTCCTCCTCAACGACCTTGACAGCAGCGACGCGCTGCAGCTTCAGCTGTTTTCGTCTCTCTTCGACGCCATCTCGGCCCCCAAAAATGTGTCCGGCGGTCGCCTGCCCACCGACGTCGAGCACGACATCAGCGACGTGCTCATCAGCCTGATCGAGGAGGGCCCCAACGTGCCTCCCAAGGTCGTCGATGTCATCATGGCCCAGTTCCTCCGTGCCGCCGCTCCGGGCGCCCTGCGCGACAAGGGTGTCCCCGACAAGGATGAGCTCGATCGCTATCAGTCGACCTTGCTTCTCAAGGAGGAACCCCCTGCCTACCAGATGGCCAAGCTCATCTGCCAGACGTGTGCGGACAAGATGACCCGCTCCGTTGCCCAGTACTTCAGTGACGTGATCATCGACTTTTCCGGCGTCGGCGGCAACGCCGCCGGCAACGGAAAGGGTCCGGCTGGGCACAAGGGTGAAAAGGGTTCTGACGATGAAGAGGAGGACGAGGGCCTGAACGGGCCGTCCGAGTCCGACCTGCGGGAAATGAAAAAGGCACACTTGCTGCTGCGCGAGCTCTGGAGAGCCGCCCCGCAGGTGCTCAGCAATGTCGTGCCCCAGCTCGAGGCCGAGCTTTCGGCAGACAACGTCTACCTCCGGAAACTGGCGTCGGAGACGCTCGGAGACATGATTGCAGGTATTGGTGCTGCTGGTCCACCGCCACTACCGGCCCTGGACCCTGCAGCGTACCCGCCCCTCAGATTGACCGACGAGCTTGCTACTCAGGCCACCGACAGTGTTTTGACGACGCCGACCTCGCCCCATTCCTTTGCCCAGACACACCCCCACGTGTACCAGAGCTTCATCAACCGGAAGAACGACAAGTCTGCCCTGATCCGCACTGCCTGGGTGACTGCTGCTGGCTATATTCTGTCCACGTCTGCGGGCGGCATCGGCCTCAGCCGTGAGGAGGAGACCGTCCTTGTCCTTGGCCTTGGCGACAAGCTCACCGACAGTGACGAAAAGGTCCGCCTGGCCTCCGTCAAGGCTATTGAGGCGTTCAACTTCCGCGATGTCATCACCAAGCTCGCCCCCCACGGCGGCGTCTCCAAGCAGGGGTCGGTGCTGTCCAACCTGGCCGACCGCTGCCGTGACCGGAAATCACACGTTCGCATCGAGGCCATGGCACTGCTCGGCAAGCTGTGGGCTGCAGCAACGGGCGAGCTGGCTGCAGGTGATGAGGCCGTGATTGCTGCCCTCGGTGGAGTCCCCACGCGCATCTTCAGCACTATTTATGCCAACGACCTGGAGCTGAACCTGCTTGTGGATCGCATTGCCTACGAGTACCTCGTGCCTCTCTCGTACCCTGCCGTCAAGAAGGCCCAAAAGGCCACCAACGGACGCGGCAGCCAGCAACAAAAGTCTGCCGCTGGCGGTGGCATCGATGCCGACGCCGTCCGCGCCGAGCGCATCCTGCTCCTGGTACGCTCTCTGGATGTGAGCTCCAAGCGTGCCTTCTTCTCTCTCCAGAGCCGGCAGCCTCAGTTCTCGAGCATCGTGGAAGGCTTCCTCAAGCAGTGTGAGGCCTACAACGGTGGTGTCGGCGAGGATGGCAAGAGAGCCGCGCCCAGCCTGGAAAAGAGCATCCAGTACCTATCGCAGTTCTTCCCCGACGCCGCCAAGGTTCGCGCTGATCTGCAGCGGTTCGCCAAGCTCAACGACCGCCGCAGCTACCAACTTGTGCGCTTTGTCATTGGTCCTGAGCACGATTTCACGACCATGTACCGCGCCATGAAGGAGCTTGTGAAGAAGGTGCAGGGCACCAATTCGAGCACCATTCTGGACACGCTGCTTCCTCTGCTGTACCGTTCCGGCTGCATCATGTTCAACCGCAGCCACCTGACCACCATCATGGAGTACTCCAAGGCCGGCCACGAGGACATGGCCGCGACCGCCAATGAGATGCTCAAGGAGGTGTCGCAGCGGAACCCGGGTCTGTTCAAGACCACCATTGGCGAGCTGTGCAAGGAGCTGGCGACGCACGCACCCACGGAGACACGCGAAAACGACCCCATTATTATTGATTCACTCAAAGCGTGCTCGTCCTATGCCGCCAAGTACCCGCAGGAGGTTCCCCGCGACCGCAAATTTGTGCAGGCCTGGATCAGCTTCGCTGTCTTCGGACGACCGGAAAAGGCTGCCAAATATGCAGTCAGCATCTTGTTGTCCACCAAGGACGAGAAGAGCATGGTGAGCGCAACTGAGCTGGCCCGAAAGGTGACCAAGGACTTTAAGTTCGAGTCACCGCGGTTCCTTAACAAGCTCGTCACGGTCAGCCAGCTGGCCCGGTTCGTGCCGAGCGTGATTGCCGATGCTGAAGACGATCTGCGGAAGCAAGCTATGGACATCCTCCGCACCGTCCGCAGCCCGTCTTCGGCCAGCGACCCGGACTGGGTTGACGATGCGGACCTCGACGACGAGGGCAAGGCCAAGGTGCAGTGCCTCAAGTTCCTGGTGCAACAGCTCCTTGGCACGAAGGACATTGACGAGGCCAAGAAGGACGGCAAGAACATTATCCGCTTCCTGGTCAAGTTCATTGTCCAGGACGGCGAGGTCACCAAGAGCAAAGACACGCCCAGACACCACTGCTCGCGGCTCCGGCTCGCTGCGGCACAGGCCATCCTCAAGATCTGCGCCAGCCGGCAATTCGACGAGATCCTCTCGCCCTCCGACTTCAACACACTGGCACTCGTCACACAAGACCAGCAGCCCCAGGTGCGTCGCGGTTTCATCGAGAAGCTGCAAAAATACTTGGTGCTTGGCAAGCTGCGCCCCCGGTTCTACACCATTGTGTTCCTGGCCGCCTTTGAACCTGTCACCGAGTTCCGGAACCAGATCGAGACGTGGATCCGCTCGCGGACCCGCTACTTCCAGGAGGCCAAGCAGAACGTCCTTGAGGGCGTCATTGCGCGCCTCATCTCGTTGCTCGCCCATCATCCCGACTACAGCGCCGAGGCCGACGATCTTGTTGACCATGCGCGCTACATCATTTTCTTCCTGAACAACGTCGCGACAGAATCGAGCCTCGGCCTGATCACAAAATATGCCGAGCGCGTCAAACAGACGCTTGATGGCATCAACGCGGAGAACAGCGAGAACCTGTACGTTCTTTCGGATCTTACACAGGCGACCATCCGCAAGTTCCAGCAGCGCAGGGGCTGGATCTTCGAGTCCTACGCGGACAAGGTCGGTGTGCCCCAGGGCCTCTACTCGCCACTGCCATCGCACGATGTGGCGCTGGAGATTGCTCGCAAGCAGTACATCCCCGAAGGCGTTGAGGACCGATTGGACGACCTCCTCAAGGCAGCCGAGCGGAAGAAGGTGGGTTCCCCTTTCGTCCCCGTGAATTTGACAAAGGATATCCAATACTAACCCATCATAGAAGCGCAAGTCGGGAGACGACTACCACCTGCAGCACGACGTCGCACAGAACGCCGCCAAGCGAGCCAAGACATCGTCCGCGTCCCGGCCATCGGGCCCGCCTCGGTCGACGTCCAACAGCAAGGCCGTCTCCTCGGGTGCTGCTCCGTCGTCGTCGAGAAAGAGCGCCTCCGCTTCCAAGCCCAAGTCGAGCGGTGCCACCAAGCGCGTCGCGAAGCCCTCTCGGGCCATCAAATCCTCGTCTCCGGTCCGGATTCCCGACTCCGAACGGCGTCGTAGTGGACGCTCGGCTGTGGCCCAGACCTCGTACATGGAGCGGGATTCGGATGAGGACGATGAGGAGATGCTTGACGGTGTGGCCGAATGGCAGTATCTTGACAGCGAAGACGAAGAGGCCGGTACCAGTGCCACAAGGGCGCGGGACAGCGGCGGTCGGAGGCGGCAGAGCAAATCTGGCGGCGGCAGGGCCAGCAGCGGTGGCGACAGTGGTATGTGGGGCCGCTCGCTCCGGCAAGCAGTGACCGATTCAGAAGCGGAGGGTGGTGATGACGGTGCCGAGAGCGAGTAGGGAAAAACTTGTGCCTGTTATTTTTGCTGTTTTCTTGTTGCTACTCGAGGGTTTCTTTTGTACTGTGGCTATGTGACCGCTCTCGACCTAAGAATGGGATCTTTTTCTCCCGAATTTGTAACGAGGTGTTTGTCTTTTCTTTATGCGTGTTTATATCAAGGGAAATATGGAAATATGGAAATCTGTCCAAAAATGGCTGTGCTCGGGGTTGATGGGCGTGAAGGACAAATGTGCGGCGACGGTTAACTAGCTATGGATGCCAGTGATGGGTGACAATAACACTCCAAGGGGTAAGCGGTCTGTATAATGCCCATTGTTCCTTATTGTATGTCTGTGTTTTCTGTTTCGTTATCATTAAAAAATCAAATACTTGCTGAAATTTTATATTTTCTTAATTATCGGGTATCCAACATAGATGGCCATTTGCACCAAAAGTCTTTTTCGACTGAAAGGTTTGCGTTCATTAATTTTCGATTTAAGTGGTTTCCGAAATTGACGTGCACGGCGCATAGTTATAAGAAAAATAACTTTTTTTAAAAAACAAAATGGAGAGATCTAAGCTTATTATTTCCTCTTAAAAGTCTTAAAAAATGCTGTTAAAATATTAGAAGTGAATACGATACTTTGACATGGCTGCGGTCTTCACACATGAAAAAAAACCAACATGATACGCGTTGTACTTGGGTAGCTACATATTAAAATGTCGACGCGTGACGATACATGTGGGGGATATACAACAGACGACAAGATAAGTCAAAGTAGAAGTACAGATGATTGGATAACATGTAGTGAAAAGCGCCCCAGGAAATAAAAAGTACAAAAATATAAGACAAAATTTATGTATAAAGAAACATTTGATTGTTTTGGTCAAAATCAGCATCCACCCAACTCCAGCTTCCTCCAACCTGTATTATCGAAAATACCAAAAAAATACCAGAAAAAAACAGGAAAAACACAATGACAGCAACGCGACATGAGAATATCGAAAGTGTAATACAAGATACAAAAAACACACGCACGCGAGAGCAGTCCCTTTTGAATTATGTTAACCGGCACCTGGTGTCGATGTCTGGGACGCAGACCCGGACGAGCCGCCTGCACCGTCGCCGCTCTTCCGTGACGCGGCCTCGCTCGTACTCAGCGACCCGAAGCCCGCACCTGGAGAGGGCCGCTGGGGCGCAGTACTGGCTGCCGCGGCCGCTGGTGGTACAGAGGGCGATGCGGACCCGGCGGGCAGGGAGCTAGCCGGTGGGGGCAAGCCGTTGGCGGCGGCCTCGCGTGCCAGCCGTAGGTCGACCTTTTCTCTGTGGAAACGGTTCTTGAGGTGGACCTCAAAGTTGCCGACCGTCGTTTCTGGGCCGGGTGTGTACAGCTTGCCTGGGCAGTCGTGGCATCGAATGCGTGGCAAGTACCAGAACTTGTAGTTGTCCAAGGGCTCGCCAGCGCTGGGCGCAGGCACGAGCTGCTCGTCCTTGTTGAACACGCTGTATCGCATAACACCTTCAAACGAGTCGTGGGGGTAGCTGCGTTCGCGCAGGCGCTGGAGCGCATCGAGGAGCCATTGTGGAGGAGGAGGCTGCAGACGAGAGAGAGAGGAATGTTAGAGCTACATTAGGGATAGAAGACACAACGATGGAAGACCAGGAAAGTACATACAGCTGCGGGCGCATCGACTTCGGATGCAGGAGGGGGTGGCGCGGGCAGGCGGCCGAGATGGCCGTGCGGGACGACAGACCGTGTGGGCGCAAGCGCATTCTTGCTGGAGGGTGTCGTGGGGGGTGGACCCATGGAGTTACTCGCAGAGCGCGGCTGCTGCTGGGATCCCGGGGCAGAGGATTGTAATTGCTGGTGGCTGGACGACGGCGTCTGTGAGCCCGACTCGGATGTCGCAGCCGGTGGAGCAGCACCGGTGCTTTGTCGTGTCTTGATGTCGCGCAGCAGCTTCTTCAACCGGTCCTTGTTCACCTTGAAAGTGACCACAAGACGCGACGGCACCTGCACCTCGTCCACCGAGTCTTCACGTGGGTCGCGTGTTGCGCGCCGGCCAAGGCGCGACTCGTGGTGGTGGATCGTGCCGGCCTCGGGCGTTTCCGAGCGGCCAATGTTCGCCATGCGTTGTTGGGCAGCAGACGCCGCGCCGCGGATGCCTCGCGTGCGCGCGGTGCCGGCCAGCTGAGACATGGACGGCGAGTCGGGCGAGGAATCGTCGCTTTCGTCCGAGTCGGACTCGCCGTCGCGTCCGCCGCGCCGCCGGCCAGTGCCAGACGGGCCTGCCGCGCGCTTGTAGAGTCTGCTCTCGTCGACGTCGGTCGCGGCACCGGGCAGCACAGACGAGACGATGAGCGTGCGGATGGTCCGCTGGCGGTCCTTGAGGTCGGGCAGGATGGGACCGCCGCGCCGGTTGACAGAACGCTTCTGGCGGCGCTGCTCGCGCGAAAAGGTCAATTCGTTGCGCTCGAGTTCCGCTTCGCTCAGCTCGTACAGGTACGGCGCATACTCCTTGGCCTGCTGCTGCGGCCGGAACACGACGGGGAGGGGGGAGGGGAGGAAGGCAGACACCAGATCCGGGTCTTCGATCGGGCGGCCGTCAAAGGGATGGCCGACGCTGTAGAGCCCGCGGGTGAAGAGCTGCGTCTGCTCGCGGATGCAGTGGGCAATGGCGGTCGTGAACTCGCCCGACAGCGACAGGTCGCGCGCCATGCTGGCGGCGAACTCCTCGGGCGAGTTCATGGGGTTGTTGATCTCCCATTCAAACTGGTCGACAAGCGTGTGCTGACCGATCGTGATGTTAAGCTTGACCAGTATGCGCATCTCGTCGTTCTTGTAGGCGGAGTAGGGCAGCTCGGGATCGAGGGCGTCCTCGTCCGAGTAGACGAGCGGGTAGAAGTCGCCGAGCTGCTCCTGGATCTGCTGGAAGACCTGCTCGTAGACCTGGTTTGACAAAGGCGGCCGCAGGCCCAGGTCCTCCATGAGCTGCGCCGTGAACAGCTCTGGCGGCACGAGGCGGTCGTGCAGGTTCCACGTAAACGTGTCGCGCAGCTTGACCTTGTCCCACTCGACGTCGACGCGGATGGGCACTAGCTCCTCGTGCTGCTCGGCCTGCTGGGCCATGTCCTTGCGGTTGTACTTGAGCGGCGGCGTGGTGCGTTTGCCTGGCCGCATCTTCTGTGTGGGATACAGGATGCGCGGCGGCCCGTTCACCTCCGTGTAGCCGTTGCCCAGGCCGACATAGCCTTCGCCGTAGATGTGGCGCGAGGGGAAATACTGGCGGTACTCGGTGCGCAGCTTGCGGTAGTCGTCGGCGTACATGTGCAGGTTCCGGAAGTCCTTCTGCATCTGCACCTGGGCCGCCTGGAGCGCGGCCGAGTGCAGCCCGTCATGTGTCAAATAGCGCTCGACGAGCACCTGGTTGTACGTGTCCTTGTCGCGGCCAGCGGCCTTCTTCGCGGCAATTGGCGCGCCGGAGGTCGATCGAGCCGGAGACGCGGCACCGGACGCCGATTTGGCATCGCCAGCGCCCGCAGCGTCGGAGCCCGTCGGAGCATCCGTGCCGCCCGGGGCTGATTGAGAAGTGGGAGGGGGTGGAGAGGTCGAGGTGGATGGAACAGGTCCGGATTGCGACGGCGTCGACGCGACTCCTGACGAGGGTGCGGCTGAAGGCGGCGCTGAAGCCGCCGAGGGAGCCGACATGGCGCGGAGGAGGTGTCGTCGCCGTGCAGCGGCGACGGCGGCCCCAGGACGTATTCCGCGGCTGGAGGAAGGGCAGGAGAGGGACGGGGCACCGTGGCGATGATGGAGGGTGACGTGTGTGGATGGCGGGTGTCCGTTTCGCGAATGGTGGTGTTGATGGGACTCGTGCAAAAAGGCACACTGTAAAAAGAGGAATCGCGGTTCTGTGGTCGTTTCTTTCTCCTGGCGTCGGAAGCAACGAATCAAGGGGCTGGGGCGGCTGCCTGTGGGTCATAAATGTGGCTATGTACTGGTACTACATTGGTTGTGGAGTTTGGCTTAAAAAGTGCATATTCCACGTACTAGGTACATTTGATCATGCTTGGCTGCTGGGTAATAGTCGGATACATGCTTTTGTTAGTAAATTAGCAATGATCAGATGTCACTGCCTATCGTCCGCTCAAGCACCATTCGCGCCTGCCCAAAAGCAAGACAAGCTTTGGTAATTACTGCTTGAGACAGAGATTTTTAGCGTCCGCTGCAGCCAAAAATACAGGCTTGCACGAGGAAGCTGCAAAGCAGCACGATTACGATGCATTACACTGCACCAGCGCACCAGGGCTTTCCAAAAGAGCACAGAACAGGAATAAGGAATAACCCCCGCCATAAACCTCGAACGGCGGCCCGCAGCATGGGCCTTTGTTCCCCTCCATCGCCGCCCTCTCAGCGCATAGTTTTTGCTGCAATTGTTTTCCCCTCCTTTCCCTCTCTTTACATCAACGCAAAGCTCCAGCAAGCTGTTCGCCGTTGAATTTTCCCACCTCCACACTACCTGAACAACACCTCCGGCACCGACCGAAAACCGCAAAAATGGCGTCCGAAGACAAGGAAATCGGTTAGTATTTTCTTTTGCCCTCCCAAAGCGCCCGCCATCTCGATTGGGAAGGCCTTGCGCTGGGCGTACGACACGAGCTTTGGGGCGTCTGCTGCGGGACATGGTTGACGTCGCGTGCTGTCTTGACGCACGGCGGAATGCCCAGTCTGCTGGCCGAGTGGCTTGCGGATTGTGACGAGCGCACGTTGGATTGTTGGACCCGGCCGTTGCATTGCTGTGTCGTTCTTTTCGCACACCACTCGAGATCATTATGCTAATTTTTTCTTTCTTTTCAACGACAACAGACTACACCCTCAACAACCCCGACACGCTGACCAAGTACAAGTCGGCTGCCCAGATCTCCGAGAAGGCCCTGGCTGCTGTCTCGGCTCTCTGCGTTGCTGGTGCCAAGATCGTCGACATCTGCGAGAAGGGCGACAAGCTGATTGAGGAGGAGCTGGCCAAGGTCTACAGAGGAAAGAAGGTCAATAAGGGTACGTCAGACTGAGGAGACGGAGAGAGGAGGAGGGTGAAGGCGAGACGTCGTTGCTAACATTTGCCTCGCAAAATAGGCTTCTCTCACCCCACGACCGTATCCCCCAGCTCGTATGTCACCCCCTACACCCCGCTGAGATCGGACGAGGCCGAGGCCGCTGTCGAGCTCCAGGCCGGCGAGCCCGTCAAGATCCAGCTTGGTGCCCAGATTGATGGCTTTGGCTCCATTGTCTGCAACACGATTCTCGTGCCCGCCGAGGGCCAGTCTGGCGACGAGGTCGTTACCGGCCGTCCCGCGGACCTGATTCTGGCGACATACTACGCCAACGAGCTGCTGCTCCGCCTGCTGCTCCCTCCTGGCATTCTGGCTTCGGGCACCGACGAGGAGAAGGCGAAAGCCGCCGCTGCCAAGCCCATCACCCAGAGCAAGATCAACTCCTTGCTGGAGACGGTCGCCAAGTCGTACGAGGTCAACCAGGTCGAGAACACCACGTCGTGGCTGTTTGAGCACAACGACATTGAGGGTGCCAAGAAGATCATCCTGGCCCCCAGCGAGGGCTCCAAGGGTGACGGCAACCCCGAGGTGGGCGACGTGTGGGGCGTTGAGGTCGGCATGAGCCTGGGCGCTGGTAAGGTGAAGACGCTGGAGCAGCGGTCGACCCTGCACCGGCGCACCATCCAGACGTACGGCCTGAAGCGCCCGACGTCGCGCAAGATCTACTCGGAGGTCCAGAAGAAGTTCGGCCTCTTCCCCTTCAGCCTGCGGCAGCTGGACGACGAGCGCGATGCCAAGTCGGGTGTCGTCGAATGCGTCCGCGGCAACGTCTTCCGCCAGTACGAGCTGGTCGGCGACAAGGATGGCGCCCCTGTGGCCCGACTGCTGACGACCGTTGCCATCACGAAGAATGGCATCACCAAGCTGGGCAGCGCCCCCGCCCTGGACCTGAGCAAGTACCAGTCGGACAAGAAGATCACGGACGCGGAGATCCTCAAGATCCTCGAGCAGCCCCTGGCGAGAAACACTGGCGCCAAGAGCAAGAACAAGAAGAAGAAGAAGAAGCCCGCCAAGAAGGCCGCCGCCGCCAAGGCCGAGGAAGAGGACGATGACGAGGAGGACAGCGACGACGACAGCGAGTAGACTTGTCTGGCTAACCGCTTCGTTTGCCTTGTTGGATCATGACTCATTTCTGGGATTAGGGCATATGTGTGTGCACATATGCGTTTCGATGTAGGCTATGCAAAGTAAAATAAAAAAACGGTTGGGTTTGGGGTCATGGCATGATGCTGGCATTCAAAACAAATAAATTATAAAAATCAAAACCCGGCACTCGACACTCCAACGAGTACCTGTGACGGCTGTCGCATATGGCGACACAGCCGTTGACTGCGATGTCCATGGTGAATCATACCTTGCACATCTCAAGCGACGCCTTTGTGAAACCAATGAGGGACAAGTGACCGATGGGCCGCCACTTGCTGGGATGCATGAGACATGGGCGCCCACATGGTACTTTTTGTCTCTTTTCAACACCACAAAGAGAATGAGCGACATACGACAGGCAGACACATTGGTAGGTCGAGTGAATCTGGGACCGGATGGAAGCATCTCCTAATATTGTCCTCGAATAGATGGAGGGAGTCCAATAAATCAAAGCGGACACCGATAACGTTTACGGCCCTGCATACATCGTCGAGGCTGTTTTGGTCTGGTCAGCTGAAACTAACACAGATTGGCAGCTGACCTGGATGCGAAGACGAGATGAAATGGGGGAGTGAAAGGTGAAAGACGTACAAAGAACGTTGCGCGTGAAAGAGGTAATGCGTGGCTGTTCGACGTAATCGCCTATCTTACACTATCTTACATAGTACAGAGAACAGCCGCACGATCCAAATGACGGGGGGTCCAGCTCGGGACAAAAAGCAGGGAGCAAAGTGCAAAATAATTGTCGACAACAAAAATGGGCATCATCGACCAAGAAAGAAACATTTGGAATGGCTGAGTGGAAGGAGAACGGCGAAGAGTTGAAATACGAAATTGGATAACATAAATGGGCATATAAACAATATCTTGGAAAAAGCGCGTTGGTGCCGCCAAAATCAAAATTTCCCGAGAAGAGCAAAAGTAAGAAAAACGGATCGAAACGAGTGATCGAGATGAACGCAAGGATATGCATCTTGCTTGATGTCCTGATTACTTCATGTGGACGAAATACTGCGGGATTCATGGTTGATGGAGCACAAGACGACCAGGATCCAACACTCTGGTGGCTTCCCCCTATCTCCTTCCGTCTGTGGTAAGATAATCAACAGAACAAAGGGCAGGAGCAGAGGTAACAAAAAAGGAAAGAGCGAGGTGCTGCCTGCAACCCGGACGTTGAAGTGGTTAGGTTCTCCCATTACTGTCGGCCTAGACGGAAGGAACTCGCCCCCCCTAACAAAGACCTGGAGAATAGGTGGAAAAAGAAATCAAATTGCACACAAAACAGCGCGAATGTAAAATGTGCGAGATGCACGTCGCATGGTACGGCTGTTCGGGTGGAATGGAATGGAGGGAGCATGCCTCTACCTGTCTTTTCGTGCTGGACGTGCACTTCACTTCCGCGCATGCTGCCCTTCATGTGGGCTGCAATCTCTCTGCTCCCCTTTTTTCACCCTTTGGCCGGCCTTCCCTCATTATTTACTTTTACGCACCGTCTCAGGCAGAATAGGGGGCCCATATTGGCCACCCACGCCCGTATTTGTGCTAGTCAGAGGAAAGAGCGTATACATTGAAAACCAAGAGACAATGTGATAAAACAAGAAACTATGCGATAGAAGATGGAAGGAACGACGATGCACAACGAGATCGAAGGGGGCAAGGAAGGAAGCCCGGCCAAGGAGCGAGGGGAAAAGGAGAAGGAGAGACGACGACGGCCAGAGACGCAAATAAGCCGCTGCATGAGGCAAGAGCGACAGGAGTAATGCAATGCCAGCCTTAACACTCGTATCTTACGCAGTATAACTGACTAGTGACATACTAGTGTGATCCGATTTCCAGCACTCTGTCCCCTGTAAGAGCGCCACGTTATTCGCTGTAGCTGGTGCTACCAGTGCTAGAGCCAGGACTCGCCGAGGCTGGTCTAGGCGTCTAGGCTGGTCTGTCCCCTCCCTGGATGCTCAATTTCTCTCGTGCTTGTCGTTCCTCGACCTTCCTCCTCAACTTCCTGACGACTGCTGCAGAGTACGCGACGGCCTCGACTGGCAATCGAAGCAACGACTTCTTGCTGTTGTCTGCACACGGACGTACTTTGGTATGCAAAGCTTGCGCGTTCGTTCCTGCTTCCTTCTTGTTTGAGAAAACGCGCTCTTTACTGATTCTTTTGCAGACGCTGCCGAAACAAGCAGGAGCGACGAGCCGAGCGCCGCGTCAAGCTGCAAAAGAGGGAAGGAGCTCCCAGCACACCTCCCTTTCTTTTTGCTCCCTCCGACGACAACCACCGTTTTTCGTTTTCTCTTTGCTGCCACAGATAACCTTCGAGACGGAAACATACGGCTGTACTGTTTTGGATTGTCTTGTCTCTTCGTCCGTGGTTTGAACAGTTCGCCAAAGCTTTGCTCCAGCCTTTTCGCCCGGACGTAAAAATCAAACACACAATATCCCGGGCCACTACACCCAACGCGAGGCCTGATTCAAGATCCAAGAGGTACCAAAGCAGTAAATAGGAACGCCAGATCGTACGAGACCGTCCGAATTTTGTCAAGCTGTTGCGTTTGGCCGGGATCGAAAATTGGGGGAGGCGAGCGAGGCGGACATTCTGGGACTGAGGAGGGCTGATAGAGGTCCGGGAAAGGCGCCCGACACGAGTCTCGCGTCTCTCCTTTTCTTCACTCATAACTAGCCATGCCGCCAGCGCCGCACACGACCACGAGGGCGACACGCTCGCGCTTCTCCAGTCCCCTGCATAGCGGAGTGGCGGATGCGGCAGCGGGCAGTGGGAGCAGCATTGGCCGCCAGGCTGGCAGCGGGAGCACGCCAGCATCGAGCACCACTGCTGGCAGCAGCAACAATGGTGTGACCAACGCTCAAAGAGCCATGATGGCGCGCTGGCTGGAGCCACCCGTGCAGAGCAAGTCCAGTTTCGAAGAGGCTGGTTTTCAAAGACACGGCGTGTTTGAAGGCATGGCACCGCTAGGCACACTGCCAAAGGCTGCGAACGTGGCGAAGCGCATCAGCGGTCTCCCCGAGGAGAAGCTGTTTCACGAGGGATCGCCCCTGGGCCGCCAAACCGTGAAGCAGCAACAAAAGCGGAAAGAGCAGCAAGGGCAGCAGGGTCGGCGAGCTGGACAGCAGGGGCCGGATGACAACGACGACGGTGAATCGCCGAGAGAACTGCCAACAGTGGAAACCGACACCCAAGAGCAGGATGTGACCGGGACGCAGCACCAGGAGCATGGCGAGGATGCAAAACCCCAGGAACGACAGCCAATCTCCACTTTGAATTCCAAAAAAATCATCCTGAAGCGGCCAAATGCTGGAAAGCATGTCCCGACACGCATCATCGTGGCACCGAAACGGTCGACCCGGTCAGGGCCTCAAAGTGCCACGAGCGACGTTGCCGACAGAGAGGATGCACAACAAGAGTCTGGACCGAACATGCCCTCCACACCCATCACGCCAACGACACCGAGCACACGGCGAAGCATCATATTTCGGCCTGCTCCCGGAAACTCAAAACGTCAGGCGCGTGCATCGACAAGGCAGCAAGAGAAGCAGCGGCGGAAAAGCCAGGAAGCCACGGACGAGGCGGCCGACGACGCTGACCAAAGCGACCAAGAGACTGCTGGAGGCCCTGATGCTGTGATAACAGCGGACGTTGACGCAGGTGACCAGGTCCTTGCCAATGAGAGCGCTGAACTCCAATCTGAGAAACCAGTGCTCGAGACGCCAAAACCGGCGAAGCGGCCCGTCGGCCGGCCAAAGTCCAGAAGATCGCTGGCCGCCGAGCAACGTGCGCTGAAGCAGAAGGAGGCGGCCGAGGCAGAGGCAGAACGTATCGTCGCCGCCGAAGCCGAGGCGCAAATCGAAGCGGAGGCTCCCCCAGTATTGAACCCTGTAGCCACAGCTGCTCCGACCCGTCCCGAGAACGGTCAAGAGGCAGACACGGAAGGTGACGTACGTGACTCGGATGGCGACTCGGATGGCGACTCGTTCGACTCACAGGACGAGGACAACGATGGATACGGCGGCAAGCCTTTTGGATTCGACTCTAGTTTCTTGCCACTCAAAACACCATATGGGCTACAGCGGCCACGCTCTGACAGCAACGCTACGGAAGTCAACAGGGAAGTCACTGATAAGGTTGTTGACCTTGCTGTTGAAGAAGCGGTGCGTCACTTCCGCTATCCTACTGCCTGGGCTCTGCGGACACTCTACGACGAGCAGGCGGGAAACCAGACCTTTTTGACCATGGTGGAGGACGTTTTTCAGCAGACGGCCGACCGCGAAGCCGTCAACACCTTTGCTCGTATGGTCCACGAGAAGAAGAAAGAAGGAAAGAAGGACAACAAAGGATGTAAACACTTTGTCCCGCCAGGGACTGACATCAACATTGCCGCTCACAAACCCATTCCGGCTCCCTACGCCGACCTCATCACCATGGACCTTCCGCAGTTCACGACCGACGTTTCGGGCAACATTGTTGACAGCACGACGGACGATACTGCGCATGCAAGAAAGAGAGTGAAGCTTACGGACGAGGACAGCGAACTTGTGGTCACTCCGCCCGCACCGGCAACGGTTTCCATGCACACATTCGCTCCCCCACAGCCCTCTGTGGCTTCGGACGCCAGCCATCGTGAAACGGAGCAACCCGCCTCTGCTTCCAAGAAGGGTAGTGCCAAGGCCAAGACGCCTCTTCAATCGCCAAGGGCATCAAAGACTCCGGCAGCTTTGTCTGCTTCTGCCACGCCCAAGACGCCCACGAAGACACCCCGCGGACGGCCTGGTAGACCCCCGGGCAGCAAGAACAAAACTCTTGCCGAGAAAGCCGCCAGTGCTCAGAAGAAGCAACCTGTTCCCAAGATCGAAGAGGATGCGACGATGACGACGCCTCCACCGTTCGCTCAAGGGATTGATGCGGCTCCATCTACGCCTCCAACAATCCGACGCCATTTGCGGGCAGACTCGGTGGCATCATCACTCTCACCCGCTCTGTCCATCTCACCGCCCAGCAAGAATGCCAGGGGACTTGACGTCGACGATGAAACAATCAGTGACAAGGACAACGACGTGGCCATGCGTGATGCAACTGGCGGTGCCGTGACTAGTATTGGGTGGACAGCCGAGACTGTGAAGCGTACGACGGCGAAGAAAGACGGTGTTCACGGAGCTGAGATCGCGAATAGCAGGACACACGAAGACGATTCTAAGGAATCATCTGTTTCTCAATCCAAGCGAGGTGGAGGGGGTGCGGATCGCCGTCGTGGAGGACCAGGATCAGGCAGAGGTGGGAGGAGGCGAGGAGCTGGCCGCCCCCCCAAAAATCGGACTCTCACTGGGGCTGGCTTGTCTGCCCCCAAGCCGTCTACCACAACACAACCACCAGAGCCCACGCCCACGCCAGCGCCAGCACCAGAAACAGCCCTACAGCCAATAGCGACCCGAAACAGGTCGTCCGCAAAAAAGTCACCCACACCATTACCCGCGTTAATTTCTCCGTTGTCTTCATCATCGCAGCCACAGTCCCAAACTCAAACTCACACCACAGGTTCACAAAACACTCACCATCAGCAACCGAAACGGACTTCTGCTGCGGCGGCTGCAGCGGCCATTTCAGCATCAGCAAAAGACGAAATGCCCGCTGCTGTCGAGGATCACATTTCTGTGCGCCCCGTTTCTGTCGCGAAACGCGCGCAAAATGGCAACGGCAAGAGCAGAAACAGCACTGCAGCTCTGCCATCACCAGCCATGAACAGCACCGATGCCGCTCCCAATTCTCTTGGTAAGAGCGAGTCGGATGAGGCTGGAGAGGAGCGCCTGGCCCGATTGCGACGCGAGGCACGTGGCGTCACCAACAGTATTGGTGTTGCCCCTGAAAGCTTCACACGGGGAAGTGCTGCCCTTCTTTCTACGGGTGCGGCGTCCTCATCCCGGCCTACTTCAGCGTCACGAAGCAGACGTGGCTCCGTTCCCGACGCGGCGAGCCACCAGCCGCTGCTGGAGACGCCACAGCCGCAACGACAACGGCAGCTGCGCGCTTCCACGACGGCCACGCGCACGACGCGGTCGGCCCGCAAGCGCGCATTCGATGAGGTAGACGAAGACCTGTCTCCCAGGAGCGGCAGCTTTCCCTCCGACGACTTGCCGTCGACGCGACTGCAGACGCCTGTGCCGACGCAACAAGTCGCCGCGGTAAATGAGTCGAATGGCAACTCACGCGCTGGCACGCCTGGACCGAAGTCCAAGAAGCCGCGCGTCGGACTTCGCGTCAAGTCATCGTAAGTATTTTGTTCTGCATCGTTCTACGTCCATTTTGACGACTTTTGGGGTGCGCGCTGTGTCTGTTTCATCAGTTGTCGCCTCGAGCGTCTCACCCGATGAAGGTGGCGATGAGGCGATGAGCTGGGGGCAAGGACGACCAACTGGACGCAGCGCGCGTCTCACGGTCTGGTCTGGACAGCGTCGCATCACCGACTTTTTGTCAATCTACGACAATCACGATGAAGGCTGTTTAGGGGCGCAAATGTATCTCGTCGCAGTCGGGGGATCCTTTGCTAACGATTCGTTTAGGCCTGTGAAGAAAAAGACTGGCACATCTGCTGGTGTGCCTCGCGCCAGCGGAGAACGCGGCAGTCCCGTGGCAAATGGCGCACCCAGTAACCAGGTAGGTACACCTCGCGAATGCTTGCATCATGTTCACGGTCGTTTTTGCATCCTATCCTGTGGCCTTCTCATGATGTTTTCGTCGCACTCTCGTTGTTTTTCTGGCGCTGCTCGCCTTTTTTTCTCCATTGCCTCTCTGCCCTACTACGCTCGCCCCGTTTCCGATGTTCATTTCCACCCTGCCCAAATAGCCTGTGCCTGATTTTGTCGGGCTTATGGCCAAACGCGTCTTCTGTTTCATGCCCACTGATTGGGGGCCCCACTGTTGGTCTCTCTGAACCATCGCTCTGTGGTAATCCTCGTCTGCCTCTCACGCCCGGTTTTTTATTCACTTACCGATGGTTGGCTGGGATTTCATCCCGGGAAACATGAGAGGGGAGTACAGAGGGGAGGAGAGCCAGGCAGACAAGCCACTTTGACCGGAAACCACAACTTTGTTGTTTCCTTTTACCGGGAAAGAAACCCTCGCTGCCCTTTTCCTGCTCTCGCCGGGCCGCACTCTGCCTTTTTGTCGTTCCTGCGACTTACTTTGTCCCTATTATAACAACACATACGACCCCTGGCGCTCGCGGGTGTCTGATCGTCCCCTTTACCTGCTACGACCTTTTTTTAACTCTTGCCCGGTAGTCTGGGCCGAGAACGCGAAAACGCTGGCAAGGATCTGGATTGCTGACACATGTTTGTTCTTCTTCAGGACGACAATGACGATTATTGCGCGTCGTGTAGTGGAAGTGGTGACTTGGTCTGCTGCGATGGCTGCACGCGATCGTTCCATTTCAACTGTGTTGATCCGCCCGTCCACGAGGATCGTGATCTTCCCGATGAGTGGTTCTGCAACGTGTGCATTGCGCGGCGCAATCCGGCGTCCCTGACGCGCTACACGGGCGTTTTTGGTGCACTGCTCAATATCATGGAACAGAGAAATTCCAGTGCCTTCAGCCTGCCCAGCGAGACGCGGAATTACTTTGAGGGCATGAAAACGGGAACTGAGGGCGAGTACGAAGACATCGTCGTGACTGGTACCAGTCGGACAAGGTTTGTTGAATCCCCGCACCTGGCAATTGGTCCCAAGCTTTGCCCACGTGCATTTTCTGTTCTATTCTGTCATGCGACTCACACCAAAGTTTTAGAAAACGCAACTATGATGAGGCACCCGACTTTTTCCGGATTCGTGACAACGATGGCAATCCAGTATTGTGCCACATCTGCAACAGCTCTGCCCAAGACAACAGGCCCATCATTCCCTGCGCCTATTGTGGTCTGTGGTGGCATATTGATTGCCTGGATCCTCCAATGGCGAACCCGCCTGTCTTGCGGAACTGGCGCTGCCCGGCACATACGGACGACATCTTGGCCAAACTCCCCGGCCAGCTTGGACCTGCGCACCGCTTCCGCAAAATCAAGGGCGCCCCCGTCGTCAAGCCTTCGTACTCTCGTGGCATGATCAACAATGGGTTCATCGAGTTCACCTCGGACGACGATTCGTCGGACAACCAGAGCGGGTGGAAGCACGTGCAGTCCTTTGGCCGTGTGCAGCGCATTGGGACACGCGGCGTGGAACTCGATTTTCTGGAGCAGATCCGAAAAGAGCAAAACACCGGCAAACAGCGGCGGGCGCGGATGCACCGCTATCAAGAGCGCCCCGAATTTCGCAACGATGAAATCGAGGTCGTGCCCAAGGCGGAGCCTGCAGCCGAGCCCAACCGTGTCCTTCTTACTGATCGCCACCGCATAGACGAAGCCCAGGCTGCGCAAAACCTCTCAGCTCTCTATACCTCGGAGGAGCGGACGGATCGCAGCGGGGACTTGATCAATGCTCTCTTGTCTCAAGCAGATGCCTCTGTGATTTCTATGATGGCACAGGGTAGCCCGCTCAACATTGAAATTGGCTCGGCTTTGACACAGGAAGACCTGGCTGCTCTGCAAGCTATGCGAGCGCGGATCGACCTCTTGTTATCCAATCCGAGAACAAGGGCAGAGAGCCGTCAAGTTGACGACCTGAAGGCGAGGGAAGCTGGTGCAGACGAGGCCCAGGAAGTCCCAGAAGTCGCCATGGAAGATGTACAGGTGGCCGGCGAGGGGCTCCCAGAACCTGATTCTGAACAGATCGTTCCAGAAACGAACGAAGTCATGAGCCTCGTCTCGGACAATGGCGAGAACGAAGACGAGGATCCTCCGACAATTACAACTCCTCTGAATGCCTCAGAAGACGAGCCAGGCTCTGCCGTCTGGCCAGTTGAGCACAGCGTCAGCGACCCCGGCAGTGGAACTGGTACACTGCCGGCGTCAGCCAAGGCCGAACTCTCCGAGAATGATATTGACGGTTTCCGTTTATGCGATCACAACAACGCCAAACGGCCACCAGCAGCAGGCGATTCCGTGCCAGGGCCTATCCTCGAGAAGACGCTGGAGACGGTTGCGATTTCGAACACGGCAGACGGCGACAAGGAGAAGGAGGACGAGGAGGACAAGCAGGGCGAAGGCCAGCAAGGCGCCGATGCTACGGCTAATGATGTGGCATCCCCGCCGACGCCTGTGCCAGCATCTTCAGAAACCGCTGTTGGAGACGAAGACAACAAGGAAAACGAGAAGATGGCCGACCGCCTTGATAAGCAGAGCGAGCAGGCAGATGGTGGTCTGGAGCGCACCGAAGCCCGCGCCGAAACCAACGACGCTGCTGACACATGATCAAGGAAAAAGGAAATACGAAATACTCGACGTACGCTACGGCAACCAGCAGACTCGAACAGCAACAACGAAACAAAGTTTGATCACTGTAGACACCATCATTTTTCTGACTCACATACATCTATTTTGCCTACTACTTTTTTTTTATAACATTGGGTTTGGGCGTCATTGGGCAAGCATGCTGTATTTTCTTTTTATGGGCAAAGGGTGGCGGCGGGCTTCTAACACATACTTTTTGGGCATTTGCATTTTTTTTTAACAACGGCTGGGACAACACCACATCGACCTACGTTTACCCTACTGTTCTGTTCCTTTCCTTTCGATTCTGATTTTCCTTTGTTTATATTTGGTGGGGGAATATGTCCACGCCTCTGGACTCGCAAGATAGGATGCAGAAAGAGGGGACGGACAAAGGGCAGCAAGCGGATTCGCTCGACATCGAAACCGCTCCTTCGTCCCGACTCTCGCTCTATCTACTTACCCCGCGGGCATAGGATGTCCTTTTCCCACGACAAGTTTGGCATAGCAGTGAATTGCAGAGTCTTTGGAGATGGAGGAGGGGCGATTATCCCAGCTTGTGTTTACTCTTTTACTTTCCACCTACATCCTATAATCGCTGCTGGTTACTAGGTCACTGTCCCTGCTTCAACAGAGCGCCATGGAATACCAACCTTCTTACTTGCATTGTATCAGTTGTCGAATTTCCTTTGCTTACACTTGGCTCATTTGGACGTGCCCACTGTGGTATTATGTAGATATGTGCAAACAACACGGCCAGTAGAGTGGATAAAGTACGCCTGTGATCCAGTCCAGCAATCTTTGAAATATGTGGCACCGTGCTTTTTGCTCCCAATTTTTCGCTCGAGTTATTACGTCACGCGACCTGGCGAACCAAGTGTCGAAACACACCGAAAACAATGTACTTGCTGCCATTTTATATCTAAATCATCCGAGCAAACCATGTGCACGAGGCAGTTGCTCTCCCGTACCTTTTCTAAAAAATCCTAGCACTCGGAGAGGAATGGTAAAAAAGGAAAACCTGCGTACAGAGAGATAAATCTGCAGAACGTGTCCTTTCCTACCCGCCAAGCGTTTTTTTCCCTTGCCGAACCTTCCGTTCAACCCATTGCCGACCAAAATAGAAAACGATGGGCAATACCAAGAAAAGATAAGGATGCGAACACGAATCAAGTAGTGTCAGATTTGACTTTTAAAAGTACAGACAAGGCCCTTTTGAGTTCCTAAACAAGTGAAAAGACCAAATGAAAATAAAATGACCAAAAATGAGGTTGAAAATCGAAAGAAGAATGGAGAAACGGCAAAGCTTCAGTCTAGTTTGGCAAAACCTGGCAAATTTTAAGAGCGTTGATAGCTTTAATAAAAATGATAATCAAGGTAAAAGAAAAAGAGGACAACCCAAAAAACCCCAAACCGGAGCCCAAAAAATCAAACATCATATCGAAGAAGAGAAAGCGCGAATATGGAGAGCACTACTCGCCATCTGAGAGAGGGTGATTGATCAGTGGAACTGGCGCGGGCTGATGTCGCGGTTCGGGTTGCGTCCCGGACGTCCGCGTCTGCCATTGCCACCTGCGCCGCCCATCTGATCAGGCACAAAAGGCGGTGGTGGGCCACCGTATCCATAGGGCGTTCCCATATTGTACCCAGGAGGCACATAGGGTGCTTGGCCAGCCAAGCCGCCAATAGGAGGTGGCTGAACCGCGCCGCTGCCGTTTTGCATGCCGGTACCGCGGTACGCGTCAACTGGTGGTGGAGCGCCTGATCCATTAAAGTTGCCGAACCCGGCCTGCATCTGGGGAGGGTAGAACCCACCGCCAACGTTCGGGTTGCCACCACGACCGCCCATCATGCCCTGCTGGTACGGAATCGGCTGGACCCCGATTGGGGGGCCAGCCTGGCCCTGCATGCCGTACATCGGGGCCGGGCCGCCATTGTACGGTCCAAAGGCGGGCGGTTGCATACCCGCATCACCGACGGGGCCGTTGTCACCACGCGGCATGCCGTAGCCTGCGTCGAAGCCAGAGGGATTGGGTGAGGCGTTAAAGTACGGACCGGCACCGCCGCTATTGAAAGCGGCCTGGTTCGTGTGCGGAGGCGTGCGTTGCTGCTGGTGGGACGCCGGCTGCTGCGACTGGTGTTGGTGGTGCGAGTGGGAATGAGACTGCTGCTGTTGTTGGTGCTGATGGCTGCCCTGTTGGCCGTGGTGGTTTTGGTGCTGGTGGCCATTGGCTTGTCTAGATGAGGGCCGTTGCTTCTCGTTGTTGGAGCTGTGGTCGCGGTCGCGGGATCCCCTATGATCACCGTTGCCGCCACTGCTGCCACTGCCGCCACTGTTTCTGGTAGATAGCCCAACCTCGTCCATCAAGCGCTTGTAGCCCTGAGAAGGCTGCGCCTTAATGCGAACGAGGACATTCTTGACACTTTCTACTATTTGGCCACGGAACGACTCCTCAAAGAAGGGCGTCGTGATCACCTTGTATATCAATGTGGAACCGCAAGCGTTGTCGCTGAGGATGGCCTCAAGGACGGAGTCGTTGGACGAAGAGAAGAGGGCCTGGAGAATGGTATCCCGGGCTTCGGGCTCCGTCTTCTGGTTCACAACCTTGAGCACCGTGAGATAAGCGACCTTGTGGGTGCACAGGTGAACAAGGTAGGGGACAAGCTGGGGTGCGAGCACTGTGCGCCGTTGGGGGAAGGTGCACGTGTCAAGGAACCACGTCAACAACAACGCACCATTGGCATTGGTAGCCAATTGGACGCTGTTTAAGGCAATGACCGCAGCAAGCATCCGCTGCTGATCCTTAGTGGCATGGTGGCTTTCGAGGCACGCGCGCATAGCACGTGCACCGAAACGGCCTTGGGAGATTTCCCAGAGACGACTGATCATGGTCTCGAAAATGAAGTCGGTGTACGGTGCACCGAACTTGAGGCAGCCTTGGAGAACATAATTGCCGTACTGGTCCAGGAAAAGCGGCACAGTGTAGGGACGCACGTTTTCGGAAATCAGAGCCATTTGGCGGGGCGTCTTGCAGACATCAATAATTTTTTGTGCGGCCCACGTACCGTTTTTGTGAACACCAATCTCTGCTATGTGAGGAGCAATTTCCGCCAGCATATCATCGCGAAGGTCGTCTGAGCAGTGCTCAAACAGCTTCTGCACAACTGTGTTGCCAAGGTAATCGGATGAAAGCTCTGCGATCTCGGGAAGCATCTCAACAGCAATGCGCTCGATCTCTGCCTGGGAATAGCTTTGGTTGTCGATGCGTTTCCGGATGTCGCGCAGCTTGGGAGCATCGTAGACACGGGTACTGGAGGGTTCCGCGACAGGCGGAATTTCGTCAATAAAGGTGGTGAACTGAACAGCTTCCTGTACGATGGAAGAAATGCGGTAGGTATCCTCGTCAGAGGCACCGAATTGGCCAACAATTCTCATGACATCGTTCGAAATCTTGCCGAGTGCGTCCGGAGATGACACCGCAGGCGGAATGACGGTCGATCCTCCAGTGCCGGGAGAAGAACCCTCTGCGCCAGCTGGTCCACTTGCCGCAGGAAAAACTCCAGGCGTGGATGAGCCAGCTGTGGAGCCCGGTGCAGCAGACAGCGAACCAGACAGCTTGTTGTCGGCAGCAAACGGATCAGGGCTTGGAGAAGGATAGACGCCGTCATGACCAGGGGTGTTGGAAGACGACGGTGGCTTTGCAAAGTTAATTCGCACAGGCCCAGCCCCAGGGAAGATCTCTTTCCCGTTCAGGCTTGCCTTGGCAGCGACAGCACTATCGACGCGTTCAAAATTGACAAAGCCGCAATTCTTCAGAGTCAAAACTCGTGCGGACAAGATAGGGCCGTACGACTTGAACATCTCGGTCAGGGTGGACGTGGTGGTCGAGGTCGGAATGCTTCCTAGCCACAAGGCACTCGTCGGGCCCTCGAGGCCGGGCTCATCGGGCGATAGGAAGCCACCTGTGTTGTTGGCAGCACCCGCGCTGTTGTTGTTGCTGCTGTTGGAACGGCCCAGCCCCATTCCTGCCATAGCAGTGGTCATGTCATTGTCGAAGTCTTTCTCTTCGGGCAATTGGATGTCCGAGGCGGTTAAGCTGCTGTCCAGGCGGGACTGTGTAGGGAAATAGCCGCGCAGCACGCGTGCCCCAGGAGCGTCCAAGACGCCTGCGGTTCTCGCGCGAGGCCGGCTAGCAGCCTGGTTTGCAAAGGCCTGCACTGCCAGGTTATGGCTATGAATCGCCGCGTTTGTTGCATCGATTTGTCCTTGCAGCACGGCAGCATAGTCTGTCCCAAACCCAGCTATGTTGGCATCGAAATCGTCCTCGTCTTCGTCATCGGCGTACTTGTCCTTGTTGTTAACGGAGTATGAACGGAATCGGCTGGACCGAGATAAGTCTGCGATGTTCGGCATGTACGGGGTGGCGAGCGTTGCGCGGGGCGGTTGAGGTGTCTCGACAAGGCCCAGGTAGTCCAATGTCCGCATATGGACGTCGTTCTCCCCCGGACCCTCGCGAGAAAATGCCGACTGGGCGGGCGAGCTAGGGCCATTGGAGCCAAGACTCGCAATGCTTGCAAGGGTAGACCCGCGCTCACGGGTTGTCGGGTTCCAGCTGCTAAAGATCGAGGGTCCAAACGGAGAAGTAGCCGCCGGTGTCTGCCCGAAAGGCACACGCTGTGGCATGGAGCCGGCACGAAGACGTGACAGGAGTGCAGAAGACGACGATTGGCCATTTCCGCCATCCACTGGTTCTAAGCCTGGAGAGGGTGATTTATAGGGAGTTTGGGAAGGTGTCGGACGGGACGTTTTGGGAGCAGCAGTACCAACCGCCGAGAGATTGAGGAGGCCATTGCCCGCACCACCCGGCGAAAACCGAGACGGCACTGTCCCAGCGCGGGCCCGGCGACCGACGGGCAAAGGAAGGAAATCGGACGAGGATGGGAGCTGGGCGAAGTCGGGAAAGCCGTCTGTTGGCGACTCGGGGATAGTCTCGCGGAGAGGTGTCGAATTGCCACTTGTCGGGGGTCCTGCCCATAAATTCACGGGCATGCCAGGGATTCCTTCCTGGGCTTGAATTTCCCGGGCACTGGATACGGTCAGTAAAATGCGTCGATCACAGAGCAGACAGTGCATGCACGGGTGTGCCGTAAGTCAACGTAAGGTCAACGCGGCATGAAGGAATTACCGTTTAGAGTAGAGGCGGCTGGAGGGCCCCAAGTCGTGCGATGGGGACCCATTGCCCGAGCGCGAGGCGGGAATCTTGGAGTTGCCGCCCAGGCCAGGGGGAGGCAAGCCAAATGGAGACCGGCCGGAAGAGGATGCGGAAGATGGGTCTATGGGGGAGGGGTTGGATGTGGTCGGCGACGTGGAGCGGGCCTGCTGTCCCAGCTGGGGGAAGCTACTGAGTGTCAGGTCCGACCGAGAGTTTGACATTATGGATTATGTATTGTTGTCGAGTAGAGGTATTGTACTCGAATGATCATGCGCGATCAATGCTGTCCTCTTACGAGGTGGCTGCTAAAACGTGTGCAAAGGCCAGTTGTTGAGGCTGCCGTAATGATCTATTAAAGAGGCGACGGAAAAGTGCCAGCAGGCCCAGAAAATGAGATCGAAGCGATGCCTATGCGGGCCCCAAAGACGATGGGAAATCGAATAGACACCGGGCCGATCGAGAAGAAAAGGAGGGGACGATTCTTGGTCGGAAGTCGCGGCCGTGCTGTTCGTAGATCGACGACGAAAGCAAGGCTCGGGGAATAAAGGAGTGACAAGCCGGGGACACCGGAGTGCGTGAAAGACGACGGCAAAACGTCCGGAAGGACGCGATAGAAGGAAGGATGCGTCGAGAGGTTGTCGGCAGCAAAATCACACACGAGAATCGTTTACCACCGTTGTGTGGGAGAGCCGCGTTCGAAAAGGCGGGCGGCGGTGGATCATGGAGGGATCAGCGATCTTTTGGATGGGCGGATGCACACGTTTGCCAGTCTACCGCCAGCGAGAATGGTCTCGATACCATTGACTGTGATCGTGGATCTTGATGGTTCGCTTTTGTCAACGTCCTGGCTTTGCCAATCCACACGACGCTCCGTAAGCAGATGGGTCAATGGTCGACAAAGGGACACGGTGGTTTTGGAGGCTCTTTGGATGGGGGCGGATGTTGCCAGTGGCGTCAAGATCTCGAAATCGACCGCTGGACTTTTCAAGGATGGAAAAGGGTGAGAGGCGTAGGTGCAAAAAATGTGGTAAAAAAACAACAACCAATACTAAAAGCTATACGTTGAAAGAGGGTTGAGAGAATGGAAGAACAAAACCTTCGTGTTGGGGATACGAGTATGCAAAGGAGAAGCAGGACGGGATACGTAGCTGCGGTAAGGAGAGGTGATGGGCAAAAAAAACGAGGATGTGGGTCGAGTTTCAAGTTCCAGAAGGAACAAGGTGACGGCAGGAGTGAGTGGAAAATAGCGGACAGAAAGCTGTTTTGGGGGAAAGCTCAGGGCGTGCTAGGAACACAGTAGGGCAAGAGCTGGGCACTAGCCGTGAAAGGGGTTGCCTACTGTCTGACGGAAGGAGCAAACGGTAGACGACTGTGCAAGCTCAAGCGACGGTTTGTAGCACGCCCGTTATAAGAATACCGTTCCCTGTTAGATATCTTACCTCGTTCGTTTTACGTCCTGTACAGAGAAATAAAAGGCCTTACTGTAAAGGGAAAGCAAGCCGTGGCTTTTGTGTATTGCTTCACGAAGGGAATCTTTCCGTACTGACATTTTATATAGCCATATCTGAGCTTCCTAAGCCTCCTGGAAATCCATGGCCATAAACAAAAGGTAGTTTACGACGTGGGAAAGAGCAGGTCACCTTGTAACAAAAACCAAAGAGCATCAAAAGTAGCAGGAGCGACCTACTGCGAAATACAAATTAAATAAAATACCATTTGAGGGCGGTTGTTTTGGATAGAAGCTACTGCGGAAGAAAAGGGGCAAGAACGATGCGTGCGTTGCTAGTTGTTCGTGCTCCATAACCGAGATGTCTCCTTCGGTGTTGCAGGCGCAAAAACAGCTCAATGTCCAACACAACGAGACAACCAATGCTGAAGCACAGAACAACTCGGGCACATTGTCGGTTTGGGGTCCAGAGATAGCGGGTTTCATCCCTGAGAGATCCTTTTGGCCAGCTCTTTTGTCCCTTCCTTCGATCGCCTCTCCCCTCACTGTGGGACAGAACTCGGAAAGGAGGGGTGCAACGTTCTAGGGGGTGTGGGGATAAAAGGCGCTAATCCAAGTGGCCGACCAGAACCAACGAAGGGAAGTGCCCTGTAACAGCAACCGCCAAGCCAGAAGTAAGAAGGAGCTGGGATGACTGCAAGGAAGGCAGCGGCAGAAGGGCGACAGAAGGAAGGAGTGATGGGCTGTTGAAAGAGCAACCTGTCTTTGTCGGCCGCCCTGTCCACAAACAAGTCACATACTCACATCCTGAGAAAACGAATTGCAATTACCATCCAACTGGCTAGGTACAAACGATGGCAGACGATGAGGCAACAGTGTCTCCAAAGAAAAACAAGGCCTCCACTGATGTATTGCCGCACAAAGTCGACGACGACGAAAGCCACCACGGCCAGCAATACAGCGGTTGGCATTGTCCACGATCTACACATATGCACAAGAGAGACAAACAACGAAACCCGAGCCCAGGAGGGGCTTGGCTAAGCCTCCAATGAAGAATGACGCCTCTTGAGGGCTTACAAGACAAGGGCAGTGATCTGTCTTCGATCATTGGCTAGCTTCTTTCAATGCCATGCAATGCAGCGGGCTTTTCTGTCTTCCTTCATCTTTTGGTTTCTGTTTCGTCGTTTTCGTCATTTTTGGCCGTTCGCCCTCTTCGTCTTTCTTCTGACTTGTGGCCGTTGAGCCAGAACGAGCCCCCTCTTGTCTTGACATGTTACGCCGCCCTCCGTCCCCTTGCAGCAGCTGATTACTCTAATCATTCTGCTCCATAATCCAAGGCACAACCAACAGATGCACTCTTCCTTTTCCTGCGCCTCACATACTCTGCGTCTTGGGTGATGACGATTACTGTCCTTTATCGGTCCATGCACCCCGAGACGTCCCTACTTTGGAATTCAGAACCCGCCCTGCCATCCCTTTATGCCTTGTTGCTCTTCGACTGAACTTCCGGTTGTGATATATCCTTGGGCAGTGCCCAATGGCCATGCATTCTGCGTTTATATATGTCCAGTGGCACGGCGTAAATGCGCTGTCGTGGGGAGTTTGCTTGCAGTCTTCCTCCTTGGTCAATTCGTCCCAAGATGCCAATCAATGAGCTGGTGACAGTAGGATCTGAAACGGGACAGTTCACGCCCCTCCCCCTTCTCCAACCCTTCCAAGCCCCCTTATCCTGGCAGCGTTGAGATGCCATCGAGCTGTGTCTGTCACATCCCTTCTTCAAGATGCAATTGGCAAGACGGAAGATAACAAGGCTTAGCTGGCCGAGCGCCACGCCAAATGACACAACAGGCACCACCGCATGCCGGGACCGCGGAGCATGACAAATTGAGGCGCACAGCTTCGTAGGTAATACAGGAAAATGATCGTTTACTCCCTGAAAACAAGCATCTTGCAAACAGGCTGTTTTGAATTTCGACTTATAATCGCGAATTTGTCGTTAAATGCACCTCAAGCTAGGTCGGTGGCCTATACTTCCTTTTAGGGATCCATTAAGACTGAATTCGATGAGTGGCAGATCTCCAGGATCACGAACGATCGACACACCCTGCAAGCTTTTTGTCAAGGTACCCCGTAATACCTTCGAGTAAGTGCCACTAAAACTAGAAGACAAACCACACTGGACGACGTCTCAGAACGAAATCGGACCGCTAGCCGTCAAAAGACAATGAACTGGTAATTAACGGAAACAGGTCTTTTTGTTTTGTTGCATTCTATCTCCTGTCTGTCTGACTTTTCCAAGTGCTAAAACAGGCATGACGGAGAGGTGCTTCTCCCACCAAGTTGGTATGGACATTGCTCGTATTGGTCCTCCGTAAAATATGTATACATGACGACTCGTATGCTGTGTAATTACGGCGTACTAGCATGCGCAGTTCTTGGCCGTACTTCACTCGCTGATCTGGATTTCCGCCTTCGACTTAAATGCATACGATAGACTTACGACCAGGAATAATAATGCGCGGGTACAGCTGAAATATGCGTTGTCCAACCGAAGAAAGGACCGGCGGCATATGAGTGCCGTCAGTATGGCGCCGCATTACACGCCGGGCGAGAGATTCTTCTGTACGCCAGCTATATAACGGTCTCCATATAGCCTGGTGACGCATTCACTCTTTAAAAGAACCCTTTCTTCTTACCCGTCTGCATTTACATATTGCTCGCATTGAGGCGGTAAGCATAATACACATTTGCCGTATCACTTCACACGTTCGTCCGAATTACTTTGGAACACGCACAATCACATTGTTGACACTTCTCTTTTTTGATTTATATTGATTGTCAAAATGGCAACTAGTAGATGGAAAGCAACTGGAACACGGGAAGGATTGACCAGATAGCCAGCAGATATAACACTAAAGATGTACAATTGTACTTGAACACCCAAACGGACAAGAAAACAAAGAGGTAAGCAAGTCGAAAGACTCTGCACAAGGCAAAACAAAAACACCACCACCCAACTCCAAGTCCAAGGCATCAGTGGATATAAAAATCAACGGAAACGGGGGAATCGGGGTGACAAGACATGCGACCTGTGAAAATGAAAAGTGGCGATTCAGAACCGGCACGGGGAAAAAACAACAACTGAAAGAACAAGCACAATAAAGTACGAAAAGAGAAAAAAACATAAAAGTCAAGCACGAATTCGACAGGAGAGGACAAATGTTTTTATAGTTGCTGCGATCACCACCATGGAGTCGGAATGCTGGGCGCCGTGGCCGTCACCCCCCTCGGCTGATTCTTTTTGGCATCTGCGCGAGTCCGCTTGATCTTCGCGTCGAGCTCCATGTTGCGAATGTGATTTGTGGCCTTTTCTTCGTAGCTGTCGTGCTCCTCAGTCTTGCCCTGGACGCGAAGCCACCAGAGCTTTGAAGCAATCTGAGCACGCCGAACAACAAAGCGGGCATCGTCGCGGAGCCGCTCGGTAGCGTCGGTCGTCGGTACGAGTTTCTTGACGAGAGATTGAGCTTCTGTGGCGGACTTCTTGAGGAAAACTTCCGGACAAAGGCGCTTATAGTTTTCTGTGAGATCATCCTTCAAGGCTGTGAAGCCGCGAGTAGCAGATTCGACCACCAGCGATGCGTTGCCCAGTGCGGCCTGGGCCATTTCTGTGTAAGGAATCGACATGTTGTGCTCATCAGCGTAAGTAGACAAGGCTGTTTTGGCCCGCGCAACAGCTTCTAAGCCCGCGTCGGTAGCGGCACGGACCGACTCCTGCCACAGGCTGAACCCTGCTTCAAGAAGTCTGGAGGCCGTGAGCTGACCAAAGTCCACGGCAAACGTTTCGTTGATCTTGGGACGAAGGGTAGTGACAATGTGGACGCTCATAACGCCAAACGCATCCTTTCTGTCAATCTCAATGATGATGCCCTCGTCGGTCGTGAAAAGCTTGGACTTCAGCTTCTTTTGCCCCTGCCACACGTCGATATCAATGGCGCCCTTGGCCAGCCACTTGGTCTTGGTTGCAGCAGGGACCTTGACCATAATCTCGTGACTGCTGTACACTTGGATGGAGCATCCAGTGCTCTTGATCTCGGCATCTGACACGCCCTTGGCATTGCGCTGGCTGTGTGCGTTATCTGTCAGGTAGCCTCCAAACAGGACCTGGCTTGACAGGCTCGTCGGCTTGGACACTTGAACTTCGACTGTCTTTGTGGTCACAAAGCTGATTGTCACAGTCGGTGCAACAGATGGGGCTGAGCAGACAGACGATACGGTAGCTGACTGGGATAACGGTATGTGGGGAGTAAATGACGTTTGAGTGGCGGTGGAAGGAGACGTCCGAGAAAGCATTGTGTTAAAAACAGATGATTGCTCCGATGTGTCAAGGCCGAAAGGTAACAGGCCGGGTCCGGTATACACGAGCAGCGCTGACGACAAGAGAACTGTAATCAAAACCGATGCGAAAAGGCCGCAAAAGCGTGCAGAGACAAGATAGTAGAGCTCCCTGAGTGCCCGGCGTGCTTCAGGACGGCAGTCCCTGCCTTGGCGCAGAAGGTAGAGAGAACCTGCCACTGCACTGACAAAGCCCTGAAACGTGGCACTAACGTTGGTGCCGGCCGACTTGCCAGTGAATTTGTTCTCTTTCGTCCGGCTGTCTTTCAATCCAGTAAGGTAGGCGAGGTTTCTATTCATCTGGCGGGCGTCGATGTTGAGGAAGGAGCCGAGATCGATGGGCAGACGCTCGGAGACCATAGGCTTGGACGGGTCGCGCGATTCGAGACTCAGATGCACGGCAGCATGGTCGACGAAGTTCTGCCAACGCCCAGCATATGGAGACCGCGAGAAGGACTGTGCGTGCGAGACGAAGATGGATGGAACAGCATGGCGTGTCATAAACTCCCACGCTGCGCTTCTCGTAGTCTCGGCCTGGTCATCATCGTTTCCGGAGACGTAGAAAACAGCGACATGGGGAAGAGCCCATTCGGGAGTCACGACTGACCCGCTGGGGTTGAAGACAGATGAGTGCACCATGCCACTGTCCAATTCAATGGAATAGACGGTGTCGTCGGGAAATGACTCGCCTTCATACACAATCTCGGCAGCCTTGACGCATCGGTCCACCTTGATGTAATACTCGGAAACACCCATGAGCTGAATTTCGTCAATCTCAGGAACCTTAGCTGACCCAAAGGCCGAAATGGGCATGATGTTGTAAATGCCTGCTGTCGATGAGTGGCGCCGTTCGGCGCCCGGAGATGGACTGCCGGGCGGCGGGGCCGACGCCAGCAGGGCTGACGAGATCTTGTGCGTGATATCGTCATAGGCACCATCGTTTCCAACGTAGAGAACACGGAGAGGCTCGCGAGTAGAGAGACAGTGGCGGGACATGGTCTGGCAGACGGTAGCAGCCATGCGTTTGGGAGCGTCGGACGTCATACCCATGTTAGCGGCGATGATGGCGGACTCGCCCTCCGAAAACTCGCGAACTGTGTGCTTGACCGAGACCTTCTCGATGTAAGGCTTCACATTGGTGCCTTCGTCAAACTCGATAGATTGGTTGAGCGGCGAGCGGCCACCACTGATATCTCCGTGCGAAGAGTCGTACTCGAGCGTAGAGAGCGACTGCGTGGATGGATTGCAGAGGGCTTGTTCAGCATAGCGGATGGAGTCCGCCGGGGACGACCGGCGGGCTCCGTTGTTGTCCTCACCATTGCCCCGGCTGGCGTGGTAGAGCTGGCTGTGCCCAGGCGTGTTGCGGGTCGCCGTGGGAAGATACCCGCTGCTTTGGTCAAGATGGCCACGGTCAGAGGAGGCCGCATCGTGCTCCTCATCTTCGTCCTCCTCGTCGTCCTCCTCGTCGTCGTCCTCGTCGTTTGTGGTCTCGTTGCCATTTAGACTGAGGACGTCATCAGCCCGAGGGTAGAAGTTGAACGAGCTCGTGATGGAGGCAGCCAGAGAGTCGGTGCCCCGCCCGTCCTGGCTCTCACCGTCGGTGCTGCTGATCAGCTCGTAGGCCGAGTCAGCCAGGCTGCTTGTTTCGTCGAAGACGCCGGAGGACTGCATTGCGTTTGGTACGGTCGTCGAGCTCGAGGTAACCCAATGAGCCAGGAGATGGCTGCCTTCAGGCTTGGGAAATCGGAGAGAGGAAGTGGACTCGGATGACTCTGAAATTTGTAAATTTGGTGATGTCGGTGATGGCTGGGATGCGGCAACAGCTGTCGACTGTTGACGGTTGTGTGATGATGATGGAGATGGGATGCCAGAAAGTTGGTGATTCGAATCCGGTTCTAGATGAGCAGAATATCCTATACTGTGCTCTTCCATTGCTGTTGTCGACGGCAAGAATGGGAGGAGGAGGGGAGAGAGATCGAGTGTCAGCCTTGTATTTGGAGCGAAGTCAAGTCACGTCCTATTCACTAACAAGCTTCCTTTCCGGTCACGACACGAGGAAGGACGAAAGGAACAACAATGGACGAGAATGCGAGTGAAGAGAGGCATAAGGAAAGACAAAATGTCTTCTATTTCTTGAACAACGTCAAGGGGGGAAGCAAAATAAAAGAATCAACGTACACAGTTCAGGAAGTCAGCCGTGATTGTTTCCCATGTAGTCCTGCCTGGCTGCCTACGGACGTCACGGCGACGAGAAGGTGGGGCAGGCCCTTGAGGCGATACGGGGCGAGAGGGCGGAGACGATAGCAAGTGAGTGGCGGAAACGGCAGGCGCGTTTTAGGCTCACGTCCCTGGATGGCAAGTGCGAATGGCCAACGAATGTGCGGTGGAAGTGGATGCAGCTTGGAAAAGCAGGAACGAAGAGGTTAGGATTCGACTGTATGGAAAACAAAAAGCAAAAGGAGAGGTTGAGGAAGCGAGCAAGAAGGGAAGCAAATCTGTAAGAGGATGCTAAATGGGAAACCATATTATCTTGGATCCTCGTATCTTACGGAAAGGGCTACAGTGAGGTAGGTGGCAGGTGACGTCGAAGAGAGGGTTCCAAAACTACGAAGATAGGCCTATCGGAGAGGCAGATAGTGGCTATTGGAGGGCAGTGAGTGGGGTAAGTGGACGCTGGCGTAGTGAGGGGCAGAGCAGTGCACTCCTGCTAGGCAGTGTGCTTTCTTCATTTGGACGAGCCAATAGTGTCCGAAGGCAACTTCCCTCACCTCTCTCACATCTCTACTCAGCACTTGCGCCAGAGGAAGGCGCGGCCGGGCTAATAGCGTCAGCCTAAAGCTCGACGCACCGACAGGACCGTCGACATCGACACAGCTTCAACAGCACGAAGCACGTTTGGGCGAGCGCAATCGGAGCTTGTTAGGGCCTGTTGGCTCTAGGGGCCACCGCGCACGACCTTCGTACGCGGCAGTGTCTCTCCCCGGGGACGCATTATCATCGCCCTGGTGAGCTGACACATGCAAGCCAAAGCAATGTGTTTGAGGTCGAGATGTTCCGAAGTGAACCGATGATATGATACGAAGACGTCGACTTGTAGGACCCTCCAGCCTAGCACGTCGTTGGGCCTGAGGCCTCGCCTGCCATTCCAGAATGAATGAAAACTTTTATTCCGCCTAGAGGTACTAAGCCTAAAGAGCTCATTTTTACAATGCGTGCATAATTGTCCGCTTATCTAATACATCCTCCTATCGTTTTGTCTACTTCCTCTCCTTACCCTGTTTGTTTATTAGGTATATCGGTTTCTTGAAGATCCTCCTTTAAGCTGGGTTGACTACCGGTGGGCCGGTGGCGGTATTAGTAGGTGGTTGTTTATTTTATATTATCCTCCATCTTACCAACGGTACGTAGTTCCAGTCACCACCACCTCTTTACTTGTTACTCGTACTGCCTTTATATTTAGTTTCTAGTCGTCTTGATCAGTCGCCTCCTTGTCTCCGAAGAAAAAAGAGAGGTTGTTTATTTGAATTCTCCTTGCCTTAGTTTTTGTCTTTAAGCCAGCCACTACGGGCAGTGGAAAAGGAAGTGCTTCATCGTCTCTCTTACTTGACCGTAAGCGCAGGCCTCTGTTGTTTCGATCTGGTGGAGGCACTACGAATAAGTAAGGCATCGTGCGCAGCTGTCAGCAATACAGCGCAGCTCGCGCGTAAAACGACCCAAGGTCGCCCTTTCTTGATTCGCGGTAGTCGGTGCCGCCGTCTCTGTCTTTGTTCTTCGTTTCTTTGCCGTCTTGCGGCGCCGGCCGTTAGGATGGACGGACGCAAGTGGCATCGGCACGGATGGGGTGTGCAATTCAGAGCGCTCAAAATCCACCACCATCAGTGTCTTGGTTCCGGCGTCATACAAAATGTTGCGTGGCTCGGCGTCGCCGTGCAGCACGCCCAGCTCGTGCATCTGCCGGAATGCCGCTTCGACGGCGGGGACGGCCGTGGCGCAGCTGAGGCCGCTGTAGGCAGCATCGTCCGCCGCATAGCGTGCGAGGGACCGCCCGGCCCAGCTGAGCAGCAGGATGTGGTGGAAAACACCGCCGTAACCGTACAGCGGTAGGGCAAGGTCCGCCAGGCCCAGGCACACCGGGATCTGCTCGCCCTGCATGGGTTGCAGCCGGCCGTAAACGTTCTTCTCCATTTGCAAAAAGGGGCGGTTCGCCGTCTCGACTGCCTTGCCCACCAGCGTGTAGCCATATGCGGTCAGCCGCACCTTGTAGAGCGCGCCAATCAACCCCGACATGAACATTGGAGCGAAGTCGGCGTCGCGATCCCGATCCAGCGCTATTTGCTTGGCCAGCAGGCGCATGCACGTCGTGGCGTCGATCTGGTGTTGGGGACCGTGCGTTGCAGCATTGGGACAGGCCGCGTCGACCGGCCCGCCAGAGACAAGGCCTAGGAGGCATCGCTGCGTGCAGTACGGCTGCTCTTGAATGGGCGTCCGTGTCTGCGCGGCCAGATGTACTTGCTGCCGCTTTTTGGCGCCCGGTCCGTTGTTTGCCGTGTTGTCTTCGGCTGCACGCCGTTTGCTAGCACGCCCACTTGGGCTTGGCGAGGGCGGTGTGCCTCCCGGTCGGTGGGCGGAGCTTTTCCCACTGCGGCCGCCACCCTCGTTGCCGTTATTGTTGCCGCCGCCGCCACCGCCGCCGCCACCACCGTCTTTGTCACTGTCGTTGCCGTCATTGCTGCCGTAACTATGGCTACTATCGTTGCTGTCCCTGTTGTCGTTGTCGCTGTCGTCGCTATCATTTTTACGTCTCTGGGAGGGCCCGGCATGCCCAGGCTTGTTTCGTGACGAGCGCGTTTTCACGGGTGAGTCCCGCGAGGAGCCCCGCCAACGGCTCGGCTTGTAGGGCGACGCGTTCTCCTTTGTCTTACGCACCGACGGCGGGATTCTGCGGAGGATATCGTCGTATTCGACGGCCCACGTGCCGAGTTTGGCGGCAGCACTGAACCAAGCTGCGGTCGGCGGCACGGCGCCAAGAGCCTGCAACGTAAAAGCAAACACCTGGGCGACCGCAGTGCGCTGGAGCCGGATGCTGCTGTCATCGTCGTCTACATCGTCGTCTACGTCGACATTCGGTACGCAGACGTGGTAAAAGACAGTGGTTGGGTCGTCGGGGATAAACAAAAAGACAAAGACCTGGCCCGTGCAGATGTAGCCATACTGGATGCCTTTGCCAACCATGTATGAGAAGAGTTGTGTCACGGCGGCGGCGGCCAGGGACTTGGACGCAAAGACAAACGCGGACTCGCCGTCTGCCGCGTCGCGGTTGATGATGTCGCGGTCCGGCTCTATGGCGGCGGCCAGCCCTGTGGTGATCTCGTCTGCAGTGAGTTTGTGCGGTGCTTTGTATTCGATAGCGGTGACCGGGATGTCGGCACCGTCTGCCCTCCGATAGATGCAGAACTGGTCTGCCATCGTACCCCGCCCACGGCCGATAGCAACACGGTGCAGCCGATGGACAAGCTTTGGATCGGCAGTTCCGTCGGCGACATCCCCCACCGCCTTCTCGTCGCCGAGGTTGGTGTGGCTCTCAAAGTCCACGGCGCCGCGGAGACCAAAGCGGCGGCGCAGCACGGCGTCGTCGAATGCGGTAGCCATGAGTTTGCGCACGGGGATTTCGACCGTGTCGCGCTCAAAGTAGCGCAAGCCATGCTCGCTACTAATGGGGCTGTTGACCGACAGGACGTAGTCGATCTGGTTCTGAGACAGAAACGCCCGCCGCGAGGCAAACGAGGAGGTCGCCGCGTCCGTGCCGCCGGTGGCCGATTCGGCGGACAGCAGCAGTCGCCAGGTCTCGCCTTGCCGCGCCGGAAAGTTGTCCCACGGGACAATGCGCCGCGGGTAGATGCGCCCAACGGGGTCCGTGACATCGCCCTGAGTGGTTAACGAGCGGTCTGTGACGACGACGATGGCGCGGCTAAGCGTGTGACAGGCTGCCAGGTACGGCTCCAGTGACATCGGCAGGAGGGCTTCTTTAGCAGCCAGGGCATCCTCTTCGGCAGCCCGGGTGGCTTCGTTGGCAGCTGCCAATTCGGCGCGCAACTTGGCGATCTCGACATCCTTAGAAGCCATGAGAGGTGAGGCATTCGGTTTGGCCTGAGGAAGAGGGGAAATAGAGGGTCGTCGGTAGCATCGTCGGCTGGCGGAATTGTCTCATGGAGGAAGCAATTTATAATCATTCTTGTTGCTAAAATTCGTTGCCCACGCGCTTTCGTTTCAGCGGTATGATAGACAAGAGACAGGCGACGCCTGCGCGCGAGAGAGGGCGCGTCTAGACGGGTTGTGATTTGATGGGCGGGAAAGGCATGGACTGGTCGGACTCAAATGTGTGTAAACGCGGGGTGTTTAAAAGTTCGAAAAGTCGACCCATAAAATACCGAAAATAGACGACCTAGCACCGACGTAGACGAACAATACCCACGTGGCAAGCCAAAACAATGTGTTGTTAGAGGTCGAGATGTTACGAAGTGAAGCCGATGACATGATACAAAGGCGTCGACATCCCGATGCAAAAATATGGTGGTGTTATTAGTCATAAAGAATGTGTTGTTATTATTTTTTATGTTCAATAATTGTTACGCGCTGACCTTAAGACCCTAATGGTCTCAGGTACTTGGATAGAATTAAAATAGGAGGGCTTTCGTATATTTATTCGTTTTTCTGATAGCGACTTTCAGGAAATTGTCCGAATGCCAACTATTGTTAAGTATTTAATAATAGGGATATTGTATTCATTCATATATGAGTTGAATTGTCTTTTCTTCCTTTTCGCCCTGATCCCGTCGATGCCCAACCCTTGTTATTATGGAACTTCGTGTTGCGACAGCGTTCGCAGCCCTTTGCCAGTCGGTATGGTTGCCGTAACTAAATAGAAGGCCGTTCTTGAAACTAACATATGCATTTAGATACTGATCTTTCGAGCGGCGGTAGTCGGTTTTGAAGACAAGGATGGATGAACTCGACGCTGAATACAAACACCAAGTACAGCTTTATATCAAAATCTAAGCCGGGCCGAGAGTGGATCTATTCTCTGAAGCCACCGTTACCGTTTTGTCTTAATGTTAGTATGCTGGCTGGCTGGTTACTTAGTGGCGGCTAGGATGGGGGATGGAAGGTGGAGTGTACTACGCAGAGATGAGCACTAGACATGAATTGGGAAACACGTATCTGATGTACGTATCTTAGGATCAAGAACACGAAACCCCTTTGTCACCTCGTCTAGTAGTACATAGCATTTAGCAGTTCAATATAAAACCTAGCCACTACGTTCTCATCACGGCCGCACAACCACGTTAATCCTGCTAGCCACTCATCATTAACCCTGTCTTGCTTCATTTTCACATATGTGAGCGAGCGAACTGCCACTGCTTCCCTGGAGAGGAACCCAGATTTGTGAAGAGGAATGTCTCCCGTCCTCTCTCTGCACGTGGCATCTCAGTACAGCTCTGCTCTTGTCCAACTTGCTCAACAATTGCGGCGAATTGTCGTCCGAGCTCTTGTCGCTTGATGATTGCAAGGCGTGTATCCGGTGGTTATGGCCATGCCGATCTTGGCAGCGTGCCCGGTGACAATGCTAAGGTCCTGGCGCGTCTTGGTGGCGTCGTGCCAGCACTGGGGGTTCGGCAATAGACGAGCAGACAAGGATCGCTCTGCTGATGTCTATTCACGCCAAGGAGACCCATAAAGCCTTGACTTTGAATTCTAGATCCTTTTTGACAGCACGACGCAAACATCACATACCAAGCGAAATTCAAGTCTTGCACTTGTTGGACGCCCCTTCATGCTAGCCAGTGGGTGGTCAAGTCCCAGCAGGCTGTCTCTTTTGATGGCGCGCCTTGCGATCCGCCTCATATAGGTCAATCTGCCACCTGGTGTATTCCTCGTACATGTGCACCTCCTGCGTCCAGTCGTCAGTGCCATCAACGACCTCCACCACGACCGGAAACAGAGCCGGCTGGTCGTGATAGATTGTGTCGGCGAGCGCGGCACGTTGCAGTGCGTGGTTGATGAGATATGTCTTTTTCTCCCACGATGCGCGCATCCTTGCAGACAAAGGGGGCCGTTCAGAGGCAGGTGGCGGCGACTGCTGCTGCTGCTGCTTTTGCTTCTGCTCAACACGCTCTAGGACAGCCAGAAAGGCGTCGAGCCTGTACTTGTACCGAGCCTGCCACTCGGCGAAGAAGCCGAATGTGAGGCAGTGCACAAAATCTATATGCGATAGCCACACAGGCGGATCGTCGGCCAACGCGGCTGGCACGGCGTTTGTGTACTCAAAGTCGATCAGAGCCGTGATGCGGGCCGTGTTCAGGTCGACTAGGATGTTGCTGGCAGTGAGGTCCGGGTGAAACAGCACAAACGGCTTCTCGTCGTGCTCGCCGCCGTCGTTCCCGTCGCCGTCGACGAGATGGGCGGCCGTCGCCGGCAGGCCCATGGCGCGCCGCGCGAGGACACGGCCGCGGGCCGTCTTCAGAGCGCGCTGCATGTCGATGGCGTCGCCTTCCTGGAAGTCGTAGAAGCCATCCTTGTTCCAAGCGCCAGGGATGTTGATGTTGCGGAGGCATAGCATTTGATGGTTGCGCAGCGCCGTCGCCAGCGACACGTAGTCCTTGGCGTGCAGCAGCGGACTTGTCGGCCAGTCATCGGTCGAGAAGCCGGGCATCGCCACCAACTGAATGTGCATATCGATGGTGAGCGGGCGCCGCGTGACCGCCCACGCACCCCCGTCGGCCCTTGTGATCGACCCGATCTTGTCGAAGTGGTGGCTGCGGAGTTGCAGGAAAATGTCGGCCAGCTGCTCAAAGACGGCCGTGCGCTTTTCCAAGGCGTCTGTTTCGTTGTCGGACGCTTCCTAGGTCGCGAGACACGAGTGTAGCGACTGGCCCTCGACGTAGTCCATGAGCATGTACGGCCCGATGCGGGGGTCGACGGCATCGCCGGACGCTGCCCAGCTGTAGATACGTGGGACGGGGACCGTGCTCTGCTCCTCGATATATTGCATCCAGTGGACCTCGTTCTCGAGTCGCTCGGCGGTCACCGCCTCGGCCGTGAAGCCGCGCTGAGGTATGCGCAGTGCCAGCCGTGCCGGTGCGCGACCGTCGTCGATGCGAAACTGGAGCACCACGTTGAAGGAGCCGCGGGCCATGTCCACATAATGGACGGAGCCGCGGTCACCGCCCAGCTTGCCGGCAACAAAGCGCTTGAGAAACTCGATGCTGGCTGGCTCTAAGAGGGCATCCAACCAGGCCATGTACTCTTTGTCGTTGTCCTCGTTGAACAGTTCATCAAACGTGACGGCGTACTGTACACCTTCGAGGTTTGGCATTGGAAAAAGATGGGTAAAGAGTAAACGAAGAACGTGTGAGAGCGGATGTTGGATAGAGAGATAGAGAGAAGCTGCAAAGTCGGTGGGTGGTTGGCTTCTACTCGTAATACGGGACCGCGGGGACGGGAGCCTCTTATGTTCAGCCCGGAGCCCCTACCACAAGGCTTCTCGAGCTCAAAAGTGAGACATGCAAACAAGGTACGACGTATCTCTTTGACGGCCAATACATACATAGCCCTACGCCGCATATTGCAAGTTACTCCGTTTAATACCTGTCCACCAGCCAAATTTGCTTTGTTTACTTCATTGTCAGCTGAGGCTGTGACACATCCCTTAACACGCCGTGTAATTACACGCAAGTTTCGCGCGCCTCACTAAAAAAAGCAATGTTTCGGCCGTCAAAGAGAGAGCAAATGCGCAGAGCAGGGGTAGGTTGGGGCAGGGCGGGTGTGAGGGTGGGAAACGAGGTACGCCCCCTTGAATAAATGAAAGGTATTTCGCACGAAGCCTACTTTGCAGAGAGCTCGTGTTACACTGCATAATCACGTTTAGGCGCGGGTGCTGTGGCCGGAACAGGATGGTCTTTGTCTTGTAGAGTAATTACATGGCGACGAGTCGGTATCTCAGGCTCAATCGTCGTCCACGATCTATTCCCAGGTGGGCCCCACCAACCAGGAAATGTCGTCGTCTTGTAGACGCAGAAAACACCGCGGAGGTGTAATTACCATCCAGACTGGCCCACACCGCAAGGCACGAAATGCTGCTGCTCGCAAGGCAGGACGATTAGCCAACGGTCTGCAGAGACTGAATACCATTCCTAGGATACCCACACCAGACCTGTCAGGTATGAGACACGCAACGGCGAACCAAGCCTCGCCGTATCTTCTAATAGCGCGCCAGCCGCGAGAATACGACGTAGAGCGCAAGTCGCCTACCAGCAGGCCGTGCGCAACGATGTGTTGAGCTTCTTCCCGAGGCTCTAAGAATGACTACCTACCCAGAAATGAGGTCTCGCTTGGCGACTACTCCACATCTTGAGTTATCCTCTCCGTCCATCCCGTGGAGCCCGGCCTGACAAAAGTGCCGGTAGCGCTCCACGTGGCGGATTGTAGTCAACTTGAGCGCCCCCGGAATTGAACGGCGAAAGGAGCGCAATCTACCGTAAGCCTCCTTGTCGGGAATGTCGTTCCGCTGCATCTGCCATGGTTGGGCCGTATCCTGCTGGTGGCAAAGACCTGATGAATGGCGGGCAAACGGGTCTTGATATCGTCTTGAGAATCCAGCAACATCAACGGCAGGGAACGCTTCATTGTTAAAGCCTAAGAAATCGTAGTGTTCCGCTCGCAGTGTGCGCAGAAATGTGCATTTTCACGCCCGCGGTGACAGTGTGGTGAGACGATCGGAACGCATCCGGACACGTCCCCAGGCTGCCGCGCGCGGGGCAGCATCGCAGCCAGGCGCCAACTGGCACTCGTAACTCTATCTGCATGAAGCGAGGTAATGGCGACTGAAGCTGCGGCTCTCCGTGGTTGGTTGCGGTTCTGTTTGGATTGTATAGAGATGTCGTCTGTCGCCTTGGCTTTTCTTTTGTTTCCCTCCGCTTCTTTACTCCTGCCTCTATTGTATCGCCTACATAAAGGGCAATGCTTAACAGAAAATTTTATGGATATAAACACCTTATTAGGATGAGCATTATCGTGGCTGTTTTTGTTGATTCCTCTCTTTTACTATCTTCGGGATATTACTTTGTCATTGCTTACTTGGGGTTGGGCGATGTGCTCACGTGATATTTATCACGTGAGGCCACACGAGCACTTTAACTCGCAGGTTGTCGTCATTTGCTCCTCGAAGAGCTTTACGATTTCTCTGAGAGAAGGGGGTGCGAACCTCTTTCCTTTTCCCCGTTGAATGGGGCCAATCAGCATCAACGACCCCTGAATTCGTCCCCTTTTCAGCTCACTTTCAGGAAAGAGCGACTCTCACGACCTCGCTTGTCTTTTTCCTCTGGTCTGCTTTCGCTCTTTCCTTCATCTCATCTCCTCGCCGTTTACAAAAGTACCAAGCGACAACAATTGCATCGACTGTGTAGATGCCCAACAACAACTCCGGAGCCTCAGCATCACCATTCTCCTCGTCAGCTGAAGCCCACAGGCAGCGTCTGCTGTACTGTGCTGGATGCGACGACAGTGGCACCCTGAAATCTTTAATAGGATACAATCTGTTTCGAAGCCTTACCCATTTTGGTGGCGGGCTAGTCGATCGCCGGTCCGTTTCATCCTGGTCAAACCTCCTTTTCCAATTTCTCCCCTGTCGTTTTCCTTGTGAGGAACCCGCCTCCTTGGCCCACAGCCCTCGACGAAACGATCCCTGAAAGCGCAACAGGGTGCGCAAGAAAGACCGACCTAAAACGTTACGAAGGCTGGTGATTTTCAGAAACACTTCATACTCCAGAAAAAAAAGAAACAAAAAAGGGGGGACAAGAAAAAAAGAAGCACCACAACGGTGCAACGTGAACAGATCCCTATCCATCCACCCTGGTGCTTTGGCGCTCATGCTCTGTCGCATGCTCCTCCCTGCCACCCGCTTCAAGCACAATTCTGCCCAGTCCACTTCGACAGGGGCGCAAAGCAAGGGCCCAACTTGACTTCCCAGTTCGCTTTCGAAAGGGAGACCGTTTTTTTCTTCCAAAGTAAGGACCGCGGACGAATAACCGACAAACCAGTTGCCAGTCGAAAGTACGACGTACGGAATGCTCCGTACTCCAAAGCCTTACGAAGTACAGAAAATCTTCCCAGACCCTCAGCGACCCTTCCTGACCCGTTATTTGGATTTGGGGGGCAATCCAAGACCCATTCCCAGCCTCCCCATACAACTCTCTCTTTATACCGTCTCGTATTCACCAACATGACGAGACCTGGAATGATTCGCGCCGGTACGTATTTCCAGAGAACTGGACGGACGCCGTACCTGACCCAGATTGTGGTGACGAGGGTGAACAAGGGGACAAGGGAACGCAGAAACGTCTTGCCCAGGACCTGGTTACAATCTTGTTTACCTGTCTGCATTGACCTTTTGCGCCCTGTCCGCCGCCCTTGACTCCCCTTCCTCATCCTCATTCCTGCGATTCCTCTCCCGTTCTCTCCCCGTTGAAGTCCCATCCTCCCTACTTTTGGCATTTACCCACTCTCTTTTTAGCCCTGTACCACAGATCACCCCTGTGCATTACGGGGTCAGGATCGTGGGAAACAAACGGGAAAGGGAGGGCAGGTACCGCTGGGCGCATCGCCTTATTTTCCACTCCCCCCGTCGCATCTCTGTTGCTAACCGCTTTTTTCTTTATTTTTTTTTCTCGTTTTGCACTCGCTACAGACACAATCGATCTCCAAGATCGTGACGCGCCGTCCGCCAAAGACCACACTCAAATAAAGACATCGACCAGCACAAAGGACACATTGTCGTCTTCGTCCTCGACCCCCTCGGACCAAAAAAACCTTCATCTCGCCTCTCACCAAGCCGAAACCCTTCGGGGCGTGGCCGCGGAAACGGCACAAGACCGGCGCATATCGTGGACCGGTTCGAATTTGTCTGACCTACACATTTATGGGAGCGACCTTGCCGCCGATATTTCCGATACCCTCAACCTATCACGCAGCCTACAGCAGCCTACTCCCAACCACCTCAGCATGACGGGGCACCAACAGCAGGATGCGCTCGCCATCGCGCAAAATGGTGGAGATGTTGTCGATGAAGACATGGAGGATATCGACGACGAGGAGCTGGAGGACGACATGATGGACAAAATCTCTAGCTCGCCCTCAATCGAAGATGGTGCGTACACACAAAGCCCTGACTCGCTTCCCCTTTCGTCGGCTCGTGCCGATGCCTCCGCCACCGCTTGCGCTGCATCTCGCTCTTAGGGTATTGCGAACGAGCAGACACGAGCTGGTGGCAGTCCGCAAGGACCAGATTGTTGCGATTTGGCAAGGCCACTGCATGCACAAAAGATTCAACCCCTCGCGCCCGTATCGGAGAACACAATCCCTCTTCGAGTGTCAGGGAACAGCCAGGCATCCAAAACGCCTCCTGTGTCTCCGGACGGATCTGCTTTCCGCCAACACCGTCGTCATCGCAGTAGGTATGATACGAACGAGAACACGCCGCCGTGGCCCCTCAACTACGACGAACACATTATCGGCCCGCTCGTCGACCCAGCCTGTTCTTTCGCCCGGTCTCCCGCTAAAGCAGGTTTGGAGGAAAATGACTTTTCGAAAGGCCGCGACCTCTGGGATGTTTCCGACGACGTATTCGATGAAATGATGATACCATATTATCATGACGATGACGACGGTGATGACAATGCCAGCGGCGGTGCTAGCGCATTAGATATCCATGACAATGACGTTAAATTTGTGATTTCCGGTTGGGGAAGTGAGTGCTTACACAACATAGAGGACATCGATTTCGAGTTTGTTTACGCCCTCCATACCTTTATGGCTACGGTCGAGGGTCAAGCAAATGCGACAAAGGGAGACACCATGGTCCTGCTTGACGACAGCAACAGCTACTGGTGGCTCGTTCGTGTGGTCAAGGATAGCAGCATCGGTGAGTTGTGACCTAGCTACCCTTCTGTGTTGCTGTGCTTGTGCATTGCGACAGTGACTTGTATGGAAGCTGGAAGCTAACGTATTGCCCAGGCTACCTTCCTGCCGAGCACATCGAAACACCGACGGAACGGTTAGCACGACTGAACAAACACAGGAACATTGATGTACGTGCGGGACAATTTCCTCCAGGCCACCAGGAACCACCACATGACAGTAGCCTGCAGGTGAACTAACAGTAGCAACCAGCTATCCGCGTCTATGCTGGGTGACCAGGCCGAGAAGACGAAGAACCCCCTAAAGTCGGCAATGCGGAGGAGGAAAACAAAGACCGTTGCCTTCGCACCACCGACCTATGTTGACTACTCCGACATCGACTACTCGACAGACGGGGAAGACCTGGAGGCCGAATATTTTGCTCAACAACAACAGTCGCAGCAGCAGCAGGAATCGCAGGAAGAGCACAAAGAAGCGGCCCAATCCGATTCACAACAGCAGGGTCAGCAGGGTCAGCAGGGTCAGCAAGCAGGGGCTATGGCTGGCAAGGACGTGGCCGACGAAGAGGATGAGACAGCCAGGGTCGAGCCCTTGAAGCCCCGCGCACCCAAAGAAAACGTCAAAGCTGCCGCGGACGGCAAGACAGACGATGCGAATGAAGACGGCACGGGCAAGGGCGGCCTGACCAGGACCAGCGAAGAAATTTTTGTTGTGTCCAAGTCTGAGACGCCTGGTCCGAAGAAGACAAAGGACGGCACGGTTCGCGACTCGTTCTTCAAGGACGACACAGTCGAGACAAAAAAGATCACCTTGACGCCTAATCTCCTGAGAGACGACAGCGCACCACGAACATCCTCGGAATCCAAGGACGCGAAGCAACGCCCGAGTCTCGACCGCCTCGACAAGGACATTAACAGTCTCCTTGTCAAGGACGACAAGAAGAAAAAGGACAAGAAGGAGAAAGACAAGAAGGCGGGTGGCTTCCGTAGCCTGTTTTCGAGAAAGGACAAGAAGCGGGGCGAGAACGAAGACGACGAGTCGTTTGGAAAGCGGTCCATGGACGTTGGTAGCGAGGGTACCGAGAGAGACCTGGACGAGGTGGAAGAGGAGCCCGCGGAAGAAAAGGCTTCGTCTCCATCTACCACAGCCGCGCCGCAGCAGGGCCCACAGAGGCATCCGAGCAAGCTCCAGAAGCAACAACCACTGGGCCGCATCGCCGAGGTCTCGCCAACAAGGAATCCATCCGACGGCAGCACAACACAAAAATCCAATGGTAAGGATACTACCGGTCCCTCCTCTACCCGCGCACGGGTGACGCGTCCAGAAGCGAAGCCGGAATATGCTGACAATGTATCTTTAGCCACCATGCGTATGGTCGATCCCGACGGTGCAGAGGATAGCAACAACAGCAACAACCAACAGGGATCTACTGGTAACACGGCGGCTTCACAAGCTACCCGGCCACTGATGGTCACAAAGGCCCCTGCACGGGCGGTCCTAGACGAGTTTGAGTCGGATGAGGAAGCTGGTGTTCTTGAACCGCAACACCAGGGCGCCGTTCATGACGAGGAGCAGAAACGGCCACATCCCGAACAGCGTCGCCTGGAGCAACAGCAACAGCAACAGCAAACAAGGGATGTGCCGCGGTCGGGAGACGACTCGTCGGCATCGCCTGTTCAGGGGTCGCCTGTCAACGCCAACCATCCGCCTGCGCTCATGGTTGATACATCGAGCCAGGAAGAGGAGGAGGACCAGTCATCGCCGATTTCGTCGCCATCGCCTGAGTTGGTAGGCTCCGAGGACCGGTCTGGCGGCAACCACTACGCACAGGACTCGATCACGACGTCGACGTCGACGACGACGGCCAACACTGCGACATGGAACGACGCCAGCCTGCGGGCCTTCTTTGACTCGGGCACTGACGTCCGCGACCTGTTGGTGGTGGTGTACGACAAGTCCGACGTTGTGCCGGCGGGGCCAGACCACCCTGTGGTCAGTACGCTCTTCAAGGAGCAGAATACCAAACTGGCCGAGATTACGACGGTAAGTTGTTGTGTCATTGTCTTGCTTCCGTCCTGTTTTACCTTGTGTGAACGTGTCTGACCATCTTTGCAGCAACTGGACAACATGCTCGGCGACTGGCTGGCACGAAAGCAGAGACTACGGGGCACCTTGTAGTCTTTTCGGCTCTTTTCTACCGTCTGTCTCGGGCTGCTTTCGTCGTCCCTCGTCCGTCCCCCCCCCTTCTTTCAAAGCTGTTCTTTCCCTCGCCTTATACCTTGACGCCATATCATGTCATTTTTTTCGGCTCTTTGTTACGTGTATGATTATTCCCCCACTTTACATTGTTGCGGAGTTCACTCGCTTTGGTTACCTACGCCGCCTATTTATTCTTTTCATGTTCGATTCAATTTCTATTCGTTGTTTTCTTTTGTTTGTTCGTCGCCTGTCCTGTTTTATCACTAGGCGGATGCGTTCTCCTATTTTCGGTGTATTTTTTTCTCTTGTCGAACAAGATGCATTCATGGTATAACGACCGGCTTTTGTCTCGGCCGTTTTCTCTTCTATGTTTCAATATGTCGTCCTCCTTCTTTTCCAATTTCTCTTCTTTCTTTTCCTATGTCCTTTGTCCATTTGTACCAAGTTTACAGGGTCCTTTCCTGGCGTATCGCGGTGCTCTTTGCTGGTTCAAACAAATAGAGAGAAGCATGAATGTCTACAACGCAAACTCCGATGTGCATCCAGCTACGCATTTGCATTTCCATTATGCCGATTAGAACATTTGCGAGCAAGCATCAAGCAGGCCAGTACCAGGCAGAGTTCACTGCGTGACGAGCTCTTCGTCACACGACTCACATCCTCAAGTTGGGCAGTTCAACATGCGCCGGGACACACTTGTACACTGTCTTTGCAGTCCTAGTTGCACGGCCCCGTTATAATTTCCTTCTCTTTTTTTCGACAGATCCTAACATCGGGACGGTCGGAAAGACGGCGAAAATTCTGCGTCGATCGACTCTGCGAGATAAAGGTGTTGCACAGGTGCGCAGAGCTCATGTTGTCCTTCCAATCTGCAGCCTGCATTTCATAAAGGATGTGATAGGTAGACGGGGAGTAAACACCACAGTGAGGTTGTGCAACCCGTCAAAAGGTGTACTGGACGTCTTGTGCAGCAGTGGTGAGTCCCACGTCGCGTCATTCGCACAGCAAACCAATGTTTCGAATGCCAACGATCGCCACCATCGTCGGACAGGACGGCGCCAGAGCCGCAGCTGTGCACATTTTTTGGCGAGAGCAACCGATACCATCATTGCGACGTAGCTCTCGTTGAGCTTGTGCTTCGTTTCGTCGTGCATTGCAGTGTCCGTTGCCCATCGGCTCATCTTGCTTGCTCTGCTCTCCATTTATCACACGTATATATTATGAGTCGTCTTCTCGGGATTTATGACGGCACATCACCAGCCTCTCCTTTCAAGACCCTGCATTCTCTCGGCTCTTCGTCAACGCTAGATGAACCGCATCTGGCCATCGCAGCTCCTTCCACCGCCTCCACGCTCGTTTGAAGCTCCATTGCTCTTCAGTCTTCCACCATCGTGCTCCTCCACGGTTGTTGAATATGAGACTGATTATCCCTCTCGCCGTAGCGGCCGGCTCTCTCAGCACCGTCGCTGCCATTGCCGTCCCTCTGCCTCTGCAGCCTGCACGGGACTCGTTCCCGCCAGCCCGTTTGCCTACTACGGCTTGGTCCGATCGTTCCGGTCCACTGCGTGCCGAATACACCGAGGACGCCAGAGCACCCGATACGCTGCCGGGCCGCCGCATTGGCCGTCTTGGTGGCTATAGTCGGCAGGACACGGCTGTCGCCAACGCTGTCGAGCCGCTCGTCGTCCATGTCGTCGTGGTCTCCACAACGACAAGCACCGAGTTCCAGACGGCCACGACCACGGGCACCATCACGCCGACCGCCAAGCGGCCCACGCCGCTGTCCACCAAGTCGCCCACGACCGCGGCACCGTTCAGCTCCTCGCGTTCTTCGTCGCTGTCCTGCGATCTGCGGTACTGCGATGCCGGCACGTCGTACTGCGAGTACTGGGGCGGCTACTCATCCTTTGATGTGAGCCAGGGCCGGCCGATCCCGGGCGAGACGCGCTCTTCCATTGGCGTCTGCAGCACACGTGCTTCGCCAGGGCCAGTGGACTCTACCACCAGCAGCTCCAGCTCCAGCACCAGCTCTCGTGCCGGCGGTCGTAGCAGCAGCAGCAGCAGCAGCAGCTCGACCGCCTTCAGCAGCAAGGATCCCCTCGACAGCATCACCTGCACGTCGGCAATCAAGTCGACCGCGAGCGAGCGTGCTTAGCCCTATACAGACAAACAGCATCTGGAGAATGATTGTTGAAGCAGGAATCGCAACAGAGCAGTGGAATTCGGGATACAACAAAGGGTCTGGGAGATGGAGTGCCGCCTTGTCACAAAACAAAATCAGTCGCTGAATTTAGTTCAGAGAAACAAACGTTTTCAAATAAATATGATTTATTGACACAGTTTCCACGGTACACCGTGACAGTTGGATCGCCCAACAAAAGCCAATGCAAATGCTGTCTGTACCTCTGCATCCCCCTGAGTGAGCCTCTCTCAAGCCGCCGGGCCGCCGATGGTTGTGGTGATAGGGCCTGACTCAATGTACACGCCCGAAAAGTAAAAGTCCTCGTTGGCGTCGTTGTAGCCCGAGCGCGGCAGCTCCAGGACGCCCAGGTGCCAATCGGCGCCGTTGGACGAGGCAGACACCGACACGGGCGCCACCACCTGCTTGAGCGGATCGCCGCCCTCCGAGTGCCAGAAGCCGACTTTGCCGGAAAAGTCAATCTCGTACGCCACATTGTGCCACACGTCCGGCTTCCACTCCGTCTTCCACTGGCTCTTTTGGCTCACCATCCACTGCAGGTTCGGGTTGCTCGTGCCCTGCTCGCCGCTGATCCAGCCGTACTTGAGCTCCGTAAAGTGGCTCTCAAAGAAGCAGATCTGGTGCTCGCGGTTGACGCTCGGCGCGTTGGTGTCCTTGCGCATAACGGAAAAGTGGTAAAACACCTTGCCGCTGGCAATGGCCGCCTTTGTCTGGGGGATCAGTTCCGTGCGGCGCATCGTCTGGCCGTTCCAAAACGACGTCGAGTCGAGCGTGAAGCGCGCGCCCTGCTTGCTCACGGTGTCGTTGGGGTTCTTGTAACTGGGCGACAGAGCAATGTACTTGTTGACGGTCCCAGAGCCGTGGATGTAGTACTGGTAGGGGCCGACCTGGTTGGACCAAGACCAGGTGTTGAGGTCGGCGGCCGAGGACAGGTCATTGAAGCGGCCATCCCAGAGCACGGCCGCTTGGGCAGCTGTGCCTGTGAGCAGCAGAAGGCTGTTGGAAAGCTTCATCGTGGCGAAGGTGATGGAGTGCAGTGACCGGATGGGAAGTGGAAAGAATTTACACCGAGGAAGATCTGCCTTGACGATCTTCAATTGGAGACTGAGAGAAACCCGGGAAAGCAATGAAGAAGTATGGCGGAAGTGGAGGAGAGTGATTTTCGTCTCGGCTACACATGGGGGCCCAGGATCGTGACAAGAGGATCCATTGTACCGTTCCTTTACGGTACGTGATTCCGCCTCAATCTAGAAAAGAAAGACCGAATGCGCAGTAGGAGATCACGAGGTCTAGAACGGGACACGACATCCAGACGAGTATGGTAGCCAGTGTGTTCCAGCGTCGTATTTCTCCCTTTGCATCGCTTTTGTCTTTTGCGGAAGTTTGCTGCCCGTTTGTGAGTGGGCCGTATCGATATTGGATATAACCATTTTGTATAGTATATGCCGTCGAGTTGTGGTTCGCGGCGGAGACTTTGACTTTAGCCTGGGGAGACACGGGGCGTGGCAGAGGGGACATGGAAGAAGGAGTATTGAAAGGGAAAAAAAAAAAAAAAAAAAAAAAAAAAAAAAAAAAAAAAAAAAAAAAAAAAAAGAAAAGCCTCGAGAAACAAAAAGGATATTATTGTGTTAAATACCGCAGATGATGTAAAACCTAGTACAATCGAGAATAAAGAATAAAACAACAAAATGTAATCGTGAAGTTTAAAATTTAACAAAAAGATATAAAAACTCCAAAACAATGAAATTGATAGCAACACGCCCCATGACACAAAAGGGACAAAAAATGAACAAAAACGGAAACAAAATAGAGCGGATGCAGTGCGCCGTCTAATACTCGAGGCCGCCACCGAAGCTCGAGTTGCGGGCGACAGTAGCCCGGTCCTGGCTGGCCCGTGACAGCTGCTCGCTGCTCATGCGCCGCTGGAGAGTGCCGCCGTCCTCGCTGCCCGTGTCGCTGCCGATTGTGTTGTCATGAACGGCCGTGTAGTAGGGCCCGTCGGCACCGAGATCGCCGACAACGCCGGCATCGACGTCCGGCTCGTCTTGGATCTTATGCACGTAGTAGGCGGCTAGAAGTACCGTGACACCGCCGAGGGCCATGACGACGGCAATGCTGTGGTCGCCGGGTGTACCGCGGGGTTTCTGGAGGAACTTGAATATGATACTGGAGCCGACCGTGGCAATGATTTGGGGCGCGGCAATGGCCATGTTGTGGATACCCAGAATGACGCCGGCCTGGTCGACTTCTTCGTCGTCATCGTCGTCATCGTCGTGGTTGCCAGCATCGCCAGCAACGTCACCGTCCTCACCCCGAGCCAGACGGGCCGCCTGCTTGCGGGCTCGGATCTGGGCATCGCGATTGCTGATCTCCGCGCTGATAATGGCCCACGGCGCCCACAGCGTGAGCGCCCATGTAATACCGACGAGGCCAATGAGGAATGTGGCGGCCGCTACAGAGCGCACCAGCACCGTGCAGAACATACTACCGGAAAAGAGGAGCAGCGACAGCATCCATGCACGCCGCAGCGTGAGCCCGGGGATCACAAGGTAGTCCAGCCACGACTTGGTCTTCTTTTCACCGCTGTGGTGGTCCCGTCCACTAGCGCCGCCAGTCGCACTGCTGTCGACTACAGAAAGCTGCTGTGGTCGGCCCTGCTGCTGTCCCTGTGTCTGATGGTCGACGTGCCGGCTATCGTAGGTGGGTGCGATGAAGAAGGGCAGAAACACGTTGGTGCAGAGACTGGTAATCGAGTAGATGAGCAGGGCAAAGGTGCCAACGCGTGTCGCCTGCTCGTACAGCCGGTCCAGCTCCTCGGGTGTCATGTGCGGGTTCGCCTCGAGGAACGGCTCGACGTAGATCTCGCCAATGTACGACGACGTGTAAAAGAGCATCGGGAAGAAGCCCACCCACGCACAGAACTGCACTGTGCACACCTTGTAGATCTGCGGCGGTAAGCGGCGGATCGATACAAAGATGAGCTTGAAAAAGGGGACCACGCCCGGCTTGTTGGGGGGCGGCGGACCCTCGAGCCGGGGATCGCGCTCGCGGACAACAACGCAGGTCAGGACCACGGTGGCGCCCAGCGAGACACAGGCGATGGCGCAGAGGTCCTTGAACTGCGTGCCGCCAAGCCACCACAGGAAGCTAGGCAGGTTCAAGTAGCCGGCAACATAGCCGATGATGTTGCCGATGCCCGTCATGCGGCTGGCCATGGCGTTGGCCGACTCTTGCTGGTGGGCGGGCGCGCAGTCGACAATAAACGCGCGGATGGCCGCCTGCACCGTGTTGATGGCAAAGTCCAGGATGTAGACCCACAACACGGCGGCCACAATAATGGCCACGCGGACGCCGTCGGACGCCGGGTCGACACCAAAGATGGCGTGCAGCGGCATGGACACCATCTCCTTGACCCATGCGAGACACAGCAGCGAGACAATGGTGGCGGCCGCCCCGCCCAGCATGAACGGCTTGCGCTTGCCCCACGGCACGCGGCAGTTGTCGCTCAGCATGCCCACGTACGGCTGCACAAGCGTACCAGACAGCGGCCCGGCGATCCACACGAGCGCCATCAGCGACTTGCTGAGGCCCAGGGACAGCAGGTACGGCGAGCCGTTGGACAGCTCGACGGACCACGCGATCTGCAGGCCGGCCAGGTTGATTGTGAGCAGCGTCATGTACCAAACGGACTTGGTGCGCTGCCACTCATCCTCGCCGTGGGGGTCGGCGCCGTTTTGGGGGCCGCGGTTGTCCTCAACGTCGACGTCGCCGCTGTTGCCGGCGTCAGCTCGCGCGGCACCGTCAGAGTCTACCGCATCGGGCGACAGAAGCGGCGAGTGTTCGTTGCCAGCATCGTCGGTGGCTGTCCCTGCGTTACCTGCGTCGGTGTTTCCTGCAGCGATCATCGGATCTGGGGAGCGGTCTAACGGCGACGGCATGGGACGGGAGGGACAGTGGACAGTGGACGAGGAGGAAAGGTCGGAATTGTATATACACGCGGGAGGAGGGATGAAAAAGGGTCGTTGGATAAATGTTCACAGGTTTGTTGCAGCATCAGATGTCAGAATATCGATATATGCAAAGGACGACGGAAGAAGAGAACGTATGTCGGAGCAGATAAGCAATTATGACAAAGGTCGGAGGTCAACGAAGCTAAAGCATAAGACGCAAGGTAAGACGAGAGCCTTGGATGTCGTGAGATACGCCTATGCGTAGCGGAGACTCGTCGTAGTCGGTCATTCGTCAACTGGAACAGAATGGTGGTCGCTTGTTCAGCCACGAGACCATCGTGAAATGGGCGGTAAGGAGGGGGCGCGGTTGGTGGCCAATGTCTCATACGTAAAGAGAAGGAGCTCTGGCGGAGCCTGACGACGGCTAGGGCAGGAGCTCCCCACAGTGGAGGATGGCAGCCGCTATCCAGAGAGCCTAGAACACAGTGCTTGCACAGTACATATCACAGTACATATGAGATTAATAGCGCATGGTTTTGCTTATATTTAATAATTCACACTGTATTTCCATCTTCTCCACTGTTAGCCTTCCCCATTCACGAGACCATCGATCATCGTATCAAAAGCATCGGCTCATCAGCTCATCAGCTCGAAATCACTATGATGCGATTGATGTGGATGGGCAGTAAAATCAATTCAATAATAAACTATGGTAGCAATATCATGGCGTTGCCGTGTAAGGCTACGGAACAGCCGTCAGACCATGTCCGCCTGTCCCAGGCAACCTAATAAGCAAACTGTGCAAGATAATTCATCGAGGAGTAACAGTGCGACATCGAAAGAGTATGTGTAGTGGGTAAAAAAAATGCAAAGCAGAAAAGTACAAGGCGTGAATCACTGTGCGCCATAGCCTCCTAGCCCCCATTATTCCGGTTCGATCTTGTCGACTTCCTGGCGCGCCTCCTCCCACGTTTCTCTGTTCTTCTTGGCCCACTCGATCTGGCTCTTTGCATAGGCAATCTGTAAAACTTGTTAGCATTTTGTTCTTGTACCCGTAGTAGAGCTGTGCCAGAGGCCTCGTGTGTCAACGTACCATGTACCGCTTGAGATCGTCCTCCTTCTCCTTTTGGAACCGCTTCAGGTCACGCAGCACGTTGGCGCTCGCGTCCTTGACGTCCTGGGCAGACGCTACTTGGGCCTGCTCCAGCTGTGCAATTGATTCGCGTGTCTTGGTAATCGTGTCACGGCGTGTCCGTTCCGGGTCGACATCCACGACTCCCTGCACCGCGTGCCGAATCGGCCCAAAGATTTTGTTCGTGATCGAGTTGCCGCTGGCCACCTTCTTGCGGCCCGGGTTTGACACACTGCGCTCTGGCGGTCCGTTTTTGGCCGAGGGCACAGACGAGTAGTCACCGTGTGTCGGCGGAAAGTCCGAGTCGATCGAGGCCGTGTCTTCTTGGCTACCGTCCCGGCGGTGATGCTGCCCAGACTGGTCTCTTGAGCTGTTCGACCGCCGTGGCGGCTGGATCTGTTGGCTGCCGCTGAGGTACTGGTCGATGCGCCGTGCCTCGGCCTCGCTGCGCTCCAGCTGGTCCAGGAGTGCCCGCTTCTTGTTCAAATCGTCATTGGTCATCTCCTGCTGGACACGCTTCAGGATCCGGTACCGCAGCACGCTGCGGACCACACCCGCAAACTGGGCGTTCTCGCGCATTGGCTCGGCGAAGCTAGCGCCGAGTGAGCTGGAGAGCTCTTCCGTTGCTATGTACGAGGAGTCAACAGCCTGGCCAATCCGCTCAATAGCGGCTCCCAAAGTCGGCGCGGTCTCTGATAGCGCAAAAGCGTTGTACCGAGCGCCGAGCTCGCACTGGTCGGACGCAAGGGACGACAGGTGGCTGAGCGTGCGACGGTTGACCTTCTCCATTGGACCCATAAGAAGCTGCTCGAGCTCCTTGATTGATGCCTCGAAAGATGTGAAGTACGGGTCGAGATCTTGCTCTGTCAGCTGGCTTGACTCTGGGGGGAAGCGCGCCAGAGAGCCGTCGATGATAGGGACACTCGGCGTCCCGGATGACACCTTGAGCTTCGACGACGCTGCTGGGATGGGCAGGTAGCTGTGTGCCGGAGTCGGGTTTGCGGTGTTGAGAGGAGGCGCTTTGAGGATGGACTTGGGAATCGACGCAATGGGATGCGAGTGCAGCACCTCGTTCCAGCTTGCGTTGGGGTCAAGGAACCGCCACCAGACACCGTCAGTCCGGATCTGCTCCATGCGTCGGCAACGGTTGAGGAAGACGGCAAGCATCCGCTTGCGCAAATCAATGATCTGCTGGTCTTGCTTGGCATTGGTCGGGTTCGCAGCATAGTCGGCCATCGTGTGCTTCTCGGGTATTGGGGGAATGATGAGGGTCGGATGCAACCGTGTCAGCGCATCGCGTAGGGTCGCAAACTCAGAGTATCGCCGCCGAACCTCGAGGTCCTGTTAAAGAGAAAGTAAGAGTTAGCTTGGAGCAACACCTCCATCAAAAAAAAAAAAAATCACCAGAGTATGCTGTCCAACTTACACCTGTCCGGATTGTGTACACGATGTAGCGCCCACTGTTCTCTACACTCTTCCCCGCATCCGTGATGTATATGGGGGTTTCTGGGTTTTCGTAAAGAAGCTGTTCGATCCGGCTGTCGTAGCCGCCGGGCTTCCGTCGTGGCTGGAGCTCGCTGTGTGACACAGCAGCCGCTTCTTCTTCTTCCTCGTCATCGTCGCTTTCGACGTCACTGGTGGGCTTGACGTAGCTAGGGACGTCTTGTGCTTCATCAGAAGTGACTGACGACGCATCGAAGTTGGGGCCTGGTGGCGAAGCAGAGGTTAGCAGAATGTCCAAGTGAGGCGGATATTGGGCAAGGAGCGAGGGCAAGGAATACTCACGAGAATCTGGAGACGCCGGTGTCGCTGACGAGCCATATGAGTCTCGACGATCAAAGCTGCTGCCATACGGGTTGTTGTCCTCGTCGTTCCACATTATGGGCAACCGAGTCTTCAAAAGCGACGAAACAAGTATTGAGAGGGCCGGATGTGCGGTATCGTGCTCTCGGAATAAAAAAAATGGATAATCGGCGAAGGGTTGTCGAGTGAGATCGTCGTCGAAGGCAACGGTCACTGAGGCTGAGGTTGAGAAATTGTTGAGGACGTTTAGATGTAACAGCTAAACGGTGGCGGGGGGCATAGGTGAGGAGGGGTCGTCAATAATGGACAGCTCGGAGTTGAGCTTCGAACAGGAGCAGAGGGGCAAGTAAACAAGGTGCCGTAGCAGAATGTCGTAACAATGTCGCGGACGCTGCACTCAGATGCAGAAATGGAACAACGGCGAGCGAGACAGAAACGTGGGAGAGTTGTGACAGCAAAGCGGTGCCCACCGAAGCGTTGCCCTTACTGATGAACGTTTGAAAGCAGGAGGAACTGGCCCAGTGGATCCTACCTTCCCCCAGCCTCTTGTCTTGCCTCGCGCCTTCCCAGATATGACGACGACCATTGGCACGTCAGACCCACTTTTTTGTTTCCATGGGCAGGAACGCCAGCACCAAGAACAGGCACCCGCCAAAACGTGGTCCATTGAGCACACTGTTCGAGATATAACAATTTGCTCTATTGACGACTGTTTCCTTTGCCATGTCGTAAGTCTTCCTCAACAATTGGATTATCTCCCTGAATAATCTGCTTTGCTATCGTATGCTTCGTCTCGTTCCCTGTTTCTGGCGAAAAATGGACTTTTCTAGCCGCTTTAAACATGTTCCCCCTGGCAGCTCCCCGAATCGTCACGAAACCGCCAGAATGCGGTGCTGTCGCTGCTCCCATCATCCCCTCCTCTGAGATGCTCCAGCACTGGTCTCCTTCGTTGCTGGCTTCTTCTCTCCCGACTGTCTCTGCTGCGGCGGCCAGTGGCTGCCTCGCATGACCTGCCATGGCTCGTTATTTCTTTGCGCTTGATGGAACTGGACTGGTAAGGTGTCACCACTTATCATCCTTACCGGATTGTCTCAGTTCGGGGGTAATTCCCGTGCCGTCCACTGGGACGGTACTTATGCTGAGGATATTTGCCATTCGGGGAATGTCCTCTCCGTTTCTTCGCTTCTGCGTCTGCAACAACACCTAGTGCTCCAAGAGCCAGGGGTATCAGCGGAGCGAGGAATCTCAGTCGGGACGGTCTTTTGTCCTCGGCCGGCCGAAAATTGTATTGCAAACTGCTTCATGTGTTAGAAGCTGCGAAGATTGAAGTGTCAAGAAACATGCTCTACACAAACTCACCGATGACTGTGTGAACTTGAACTTCGACTGGGGCTTCGGCTGGATTCCCGGCGCACTGGACGTACTCTCCTCACGGTGATGTCTTTGACATCACGTCTGTACCTGCCATCCGGGCGGTGCTGGTAAGTGTCCTTCGGCAGCCGCAAAGTATCACGCCGGACTTGTGTCTCAGTTTTGCTCGGCTTAGCTGCTGGCCTGCGATCGTCCCTCCTATATCCTCGCCTTTTGCTTTTCTTGTGGCCATTGCCACGTCCCACGGAAGTCTCCGACGGCAAAGTTATCTCAGACAGAGAGGAAGCCTTTGGAAGGCTGTCGGACAAGACCCGATCTGACAAGGGATCAGATATCGTACGCGCACGTCCCGGCGGCGGGTGTCGGTGTGCGCGGGACAACATCGACTGCTGCCCAGTTCTACAGCTCGTATTGAGCGTGGTCGGTGAATCTGGCTGGCCACGAAATGCCTGGGTGGCCATTTGCTGAAGCGGCACTTGGAAGCCAGGAGGGGCTGCCGGCGGGCCATAGCTTGTCATCTGTGGAATACCGTTTGACGGGTACAGGCCAGGAGGACCTGGGAATGATGGAGCTCCGCCAATGAAGACGGCGGATGGCGCTTGCCCGTGAAGCGGCGGGGGCGGAGGGGGGAGGATGGGCATGAACTGTGATGCCGTAAAGTAGACTGGCTGTGACTGCTGCTGACACGAAACCCCGGGCGGAAACGGTTGGCCAGGAGGAAACGACTGGTTCGGTGCAAAAGGAATCTGTGAGCTGCCTGGTGGTGCTTGTGGAGCCGGAGGCTGGTGAACATGCTGTTGCTCAAACTTCTGGCCACTCGGCTCCCCGGGGTTCACGCCAGCTGAATTTTCTACCACCGACTCTTCTACTTGTTGTGCTGGCTGTGGTTCCTGTTGCTCGGCGTGCTTCTGAGATGGCTGATCTGCCGGCCTTGGGTGGGGCTGTGCCTTTACCGGAACCTCTGGAGAAACCGCACAAGCGAGGAATGGACTACCTATCTGAGGACCATTGAAATTCAACACAACAGTTGGGGACTGGGTAGCTTGGCCAGGAGACGAGGTATTCTCTACTACCGTGATCAGCGGAAGCTTCAAGGGAGATTGGACAGGACTTTGTTCCTTCTGTGGCGGTGACGATGGCGCTGGCGCCGGCGGTGGAGGCGGTGGCTGAGTTGGCTGCTCTGGGGGGGGAGCGGGAGCTTCCTTTGGCTGTTGCTCTTGGGTAGGGGCCTGCGGTTGGATCTCTGGCGGAGGCGGCTGCACTGGCTGTGTTGGTGGAGGTGGCTGCTGAGGCTCCAAGTCGTCGTAGTCCGAAATAGACATGTTGTCCAGGATTGGCCTCATCACAGCATACCAAAAGACCATAAATAGAACAATCGGGACAATGATGGACATGAATATAATGCCGGCCTGTTCAGCGCTGGTATAACAGCTCCAGCCATGGCAATCTTGATCGTTGGGGTCTTCGAATCGTTTGATGATATGGCTGTGTACCTGTACAGCGTTGGTGAGCTCTGCAGTTTTGACCAAGGGACCATTGGTCCACTTTAGAAGTGGTGCCATCCTGATATGGCTTCCAGTCAAGTTGAGGCTGTATCAAAGTTGGTGATTTGAGAATTGTTCACGCCCAAGGCTGGCAACGGTGAAGTAAAAACGATCATTTCTGACATGGGCGCGGGGAGGTTAAAAAAAAGGGGTAAAGCTACTAGGAGTCGGGGCAGGAAGTCGCAACTCACTGCAATCTTTTTAGAGACCTTTGTTGTGTTAAATGAGGAAGGAGCGACTGTGTGTTTTTGACAGGAAGGGAAATAACAAACGATTGTTAAGGGAAGGCACGTAGAGCATGTAGAAAGAGCTACCTAGGTGGCTTGCTACTTCCTAGTATATGACTTGCTTGTATTACTCGGAAATTTCTAAAGCAAAAAAGAAAAATGGAAAGAACGAAATAGAAACAATAAAGAAGTTTGCAAAACAACACCGTCTTTTGATGCACCAAAATCCGAGCCATATATAGCCTTGCATATAAGTCACAGGGCAAATGCAGTACAGTGGGTGCAATATTAGAGCCGCAACTCAACACCGGCAAGTCAAAACATTCCATGAATGGGAATTAGAAAAAAGTTATATTCAAAAACTTTCATTAAAAACGTTCCCGCCAAAGAGTCTCTGGACAACGTTAAGCATCGGTCTTTGACGATGGTCACTGGTTTGGCAACATGGAAACCACATTCACGTGACCGTAATCGAGGGATGCGCAGAGTGGGGCTAGGCTGAAAACGGGCGCCAACCAACCTTTGACCCCCGAATTTATTTTCTTTATTGACAGCTAACCGAAGGCATCACCAAGGCCTGTGCCATTCATTGCGATCGAGCACCACGACGAAGCAAGACCATGCAGCACTGCTAGGAATCAACACACCGAGACTCGATATTGGTTTGTGAACGGCCAGCAGGAAGCTCCTTATAGCTGCCCCTTGCGGCTTTTTGAAGCTGACTGCAGCTTTCAGTCGCGTCTTTCTCGTCGACGATCACGGCCAACCGCTCAATACCAACGCGCTGCGACAATACCATCCTCCCCTACCGCCCTGACGACCTTTCGTCCTTTCGCATCAAAACGAACCGATTGTTACAATGTCGTCCGCTCTCCGCAATGGACACCACGGCGGCGCAAACGGTGGCTTCGCGCACCCAGAGAGCAAGCGGTTTACGGACGTGCCCATTGCCATCGATGTCCCGACGCAAGACGAAGACGAGGCTGTCGAGATTGGCCTTGAAAACTTAGTCGACGACCCCACGGATCTTTGTGACCTGTTCGAGAACGAGAACGCGGCGCGCACGTACTGGATGACCGTGTCGCTGGCGTACGCCAAGCAAGGCAAGATTGAGAATGCCATCGAAATGCTCATCCGCGGTGGCAATGCCATGCAGAACAACAACCCCAAGGAGAAGCTGAGCATCGTGGCATGTCTGTGCTGGATGTACCTGTGGAAGAGCCGTTTGGCACCGCGCGTGCCGCCCGAGGGCGCTCTGGCGTCGGACGCGAAGACCAAGGAGTACTACCTGCAGCTGGCGACGTCGACCCTCAACGAGGCCTCACGCATTAACCCTGCGTACCCTCCTCTGTTCTTGGCTCGTGGCGTTCTGCTCCTCCTTCGCGCCTCTCTGCAGCTGCCCACGGCATCTGGCGGCGGGGGCGCTGGTCCTGTGGCTGGTGAAAAGCTGGAGCTGCTGCGCGCGGCCACGAAGTCCTTTGAGGACGCCCTGCGCGTGTCTCAGGGCAAGAACATGCTGGCTCTGATGGGCAAGTCCCGCGCGCTCTACTCGCTTGGGAAGTACGCCGAGGCTCTTTCGGGCTACCAGGAGGTGCTGGGCAAGGCACCGGAGCTGGTGGATCCTGACCCGCGCATTGGTATTGGCTGCTGCTTCTGGCAGCTTGGCTTCAAGGAGGATGCCAAGACGGCATGGGAGCGGTCTCTTGAGATCACGCCTGAGTCCAAGGTAGCCAACATCCTCTTGGGCCTCTACTACCTCGACAGCAGCGGCCAAGTTGCCGCCAACAGCCCCGAGTTCCTGCGCCTGTACAAAAAGGGCATGACGGAATACACCCAGAAGGCCTTTAAGCTGGACAAGAACATGCCGCTCACGTGTGCGACCTTTGCGGGCTACTTCTTGTCGCGCAAGGCGTTCACAAACGTCGACTCGCTGGCCCACAAGGCCATCCAGAGCACCGACATCAACGCCGTTGCCTCTGACGGCTGGTACTTGCTTGCACGCAAAGCCCACATGGAGGGCGACGTCGAGCGGGCGGCCGACTACTACCGTCGGTCGGACGATGCTCGCGGTGGTACCGACCGTGGCTACCTTCCGGCCAAGTTTGGCGCAGCACAGCTGTCGGTGGCCAAGTCGGATCTCGGCGAGGCCAAGCTGCGGCTCGAGAAGATGATCCAGCAGTCGAAGAGCCTCGAGGCCATGGCACTTCTTGGCACATTGTATGCCGAGGAGGTGTTTGCCAACGACCGTGCCGCCGTCAAGGAGGACAAAGCTGTCGAGAAGAAGAAGGCCATTAGTCTCCTGGAGAGCGTGCGGACGGCGTGGAAGGACCCCAAGAAGCACTTATCGCCGGACTCTGCGGTCCTGCTCCACCTTGCATGGCTGTTTGAAGCCGACCACCCGGACAGGGCCTTGCAGTGCCTGCAGCAGGTGGAGCAGTTGGAGCTGGACCAGATTGCAGAGTCGGCCGAGCCGGCCGCCGAGGGCGTCGATGAGGCGACACACCGAGAATCGCTGCGCAAGTTTCTGCCGCCACAGCTGCTGAACAACATGGGCTGCTTCTATTTCCAGTCGGATAAGCAGGAGCTGGCCAGCAGCATGTTTGAGCTGGCCCTGGACGCGTGCGTCAAGATCCAGAACAAGGAGGATGAGGAGACGGATGCGGACGCGCTGGTTACGACCATCAGCTACAACCTGGGCCGCAGCTACGAGGCCCGGGCACTAGTGGACAAGGCTGTCGAAGCGTACGAGGGCTTGCTGAAGCGCCACGAGGGATACACGGATGCACGGCTGCGTCTGGCGTACGTCAAGCTGCGGAAGCAACCCAACGACGCGGGCCCGGATGCAGTGGCCAAGCTGTACCAGGAGAACTCGAGCGACCTGGAGGTGCGCGCACTGTACGGATGGTACCTGGGCAAAGCCTACGCCAAGAAGCGGCCGGCCAACATCAACGAGGACCACGAGCTGCGGCACTACAAGCACACGCTGCAAAACTACGACAAGCATGACCGTTATGCCCTGGTGGGCATGGGCAACCTGTACTTGGCTTCGGCGCGTGAGATGCGCCGGGAGACGGACCAGGAGAAGCAGAAGCGCAGCGCGGCATACAGCCGTGCCGTCGAGTTCTTTGACAAGGCTCTGCAGCTGGACCCTAAGAACGCGTATGCAGCGCAGGGCATTGCCATTGCACTTGTCGAGGACAAGAAGGACTACCGCAGCGCGCTGCCGATTTTCCTCAGTGTCCGTGACACGGTCCGCGACGCGCACGTCTATGTGAACTTGGGCCACATCCATGCCGAGCTGCGCCAGTTCTCCAAGGCGATAGAGAACTACGAGGCTGCACTGGCCAAGGACGGCAAGAACAACGACCCTATACCCTGTCGTGCCTTGGGCGCGTGTGGCTGCAGAAAGCGAAGATGGACAAGGACCTGGAGGCCTTCAAGATGTGCCTCGAATGCGCCCAGAAGGTGAGTCTTACAACCCCTTTCAACGTATATAGTACTGCGGTTGGATACTAACAATGTGTTTCTCACTTGTACAGGCTCTTTCTGTGGCACCGGATCAGGTTCATTTCAAGTTCAACGTGGCATTTGCGCACATCCAGCTGGCGTCGACCATTTACAGCCTAAAAGAGAGCCAACGGACACTGCAGCAGCTGCAGGACGCGGCCAGCGGCTTGGAGGAGGCCATCAAGGCGCTGGACGATATCGCAGCGCACCCGCAGACGCCGTATCCGAAACAGGATGTCGAGCAGCGTGCTAACATGGCGCGCAACACGCAGCGGCGGCAGCTGGAGCGCGCGATTGCCAGTCAAAAGGACTATGAGGAGAAGAACAAGGAGAAGCTAGCAGCGGCGGTCGAGCAGCGACAGGCGGAGCTGAAGCGGCGCGAGGAGGCGCGGCAAAAAGCGCTCGACCAAGAAAAGGAGCGGCAAGACAAGATCCGCAAGGACCGCGAAGAGATTGCGGCGCGCGACCGCGTGCTGGCCGAGAAGCGGGCCGAGGAGGAGCGCGCGCGTCGCGAGGCGGAGATGACGACCGACAGCGAGACGGGCGAGAAGGTCAAGCGGAAGCGCAAGCCGGCGCCGCGGAGTGACCGCGCAGCAGGCAGCGGCAAGAGCCGGTCGCGCAAGAAGAAGGCACAAGACGAAGACGACGACGACGACTCGGACGGCGACAACCGCTCGGGCGACTCTGGCGCTGAGGACCGGCACCAGAAGAAGAAGCGTCGCCTGTCGCGCAAGGATCCGCCCAAGAACTCCAAGTACAAGTCATCAGAACTGGTGCACAGCAGCGACGACGAGGACGACGAGTACGACGCGCTGGATGCGGCCGATGCGGCCATTGAGCAGAGCAACCGCCGTGGCGGCTCGGCCGGGTCAGACGACGAGGGTGTGCGTGACGACGCCTCGGACCGCATGGACGTGGACGAGGCCGATGACGACGAGGGCGGCTCCCGGTCACAGCAGCAGCAGAGCAAGCGTGCTCGGAGAAGTGCCGGCCGCGTCCTGGACGAGAGCGAAGACGAGGACGAGCCGGCCAAGGCAGACGACGACGATGAGGAAGAGGAGGCGCCGGCTGCTCGACGGGGACATAGACGGGCCGTTAGCGACGACGACGACGATGAGTAAGGGGAAGACAGAAAATACAGAGAATAAGGCCAGATTGGGATTCAGCAAAGAGCACAGGAGAGACGAAAGTGGGAGAAGAGAATGCGATTTACTGTTAAATTGTACTTGTATTGTCTTTTAGGAAACGGATGCACGCCACGGGGCAAGAGATCATATAAAAACAGGAGTCAATAATAAAACGAGCGTCTGGTTTTTGTTAGAGAGTACGACGTAATTATGAGGTCGAGTCACGATTGCCGAGAACGGCTGTAATTGGGCAATGGGCCAATGGTAGGTGCGACAATAGGCATTCTTGCTCCACCTTGCACCTTCCTCCACGACACTATTTTACATGTGCCTTCCTTCCTTGCCGGAAACATTGTACGGAGTGTATTCAGCCTCTCTCTCTCTCTTTCATAAACACAACATGGCTGATAGAATAGCACAACGATTGCTCGCCCGGCTACGGCCGCCGGGTCGACAGGCAGCCTCGGCACGCAGGTCGCATGCCCGCCTATCCTCGTCATCTTCGCGACTACCACCGCACGAGCGCAGCTTCCCGGCCTATTTTGTGCGCGGCGGTACTTCCAACGGCCTCGTGATCCGGGAGGATGTTTTGCCTGCGTTTGACGATGCCCGTGGCAGCAGACGTGGCAATGCAGCAGCTGTAGCAGATGCGATGCGAGCTCGCGCGGCGGCGTGGACGCCTGTGCTCGTGCCGGCCATGGGCTCGCCCGACCCGCAGCACGGCCGGCAGCTGGACGGCATGGGCTCGGGCGTGTCTTCGACGTCAAAAATCTGCGTGATTGCGCCCCCGGCCAACGACGCCGAGCGTGCGGATCGCGATGTTAACTTTACCTTTGTCCAGGTGGGGATCCGCGACGGGCGGCTGGACCTGGCAGGCAACTGCGGCAACATGATCAGCGCGGTGGGCCCTTTGGCCTTTGACCTGGGCTATTGCGACACGACGACGACAGCTGACGACGACGGGTCGAAAGAAGGCGTCGTGCGCATCTTCAACACCAACACCAGCAAGCTGATCCGCTCGCGGTTCCGCGTGGCCGGCGATCCGCCGCGGTTTTGTCCCGATGGCGACTATGCCATGGACGGCGTGCCGGGCACACATTCTCGCATTACGATGAGCTTTATACGACCGGCGGGCGCCAAAACGGGTGCACAGAACGGGCTGCCGACGGGCCAGGCGGTGGATATGCTATCGCGGCGGCCGGGTGCGGAGCCATCGATCCCAGCGTCGCTCGTCGACGTGTCGAACCCAGGCGTGTTTGTGTTGGGTAGCTCGCTGGGCTTGGCGGAAGCAACGACGGAGGATGGCAACCAGCAGGTGGCCCTAAACGAGGTTGCAGCGGCCATCGAGACCGACGCCGACCTCAAAGCGACCGTGGACCACCTGCGGCGCGAGGGTGCGTCCCGTATGGGCATGGACCCCGACACGGAGAGTGTGCCCAAAATTGTGATCCTCTTCCCGCCAAGCACCGCCGCCGGCGAAACAGCAACAGATATTCGTTGTGTCGCGTTGTCCATGGGCCAGGTGCACAAGGCGGTGCCGCTGACCCTGGCCCTCTGTCTCGGGGCTGCAGCACGTATCCCGGGTACATTGGCACAGCAGCTGGTGGCCCAGGCGCAGCAGAACCCGACAAGTGCAAGTGAGGGCGGCAGCGGAACGATTGTTATTGGGCATCCCAGCGGCCGTGTCGAAGTCGGTACCACATTGGACGAGACGGACGGGACGGTGCTGTCAGCAGAGCTGCATCGCACGGCGCGCGTCATGATGGAGGGCAAGGTCTTCTATTGAGGTGGCTGTCGATGCATATATATCTGATATTCTGAAACACCATGATGAACAAGATCACATGTGTAAATACGGCAAACAACGCATGCATGTATGCAACTACTCCTTCGTTTTTCTTTCTTCGATCTGGATACCCATTATGTAACTATGAAACTATTGCACCAACTATTCCAACTATGCCGTTCAGCTGCGTCTCAGGTCCAGCCTCTCCATGGTGCTCTCCACAACGGGTAGCAGGTCGGCCACTTGGTTGGCGTCCCGCAGGGCCACCATGATGGCGTCGGCGCGCAAGCCTCGGGAGGCCAGTGTACGTTGGAGGTTGGTAAACGAGTCCTCGCGAGCGGTGTACTCGCGCAGGACCTCGTCGGTGTCAAAGTCGACGTAGACGCGGGTGTCGCGCACGCGGACGAGCACGTTGTCGAGGCGCAGGTAGAAGCGACTAAGCAACAAGAGACGCTGTGGCATGACACGGATCTTGACGCGCAAAACCGAAATTCCATTGTCGTCGAGCTCGCTTTCGTACAAGATAACGTCGTCGTTGAAGACGATGGGATCGCGACGGCGAAGGAGGTCGAGGGGCAAGGAAGTGACGGCTGTCGTGGGTGAGAGGCGGGAGGAGGAAGGCGAAGAGGATGCCGACCGAGATGGACTTGGTGGCGGCGGTGGTCGGAGGGTTGTGCTGGTGTCCTGTGCGCTTTCTGGTGCCGTACCATTGACGGCGGGTGCTGCTGCGTCTGCTGTGGATGCAGATGCCGGCGTTGTTGATACTGTGTTGGCACTGGACCTGGAACTGCCGCTGGCACTGCTACCGGCACTGCTACCGACAGGCTTCTCCGTGCCCTTGTATGGCGTTGAGTAGCTCCAGTCGTACGGCCGCACATCCTGGATGCCCTCGACCGAACTCATCTCCCGGCTGCTTGCCCAGTCGCTCGCATACGCAACCTGCAGCCGGCCCTGGCCCGTCTTATCGACCTCGTCCAGCGCGTCGCCCGCATCAAACCAGATGGCCCATCCGGACGGCAGGTGCTGTATGGCCACCTGGTTGTCGCCAAAGATCATCTCGGGCACAGGGATGGAAATGCGATCCGTCATGGCGTCGATGGCGCTGGCGCGCGAAATGGGCAGCTTACGCGAGCTGACTTGCCACCGGCCCTGCACAACATGTGTACGCGTCGCCTGGGCAAGGTCGGCGGGCGACAGGAAGGGCTCGTTTGGCGAGGTGATGTCGTTTACTGGGGCAGCCATGGCGCCTATGGGGGGGTTGAGGAGGGGGAACTCTGACAGTAGGGATGGCATGCACGTCGAGCAAAGGCAAGGTAGATCAGGTAGTTTAGTAGACAAGCACTTCGCTCGCGATGAAAAAGGAGGGGCCAGATGTTGGTGCCAATCTGTAAGTAGGTGGTTGATGATGTGTATGAAAGCTGTCGGCGTCAAAAAGAAAGTTCTTGGAAGCAGGGAGCTGATGTGAAGCGCGCACGCTAATTTGGGACAGTGCGGGGCGCTACGTAGGAGCTTTTGCAGGACGGAGCCCTGGGCCACAGCCTTGTTTGTTATCTAATCAGATACCATCATACAACACAGGGCTTCACTCATATTACACGTCCGACAGCAAGTTTATGTAAACTGACCACAATAAATACGACGCAAAATGAAGACGAAACATAAGGACAGTGCAATGTACTTAAATTTGCGGCACTATGAAATACAACGATATGGTAACCGCGCTCAAAATATAGACTTCTCAGAGAGGCAAAGACCCGTAAGTGGCTCACTGGTTCTCTCTATGACATACGGCATGGCCTGCACATAACAAATGGAGCTTCAGTAAGAAATAAGATTCCGCGAACTTAAAAACACGTACCTAGGGCTGCAAATTTTTACATTCTATGGTATATAAAGAAGAATCCGAGTGGAAACCTCTGTTCTTTCTCTACACATCCAGCCCTCTTTTTGACTACATCGACGACAACTATCGACGACACCTCTCCTCTTCGCTTTATTACTCAAAATCTTCACAACCTTTGCTACGATGGCGGACCAGCCAGAACACCCCTTCGGTGAGCTCGGCAGAAGAATCGACCGTGCCTTAGAAGACCCTGCTGTCATGGACGAGCTCCTGAACGACATCAGAAATGGGGGTGTGCTTTTGTATAACCAACTTTCTCGCGGCTTTCGGCGGCTACGCAAACATGAACAAGACGCTCGTGGAGGTGGGACAGCGCCTGGATGAAACGGGGTCGGTTGTGTGGAGTAAGGCCCGTTCCTTCTTCAACGATTGCCTCGTCATCGAAGGGCCAGAAACTCCCACTCTGCCCCACACCACTTGGGTGGTGGTCACTGGTGGAGGCGTCCCCCGCCCGGACAACGATGGTGGTCTTTCGACTGCCGTCGAGACGCTCGATATGGACCAATTCGACTCCATGTCGGTCAGCTGGCACATGCCGCCTCCGCCGAGTGTCGATGCCACAGTCGACCACCCGGACACCGGCGTCGAAAACGGCCCCACCAGCCAGCACTTTGACTCCGACAGCACGACGGTGAACACTCCCGACGGTGCCGACGGCAACGATGAAGACGCCATGGCGTGGCTCTGGCCTACGGATGCTGCGTCCCTGGCCCCCAGCTCGTCCTCCGTCGGGTGGCCCGACGCGTGGTCAGCCGAGGGCCCGGCTATGTCGCCCACGCTGGTCGACGCTGCCGCGTCCCCAGAACCGCCGATGCCAGTCGCTTCGCCGACGACTTCGGAGGACGAGCTGGTCATTGTCTCGTCGACGTCGTCGTCCTCATCGTCCTCATCGGGCATCTTGGTAAACTCGGAGGATGGTGATTCCGATGACTCCGAACACTACTATCTGATCTAAATGCACACGCATATGCATCACAGAAGACTCGGGCACTGCCGAAGCTCTTGCGATCGTGTGAACGGTGCAGCTGGTGGGTTTTCCGTATGGATTTGGATGGATCTGGATGGAACTAACATTTGCAAACACAAGACTGCCAGGATATTGATGGAACACCGTCTTATGGGGAAATCCCTTGGTTTTTGGAAATGGGAGTTGGAGGTTTTTGGATTTGGATTTGGATTTGTCTTTCGGAAAGGTCTTTGCGTTTTGTGCTTTCATACCATCGTGTAATATGTAATGGTCAAGACGATAGTCGATAAATCTTGTCTGCAGTGCCATCAACTGGCACGCGTCTGTGTTTTCATCGTCAGATTATTGAGTTGTCGACGTTGAAGCGCAGATGCGACCAGAGATGCATTTACGAAGTAAGAAAATAGTTGAGTAATATTTGGTTGATACCCTTTTAGGAAATTGCCTGTGATACAACGAGTCGCATTTTATGTGCACTAACAGATTGTGCGGGGAATGCGCACCAAACACTGTTAGGTCCGCCAAAGGGCAGGTGCGACCGTCGCCGGGGCAACACCGGTCAGCGACCGCCAATACACAAAAGTGGAGACGCCGCATCGTCGAGACGTCCGTCCGCTGCCGCTGGGGCGACCAGACGAATTGCAGTGTTTTCTGTGCAATTGTGTGCAGCCGTGCTTTTGTCATCGAGCCAGACGAATCTCCCAAGCACAACAAGACCCGGACAGCTGTTTGTACGAGAGCCTTTCTTCTCCTCCGCCCAGCTCACCGTCGATACCTTTCGTTTTTCTTTTCCTTGTTTTCTAGCATCTCTCCTTCCTCTCTCCACCCTCCTCTTCTCCTCTCTCGATCTCTTCTCCCCGGCTGTCCTCTACCATCAACACAATGGCAGCCACCCGCGTCCTGGAATCTCGCTTCGAGCGGATGTCGGTCAACGACGAGAACGGCGAAGGCAATCGCATGTATCCCAAAGCCAAGGTGAGTCTTGACGAGGGAGCCGTGCGAGTGTGATCGATACGAGTTTCTGTTTACTCCGATACTAATATCACATCGCAGGGCATGACGGCGCCTTCTGGCCAAAGTACAAACCGAAACCTCTTCAAGGTCGCCCTGCAAGCTCAGAGCGCCAACACGACATCCTCGTCAGCACAATCTACATCACACTGGAAGGGCGCGGTCGCATCCACAACAGCAGTGACGGCCACGACGACTGGTAGCAGCGGCAGCAGCCATCACCACCCGGCCTCGCCGACAGGGAAGAGCCGCGGCGTCGTCACAACAACAGTGGCCGTGGCATCAGACGAGACGACAGGATCAACAATAGAGACGCCCGAGCATGACAAGAAGACGGCAGGCGGTGACGCAGCATTGTCAGAGCTGTCATCGCCACTGTACAACCAGCCGCGGCAGTTCCACCTCGGCATGTTCGAGATTGGCCGGCCACTCGGCAAGGGCAAGTTCGGCCGCGTCTACCTGGCCCGCGAGCGCAGCAGCGGTTTCATCTGTGCGCTCAAGGTGCTCTACAAGGCCGAGCTGCAGCATGGTTCGGGCGTCGAGAAGCAGGTCCGCCGCGAGGTCGAGATCCAGAGCAACCTGCGCCACCCCAACATCCTCAAGATGTACGGCCATTTCCACGACAGCAAGCGCATCTTCCTGATCCTGGAGTTTGCGGGCCGCGGCGAGCTGTACAAGCACCTGCGCAAGGAGAACCGCTTCCCCGAGTGGAAGGCCGCGCAGTACGTGGCGCAGATGGCGTCGGCGCTGCGCTACCTGCACCGCAAGCACGTCATCCACCGCGACATCAAGCCCGAGAACATTCTGGTCGGCATCCACGGCGAGCTCAAGATCTCGGATTTCGGCTGGAGCGTGCACGCACCGAACCACCGCCGCACGACGCTGTGCGGCACCCTCGACTACCTGCCCCCGGAGATGGTGCGCCCGCACGGCAGCGGCAACGACAACTCGTACGACGAAAAGGTGGACCTCTGGAGTCTGGGTGTGTTGACGTACGAGTTCCTTGTCGGCGAGGCGCCCTTTGAGGACACGATGGTCATGACGCACCGCCGCATTGCCCGGGCCGACATGACGATTCCCTCGTTTGTGAGCCCCGAAGCACGAGATCTCATCAAGAAGGTTTGTCGTGACCCCCCGTTGCGTTGAAATTTCTCCGCTCTCTATAGGAATCCACACTAACGAAATTCAGCTTCTTGTGCTCGACCCGGCAAAGCGTCTGCCGCTCGACGCCGTCCAGCAACACCCTTGGATCATCAAGCATTGCGTCAAGGGCGAGCGGGCGACCAACCGGGAAAAGACAAAGGGCGGCGAGTAGCCGGCGCTGTCGGGACGATGAGAGGGGGAGTCGAGAAGAGAGACGAGAAGGAGATATGATTTACTCTGGCGAAACGGCAGGAGTGCACCTTTGCTGGAACCATGCATATGCGGGATCTGATACTTTGGCGTTTTTTGTTTCGTGAATCCGTTGGCTTCTTATAATGCATTCTTTTTACATATTGGTATGGTTTCGTTTTGTTGGTACATGGCTGAATACAGGGAATGGGGATATTGACATTTGAAATTCATCTTCATCGCGTTTATGCATGTGCACGAATGCAAGTATGGAATTCTTCCACCCTCGGTTCTCGTCTTTCACTCCATCTTCCGCCTCCTGCGCCTTCCGCCTCCCACCGACCCTACTTGTAGATGTCATCAAAGGGCCGCGTGTCACTAAAGCACGAGTCCCAGACCTCGTTGACCACCTTGGTCGCGTGCACGTCGTCCTTGCACCGCGGCCGCGCCGTCAGCGACTGGATCGCCCGCATTCGCACGCACCGCTGGAACTGCTGTGTCAGCGTCCAGTTGCCGCGCGTAATCGACTCGCGCGTCCACCGGCACTCGCCGCTCAGCATCGACGCCCGGATCTCCGAGCACGCCGCGTGCCGCAGATCGTCCCAGTCCACCTTCCACCGCAGGTGGTCGTACGCGTGCACCAATTCGTGCGCCAGATTGTCCTCCAGATGCTTGCGGTCGCGCATCTCGTTGGCGCACAGCAGAATGCCATAGTCCGGGTGGAAACCGCCGCCCTGCCGCACGATGCGCAGTTCGCCCTCGGGCGTTTCGGTGACGCGCGCCGGGCACCGCGCGCACACAATGTTGCTGCTGTCGAGCTTGTGCCCACCCAGCTGTGTCGTCTTCTCGGCCATGAAGCGCACAATCGGCGAGTACTTGAGCATGTAGTCGCGGGCGTCTTCGCAGCGCTTGCAGTCGCGCGCCTCGTTCTGCCGGTAGCGCCATTCGCGGTAGTGGTGGACGCCCTCCGGCGTGACCTGGCCGCTGAGGATGCGGAAGTAGGTCATCCACCAGCTGGTCTTGGGGTCGAAGCCCGTGCGGGCAGGGTCGTTCTCGAGGAACTTTTGGAGGCGGTCATTGCTCGACGACGGAGGCGCTGCGGAGGACGGAGAAGATGCGGAGGAGGAAGAAGACGAAGAGGAAGACGACGGCAGTGGGCTCGATATTGAGGAAGTGGATTGAGCGGCTACGGGTGACGCAGCAGTGTCTGCTGTTTGTGGTGGTGGTAACGTCGACATTCTGTGTTCTGTGGATGATTGTAAGGGAGGTCGTGGAGGCGCCGAAAAATGCTTTGTTGATCGTCGCGATGTTCTCCTCGCTTCCGTCCAGCGACCGATTCTGCCAACTATCGATAGAGCGAAAATTCGTGGTTTAGGCGGTGAACAGTGCTCGTCCCGTGACCCCCAGAACGACAAGCTCCAGCAAAGGCTGTGTGGAAGCTCATCCGCTGTGCTCTAGCGCTCTTAGCGCGCCCAATTCAGTGTTTTCAGTGCACTGACAATCTTACTCTGCCTTTCCCATACTGCGCCTACCCGACATCGGGGCTAGTGGTGGGACGGGAAAGAAAAAAGACGGCAAGGACAGTCAGTCGACGACCGGTCGTCACTTCCCCGATGACTCCAATTGACCAACCAGCCGAGTGCGCCCTTGGCCACGCCCTTTCCCAGAAACTAGAGTACAATTTTTCCTTTTCCAACCTTGGCATGCGCATGTCGTTCGCAACTGCCCTTGCTGGTGCACTGCGGCCCTGAATGTACATCTGCCTGGAGCGTTCAAACTTCTCCAGTTTTCCATCTTCAGTCTCCAAATCTACAGTCTCTTCGGTGGCTGCCCTGCCATTGCTGTGCTGCAGGACCGGACCACTGTTCAGACTTTTTCTTTCCATCGCTAATCATTCCCCTGTCCTTGACCACCCCCGGCTGGGCATCCCGACAATGGATCCACCCAACAGTCTTTTGCAGCAGAGCGTCCATCACTCGTGTAAGAAACCGCCCGAGCTATTTTCTTGTTCTTTTTTACTGCGTCGAGCCGCTTCTGTACTCTCTGTCCTCTTCCCTGTCTCCCTCTGCTTCTGGCCGGTTGCTTTCACGTGTCTCGATCGCTTGGTCTCCCCGATCTTACCAGTGTCCTTACGCCCTGAGTCGTTGGAGAAGCGGCATCAGCACAGTATATATACACACATCAAGCGTACGGAGTGATACATGTATACATACAGCTCTTCTCCGTTCACAAGTTCTCCTCGCCTTTTCTCTCATGCCTCTTACTATGCACCTCACGCCAAACATCTGTCTCGCACTTCGTCCAAAACCTCGGTCTAACATTGCAACCTCCAGCCATGAAGGGTCCACGGCCATTGGGCATCGTCATCAAGCTCGGTACGTTGCATGTATCAGGCCCTTCTGCTCTGCTCTTTTGCACTAATACCCTTCTCAGGAACAAGCTCCATTATCGACGCAACAAGCCATGAGCCGCTCATTGCGACGCTCTCGCTGATTGTCGAGACTGCCGTGCGTCTTCGCAAAGATGGCCACCGCGTCGTCATTGTCTCGTCTGGTGCCATTGGCGTCGGACTGCGGAGAATGGACGTCGAGAACCGCCCAAAGCACCTGGCCCAGCTGCAGGCCCTTGCCGCTATTGGCCAGTGCCGTCTCATCGGCCTTTGGGACTCGCTGTTCAGCCATCTGCGGCAGCCCATTGCCCAGATCCTCTTGACACGGAACGATATAGCAGATGTAAGACACTGTACTGTCATGGCCGGCTGGCTCAGCTGTGAATCTTTGCTAATGTTCCCCAGCGTACCCAATATCTCCGGGCCCAAAACACATTTGCGGAGCTGTTTGATATGGGCGTCATCCCGATTGTCAACGAGAACGACACGTTGGCCGTCGAGGAAATCCGCTTCGGTGACAACGATACGCTGTCCGCCATCACGGCTGCCATGATCCACGCCGATCTCCTGTTCCTCATGACCGACGTCGACTGCTTGTACACCAAGAATCCGCGCCAACACCCAGACGCCGAACCCATCGAGGTCGTCGATGACATTAACGCTTTGGAAGCAGACAGTATGTTTTGTTGCTCACCTCGTTCTCCCAGCCGTTGTTGTCATTTCTGACCATAGCAATGCCCTGTGCTAACACGCGTAGTTTCTACTCCTGGTTCTGCTTTGGGAACGGGCGGCATGTCCACAAAGATCGTGGCTGCCCGCTTGGCTACATCCGCCGGCGTCACAACCGTCATCACACGGTCATCAACACCGGACAACCTCGTCCAGATTCTCGCACACATCCAGACCACGCAGGGCAACTCCCTGCTGCAAAAGTCCTCGTCCTTTGCGTCAATGCCAGCCTCAGCCGTCCCTTCGGCGTCTTCTATGGCTCCCTCGCTCTCTGGAAGCACCACCCTCACCAAACCTCCTCTCCACACACGCTTCCTCCCCTGGCCCGAGCCCGTCCGCGACCGCTCGTTCTGGATTCTGCACGGCCTCGCGCCTCACGGTACGGTCTTTGTCGATCAGGGCGCATACCAGGCCCTCGTCGAGCGCGCAGGCCTGCTACCAGTCGGCGTCGTTGATGTCGAAGGCCCCTTTTCCGAGAACGATGCCGTTCGCATTGTGGTCGTCGATCGCAAGCCGGCAGCTTCTGCTGACGGAACTGCCCCTGCCATTACGACTCCCAGCGTGGTCGCATCCGGTACCGAAGTCGGCCGTGCTCTCGTCAAGTACTCGTCGACGGAGATTGCCCGTATCATGGGCCATCGCAGTCGCGACATTCAGGGCATCTTGGGCTATGTGACGAGCGAATACGTCGCGCAGCGCGAGTACATCAGTCTGTTCCGGCGCAAGGACAGCCGCCCGGCGTCGCCAAGTCTGCGGGACAAGGAGAGAGACGTTGCGCACCATCACCAGAACCACCACCATCGGGTCTCGCCAAACCAAAAGGCCGCGAGCGTGGCTGTGGAGTCGCCCCTGCACAAAGTGGAAGGCCTGGCACTGAATTCAGAGTCGTCTTCCAGGGACGAGCCAAGTGCATGATCCCGTCGTATTCCCGCATTGCTGTTTGTTGCTTTAAGCCTGCGATATCTAAAATTATTTTGCATAAATATACGACAACCTCTGTTTACGAGAGGTGGACCTTTCTTGCTTCGTCCCTCCATGTCCGCATAGAGTGATTATATTTCAATCTGGATTTATTTACTTGTGTAGTGCTACGCTTTCCCAGTGTTCGTTCATTGTATGACCTCATAGAGAACAAATGTGAAGACGCAAGGAGAATGGAAAACGTTCACGACACGGAAAGACACAATAGGAAAGACAGAACGATGCAATGAGAACATAATAATTCAATGGTACTGATCAGTAACAAGGCAATAAACAGGAAGAAAGCCAAACTCCCGTTTAAAAAAGTAAAAAAGACATGCACAAACACAAAGACAAAAACATCAAAGAGACGCACTGACATGATGACGGCGCAGATACTTTTGTGGTTTTTCTCTTCGCCCTGCCGTTTATAAATGACACAAAACGGCGCTTTGCTCCCCTCGTTCCCGCGCTACCCGAGCATGGATTTTTATTTCTTTTTCACTTGCCTAACTGTAACAACAATGACGCTTGCCCACACACCCCGTCTGCGTCCCCAAAATTAAGCGTCGCGCCGGAATTTGGGCACGTACTTACCGGGGGCGCCTGACGCGGTCAGCGCCTCTTTGGGAGCAGCGGGCGACTCCTCGCGGGCGGCCTTGTCGCCACGGCCGTTCTCGCGGCCAATGTCGCGGCTGACGTCACGGCTCGGACCGTCGCCACGGGGGGTCCCTGTCCGGGCAGGCGGCGGACCGCGGCCAGAGAATGTCCGCGGTGCCGGGCTGTCTCTAGAGCTGGGTCCGGCGGCGCTCGGGGCGTCCGAGGACACCTTGGCGGCCTCACGGTCACGCCACGAGGGCTTGCCACCTCCGGCCAGGTTCAGGCGCGGCGGGCCCGACGGGCGGTCGTTGGAGTCAGTACGCTCCATCGGGGTGCTGGTCCGCTCAGGGCGACCCGAGGCGGCGGGTGGCGCAGCGACAGCGGCACCAGCGCCCTCAGCACCAGCACCAGCACCAGAGTTCTTAGACGCTTCCCGCTCGCGCCAGCTGCGGGCCCCGGGCAGGTTAAGAACTGGCCGGCGCTCGGTAGCAGGCGCGTCGGCGGCGGCGTCGCGCCGTGATATGCCGGCACCGGCGTTAAGCTTCTCTGCCTTGCGTCTTGCCAGGGCCTCCTCTTCGCGGCGCGCCTGGAGGGCGGCCTTCTCCAGAGCCTCCTGGTGCTCCTTCTCGCGCTGGGCCTTGAGGCGGGCCATCTCCTCTCTCCGGGCCTCGTCGCGCTTCTTCTGCTCCTCCTTCTCCTGGGCGGCCTTCTCCTCGGCCTCGCGCAGCTGGCGCTCCTCCTCCTCGCGCTCGCGCTTCTCGCGCAGCTTCCGCTCGCGGTACTCCTTCTTGCGCTGGGTGATCTGCTTCTCCAGCTCGCGCTCTGCCTCGCGGCGGCGGCGGTCAAACTCATCCCGGCGACGGTCAATGATCTCGTCGCGGAACTGCTCAAAGTTGGACACCAGGCGGCTGAGGCGGTGCTTGAGCTCGACGTTGGCCTCGTGCTTCCGCTTCGACTCCTTGAGGGTCTCCGCCTTGGCGGCCTCGTAGTTGGCCAGGTCACGCTTCTGCTGCTCAGCGTAGTCGTCGGCCAGCTTCTTGACCTCCTCCTTGCGGTAGGCGCGCTCAAGGTGGTCAATGCGCTTACCCGTCACGCGCAGACGCTCGTTGACGTCGTTCTTCTCGCGCTCGAGCTGCTGCAGCTTAATGGCACGCAGTCTCTGGGGGTCCAGGGTGGCCAGGTCCTCGCTGTTGATGTCGAGAGCCTTCGGCCCAATCCTGAGCTCCTTGATCATGTTCTCGACCTCGGTCTGCCGGATCTGCTCGCGCTCGCGTTCCATACGCTTCAGCTCACGCTCCTTCTGCTCCTGCTGCTGGCGCTGCTGCTCGGCCTCAAGGATGGCCAGCTCGCGCATCTTCTTGATCTTGGCGTTCTCCTTCTCGCGCTTGGCCTGCAACTCCGATGCCTCCTCCTTGCGCTTCTGGATAATGTCCTTGCGGCCCAGGGTGTCGAGGTGCTCCTGCTCGGCGCCAGCCTTGGCACGAGCCAGAGCCTCAGCGCGCGCATCGATGCGGGTCTGGTTGAAGGACGAGTCAATGTAGTAGCAGGTGGTGTACAGGGTCTTTGCCAGGCGGCTCAGCTGCGAGCGCACAATCTCAGACGGCGTGCTCTGCAGGCGCTGGACCGACTTCGCCTCCGTCTCGGCAGACCCGGCGGCGGAGCCAGCGTGAGTCGCCTTGGCCGACGAGAAGATGTCGGAGTCGAAGCTCAGGACGCCGGTGGCATGGTTCATGCGGATGGCGAGGTCACCCTTCTTGTTGCCGTTCATGATGAACTTCTCGACGGTAGCACGGGTGACCTGGTACGCCTCGGGGAACTGGGCCAGGCTCTCGACGAACTCGAGATCGACCGTCTCGTACACCTGCGAAAGCTGTTGGAACAGGCGCGTCAGGATAACCTGCTGCAGAGGCAGAATGTACTTTTGCATCTCAGCATCCTCGCCGATCTGGGTCAGGATGGGCGAGATCTTCTTGCAGATGGACAGCGGGTGGAAGTCGACCTCGAGAATGTTGTACAGGTCGCGGATCTCCGGGCGGGCGCGACGCAGCAGGGACTTGGAAAGGGCGTCGCGGAACAGGCCGGCACGGGTGGGCGCCGAGTTCATGCTCAGGAGGTGCGTGAGGCGCGAGTTCTTGTTCTTGCGGGCCTCGTCAAAGTCGACCATGGCGCCACGCGAGCGCGTGGTGCTGATGACGGGGATCGACAGGGCGGACAGCAGGACAAACGACGCGGCGCGCTCGAGGTCGGCATCCGAGGCAGGCGGGTTGTCCGACTTCTTGCCCTGGCCGTTGGCAACAAGGATGGAGGACTGGCGTAGTAGGTGGTAGTACCGCGACCAGGCGGCGGCGTGGAAGAGGTAGTTCTCGCCAACGAGGAAGATACGCGTGAGCTTCTCGTAGTAGTTGGCCATCATAATGTTCTTTGGCGGGCGTTTGCTGAGGCTCAGCAGGGTGTGGATGTCCTCGACACTGCGGAAGGCCTCCTGCCAAAGCTCAAGCTCGACGGCGACGTTGAGTTGCTGGAAGCGGGTCTCCAGGTGGCGCTGCAGAGTGTCGGGGTCGCTCAGGTTGATAGCGTGCATCTGGGTGGAGTACTTGGCGGCGGTCTGGACGTGGTTGCGGAGCAGCTCGCAGAGACGGCGGAACTCGGTCTTGCGAGCGTACTTGAGGCAGAAGTCAAAGGCCTGCATGGCGGTGCTCTGGTACATGAGCTCGAGACGGGCGTTGTTCCGGAGGATGTCAAGAACGGTGCGGTATGCCTCCCAGAGGAACTTGAGCCAAGGGGTGACGATAGCACGGTCGGTACGGTCGCGGGATTGCTCGCCAGAGACGGTGGCCAGCAGGATCGACTCGGGGGTCTCGGACGCCTCCAGGTCGTCGATGTTCGTGGTGCCGTCGACCTGGGTGGAGGCCTCGAGGCTGGTCTGGACCTCATCGGCCTTCTTCTGGGCCGCATTGACCTTCTCAGCGGCCTGCTCGATGAAGTCCTTGAGGACAAGCTCGATGGTGGCGACATTGGTGTTCTGGGCGATGTTCTTGTACTGGTAGAGGGCGTCTTTGGCCAGCTTTCCCTTCTTCTGTTCGACGGAGAGGTTGACGAGGAGGAGCATCACGGGCTCCAGCGAGGCGATGGGAACATTGCGGGAGCGTTTCGACGTGATGTGCTCGTGCAGCAGGGTCAGAGCCGCCGGCGCCTGGTTGACGCCGATGAGCTCGTTGGCCCGCTTCAGCACATTTTCGGGTTTTTGATGCGGCGGGGGAGGCTGTGATCATCAAAGAGAAGAGAAGGCGACAGAGTTAGCGACAGGTCAAATAACAAACAACAAAAGCCTGCGACCGGCCGGGCAGCAATTCGGCGTCCATCTGACGCGAAACGAGGGCGATGGTGGGATGTGCAGCCAACGAGGAGGGGGACGTGTGTGGAAAGGGGGCTTAAACAAGAAACCGATTCGATGGATGAAGTCTCGCGTGCTGGGCGCTCTGAATGTTTGCAAACACATACCATGATGGGCAACCTTCTCTGCGGTACAGATGGTGTGAAGGGTGCAGTGTTCTTCGTGCCAGTTCCCGATGATGTGTGTGGTGGGCGGGAAAAGACAGTTGAAGACGGCCAGCTAACGTGGTGATCTTGTTATTTTTCGCCGGAGGAACGGGTGGAGTGTCGCGAAAAGATTTTTTGTTGGCTGAACGAAGTCTGTGGGCGGAGGGCGGGGCTCGTGCATTTCACGTGACGCCAGTATTAACGGCTTAGTCATCAGTGTGGTCAACCCACTGATCCTTAGATTCCAGTGTAATACAGGGCCTGACAGCGGTTTCTGGCGCCCTATAAGAAGAGCCAGGCAGGCGCGTTCCCGGCCGTACCCATGTATTGGAGTGAACCTCTCATGAACCTGAGACTACGAATGCGAGCACAAGAGGGAGATAGTTGATTGAGCAGGGTGCACCTGGATCCAGCTGGGTAACTCGAGCGAACAGAAACAGAAGCGCAAACGACGAACAAGGACGAAGACGAAGTCAGGGCAGAGACAATAGCGAGTCTCGGTGCGACGAATGCATTGCTCCTTCTGTTTTCGTATTGTTCTCGAAGCATGTTATCCGCCAGCGCCTGCCGTCAGTGGGTACACAAAGACTGCGCGTTTGGAAAGGAGCAAATAGAAAGAACGACACAATAGAGAAAGCACGAACGGTGGCCTAACAATGTGTCAATTATCTTTCCATAGCCTGAAAACGATGTCTTGAACGACTGCCGAAGCATCTTACGATGTGATGGGCAAGGAAGCGAGACAAAAAAGCGGGCCGGATGTGCAACTTGCTGCAAGGGAGGCTCAGAGCCCTTGGGCGTTTGGCAGCGATATGGATACCGTGATAGGACTACGATATGCAAACCCCTTTCTGTGCTTCTTCCTCTTGACGGTGTATTTATGAACTTGGGATGAGCGCCCTCGCTTCAAACTTCACATATCTCGAGTCGTGAGCTCACGGGGTGGTTCTATATGTCATTCTACGTCAGCAGAGCCTTGGATCCAGTGTTTTCTCGCGGATCCTGCTGTCGTCTCGTCCTTCCATTTCCTATCCATCGTCGGCTGCGTCAGCCAACAAATGCGGATCTTCTCTGTCTCGGCTTGCTCTTCAGAAACGATTTGGAGGATCCTCCAAATCTTGAGACGCATTCCGGTCGATCGACTACAGGTCACCAAAGGCAAGAAGGTAATTCAGCCATGCGACAATTATTCTACGAAATATATTGAGATGGAATTGCAGATTCTGTCCGGAACAGCCCCTGGGGATATTTACAGCCGACGGCAAGTTTACCACAGTAGGCCAACCCTCAGGAGGTGCGTGCCCTGTGCTTTGTCCCGTCCAGCCTGTGCAACGCGTCTGCCCCTCTTACCCTGGCAGGTCGTGAGCACCGCCTGTCCAGTGCGCGCGCAGTTCGCTCCGCCTGTACTTCCCCAGAGGATTTTCGTTGTGATACGCCACTTGTCCACGGTTCCCGGGGCGTTGTAGGCACACAGACCAGATAGGAACCTGAGCAGGATGGGCTTGGCTTGATTTAGCTCGGCTGGTAGCGTTTTATTCGAGTTCTCCTGCATGTCTTGCCCTCCCTCTCTGTCCTGTTGCACAGAGGGGCGTATTGCACCATCCAGCCAGGAAAAGAAGAAAGTCGAAAGAAGAAAGTACTGAGACGCTGAAAGCACACAGAGAAGAGAAGAAAAGGAAGCAGGCAAGGGGCCAGGCAAGACGAGAGTAGAGACAAAACACAACAAACCAAAACAACACTGACGTAAAGGACAAAAGGGCCTGAGGAACGGCAGCACTGTATGCGGGCCTCTGTTGGCTTTTGCTCTCCCGTTGCAATTTCCTTGGGATGGCAGGCTCGAGCTCCCGGAGAGCGCGCCACCGGAGGCGTTGGTAGAGGTAAGATAATAATAATAATAATAAATAAAATAAAAAATAAAAAAGGTCCTCGAAGCCGCAACGGAAACAAACTGCAGAGAGCTCCGTTTCTATGGATTTCTCACCTGCAATAACGGTCAGGAGCGGAAAAGGGGGCAAGGCCAATTTGGAAAAGACTCCACTAAAGTCAATTTAACCAATAGTGTTCGCGCACTTCTCGGAACGACCTCCACTTCCCTATTCCTTATTTTGCAGGGGGCAGCATTGTCCAACTGCTAGCCAACGGCGAATACTTTGTGCAACCGAAGTGCACTATGGGCAACAGTTGTACTGCGCTTGCCAATAAGGGCATGACGGGGGAGCAATAGGTCAGCTCTGCCGCTAAGTAGTTTCATTTAGTGCTGTTGTTGCAGAGGTCGGTCCTTTAGGGAAGCGCGACCCGCACCGCCGCAACGCTCAACGCACCTTCAGCCCCTCTCTTCCTTATTGAGTACGGTTACCTTAGCTTGTTACAGGCTCCAGTTTCCCCCTCCCCTACCGTAAACGGAGTAATACAGGCTACTGCTTGAACGGCACCCTATTTTCGTCTGCTAACTCTCTTTGCTCTGGTGCCTTTTCTGGCCTTCCCCTTTTGGTCCCACGCTCCCGTTCGTTCCTGCCGTTATTTCCTGTCTAATTTGGGCTTTCTGGTGCCAATTCTTTTCTTTTTTCGTCCTCCCATTCCCTCTCCCCATCTCTCCGCTCAATATCGAACCTTCGTCGCGATCACGATTTTGGGTGCATCTGCTGTCATCCTTCCCACGACGACATTGACATCTGTGTTTTATTGACCAGATCGGTAAGTTTCGAAGGACCCCCTCTTCCTCCACAGCCACTTCACTCGGCTTCCTACAATCTGCTCGCGTTCAACTGCATATGCGACAAAAAGGGGGCAAACCGAGCGACGCGAAAAACTCGAAATTCAGTTCACGAAATCAATCGACAACTTCTCGACTCTCGTCTACTCGTCCTGCCTCTCATTACGCGTCTTCAGCTTTCATCGACGACCATTGTCATTCTCTATAAGTCGCCTTTCAACAAGTTCGCAACGAGCCAGCTAGGGGTATCGCTCGACAAAACAATTTGGATTTGCAAAAACGAAGAAAACCCGCACATCGACGGCAGAGGAGGGACAATTGACTCGACGCAGCACGACAAGGCGCACGCCAAAACCTGCCTGCAGCTGTTGTCCCATCTGAGCTTCCAATTCTCGACGCTTTTTCACCCAGATCAACGGCGTTCTTGCGATATTTCATAAATAGCACAATCGACTGCCTCCAACGACACGCGACGTGCACCAGCAAACACTCCTGCACCTGCATCACATTCCTTTTAAACTCGCAGCCTTCTCCACCTTGCCATTTTCTTAGACCAATCGCGACTGACACTGTTTTTTATTTTGCATCATTTACAGAAGCGAGACTATCACAAGTTGCCCGTGTCTTGTGGGGTTTTTTTCACGACTGTCACGACTTTTCATTCTTGTCTCCATTTCACCGACCACACCTCAGTCATGCCTCAATACACTTCCCGGGACGTTGGCGATCCGTCGCAGGTGCGGAGGACGAAGCAGAGCATGGCCGACCTCAAGCTGCGGCGGTTAACAGAGCTCAATAGCCGTCTGCGGGAAGACCTGGACCGTGAGCGGATTCCCGTCAGCCAGGCGTCGAAGAGGTTTGTACAATGCCCTCTTCCAGCTCCAACCATTGCCACCAAGCGATTGCCGACGCCTTTTGACCTCATCACGATACTCAACCGTGTCGATCGCCCCTCTCCTGGCCTCATGCTAACATTACCATAGCATTATCGCCTACTGCAACAGCACACGCGACTACATGGTGCCGTCCGTGTGGGGTGTTGTTCCCAAGAGTGAAGACCCGTATGCGCCGCAGCAGAGCGGCGGTTGCTGTGTTGTCATGTAAGGTGACTCCGTCGATTCGATCTCGCGAACGATATACGTATGCGATCATACGGGCGATGCTTCCTACACGCCGCCCGCTACGCAGCAAGCAACACTAGACAAGAACGCCGGCATGCATGTCTGTCCGCCCACATCGAAGAATCGGAAGACGACGGGTATAGGTCAACAAGGCGATCATGCAGACTCAAAAACCACCTAAAAATACAGCAAAAACTCAAAATACAGCTCAACCCCACGACCCTCCACGTCACCCAACAAACGTGGGCGATCTACGACCAACTGGCGAGCTTTGACAAGAGGCACAAGGCCAGGTTGGCAGGAGGAAACGTGCAAACAGGCGTCAAATATTTCGACAGCCTGCTATCAACGGCTACCGGCGAGACGCTATTCCACCTTTTTCGTCTTCATTCAACTGTTTTTATTAGTTCCGATGCTTTTCTTATGTTTTATTTCTTACCCCTTTCCCCGTCCTCCTCTCGCCGGTCAGCTCTTTGTCTGCTTGTCCCTCCTTTCGTTACAAATGTACTCCATGTGCCGCACTTCTTCTTGCGTTCGGCCTGCCTCATATCCTCGCTCACGCCCTCCCAACTACTCTCTTAATTCTCTCGGCCTCTTGTCATGCTCACCGATTTCCTTTCTCTATCTCTCTTTTTCGGGGTTTGTCTCTTACCACGGCTCTCTTATGTCTGTTGCTTTATTTGTGTCGTTTTACGTCGTTTTGTCATTCTATTTTCTTTCTCGTTTCGGTTTCCAAGAATCCTCCTGTGCGTTTTCCACGCCTGCCATATATACCTCCCTGGGATCCCATGTAGTAGTTACTTCCGCGACTTAGTCCAAAACCTGGAGAAAACACTTTTTAAAAACTACATTCGATTGCATGTATGCTTGTACGTAGGGCGACCTGAACGAGTGAGAATATGCTTCCTTTGCAACCATGTATATTGCTCGTATAAAGTTAACGCAGTGTGTGAGACTATGGCCGTCGTAACAAATATTTCAGTTCATCTTAAAAACACAGAAATATGGTCTTTTATTTCATTATTTTGAACACTTTGGGTTTTGTTCTTACACATTTAAAAACAATGATTTTTTATTCGGTTTTAATGGTAAAAATTAATAAATAAACAAAAACAGGAAAGAGGATCGTGAATAAATTTCAATACAAATAAAAATTGAAACCACCTACATATTAGAACAACATGAGCTATCTGTTGTGGTATCAAACTCACGTAGTGGCATTTAATGGGAGGCGAAAAGAAAACTTCGCCAGAAAGATAAGCGCCAACCCCACAGAGACACTGCTGACGCACAGATCGTTCTTCCACTATTCTGTGCTTTGTAACCTCATTTACGAGCAAAATACTTTAAACTGGTATTATCAAACAAACAAAAGATGGCCACATTGGACACAAGAAGCTCCGCTCCTGAGCAACCGCCGTCGACAATCCCGACGAAGGCCCCCGTCCGGCTACCCCGCGTTGCGATTCAGTTTTGCACACAGGTGAGGTCGAGACTACCGACCCCATAGTGGGAGATGACAGAGATTCAGCAGCTCACCGTAAACTGCAACGTAGTGCAAGTGGATGTTACGGGCCGCATATGTATGTATTCCCCTGCTTTTTCTTCCTTGTAGTACACGCTCACTACTGACTCTCGGGACAGTTTGCCCAGGAGCTCCTGTCGACATTTGGACCGGCCCTGGGGGAGGTCGCTTTGCAGCCGGCGACCGGTGGCGTCTTTGCAGTCACCATTGAGACGGCCGATGCGGCATCGAGCACGGGGACGGCTGCCCCGCGCCTCTTGTGGGACCGTAAGACGGAAGGCAGGTTCCCCGAAACAAAGGAACTGAAGCGGCGCGTGCGAGACGTCATCGAGCCGGGCCGGGATCTCGGGCACGTGGACCGCAACTACGGGAAGGCTGCTACTGCGCCCGCTGTTCAGGCAGCCCCTGCCCCCATGGCCGAAGCTACACCGACGGGCGCACCACCGTCAGTGGCTGGTGACGCCGAGACCAAAGACAATGCTGATGCAGCACCATTCTGTGAAGATTGCCAGTGAGAGACGGGCTTTCTAGAGGAATGACAGGAGTGTACGATAGCGGACTCCGGTGATGAGTGGATATGGATGTCATGGCGGGCTGCAATGAGAAGTGGCTGGCCATGCTTCGAATCAGGAGCCCATTCGCCAAGAACCGGTCGCACGCCGTCAAGTGCGTCACTACACGGTGTACAGACGGCTTAGCCGACCATGACTTATTGACGCGGAGAATACGTCGTACACATGTTGATAATAAAGGTGCGGACTTTTGTATGTGCTGCAATGGCAATTCGTATGTTTTACGGGTGTCCTTCTGTATTAATTGGGGTGGTTCTTTGGTTGACCGGCAAATCCGAGGAATGGGACGAGCGAAATCAACAAACAGCCCGACTGAGAATGGCCACTCCAAAATTTATAACAGGACACAAGAGAAGAAGGTGAACAAGAATAGAGGAGGAAGAGAGAAGAAAATAACAAAGTAAGGCAAAACGAGAAACAGAGCCAAGAAACCGGCCGCAACCTCCCGTCCCTTAAGACTTCTAGCCCACACACGGACCGACCCACTGCTGCGCTTTCGTACACTCAGACAACAAGGATTCAAAAAAACGAAGAGAAAGAGAAAGAAACCAGTGAGCATGATGCAGATAAAAACACGAAAAAAAAAAAAAAAAACATCCCTAGCAGACAGTGAGGCGGTCGGTCCGTTCGTCGCGCGGCTCGGGAGTCGGCGGCGTTTGGTGGGGTCAAAGGTGAGCAAAAGCTGATTGTGGCAGCGGCCGAGCAAGAAAGCGTAGCATTACAAGAGCTCGGGATAAAAGTCTGTTCACATAGAGTATGGTTGACAGGTCAGCCCTGGCGGTGGGGGGACGAGAGTCAAGACTAGCAGGTTAGGTTACTAGCGGCGGCCAAACCTAGAAGAACATAATCATTAGCATGTCGTTAGGAACACATCGGTCGTCTGAGAACGAAAAGACGAGGGGAGGGGCGCGGGTAGATAGGGTAACATACTTCTGCTTCTTCTCGGCCGGCTTGAGGATCTGGAACGAGCAGAGCAGGCTCTCGTCTACGCTCATCATGGCACCGGCGTTGTCGAACTCGCCGCAGTAGTTAGGGGCACTGAACAGCGTGACGAGCTGGCGCTTCGAGAAGAACTCGTAGCCGTCCTCGACGACCTGGTGAGCACGACAGATCAGGTCCATGTCGTGCTTCTGCAAAAACCTCGACACGACGTCAGGTCCAAAGGTGAACGAGACACCGCGGTCGTTTTCGCTCCAACCCGTGATATCCTTGTCGGGGTCGGACCACAGAAGATCGCACAGCAGACCGCAATCCGGGATCTATACAAAAGAGGTTAGCAGGTGTCTTCCCCCCAAGAGCTTTGGTTCGGCCATTAAAGCTACACTGGTATCACTCACATCCGTGGGGCGCATAACACGCCGGATCTGCTCCATGGAGTTCAGGTCAGGGCTGAGACCACCGTGCATGGTGAAGATCTTCTCGTCAATGATAGCGGCAATGGGAAGGCAGTTGAAGCAGTCGGTGAAGGTCTTCCACAGCTTGATGTTATAGCGGCGCTTGCACTCGTCGTAGAAACCGTAGATACGGTTAATAGAAGCGCACTCGTGGTTGCCACGCAGGATGAAGAAGTTCTCGGGGTACTTGATCTTGTACGCAAGCAGGAGGCAGATGGTCTCGAGGGACTGCTTGCCACGGTCGACGTAGTCACCCAGGAAAAGGTAGTTCGCCTCAGGAGGGAAACCACCATACTCGAACAAGCGCAGGAGATCGTAGTACTGCCCGTGGATATCGCCGCAGATCTTGATCGGCGCCTCCAGCTCGAGGAGGATGGGCTGCGAGATAAAAATCTCGCGCGCTTTGGTGCACAGGAAGCGGATCTCGCCTTCCAGAAGCTGAACCTGCTTGCCAGGGCGGCTACCGCGGACCTCGAGAAGTCGGTCGATGATGGAGTCGAGGTCGACCTCGTGTTGCTGGTCGGCCATTTTATGAAGTTGCTATTTCGTTCTTTTCCGTTTTTTTTTTCTCTTTTGTTATTTTAAAGGAGGCGAGTTTCGACGGTGCGATAGTGCCTCTGTGAGTCAAGGTCTCCGCAAACCTTTGAGCGTCTTTGTTCGACAGGCTCAGGTGATCTGTGGGCGTCAAATGGGAGGAGAGGATGAAGGAGCGATAAAACTCTCGTAACTTGGATCTAGAATCAGGCAGCGGGGAATTGCACCGTTGTTTCCTGGAGGTACGCAGGTTTGTGTTAGATAAATGTTGGGGTAGAGATCGAGACCGTCGCAACAGTATGTGACGGGATGCAGTGCCCAGGGCAAAGATTTGAGGGCGCAAATGAGGGACGAAGACGTACCAAGGTGTCGTTTTCCGGGTTTTCTAGAGGTTCGCAACCAGAAGCTGCGAGCGTCGTCAAGTTTGAGGCTTTTGCAGCTCTTCGTTCGTCGTCGAGGCTACTCTGCTGGACAAATGCACAGCTGGAGTTCGTCAATGAAGGTTGGTCACCAGGTCCTTGGTGATTACGTCGCCTTTTGGGTTTCAGACTTGTGAGAGTCTGGTCGTCATGTACTCTTGGGAAGAAAATCGTCAGAAGTTCTCGTCGCTATCGTAGTCGAGGTCTAATATCACAGGTTTGTAAAGTCTGTTTAGCGTCAGCATTGGCTTCTGTGGCAATGTTTGCTTGCAAATGGAAAATGGGAGGCGATTTAGAAGGTGGCGTGGGTCCGGGCATTGACAGAACAAAAAAGTCCGTGTCGCAAGACGGCAGCGGAGGAAAACGGGTTTGGCAGAAAGACAGGTAGACTCGATGCGAGAAAGGAAGGCGCGATATTTCTTGACGCGGCTCAAAGAGAGCGCCTCAGAAGACGCGCTCGTGATCGATATCGTCGGATTTTGAAGACGAGAAAGAGAAAAAGGTATCTCGGGCCATGAACGATGCTTTGCCGTCAAGCAAAGGTGAGGGTCTGACGATCTTCGTCTTGGGAGGACGATGGTCCTTGCGCAAGGACGAGGAAGCAGTAGAGGAAGGCCACAGGTCGAGAGATATGAAAACAAAGCCCGGATGCACAAATCTGAAAACCAAGATGCTGGGCAAGGGAGTCGAGGCCAAGGTCGTTTGCAAATTAAGCGAAGTAATGTGATCGTATTGCGTATGACTTGAGAAAGGTGCAGGAAAAAGTGGACGTCGGCGAGGGATGGGAGAGACAATGGCGGACAAGGTCGTAACAAGACGACAAGGACCAGAAGAGCGGGACGCAATCTTACCTAAACTCGACGTCGTCGTGATAGATTTGCTTCGTGGATTCGATGCAAAGTCGTCGGGGGTGGCAGAAGGCGGTGGATGAGGGTCTGCAGCGCGTGCGCGGTGAGGACAACAATAAGTTTGGAAGCGGATGGGTCAGGATCAGCCGAGAAGTCGCGAGCTGGGAGGACACGGAATGCGTTTGTTTTTGTTATGTCTCTTTTTTCGCTTGTCGTGTTGTTCTCTTTTCGAAGTGGTCTCTTTTGGAAAACCGTCGCCTGTTGAAAGATGAGATCGTTTTTTTCGAGGGGATTTTGTGTAGTGGAAAGAAAAAGCGCGATGTCTTTGTTCAGTTTGGGTAATTCCCCTTTTTCGCTTTGGATTTTTTTTGGTCGTCGTTGGGGGAAGGTGCGAAAAGGTGAGGAAGGAGCAGGAGAGGGCAGGGAAAGTCAGGAAGGGGGGAACGAGGGGAGGGGGAGGGAAAGGGGTGAAAAATTCCTTGGAACTAAAAAAAGGCCTGCACTGCTGCACACTGTTTCGAAGGGGGGCAAGGAGGGGAAGGAGCAAAGGAGCGCCCAGACCCGTTCTGGCCAGTAATTCGTAAATCGTGTTGGGAAAGGACGACTGGAGTCCCACTGTCCCCCAAAGTTATGAATTACAGGTGAGTTGATAAGCGTCGAGAGGCCTGTGCCTCAATACTGGGTTCTCGCCGTTATTGACGCAACGGGCACGAAGCAGTTTCGCAACGCGAGCTGCATCAGGACGGAACTGAGCAGTGAGCACACTACACAGAAGGTCGTTTTCGCACCTCGTGCCTTCCCCAAGCAGGCTCTAGACCTTGCACAAAGACCCCACAGCCGCGTTTGAGGAGCCTGTTCCACCAGGGCAAGTCTTTTGCTGGGACACAAGCCAGGAGCGACCCAGCATTGCTCTCAGTGTGTACGAATTAGGGATGTGACGTTAGAAATGGACAGCGCCACCTGGACCGTCAGTAAATATGGGTGAATACGTCGTACTTCGTAAAGTCGGTTTGGCTTAACGGCATTACTTACAGGCAGTAACATAAGATACGTGAATAACGGAGCAATACTGCACACCATTCTATGATTGCACAAATGGAAGCCACAGCAACAAGGTGCACATTCGAGGAATAACGGATGGCATGAAAGACAGCATTACATAACGCCCAGATCACCAAGAAACGAAAACAGAGGAAACACGACAGCGGGCGGACAGATAACGATGGTAGGCGCGGGATACATAGCCCGCCACAAACTGGCAGGAGAGGGCTGCGAGGCGACCTCCAGTTGGCTGGCGGCAAAGGACAGGAACGCGACGAGAGGGTGTCAGCGCGTCCGAGGAGCGAAGAGGGGACATGGAAACAGGATCGTGTATCAGCAACACACGGCACAGCAGCCGGGCGAGAAGGAGGCGTTGAAAAGGCGGTCAACGTGCGGCGACAGCAGCCTGCCAGGCCGCGGCGTCATGAGGCTTCTCGTGACAACCCGACTGTTTGAGTCTTTTTATCAACTTCGATTTCGCCTGGCCTTCTTTTCCATACAGACTTAGGTTGTTTCCCCTGGTGAGATGGCGACAGCTTCTGGACCTGGATTTGCCGAACCAAGCCAACGCCAGGGCAGACACTCGCGGGCGTTGATGAGTGAGTGCGCCCTGAACGTCGCGCGACGCCGTTGACAACGAGCCAATTACGTGTGGCTTCTGTAGCGCCAAGGTGCAGTTTGCTTTTTATTTTGGTGTTGGCCTGACGGCGCTACCCTATGAGAACCAAAGACACCAAACGCCCAAGCCCCGCGAGGGCCCCTCTCATGGCCACCCCCTCCTCGTCATGGCTCACTACGTAATCATACCAGTGTTGCTGCAAGTACATCTGTGGTTGTGACGCGCAAAGGACCCATTGTCGATACTGCATTCCTATTGGCAAACAGGAAATAGGAAAGTCGCTGGCTGTACCTGGAGAGGCTCGTTTGAAACTGTGAACACATATCAAGGTCTCATCACTATACAGTATCTGAGAGGAGGCCACACAAAGCGATTGAGGTAGCACAAGACGAGAGTTCTGCGGATTGCAGTAATCCTGAAACTTTTTTTTTGGTGGAGCCGGCACTGGTTTCGACACTTCCTCTCACCTACATAGAAACAAGGCAGCAGCCAGCGCCATATGGATTTTGTCAGAGGGAGGGGAGTCGCTTGGACAAAGTGCACTTTTGAAGCACTTCGCCCCGTTGGGCCGCAGAACAATTAATAGCATTGGCGGTGCCAATTCGATACGCAGTCCGAGCAAGCCACAAGTTGTGGTTGGGGCTCTCATTGAACCAAACGGCAAGCCTTCCGCAGGCCGGGAGGGAGGGCAAGAGGCCCGGCCGGCTAGCTGATGCCTCCTGCCTCCTCGGGCGAAGTGACGGAGTCTCGCACCTTCCTCTTGTGAGCCTTTGTTGCCAGCTCAGTCGCTCTTTCCGTTGCGGCTCTGCAAACTGGCCGATATAAAAAGCGCTTGTTTGTCGTACTCTGTCCTGCTTACTCTGGCACCGAAAGCCCAGCCGTTCTCAAGCTTTCATTTACTCTGTTAACCACACCCATATTGTTGGGTGTACCTGTCCAAAAGCCAACACAGCATACTCCTGCCCACTCATATCTTCACAGCCTTCGTCATGGGCAGTCAGGCGCAACCAGTCGGGCATGTCTCGTACAGCGCCCTTAAAGCGTGGATCTATGACCAGGAAGACTACGAGCGCCGCACCGGCGAGCCGGCACCTTTGGCGGGAGAGCAGCGTCTTGCCATGGCCGTCCTCGTCTCGCCACAGCGACTTTCTCCCCCAGCCCTGTCTCTCAAGCAAGAGGGAGTCGATGGGATGGAAACCGACTGGGTCAGCCGCTTGATGTGTGCGTATTTATCGGGCCCCATATTTGATGCCACTCATTTTCTCACCCGAAGTAGGGTTTGCCCAGTCTTACAAGGATGCCATTGTACCCGCCGAGTACGTCTACGAGGAGCTGCCGGCTAGCATCCATGGCTCGCCACAATGGCGCACCCGATGCCGACTCCCTCGCGAGGCGCCCGACCTCTGGTTCCCGGATGTCAACGAACCTCGTCCAGAGGACAGCGTCTTCCAGTCCAAGAAGGCTTCAAGACAGCATGCGGCACGATGCGCCATAGAGTGGCTCATTTCTCAGGGTCTCATGTCTTCGGACGGCTTCCACATTAAGCATGCTCTCAAAAACACCGCAGCAGCGCTTGCCAGTTCGGCCAGTTCTACAGCGGTCACGACAGTGAGAGACAATACGCCGTCGGCTCGAAACCCGTCTCAGAGCCGGCCCCGACCTTTGTTGGCTTGGCCAGCAGAGGCAGCCGCCCGGCCTGCGACGGACCGCCAAGCATCTCCATCGCCAGGAGCAGATCCCCGTGACAGCGTCCCTGCCGAGGGACTTGACCTGCGGCAGCAGCCGAATCCAGCAACGTCTTCGCCCACACCGCAGCCCATGGCGTCTTGGGCGGGCGGAGGAGCAAGCGTGAATGCTGGCTCTTGGAATCTCGTTATGGCGGCCGCCGACCGGGGGATCACTGCCACAAACGTTGTGGGCGGCCGAGGCAACATCTCCAGCTTCAGCGAGCGGCCGTCGCATGCCTGGAGCGATGGCAACGACTACGAAGTGTCCAGCATCCAGCAGCTCGATTCGTTGTGCAAGGCGCTTAAGCTTGGCTCGCCCACGTACAACCTGGTGCCGAGCGGCGAGGGCGCCGAGGGCATCTTCAGCGGCCGCATTGTGTTTTCACCGCTCAGCACCAAGGGTGGCGGGACCAGTGTAGCCCGTACCCTGCCTGAGGGCGTTGGCGAGGTGCACAATGTGTTTACCAAGAAGGCCGCACGGGAGAAGATGGCGCAGAGTGTGTTGCGATATTTGAACACGGCATGCGGGGATGTGTTGGACACGCGCATGGAAGAGGTGGCGGTTGATGTCTAGCAGGGACGAGAGGGAAGCGATATGATCTAATTCCTCGATATATTTCACGACTTATGACTTTTGATACTTTGGCTTGGCAGACCTGCTCAACGTTTGTTTATCGATTATTACCTATTTATTAAAAATATCTGGCCCCTTTCACAAGACACCGTATCCCGTTATTGTAAGAGTACGCTAAACGGCGCCGCCTTGGCTTTACATAACTCTCCAAATCGCACCAGCTCTAGCTGGTTGTCGAACATGTTTTTGGCGGCCGGGACTGCTGGCACCAGCGGCTGCGTTCAACTTCTGGATCCAGACCAGCTCCTGTTCGGCTGCGTCACGCTCTAGCTGCTGCATCATGTGCAGCTCGTCCAGCATGCCGTCGACCAAGCTGCGACAGTTGGTCAATATGCGGTGCAAACTGGACTGCTGCTGTTGCTGTTGTGCCTGTGCCTCCTTTCCATGGCCATTGCCATTGTCGACACGGCCCAAGTGTTCCAGCTGCTGCTGCCAGCCCTCGAGCTTGTGCACTAGGTGGGCACATTCTTCGTGCCATGCTGCGTCAAGAAGGGGCTCTTTTTCATTGGACAGGAATCCTGCCGCAACATTCGTGTTGTTGTGTCTGTCACCATGCTCGTCACCGCTGCTCTCGTCCTCGTCCATCAGGTCCTCGAGCGTGTCGATGCCCTGCCGTGCCGCGACAAGATCGGCCGTGTGCTGTGCCCAGCGGTCGAACCGGCGCACCACCTGGACGTAGCGGCTGGTGGACGAGGCGGAGGCCGACGAGGCGTCGGTGTGGTCCTGATGGCTGGCCGCAGACAGGGACCACACGCCCGAGAGCACCGCGTCCAGTGCCTGGATCTTGTCCTCCAGTGTCAGACCCAGGTCAAATGACCCGCCGTCTTGGCGGCCCCATTCGTATAGGGCCGTCGCGTTGGCCGACTCGGCACGCTGGCCGGCCATCTGCACGAGCTCGGCATGGTCGGCCGCTAGTGCCGCCAGACGCTCGCCGGCCAGCGCCTGGCGTGCTGAGGCGTGCCATTCGGCCGTGACGGCGGCGGCGTCGCGGTGGAGCAGGTGAAGCTGGAGCAGGGTGGTCTGAAGACGGCCAGTCTCGGCGGATAGGGCGACGTTGGCTGGCTTCTTGGAGGGCGAGGCGGGCGGAGCGAGGATGGCGGCAATCCGCGGTTTTGGGGCGAGGTTTTTGGCCGGGGAGTAGTGCTGCTGGTGGGTGGAAAACGCAGGGCGGTGATGTGTGGCAGCGGCGGCAGCAGCCGCATGCGAGGTGGTCGACGTGGCCACGGCCGATGCGTTGCGGCGATGAGCAGTGAATGTGGCGGGCGCGGTGACGGTCGTGGACGACGCACTCGCGGCGCCACGCGTTGGTGGGCGGCTGGCAGTGCCACTGCTGGCGGTCGACGACGACTGCGCTGATGGAGGTCGTAGGACCGTCGCAGACGACAGAGTCGTAGCTGATGGGGGTCTAGGTGGCTGTCTTGCAGGAGGCGGTTTCGTCGCTGGTTTTGTTGCTGCTGTCGCTGACGAACCGGATACTATGGACGCCGATTTGTTCCGCGTGTGGCCTCGCATAGGGCCCGGCGCCGCCGATGCTCCCGCGGCAGAGCGTGTTCGTGTCATTTGTGTCGAGGTAGCCGTCGTCGACGAGGATGACGGCAGCCCGCCAGACGACGTGGGCCGTCCAGTCGCTGACGCCGGCCGTCGCGGCGCAACACCGCCGGCCGCCGTCCCCGCAGAACCTGACGATATCAGATGCGTGCGCGACGACGAGGGAGGCTTTGTTGCTGGTCTTGGCGCCATGGCCGACGAAGACGAAGACGTCGGCGGTGCAGGGGCGGCATCTGGCCGCCGTACGCGAGCCGATGATAGGCTGCCCGTAGCAGATGGGGGCCGTGGTTTCTGGCTAAGCAACGTTGTCGTCGCCGCTGTTGGCTTCACGGGAAGACGGCTGGGTGACGGTCCGCGTGCTCCAGTCTGTGCAGCCTGTGCTGGCTGCGCTGCTGCGGCCGCCGAAGCTGACAGTCCGACCTGCGGCCGGCGCAGAGACCGAGTCCGCGAAAGGCCAGAGCCGCTCGCAGGCGGTGGCTGTGTCGGTATAGACGATGGCGGCGGTATAGGCATTGCAGACTGTGTGTGTGTGTTTGTGTGTGCGCTTGCGTGATGCGCCGACTGAGACAGAATATCGGGCTGTCCTCCGTCGCAGTTGGTCGTGTGTTGTGATAGTGATTTGGAGATGTTTGTTGACCGTTGCGCCTGGCCGTTGGCCGCTAAATTGTGAATTGGCAGCTCAAACGTCAACAGTCAATTGCGTCTTAATAGGGAGGTACGCTATTGTGCTGCCGCTAGCGCGCCTTGCAGGGTCGCCTAACAGAGACCAATCATATCAAAAACGGAGCATCGCATCCTTGCAACCATCGAATTGGCGTCGCCTTACCAAAGTAATGAATGCATAATCATGCTGCTTGTGCATCACTCACGAACAGGACGCTGCTTCCCCGTTACTTTTGAAGCATTTCGAGTGTCTAGCTTCAATCAAGCACGTGTCACTATCGTGGAAAGTGCACGCCATAATTTGACGTGCGAAAGAGCAAGACAAGCTGGAGAAGACAAGGCTGATTGTCTCGCGGAGAATTTCACATTCATATTTCCCGTCGTAGGATTTGTACTCCTTGTGGTGTGAGATGACACAATTACTAATTAGACCATGATCGATATTCTATCTATAGGTGATGCTAGGCGAAATACATGTTGCCTTGCGGTATAACGTCGTTTCATCATGTCCCAAGTCTACCTTCTACGAGGTGCTCGTAGTGGAATATGGTGCCATTATGATCCTCCCTGAGCCATGTCCGTTGTAGCCAATTAACCAGAAATAGAGGCCGTTTAAAAAACAAAGGAATAAAGCAAAATATAGCGATGAAAAAAAATAAAATAAATAAAAGTAAGGAAACAATATCCAAAACGAAGTAAATAGGGTGTGAAAATCGAATATAAGTATAGTTCTTTCCAAAAGAACAGGAGAAGATGAAAGAAGGAAACATGAAGGCGTTATTATGCTTCCTGAATGACTGGGAGCTCAGCAGCAGACGAGATGGAGTGGACAACTGGCCTGCCATCTAAGTCGTGACCATCCACACCGACAGTCTCCTTGCCGCCCCCTTCTGCCAGGTAGGTTAGAAGCTGTGCCAGGTCGTGCTTGGCGTGCGTGTGCAACACATCCCGGCACCCTGAGCAGACGCGCAGATAGCACCACTTGCACCGCCAGCGCATCGAGCGCTCAAACGTTTGGCACGTCTGGCAGCTCAATGGGTAGTTGACGTTACGGTCACGGAACATGTCGCGGTGGCCCTGCAGGCATTGGAACTGGATCTTGGACGGTGGCGGCGCCGCAAAGACGGTATCGGGAGTGATGACATCGGTCATGTAGCCCGTTGGGAACAGTGGAGGCATGCCCGGAGCGAGGGGATGGTCGGCGGACTCCGACGAGTCTGGCCGCGTCGACGCAGCTGCTGACAGATCCTCGCTGGTCTCGGTAGACTCTGGTGAGGGGAGCTGCTTCTGTGCGACCGCCTTGATGGTCACCTGGCTGCCCGATTCACTGACAAAGGACACGGCCGAGTCGGCATGTGGTCGCTCAGACACAGGCGCCAGAGGCGCCGGTATTTCTTTGGCCGGAGGCAACGGTCCAGCGAGCGCACCAGGAATTGTCGAAATCGAAACGTTTCGCGACGAGGTGCGGGGCGTAAACCGGGGTTGAGGTTGCTGTTGTGGTTGTTGTGGTTGTTGTAGCTGGTCCGGAGAGTCTGCCAGGCGGGCGACGCTCTTGACCGGCCGGATCTCCCGGCCAACGAGACCGCTGTTTACAGAAGGCGATGGTTGCTGTCGCTGCTGTCGCTGCTGTCGCTGCTGCTGCTGCTGGGCTGAAGCGGACGACATCGATCCCGCCGGTGACGCAGCCGGTGACGCGGCCGGTGATACAGGTACGTTCACGACAGTTGTGGAGCTGCTCGAGGCACCTACTGTGCCTATGGCGGACTGAGCGGTCGACGTGCCATCTTTGCTGTTGTCTTTGAACTTGTCCTCATCGTCGTACTCGGGCGTTGGCGGGCGCTGGAACGATGGAGGCGGTGGTGGCGGCAGCTCTTTGGCGGCCGGTGCCGAGGGAACAGATATGGCTGGTGCAGGCTTGCGTTTGAAGGTCGATTCCACCTTGTTCTCGAATTTGGCGAGAGAGGATCCCATGGTGGGCGCCGCCGCGTCGGCTTCCAGTTGCGTTTGCGATACAGTCGTCGGTGTCACGGCCGGGCTGGCCTGGCGAGAGGGTCGGATATCGCGACCCGGCAGACCGAGTCGCGGCGACGGCGCTACCAAGGAGGGCGAGGCACCGTTTGCATTGGAACCACCGACAAGCGGCGATTTGGGTGGTTGAAGCTGGTTGAGCGCAGAGCGAGTGGGCGGCGGTGGTAGAGGAGACTGGGGCGGGGGCAGGGGTTGTGCGGAAGCAAGGTGGCTAGCATCGTTGGCTGGTGTGAGACGCGGCAGTTCCTTTTGCAAGTTTTGTGGGTTTTGCAGGGTGTGTGCTTGTAATTGTTGCTGTTGCTGTTGCTGTTGTGGTCGTGGTTGTGGTTGTGGTTGTAGTTGCTTCTGCGGCTGGAGGATGCCAGATTTATTTTTACTACTTTTGGCGTCTGCAGCGACAGCGACCGCAACGGTGCTTTGCAGAGCTGGCGTTGCTTTCAGATTCAGCTCAGTCACCGATAGATTGGTCTCTGCCTTTTCCGAGCGGCGCTTCCAAATTTCCGTGGAGGGTGTCGACGAATGATGGGGAAGCGTCGGCAGTGGTGGCAGCGAGTCATCGTCCAACTTGGATCCTTCTGTCGTGACCGTTTTTGATAGGACATCCGGTGGCGGGTGGCGCAACGACGTTGATCGTGGTGGCAGGACGGCTTCAGTTTTGCTGATTGGGGCAGGCGGCACAAGTGAATTGGGAGCCGGTTTTGTCGCCTCTGTCGTCCCATTAATTTGGAGACTGGTAGCACTAGCAGTGGTGGCGTTGCTTGTGTCGTTCTTTTTTTGCGCTTTGGGCAGAGGCGGGCGGTAGCTATAATAGGCGTCCGAGTACGGGTCGTACTCGTCACTGTTTGTGTTTGTGCTGTTTTGGCTGACACCGTTTGTCGTCGCCTTCTCGTCCGGCATTGATGCGGCATCTTCTACCTGGTCGTCATCTACATAATCGCCATCCAGCAGATACGACAATGGTGTGTGGACAGATTCGTCCAGCTTCGACGGCGAACTCGGTTGGCGAACATCGAGAAACACCTGCTGGCCCTTGTCGCTGGGCAGCGGCCGCAGTGGGGATGATGCCGCAGCAGCCATGACTGATGAGGTGTTTGTGCTGATTGTGGCTTCCGAGTTGGACGATGAGAGACCGGCAAGTACGGGCGAGGAATTTTCTGAGTACGCCGATAAGATACTCGAAATGGAGGCTACGCGAGAAGAAGACGGCTCCTGCTCCTGTTCTTGCTCTAGCTTCTGTTCCTGCTTCTTTTCCTCCTCCTGGGTGGTGAGAGGAGGAGGTGATGGAGCCCGCAGCGTCTTGGTTTGCGACTGAGTCTCGGAGCTCGAGCTCGCGTCTATGTCGACTGTCGCCGACGGAAGCTCTGCCAGCTCTGGTAGTACGCTTCGAGAAACGGGAGCGGCGGGCAGCTCGTGGAGACTCGAGAAGCTGTTGAAGCTCGGCAGGTCCGGCAGCCGGGGCAATACGGACAAGGAGGTCAGCGGTGCGGCGGCGGCGGCTGGCGTGGGTTCTTGCGGCGGCTGCGGCTGTGGCGGCGGAGACGCAGACGGTACTAAAGACCGGTTTGAGTCGGAGCTGGCTACAGAGACCGAGCTGGCCACGGGTCTCCGGCGGATTGCACCGCGGGCCGAGGGGGCAGGTTGCGGAGGCTGAGATTGAAGTGGTATTTGAGGCAGCGGCTGGGACTGGATCGCTGCAGGCGCAGGGCCCGTGCTAGGTAACGGAGCAGACTTCTTTTCCGGCAGAGGAGGAGGTGCCTGTTGTGGGAAGAGGGAGAGTGAGGGCGCCCGCATGGAAGATATGGTTCCTGGTGCCGTACGGGCAGACGACTTGGGCGGCGGTGGCGGAACAGATAGGACAGTTGCCGAGGGTGGTGATGTAGTGACAGGTGAGGCGGCCATGGGGATATAAGAGGAGCTGGGCGAAGAGAGGACGGCGGACGACGGCGGAGGCAGAGGAGGAAGAGACGGTGTTTCGTCTGCAGATGTTGAGGGCCGCGACGCAGAGCGCATAGGAAGCAGCTTCTCTAAGACGGGGGGTGGCGCAGGCAAGGCTTTGGAGAAACGCGAGCGACCAGGGGACTTTGGAGTTTTGGGGATGTTGTTGCTGTTGCTGCTTCCAGTGCCTGTGTTGCCGGACGAGGGCAGAAACGAGGACGAGTTGACCGCCATGGCGGGTAGATGGTAAGACAATGTACGGAGTACTTTGATAAACGAGGTGCTGGTGCGGATGGCGAGAATGGAATGGCGAGAATGGAAATGAAGCGCGGGTGAGCAGGATTAGGCACCTGTCGTTTGCTCGAAACTATCCCGGCTTCTCTTGTCGGCGTCGATTCTGTTTCCTGCTGGCCTTCGTACGACGTTCTGCAGTGCCTCTTCTTCTCTTGCCAACAGACCACCCCGGCTGAATCAAGGATGGGCCTTGTTTGGAACTAATAGCTGGGTCCCGTGTCAGAAGCGGCACCTTGTCGATGCTATGCTCCTTTGTCGAACCCCTGGTCTTAGCAGGAAGGACAACACCAGCCAGTGGTCTGCATCCGCAACCAGGCAGAGCACCAGACTATGAATTTTAAAGCGGTGGCGTTCCGGAGACCCGAGATTTGAGTGCTGGCAACTGGCAAAAAGGATCGGTCTTATTCGACAAAATAAGAAAATAAAAAGCGGCGAGTGTTGGTCGTCTGGGAAAATGGAAAGAGACAAAAACAAGGAAAGCGGTTTCGTGTTAGAGGAGACCGAGAACGCGGGCGGCGCGAGCCACGCAGATAGAGTCACACCAGGCCTGGCGATAAAGAGGTCAGGCCATGCAAGGCAAGGCAAGGCAAGGCAGGCGGGAATGCGGTGGAAGTGGTGGAAGTGGTGGAAGTGGTGGCCCGGGCACTTTGTATGCTGTGTTCCTCGATGTTAGACGCTTTTATGAAGCTTGACGATAGCGGTAACGTGTACGGCGCGTTCAGGACGGGCAGGACGGGCAGAAACGAGCGTGGGAGGCCGACATCCATGAAAAACGCAGGGGAGGTGAAACGAGTGAGAGGACAGGCGATTGAGTGCATCAGCCAAGAAGCGACAGTCGGGAGAAAGCGGTATGACGGGGAGGAAAGAAGATGCGACGAAGAAAGGAGTCGAGGCGAGGAGAAAAGAACGAAGAAAATACAGAGGAATAATAAATCAAGGATTGGTTTTGTGTATACTGGACGGGCCGCGCGGTGTAAGGAAATGTCGAAAGATTGAAGAGAACAAAAATAAAAATATAAAAGAAATGGAAAAAGAAAGGAAGCACCTGGGCTGAAAACAAGGACAAGACACGCACCCTCGTCGTGGAGTCGCGGTGCTGACGGAGAGACGATGACAAGGTCCACGACAACACGCAAGGGGATTGTCTCGAGGAAAGGGAAAGCCACGAGGAAAGGAGACACCGGACAAGAAGCAGAAACGAAGTTTAAAGTCAACCCTTTTTTCGGCGTCGTGGTAATTTTGTGTGCTTTCTCCTTACGTTGAAATTCGTCCCCTCGCTCCTGCTCTTTAGGTTGGTGTTCAGGTCAGGTCCAGGTCGAGCCTTCCGCGGCCTCCCGCGAACCTGTCTCGCTCTTGCCTCTTCACCTGGGGATGACGGAGCCAGCTGAAAGGCGCTACGCCATCCGTAGTTGCGAAGTTCTGCGCTACTCTTTCTCTCTCTCTCTTTTTTGTTTTTTGTTCTATCGTCCGCAGTACGGGTATTACGCCGTGTGTGATCTTTTCCTTCTGCATTCTTGACTAAATCTCTCCCAAAACCAAGAATAAGTTCGATTCAAAATTAGACGGGATCGGCCTGGGGGGCAGGCACCCCTGTTCCTTCCCATCGTTTGGCCCACGCCCAGTCAACCTGTGTCGATTGGTGCCTGTCTCTCCAGCTCGGACAGGGCAGGAGCGACGGGACACGACACCGAACGACGTGGAGAGCCCATCCCAGGGCAGGAGCCAAAAGTGCCCACTTGCCACTTCACACACACCCTGGTTCGCCAGCACCAACCCACACCCCCTCCTTCCCTGCCAGAACGGGCGGCTGAAACAGCCACTGGATAAAGGTGAAAAGCCAAGGAGAAAAAGAGGATTTTGAGAAAGGAAAAACGAGCGCTGTGATATTGCAGGGAGAAGGCGGATGTTGGCCGAGGCAGCCAGGATGTGGTTTCCATGGTGTTGCCAAGTTCTTTTATAAATGGGGGAATACGGAGTTGAAAAGAGAGAGAGAGAGAGAGAGAGAAACAGCTGATAACTGGAAGAGGCAGCCATCGCGAGAGACTGCAATATATTTGCAAGAAGACAGCATCGACTCTACCCCTGAGTCCGAAAAATTGGAGACGCCGCATCTGCTGCAGATTATTTCGTGTAAGCAGTGCTGAAGAATTCGTCGCAGTAGATATGTGCAGCCGGACTACGGGCACATCGAGGCCCGATGGATCGCTCGTCTTCCGGATCTTCAGTAAGTTTTCTTTAACGTGTCTCTATTTTTGCTCCATTTATCAGTGATCATCAACTCTCGCGGGCGGGCTCAGAATGCAAAACCGCCGACCCGAATTTAGGGCCAGGGGAAACGCGTGTTTAAAGAGGGGCCAGGCCTCAGTCGCGTTAGCACTACGGCGGCGTATGATGCTGTGAGGAATAGGATGTCTTGAGATGCGCTGCTGCATGTATCTTTGTTTCGACGACGTACTGTGACGATATCCATTGCCCAGGTAATTAATTGCCATGTGATAGAGACCATTCCGTATCGAAATGTTACAGCCTCTAAAATGAACGGATTCTGAATATACAAAGTACGACTGCGCCCTTCTCTTAATTCTACCGAAATAGGGCGGCTCAAGAATGCGAGATTCGTCAACCAAGACAATGATATAAAAGTACCTCTCAGTCTTCGCCGATTCACCACTAATTAGCGTCCTGCATTTTGCGTGACGCACGAAATTATTACACCAGACGCGCCCCATCGCGTCGGAACATAAAGTGCTGCAGCAGGTAATTACGTTGTACCTCGAATAGAATACAAAAACACAGGACACATCGCGACGACCCAACAAATAAGGGGTGCCGAGTGTGTCAACCTAGTCTCGTTGAATTGGTTAAGAAACAGAAGGAAAAACCTGGTTCTTGTTCGTGGCGAGTAATTATACCACCCCAACAGCCCAGCACCCGATCCTTTTTGCTCATCACTCGTCACTCTTTTGCCACACAAACCGGGCATCTTTGTCAATGCCGGAGAAGAATGCCATGAACACCGAGGTTCATTGCGCCGGATTGTGCAGGATTGTGCAGGCGTCCGTGCTGCGTACGACGTGTGCTTTTCTTTTGAGCGTCCAAGACTCCATACTCCGTCCGTCTTTTGTGTTATACATGTGTGTTATATATGTGTGTTATATATGTGTGTTATATATGTGTGTTTGAGACCTGGACACGGCGTTATGGGGCGCCAGTGGTGACGTCGGAGAAGATGACGATCACGGACGAAGATTGCTGGGGGCGGAGGTTCACTTAAGCAAACCCCTGAGCACACAGGCCATCAGCCATCTTTTGGAAGCAAAAGATTCAAGCACCAAGCAGGTCTGTAGGTCTAGACAGCAAGATGGCAGACCCACGTTGGCCAGGATAGACAAAGAGGGTCTTTTTGAAGAGACGACAGCGATCGAACGGCTGCTAAGCCAGGATTGCTGAAGATCTGCCCACCACGTGCTATTCTTGGACAAAGCATCAAGGACATGCATGGTCTTACAAGTATAACCCGTACAATCCCATGGGACACAGAAAGGTGAGACAAAAACACGCATAGACTTAAAGGGAAGAAGAGTGGTCGTTGAGCATATTCACATGCATTTATCTGCCAGATAGTTGTCTCGCCCATCGTGTATTGTCTACACGAGCTCAACAATCAACAAAACCCTATTTTCCGTTGCACAGTACCAGCAGGCGTGGTGCACCGCCCCATTCCCCTTTCCCATTCCCGTGTACCGTGCAGCTGTCACAACAGAGCCAAGATTCCGGCCGGTGGAACCAGTGTCGAACAAAAGAAAAGTTATGAGAGATGAAGTGGTTGAGTTGCCGCATTGTATCGGACGTCGCCACTGCTAAACGTCAATTTTAATGTCATCCCCTGTTCTTAGACTCTTAGAGTAGGAGTGACAGCGCCACATGGACTGGGGGACAAGACAATTGTGGACTGCGTCGTATTTGCATCTTTTGTTGTTCTGGCGTGCGTCGTATCGTTTCCGACGGCAGTGAGATATCCACTGAAAGGAACCCAAACCCTCAGTCAAAGCACAGCACAGACGTCCGACTGTCGTCATTGTTTTGGCTAGGAAGCAAGAATCATTGCAAGGAGGCAGTCCATTTTACGCAGGGGGCGAGAGACAATAAAACCACGACATTCACTCAACGTGTGTTGAAATTTAAACCAATTCTATGGAATGCAAGTACAGAAAAGCCACGTGATAAGAAAAGGGGACGGGGAAGTAAAGACAATCGTGATTCTATTTGTGACGGAGACATAAGAAAAAAGGTTTAAAATAAAAAGCGATTTGATGCTGGGCGCCGCCATCATGTCATCAGGTAGAAGAGAAGAAAACAAACGAAGGGGGGGAAATAGGAGTAGTAGAAGTGAAGAAAAGCGACCGAAAACAAAAGATAGCGAAATAATGCGAGACAGAACAAAGCCAGCCACCCTCCCCATTTTCCTGCTTCTGCCATCCAGTCCCTCTCTCTCAGGCTCTCTTCAGCTTGCATTTTCTTTACCACCCCCGCCATGCCATCCACGTTCACCAAAGCCGGGTCCACTACCCCTACAAGTTGAATCCCCGCTTGGGGAAACTCACACCCTCCACGGCCGCATTGTCCACAAACCAGCTGCACCGGTCGCCCGCGCCATCGTTGACCAGAGCGCACGGCAGGCCGCTGTCCTCGTCGAAAATCTGCTTCATGATGCCCTTCTTGCCGCCACCCGTCGCCACAAAGGCCACCCGCACGCTGTGTGTGACCACCGGCAGCGTCAGCGTGATCCGGCGCGGCGGCGGCTTGGGGCTGTCCTCGATCGGGCTGACCCACGCGCTCGTCTCGCGCAGCAGCTCGTGGCCCGGGAACAGGCTGCACGTGTGGCCGTCGGGCCCGCAGCCCAGCAGCAGCAGATCGAAAATCGGCAGGCGCACGCTGTCGCGGCTGGCAAACGAGCCTACGAGCACCTGCTCATACTTGTCGGCAAGCTCCTGCGTGTCCTCGAGCACGGACGTGTCGATGGGGTGCACAATGGGCTGGCCCGTGCCGGCGGGGATCTTGTCGAGAAGCTCCGTCTTGAGGAGGCCGTAATTGGAGTCGGCGTGGTCGAGGGGCACGGCGCGCTCGTCGGCGAAGAAGATCTCCCACTTGTCGAAGCGGACGACATCGTCGCTGCTGTCTCCTGGTGACGCTGCGGACGCAGCATTTTGTGATGTGCTGGACGGCAGCAGCAGCGCCTTGGCGAGTGTGGCGGGCAGGCTTCCGCCGGACACGGCCACCTTGAAGACGCCGTGGCGCGCGATGCCGGCGTTCTGGCACTGGATGACGTACGACCGGAGAGCCGGGGCCAGCGAGGCCACGTCTGGGAAGGAGTACAGGTTGGTTTGTTTACCCATGACTGTTGTGGTTTGAAGGGGTGACAAAGTTCTAAAGCGTTGGGTAGAAGGCCCGCAAAATCGGAGATGCGAGTTTTCTGGCGCAACGCTGTTCGACCGAGGTGGGTGGTGTTCGCGTAGACCTGCTTGCTGTTGTTTTTCTCTCTTGTGTCAACTACACCTGCTTCGTTTGTTAGAATTGGCACTTTTGTTAAACGGAAACTGGGAACACAACGGGCAAAAGGGTGGAGGGGGTAGGGGTGGGCAGAGTTATGCAGGACCCCCTCCCAGCTCAAATGACTCTTTCTCGTTCGCAAAACGTACTCCGTACAATGTAGCAACTTGTAGCCAAATAAGTCTGTCGAAAGGATGGCGCTCGGCGTCACTGCACTCGGGAGATCAAAGGCCTGGGGAAGGAAACGGTATGAGAGGTGGGCGCGTTGGTCTGCCGCAGAAATGACAGACGGATGACGAAACGAAAGGAGATGCGGCGAGGCTGACGTGCGAGCGATGAGAGTGCGAGGAAAAGCTGCTTGTGACAGTGACAAAAAGACCGGTCAAGTTCAAACGACCGTATGCGACGGGAGACAACGGACTCGTTCGCTTGATATCAGGATCGGATATTGTCTTGTATTCAGGTGGTTGAGAGTCTGTGGTACTTTGTTTCGTGACAATGGGACGATTGGGGTGGGGAGGACAAGGACAGCTAAAAAGGAAGTTTGCTGGTCTACTGAGCAGAAGCAGCCACTGCAGAGCCGATAAATCACTGCGTGGGATTTCACAAGGCAATAAACGGACAACAAGCGCCCGTTACAGGAAAAGAGATAAAGAGGTGGCGGTGGAGCTTGCGCGCTGGACAGTGGTTGGTGCCTTGGAGACCAGTGTCTGAATAGGCGCAATGGAAAATTCGAGAAAAATCCGAGTGTTGCAACTTTGTGTACAGCTACACAAAATGAGGTTTGTTGGAAGAGCGTGAAAAGGAGAAAGGAAAAGAAAAATGTAAAGAAAGTGCCAGAACCGTGAAAGGAGGGGACTGAAATGGCGTCCCGTGAAAGGCGGTATTGAAAAACGTGGATACGGAAGGAGGGGCGGTTCAGGGTGGTTTCCATGGAGGGGAAAGAGCGATGGAGCATTGCGACCGTTGCCGTCTGTTGGCGCGACGCTGGACATGGAACTAACAACGCTTTCTATTGTCTTCTTTACACATCTGAAACTGGTTTCGAGCAAGTTCAGGATCATTAAATGGATTAGAAAGGGCAACGTGAAAGACAACCATTACCCCGACCCTCAATGGGCTGTTTTCGTGTCAAGAGGGAGGCAGGCGATAATTCAGTGCGTCTCCTTACCACATGCTTTGGACTCGTAGACGTCCGATTGGGAAAGAACGGCTAATTCGTACTGAGTGGCGCGCCAAAGGCGGATTGAATACGGAAGGGGCGCCAATTCCTCAGTCCCTCCTTCCGAAGGTTAGCCTTGGCGCAGATGTGACAGGCGCATCTGCAGCACAAGCTCGCCCATGGAAGTTGCCAAGCGGCAAGCGCAATTGGCTCCGTGGCCCGATGTTCCTGCCTCATATGCATCTCCCGTTTCCTTATCCTCCCTCGCACTTGCCTTGCCGGCCTATACGGTCTCTCAAAGGAGGTGAGCAAACCAGCAATGCCCTTTGATCCTGCCGATTTCAATTGTGACGTATGGGTCGTAATAAGGAGGAGACGCAATTAGCTGGAGCAGTCTGAAATGGATTCAGAACAATTTCTTTGACGACACAATCCCGTTAACAGTTGTTTCCATTCCTTTCAAGCCCTTCAGGGTCGTTGTTTCTTTGTTTTGCGCAGAAACACTACCCTGTCGCTCACGATCAGTGCATGGTCCATTGCGTCATCGCTTGCCCTTTAATCCCTTAATCTTTTTAGGGCCGGCAGTGTGCCTTTGACTGTCACAATCGACCACTCCGTCGCACCTACCCCAACAACTCGGAGCCCTGCGGCAATTGCGACAGCGAGCGCCGTCCGCCTCGGAAGGCCTGTCTACATTACTGGTTTCTTTTTCTACTTTGCTGTTGCCAGGACCCAGCGCCAGTCGTTATACGTTCTTCAGGGACACTATCTTTCCTTTCAGGCCTCACAAGCTTGGGCCTATGTATTCGGGATGAATACTATCGATTTTTAAGGAGTTATAGATTTCGCAGACACCCGTATTTTGGCAAAGAAACAACAAAGAGCATAGCTAGCAGTTATGTATCTGTTCTTCGGCGGTAGGAGCGGGCGGTGATTTCTAGTAGTACGGTAAACGTGGTTTGCCACAGAAATAATTTGGATCGAAAGGTGAAAAGATGAGACGAAGATTTGCGTCTGGGGTGTCCCATGGATCGAGATGGGCACTCAAAAAAAATACGAAAATTAAAGAAGGTCCATGCCGGACTCGAACCGGCGTTCCTGGAAAGACAACCATGCAGAAATCAAAATCCAGTGTCCTAACCACTAGACTAATGGACCTGTCACGTTTTTCGATGAGCCCCATTTAACAGTGTTTATAAAGTGTTCCGGACTAGCGCCCCGATAAGCCAATTTCCCGATTGCCAGCTTCGCCAAAGATCATTAACTGGGTCACGATTTGTACCACCTGTTTCTCTTCCCGGCACAAAAAGTCCTGATGCCTTTTTTCTATTTCCAACTTGAAGCCTCGCATGAGCCGGACGTGACGATATCAATATAAGCTGTAAAAAGAGAATCGTTGCGGCCGACTTCAGTGGAGACAAAGGCGCAAATGCCGGACGTTTAGGGCACTCGCGACCCGCGAAACTGCCCAAGGAGGGGTGCCCCGGAGTTGCTGGGCCATTTGCGGTGTTTCGTAATTGCTTGGGACTTGGCAGCCGACGTCAAACATCAAACGTTGAACTTACCAAGCGACAAAGTCACAACGAACGCACATGCTCCATCGCATTTGCAGTCACTGCACGCTCCTTTGCTCGCACTCCCTCTTTTGCGATTGACTGTTCCAGCATGTCCGGTCCCAAGTTCCTGAGCGGCGACTCCTCCGCCATCAACGAGTTCCTCGACAAGTTTGACGTAAGACTCTATGAACTTATTTTGACGTTGGTCTCCTGATCACTTCTGACGCGTATAGACGTTCCTTATTGACTGCGATGGTACGCCCTGAACACCAGCCCTGATTCCACTTCATGGGGGCCCTAACTAACCATGGACGTATAGGTGTACTATGGTCCGGAGACCATGTATTTGACGGCATCCCAGAAACCATTCAGCTACTCCAAAACAAGGGTATGCTTTTCGCCGAGCGTCTTTGTATTCATGCTGATACTGTGACTAACACACCACACCACCCTGCCGCAGGCAAGCGCACTGTCTTTGTGACCAACAACTCGACAAAGTCGCGCAAAGAATATCACGCCAAGTTGTCCTCCAAGGGCATCCCGTGCCAGGTCGAGGACATCTTCGGCTCGTCCTACTCGGCCGCCATCTATATCTCTCGCATCCTCAAGCTCCAGGCGCCCCGCAACAAGGTGTTCGTCCTGGGCGAGGCCGGCATTGAGGCCGAGCTGGAGAGCGAGGGCATTCCCTACATTGGCGGCACCGACCCGGCCTACCGCAAGCTCGGCATGGCCCCCGAGGACTTTTCCGGCATCGCCGACGGCTCCAGCCTCGACCCTGACGTCGGCGTCGTCCTCGCCGGCCTCGACTTCCACGTCAACTACTACAAGCTGGCCCACGCCCACGGCTACCTGCGCGGCAACCACGTCCAGGGCGACGACGTGCAAAAACGGGACGGCAAGGCGGTGTTTCTGGCTACCAACCTCGACAGCACGCTGCCCATGTACCACAGCGTCTTCCCCGGCGCCGGGTCGGCGTCGATTGTCGCCCTTTCCAACATGACCGGCGAGCAGCCGCTGGCGTTGGGCAAGCCCAGCCAAGCCATGATGGACGCCGTTGAGGGCAAGTTCCATCTGGACCGTGCGCGCACTTGCATGATCGGCGACCGCCTCAACACGGACATCCAGTTTGGCATCGAAGGCCATTTGGGCGGCACGCTGGCCGTGCTGACGGGTGTGAACAAAAAGGAAGACTGGGAAAAGGCCGACGCCGTGGCTGTGCCGGCGTACTATGTCAACGTCCTCAGCGATCTACGCGGACCGGCTAGCACCTGAATATAGCGGTGGTGGCGAGCAGACGCAAGAAGAAAATGGAGTGGAGGAATCTTCTTCTTGTCGGGCTTTCATCAGTTTTGTTTTGATCCGATTAAAGCGCTTTCAAGGCGTATTTTGCATAGACAATTAGAGTGGCAAATAAAGATCCCATTTATTTAGAAACAAATTCAACATGGCATTTATTTAACGCAACCTGAAGCAAATGCTTTTGCATTAAATTTATATGTCAAGAGGAAAGCTAGAAACAAGACGACATATAAAAAATATATTATAAAAATGAAGTATGAAAGATGGTGACAATTTTGGATAGGGCGACATCTACAGTAGCTCTGCAGTGGAAGGCGCGACCGACTTGGCGGTGATGCTGCATAAAATATTTTTGCCTGCCAAAAAAAAATTAGGCGCAAAATCTCAACATCCAAGAAACTCAGTTAACAAAAGCACCAACAACGCGGCCACTATCACGTCCTATCTTTTCCTTGAAGAGTACCGACGTTGGATTGAAGCGAATTTCACCATAATTATTTAAAATAAGAAAGAGATACAATAACCTGCCGTTAGGAGTGGTGGCCACCCCTCGCCTCTCAGCCTCAACTTCAACATCAACACACCATCGCGCTGCCATGGCAGCCAACTCCACAGCAGGCAGTTGGCCACCGGTTGGATCTCGGATAGCATTGCTACTGGAGCAGCGCCAGGAGTTGACCGATAAGCTGGCCGAGAGCGCATATGACATCTTCCTCTACCTGTCCCGCGCGGCCGTTTATGCCGACTTGGCCTACCCAGATCTGGCCGCCGGCGATGCATACCGAGCGCTGCTGCTGACCGACGAGATTAGCGACGAAAGCTTCGAGTACCATGACCAGACGCAGGAGGCCATGGCACCGTATGCGACGGGCGAGAAGTCTTTGCCCGACTTCCTGCGACAAGGGACTCCATCAAATTTGGCTTCGGACGTCGCAGCGCTGTCCCTTTCGCCCGACTCTGAAGAAACCGAAGACGCAAAACTCGAGGCATGTCGGCGGCTGGCGTCTATAGCTGCCATCCGCTGCTACCAGATCCTATCGCTCAACCTGCTCCTCTGCGGCTGTCTTCGCAGTGCGCACACCTTTTGCGAGCGCGGCCTCGCAGCGGATCCCAACGACAAGGACCTGCAGCAAACCAAGGCTCTTATTGATACAGCGGCCCGCAAACGCTTCCGGAGGGCGGACGACGCCACCTTTGTATACAACCCGACCGACCTGCCAGACCGCGGCCTGGTGCGGCGTGAGGTGTATCCCTGGAACACCTACGAGCCGGACCGCTTCTCGGCCGCGTCGTTGGCGTTTCTCAACGACGAGCTGTCGCGTGCGGCGCCCAAGTGTGAAGTGCGCGCGACGGAGCTGCCTATCTTGACAGAAAAGGACGACGAGGGCAGCCGCACGTCTGTGGACGGCCCCATCGCGACCTGCTGGCAGCTGGGCGTTTTTGCCAAAGAACCCGTTGCGGCAGGAGAGGCCGTTTTGCGGGAGTACTCGTTGCTGACCGCCAACAACCGCCTCAAGGAATCGGCATGCGATGCGTGCGGCACAGAACTGCCCAGCCTGGCCGACGTTGGCAAGAAAAAGAAGAAGGATGGCAGCAGGAGAGCGACATATAGAGCCGAGGACGGCGACAACGACGATGAGGAGCTCGTTGCCGCCCCTGTCGCGTGCCCCGACTGCTACGACACTGTCTTTTGCGACGACTTCTGCTTTGAGCAGGCGCAGGAGAAGTACCACCCGGCCGTGTGCGAAACCGATGTCGACTCCATTGCCAAAGACCCCGAAGATGCCCGCGACGCCGACGATGCCCTCTACGTGCTGTTGCTGGCGCGTCTGCTGGCCATGGCCGCCCACCAGGAACGCCACCCGCTCGAGGTGGACGAGATCAAGTACATCTGGGGCGATTTCGTGCCCCCGGAGACAAACGTCAATGCCGGCTTTGCTCAGTCCGTGTTGCCGTCGTCACCCGAGGTCGTCGCCGTAGCCGCGGCCGGTGGCATCCCTCCGACGGCCTGGTCGCTGCCGTTCAGTTTCGAGGCCAACATTGCCACGCCGCTGCACATTCTCGAAAAGATGGACCTCGACGTCTTTGCCGACCTGGCCCACTACGACCTGTGGGTGCTCAACTCGTGCTACAGCAAGTTCCGCGGCACGGCCTCGGCGCGCAAGAGCCGGCGTGACGGGCGGCCCGATGTGGCGGCTGTGCATCCGCTGTGGTGCCTGGCGAACCACGACTGCGATCCCAACGTGACCTGGGAATGGGGCGGGCGCATGGTGTTGTGGGCGCGCGAGAAACGTGTGGGGCTGGGTGCAGATGGCAACGAAAAGCGGCCCGGTGGCATTGCGGCTGGTCAGGAGATCTTGAACCACTACTGTGACGTGGATCTGCCAGTACAACTGCGGCGGGAGTGGGCGAGCGGCAGTCTGGGCGGTGCCTGCATGTGCCAACGATGCCGCAACGAGGCTGCAGCAGAAGCAAAGGAGGCTGGGCAACAGATACACTGATTTTTGGCATTTGTTAAGTATAACTATAGAGGGGAGTACATTTTCAAGCAAGTAATATAACTTGTGTGAATCAAATGACGTTTTCCAAGGCTTTTGATTTGTTTCATGCATTTTTTTCGGTAAAATATTTGAGACGACACTGGGCCCGCTTCCCATATTGGGAAGAATCCCCCTTACCAATAGAAAGAAACAGAAACAGTGGATACATGAAGAGTAGAGGATGAAGGATAAGCATAATATGAATAAAAACAGCTGATGAAGAGTCCTTGGTAATAACAAGAGACAAGCATGTACATAGCAGATCAATGTGGATAAATAAAGAGCAAAAACGCCAAAGACGTAATAAATGGAAAAACATTTAAAATAAACGTGGTTCACATCACAGCATATTCCGACATCTGACAAGTTCCTCCTACTCCGACAGACGCAGGGCCGGGTAAAGGGGCGGCGCCTCGCTCACCGACTTGAGTGACGGCAACCGCGTCGACAACGGCGGCTCGGGCAGGTCCCGGCCACGGCCATAGGCCGGTGGCGGAGGCATCTCGCGGGACCCGTCATACTCCTGACGCGTCAGGCGCGTCTTGATGTACTCGCGGAGCGACTCAATCATCCGCACGTTGTTGAGCCACTGGTCGTACGACTCGGGCTCGCTGCTGGCGTCCGATGCGGCCGACGGCGAGCTGGCCGTCACTGCGTCCTTGGAGGCCCGTCTCTGCTGGCGCCGATCCTCGTCTTCCGGGCGCACCTTGCGGCTCGCGTTCTGCAACATACCAGCGCGATACGGCCGGTCGTCAGGACCGAAGCTGGAGCCCAGCGTGGTCGGTGCGGCCGAGCCGGGGTAGGCAACGCCGCTGGACGTTGGCAGGTGCGGGTACGCAATACTGCCGGCGACGGACGTGGCCATCACGGCCGGGGCCTGGCGCGACGATGGCGACATGCCCGTGCTGGACGTGCTGGGCGAGTGGCCGGATGTGTACGAGGCACCGCTAGACGGGGGCGTCACGGCGGGCGAGCCGCCGCTCTGCGAGGAGTGCGACAGGGCCGTGAGGGGCGAGGGCATGTGCGCAGCCGACACGGCCGCATTGGCGTAGTGGTCGTTGATGAGTGTGGGCCGCGCCAGAGGTGACGGGTTGTTGCGCAGGTCAAACGCGTGTGTGTTGGGCGTCGGCGAGGCGCCCGAGTTGTCGTAGATGGTCGTCTGCATCTGCTCCAGCAGCACATCCATCTCCTCGAGGTCGTTCTTGGTGCGTAGGTTGGGGATGGGCGGCAAAAAGTAGTGCTGCGCCATTGAGTTTTGCTGCTGCTGCTGGGCGGCCGAGGCAAGTAGATGGGGCGGCTGTGGCATGAACTCCGTCGCGACACCGCCACCGCCACCGCCAGCCTGCAGGGGCATCAGTGAGCGGCCGACCTGGGCGTACGAAGACGGGTCGACATTGCCGCGCTTGAGCGAGCCAAAGAATTCGTTCAGCACGTCCAGGTTGCGGCGCTGGGGGTAGTCACCGTGACCGACATCAGCAGGACCGCTGGCCAGATGGTGTTGCGGTGCGTGCTGGTGGTGGTGCTGTGCCTGTTGGTGCTGGGGAGCGTGTTGGTGGCTGTGGTGGTGGCCGCCGATGAAGCCGTCGCTGCGGGGGTTCAGGGCCGGAGGGAAGTAAAGTCCGCCACCGTATGCCTGCTGCTGAGCGTAGTAGCCAGCGTGTCCGCCGCCCTGGTGCGGCTGATTAAAGGCGGAAGGGTTCGTGCGAATGTGGCCGTTGTGGTCGTAGTAGCTGGACGACGCTATGCCATGTCAGTCGTGTAGTCCTTATTACAAAACTCAATATATATAACTCAATATATATATAAGAAAAAAAAGTTGTCTGTTCCCAGTGTTACTTACTCGAATGGGCGCGGTAGGAAGAGCCCATGCCGCCAGTCGGATCCTGGCCCGGCCTTGGAGCCAGCACCGAATCGTCGGCGTGCGTCTTGACGTGCTTCTTGAGATCCTGCGGCCGCTTGAAGGTCTTGCCGCAGAAGTCGCACTTGTGAGGCTTCAACGGCACATGCACACGGATGTGCGACGTGATGTGGTCACGCTTGACAGTGGTCGTGCGGCACTGGTTCCACTGGCATGTCAAGTTGAGGTTGTTGGTGCTCTTGCGGCCAACATGACGCTCGCAGATGTGGTCCTAATTTGTTAGCATAAAGTCCCGTCCTGGTGATAGTAATATATTCATAGACAAGTAGAAAGAAAAACACGTACATAAAGAATCTCTGGTGTCGTGAAGCGCTCGCTGCACTGGCTCCAGCGGCAGACGAGGTTGTCGTCGCTGCTGCTGCTGTTGGCAGCGGGAACGGAAGACGAGGATTGGGGTGTGGTGGTGGTGGTCGAGGCAGCAGGCCCTGGGGTGTTGCTGCTCGAGACTGACGAGCGGTTGTCCGCTGTTGCAGATGACATAGACATATTTGCTGTGAGGTGGTGATAAGGAGAGAAAATAAATGAATCGATTCCGACTGTTTGGGAGCCGTTGCAATGCCCCTGAATGTTGGGTCAGGGACAGATGCAGGAACGTTGTTGGGCCTGACTAAGTTGCGTTGTGTTGGTGGGATGCACTTTCCCGTTTGGTGATCGAACGGCTGTGAGGATGTTGCAAGGAAGGAACGAGTCAGGCTGGTAAAAAAACAAAACGTCCGACTCAAACGCGATTAGAATAATATATGAAGTAAGAAAAATAGAAAACAAATAAAACACAAAAAACAAGAATGTGTCTTGCGATTCCTTTGATGTGTGGATTTGCCACAAGTGCTCCTTTGTCACTGAGGCTGGTGCTCGTTTTGTCGACCGACTGATAAAATATGGCTGTGAGCGCAGTGAGTGAACCCAGCGGCGATAAAAAGCGTGGCTGCGGTTCTAGACCAGGCAGGTGCAGGTGTAACGGCGTAGGACTCTTGCACTTTCCTAATCGTGACGTCTTGGTGTCTGCGAAAAGTAGCGGATACGTATAAAGGAAGGAGAGGAAGAAGGAAGCAGGAAAACGAGAAGAACCGGAAGAGGGCGCCGAATGTTTCTTTTCTATTCTTTTGCAGACGATGTTCTTTATGTTCTCATTTCTTTCCTACGGCTTCCAGGTCTTTTTGCGCATGCGAGGTGCCCATCTCCCTCTTTTCGCCAGTGTTATTTTTCCCTGTGTTCGTTATTTGGTCTTGGCGAGGTCTTGGCGGCCTTGGCATGTCGGGGGCTCGGATTCTTGGCTTGCGCTGTCATTGGCTGGGTTGTAGAAAGCCTTCATTGGCAAGTAGACGGAAAGAGAAATACCTAATATGACACCAAAATATTATAATAAAATAGGTATCTTACAGCCTCGCGACATGAATGCCAAGACACGCCAAGCATTAGTAAAGGCTTGGCGTCTCGATGAAAGTCTTGGCATTGCTCCACCAAGGGGCGCCTTCCTCTCGCCAGTCGGGCTGGATTAGTGTCGTGACAAGCCTTTTGTGGGCGTCCCGCTCCCCTTCTTTGTATTCCATGTCCAACAACGGCCCTCTTTTTCCGCGTGTTCCAGACTCTCACACAATGTGCGCTCCACGAGAATCCTGGGCGCCGTTACGACTGCATCCAGCCCTCTGGCACACCCTGGCAGCCTGCGTCTGCATCCGTTCGGAACGGTGCTTGCCTTGGAACTGCCTGCATTGGCTACGAATGAGCCGAGTAGTCGTGTGAGAGAAGCAGCCACGAAATGTCGCGTGGTGTGCTCTTTGCTGTGGATTGGAATGTGCCGTCTCGGCGAAGGGGGGAAAGTAGTACGACGATATGGACGTAATTCGTACCCCTTTGCTCTGTCGCCTGTCGTAGGCGCCGCTGGGACGTTTGCCGCTAACAACAAATCCTCCAAGACGTTTCTTAGGTCCCAGGTGCGTATCACGTTGGCTTGTCCATTTTGCAAGTCACACAGTCCTGTGGCCAATTTGTCGTCATCTGCCGGTGTCTGGTTCTTGATTTGCCATTTGCCATTCGCCATTCGCCCCAACGCCCTGCCGAGCCTCCGATGTAATCAAAAACGTGCCAGCGCGAGAATGAACAAAACGGCTGGACTCCGTTTGCTTTGGAACTCGATAAATCTGATCCTGCTGCGCTTTACCGACTACTCGACATGCAGTTTCCCCTTCTTCTTTTGGCATCGCAATACCAAGACTTCACAGCCCACCCCCGGACAGCCTTTAGTCCTTTAGTCTCCTCCTAGGAACATAACTCGCTTCTCCTTCCGTCCTGGCACACGCTCCCCCAACCCCGTCCCGTGCCCAGAGCCCCAAGACTTTCTAGTCTGTACTCCGTACTCCGAGAGTGCTCCCGTAGATGACATGCGCTTCCCTGAATCCTTGGCTCTCTTGGCCTCTTGTGGGCGCCTTGGCATTTTCCCACAATTCTCACACGTTGTCTTGGCCCTTGAGCCTCTCCTCGTTTTCTCGTTTACTCTTGTCAACTCCCCGGCCTGCGAGGTACAGTACTGTTGTACCCTGACTTGCTTTGCGCCTGTGTTTTGTCTTGACCCTACATGTGGTACATGTGTTCCGAGCATCTTGGGCGTTATCGGCCGTCATAGAATATATTTCCACTTGAGAGGTAAGAAGAGTATTTTGAGCTTAAGTCGAAAATACGAGGTGTGCGAGCTTTTGCTACTTTTTGGATTTAATTTCCCATGATTTCGGTACTTTTTCTATCTATTTTCCATTGCTCTCTAATTCATTCAAGCCGTGGGAACCAAGCCTGGGCACCTTGGTCCCCGTTGCCCAAGAGTCAGGCTATGTTTGGCGATCGTCTGGGGCTTCCCAAATCGCCTCAGCCTTTTTTTGTCCCGTCCGGATGATAAAACAAATGGGCACTTATTCTATTTCCTCTATATTTCGTAGGGCAGGTGTTGTATGTCAGCTTATCACGCCTTACGTGAGTCGTGAGAACACCGCCCCGGCATTCTGTTTCTCGTATGACTGTCCACTGGGTTCATGGAGGACTACCCAATTCGCAGTGCTCTTGGCTAATCGACTCGCAAATGCCGTATCGAAACACGCTTTTTTTTTTTAAAAAAAAAACAAAAACAAAAACAAAACAAAAAACAAAAGAACACATGCAAATTGCAAGTCACAGCCTAGCCAAGAGAAATACAGTTTCGGGCGGCAACGGCAGTTCCATTTGTTTTTGATGCTGACGGGCCTTTCTTCCGAAAGGAGAAAGGTATAACAAGACACCAGGCAGTTGCCTTGATGCCTCCGAGCAGCTGGCGATCTGGTTTCCAAACAGGAAATATATAAAATACAGAACATCCAAGCTTTTTCCAACTTTCATGAGTCGTTTGGACAATGCCGCCGCCCAAAAATGGTTAAAAATAAACAAAAAACCCTGTCCAATGCAATAGACCTGAAGCCATAATTATCACCCTGCCCGTTAGGTGCGTTAGGGGCGTTAGTGACATTGTGAGACTCGGCCAAATATACTCCCCCAGGTCTGTATGGCAGATGCAGTTTTCTGATATTCTGCAAGAATGGCCGCAGGTTGGTATCACATCATGTGCATGGCAGTTCGATCCAATCCAATCAATAAAGCACAGTGTATCGAATCTCCCGTGTGTTGAAGTTGCTGAGGAGGTTCACCTTGTGATGTTGCGATAAGTTGATATGAAGATAGTTGATTTTTTAGAAGGGGGTATATACTGAGTTGTGTCGTGCTAGATGTGCCGGGTATGTGTACCCACACAAAAATGTCGCTGAGAATAGAACCAGTGAAGTGAAGAGAGTCTAGAAGGATACAGACCACACCGAGTCCAACAAGACCAAAAACGAAGAACCGTGAGCAGATTGGACCTGCTTTCCAAGTATGGCGTGTCAATCTAGCAAGGCTTGGGTTGCTCCAGCTGTCCTAAGAGTATGACGTGCATGCCGTATCAAAGGGGCCGACTTTCCGTAGTATCCGGAGGTTCTCACGGGAAACTCCAAAATTGCAAAGCGGGAGAATGTTCGTTTGAAGTGCGCCAGTCCTTGGATGGTTCGTTTTAGTTGTCTTTCTTCGTCTTCGTGTTGTCGTGATTGTCTGTATCCTACTTGCCAAATCTTTTGGCGAAATCCATGCATCCTTTCCCCATAACGCGTTGTTCATAAACGTTTCTCTAAGTGAGAGACCATGAAATATCCCGACACCAAAAAAAAAAGCGAAAGCCCAAAACCTATGATGAAAAAGGTTTGTGAAAAGTCACGAGTATAGGCGAGAAGTAGAGGCGGGAAGGAAAGAGATGAGGTGTCATGAGAGTGAATATGGGAGGAAAAATGTGAGAGGAAGAGAGAAAAAAAACCGTAAGAAAACTCGCCCACCAACGCGATGCCACCATTAAAAAGAAGTAAAAGAAGAAAAACGCCGTCCTATGCAATAGTATACTATACAGACCCAAGACGAAGAAGGCCTTCAATGGCCTCAAGCTCTTGTTCGTCCGAGGCACCCTGGAAGGGACTGAAGCCCGTCGCCGCCAGGGCATTTTGTACTTGGGGGCTGGTTGCCCGCGCGCTGGCACTGAAGGAGAAGTGCCTGCTGCCTGCGGTGCCAAATTTGCTGAAAGAGCCGTACGGGCGTGAAGACATGAAAACGGGACTGCCGAACCGACCCGCGGCGGCAGAGTTGGAATAGGATTCTGCACGAAGGGCAGCAGCTCCAACGGCGCCCCAATCTTCGTCGTCTGTGAGATTTTCTGGGTCGTCGTCCATCATCATGTCTTCGTCCGGGGCTTCGGAACACGACGCCGAGGCAGGGCCGTCATCGTCGTCCATGGACATTCTGTCGGCCTCGTCCTCCGCCACGTTCATGTTCCGGATGTTGTTGTTTTTAAGGTCTGGATCCCGGTAAAGGGCGCCAGACCCTTCGGTGTGTTGCCGCAGCCGGTCCACACCGAGGCCTCCTCCACTCCCACCTCCACTTCCGCCGGCGATGGGGATACCGAGTGAACCGTGGGCCGCTGGTGTCCAGGCCAGCTGCCTGGCACCACCACCAACCCGTCTGGCTCCCCAGACTCCCCAGCTCACCTTCTGGAACTCCACGTCGCCCTCCAGTCCACCCATCCCGCCGTCTGCCCCATTTCCTCGTCCTTCCAACGCCGCGACGACCAATCTCCGAGACTTTGCTGGTGGTATGAAGGAGAACCCGGGCACTGAAGCCGTAAGGTGTCCGATGATATATCGAATGGCCAGGGGGCCATGGTTCAGCAAAATCTCGGGCAGGTGAAACTTGGCCAGCATGGCCGGCGAGATCGCATCGGTCGACTCAAAAGGCGGCGACCCGTAGCCGTCCGCAGTCGTCTCTGCCGCAGCTGCCGCAGCAGCAAGGGCAGCGACGCCTCCGCGGTGGGCGGCGGCGGGTGAGCCATAATCGTCGCTGAGATCATGCAAGTCCAGGTCGGAGTCGATCGGCTCCAGCTTGGCCGCCTTCTGCAACTGGGCCTTGAGCCCGTGCGGCGGCAGCGCTGGTGATATGGAGTTGGGAGGAGTAGGAAGGGGGTGGGGATGGGTTCGAGTCACAGGGACACTCCGGGCCGCTACACCAGTGAAGGAGTCTCGGCGGGAGGTCGCTTGGATGTCGCGTTCGGTTGCAGCTGCCATGATTGCGAGTTGCTTTGCGCTTTCTCTTTTCCTTTGGAAGGCAATGGTTGATGCAAGAAGCTCTGCGTGTTCGTCGAGCGATGTGCCGACTGTGCCGTGGGCCGTGTAGTTGTGTTGGGTGTCGTGTATTGAAAACCGTTTCTAGACTGAGACGCGCGATGCGTGTTAGTCACTGATGAAACGGTGGAGGCACGTCCAGCTGATAAGACAGAGACGCGAGGGGGAAAAGGCAGAAAGACGGAACAAGAAAATAAGGGACGCCGAGTAAGAGTGCCTGATATGCAACTGCTGCAAGGCTGCGACAAGGGAGACGTCGCGACGGATGGGGGCAACTGGTGATGATATAACGCGGTGCGCGCGTCGTAGCGTTGAGTCACTCACAGGAAACGATAAAATCCGAAGCCGGGGCAAATAACACGGCGGCAGACAAGTAGCTTGCAGTGGCAAAGGTAGAGAAAATGCGTGGCGAATGGGCAGGGGAACCGATATGCGACTATCAGACTGTGACAAGGAGATGACTCTCGATGGATGAAACGTTCGATGTTGTTTGTGTTGTTCTTGATTGCTTTGGAGAGAGAAAAGAAAAGAGGAAAGGAGAGGGCAGAAGCCCAGAATAGAGGGTGCGGATATCACCAGTTAAGAAGGGGGCAACAACATCGGGCCTGTGACTGGGGCTGTGGTCCGCGCTTTCCCATTGCGAATGTTTGCGCCTGCGAGAAAGAGCGACCAAGTGTGTGTGTGTGTGTGGTACGTGCGCTGTTTGGCTGGTTTGTCTGGCGCAAGGAACACAACCTGACAACGCAGACTGGGGGGTTGACGGGCTCGTTCCAGTGCCAAAAGGCCTCGCGAAGGCGAAAAGCCAGGCGAAAAGCAATGGAAGGGCAGGGGTGTGTGGTTAAGAGCGGCCTGATGAAAGCAAAGAGACCACGACGAGAGGGGGGTGAAACCGGAAGCGGATATGACAGCCCATCGCTACATTGAGTGCAAGGCAGGAGCAAGTCTACAGATACCTAGGGAGGTCCTCTGGCTGTTAGCGAGGCACGTCTAGCTTGTGTGCATTTTGTATGACGACGCCCCTTGTGCGCTATCACTTTTGCGGTCGCTCGCTGGTCACGCACTGTAAGCTGGGATGGGTCGATAGGCACTGCTAATTCGATCTCAACAGCCGGACTCCCTGATGCCTGTAAGATTGTTCTTCCTCCCTATTTTCTAGCGCAACCACCTGGGCAAAACTTCGCTGGCGATGCGGCGCCAGTGTCTCCTCGACGAGGCTCCCAGTTCTCCACGCGCCCCCCTTCCCCAGAGTGAAGCGAGGCAAAGAAGGAACCTAAAATGGGCACCTGATAAGACTTTCGCGACGACATGGGGACTGTCATTTTCTAGTTTTCTTGGAACGACTCCTTTGCGTCCTGGTCGGTCGATTTGTACTTGGTCTTCGTTTTTTTTTTTTTTTTTTTTTTTTTTGTGCGCCACACGCCATTTGGAACGCGCGGTTTGTCAACATTGTGTGAATGCGAGGTCTGTTAAATTGGGAGTGGCTCTGTTATCTCGACGCGTTATTCGTAGTGACTTGCTAGCAACGGGACCACAAAACACGACTCCGTGTTGTTGGATAAAAAACCAGGCGCACAAAATGAAGACAGACAGAGAAATGGGAAAATTGCAACCTGAACTGGAAGAGGCAACTGTTGTCTGGGCACGCAGCAGACGTTCCTGAATTCCCTCATCTCGCTTGTCGTTAGGAGAGAGGATGGAGAGGGCAATAGCGATGGAATCCAATAAAAGGAGCAAAGTGTCTTGTTGCTGTGTCTACATTGCCTGGCCAAGGCGTGCGCAAACTTCCTCTTTTGGCTATTATTATCTGCTTATTCGCCCGGGGGTAGAGTGTGGGTCCAAAAATGCACGCACTTTCAGACGTCCAGCTTAGACAGGCTTGTGGCTTGCGACTCTGACGCGCTGCGTACTGGGGCTGGACACACGTGTCTAGCATTTTACCGGCAATGCCTCTGTTCGACTGACTCACAACGAGCAGAGCAGGACACACGGCTGTATTGTCTTCACGGTGTTCGTCACTGACGGCCTTTCCAAATACAAGCAGTGGAAAGACCTGTCTGATCCGATGTCGCCAGCTTTACGTCTCGTAAGTTACCGTGCGGCCTTCCGGCCGTAAAAATTACGGGACCAGAGCTGATACGAGCGAGCCCTGATACGGATGAGGGAGTAAAGAGTGTGCCCTATCTCATAACACGAGGGGCCACGAACCGACGCGCCCAAAATCATCAGTGAGGGGTGACGACTGTTGGGCAAGACGTGTGGGTCCTGCGCCTTCCATTGTTGTCGGGGTTGGCTGCCCTTCCTGGATGAACATACAATTGAATGATATGCGCTTATCAGGACAACACACGACGTTGTTACTGAGCCTGGCTTTCTTTTGTCCTTTGCAATTTGATCTATCCTTTTTCTGGCTATTTTACGACATGTCTTTGACACCAGCAGCCTCTCATCGTAGTATGACTCTGACCTCGGGTGTTCCTTCTTGATCCAACCGTAACCGGCGTTCCTTCCTTTGTCCCTTCCCGACCTCGCCTTTGCGCCCTCGATCTCGGGCCAATCACGTTGGGCTCGCGCCTGCTGCTCATTGGCTCCTTCCGCGGGCAGCTGACCCCGTCCGCACCACTGCAGCCACCCGGAACGCAAAGCTACACTGTCGCAAACTGTCGCTCTTTGGGCACTCACAAGACGTTTCTACACAGTAATTTCATCAGAACTGGAAGTTCGATTTCGTCACCATCTCACAGCGCGGCATCGTGCGGCGCACAACCTTTAGCTACACGCCCCTCTTTGCCCCGCCCTTCCGTAGCATGCCGCCCTGGAAACAAGAGGGGCCTAGAGCTTGGATTGCAGTTTTCGCGGCATCCCGTTCATCCAGTCTGCTTTTCCCACGTTGTGCGATGCAGCGACGAGAGCCCATCCGCGGCCTCTTGTCATTATGTCATGGCGTTTTCTTGTTGTGCCTCTTGCCTTGCCCTGTCGCGCGGGATGTGTAAGTCGGGGTTTCTTAGTGTTGTTACGAAAACGACAACTACCATTGACCTCATCCCGTGGGCGTCCTTCATGTGGTCATTTTCCTTTTGTCTTTTTTTTTCTCGAAAAAACCCATTGAGAATCGTGACATTGTGACGCACAAAACAAAACTTTCGATTTTCTCGCACAATATTTTACCCCCTTGAATAATTCCTCTTGACTTTTTACCCAGCCCGTAATCTTGGCGAGTTGTCTGGATACAGAGGTCACGACAATAGATGATTTTCCGCGAGGCGCTGGATCCCCCTGTGCCAACCAACCGACGAACCACAAGGCCTGAGCCGTCTTGCTCCCATTGCTCGTCCTTCTTTTTTCCATACATGTTTCGCCAGAACCACTTTCGTCTCTGTCCCTGGTTTGTTGTCCGTCAATCTCAACCCCGTCATTCTGATGCTTGCAATGTGCACGCCCCGTTGCAACCCGAAAGCTGCCCTCCGTCGTTTTGCCGACCGACCTCCTCCCAACGATTCCCCTCTCATGCCACTCTTGTCCCCTCTTGTCTCCTCCCACGAGTCCCACATGCATCCTGTACTGCCTGCCCCTCTTTCGCAACATGAGCTGTACATTGTAGTGTGGCACTTTTTCGGAAGTACGTTATATGCCGTGCCTCGTAATGTAGCGTCAACGTGGATACGAATTGTATCGTCGTGCAGGTTTGTTAATGGTGGATATGTTCTTTCCCTGGCCTTCGAGGCCCCTTGCTCTACCTCGCATATATATGCCATTCATGTAGGCTGCATAAACAGACGTGACATGATACAATTGTCCTCCTCTTGTACAAACTGTACCATGTTAAGACCGGTCCTCGGCGGGAGCAACATATGAAGCGATGGAGCGACGATAGGTAACCCACTGACTGCGACAAATAACAGAATTGCCGCACCGTCAATTCGATGATCGGCATCAATGGGAGGACATGCCTAATGTTTTCGACAATCAAGGTTTGCCGCCTTGAAAGGATGGACAAAAAAGGCGCAAACCTGATTGTCCGAAGAGGGACTCCAGACCAAGCAAGACATGGAAGACATTCTGCTTGGTGGCTGCATTGGTGGTCAGGTCACAGATTATACATGCTTGTGGATGCTTGTTGGACCTTCGTTTCGAAGTGACAATGAGATTTCGTAAGGCCTAAGGTAGCTTTGGTGACAGACCCTGTGGAGCCTGTACGTGTTTGTAAAATGTCACACAGCCCATGTCCCATCCTATCGAGCGGTCGTGGAGGTGCCGCCGTTGTTGAAGATGTACTGCCTACAGGACTGTATATATTTAAAATAAAATTAAGGAGCACCAAGTCGTCAGGCAACGTTTGTCTTGGAAAGCGGGAGGCAGTAAAGAGAGGGGGATAGGCCGGGGACTTACGGCTTTCAGGACGTCGAGTCGTTCCGACGACTGCTCGTATACTTGGCGGTACTGCCGCAGGCTCTCTTGCAGCACGGCGTTCCGCGTGGTGCGACCTTCGCAAATGGCCTTCATCTGCAGCTCCATCTCCTTGCGCAAAAAGGGCTTGCCCAGACTTGTCTCAAAGTTCATGCGGTCAAATCCCTGGATGAGTGCGACGCCCAGCTGCGTCGGCACAAACACTCGCTGGCCACCCCGCCCGCCGCCACGACCGCCGCGGGCACTGCCGCCGCCTCGGCCTCCACGACCGCCGCGGCCACCACGACCGCCCCGGCCGCCGCCGGATTCGTCGTCATTGTCGTCGCCACCGGCCGCGTTGTTGCTTTGCTGTCCAGACTGCTCCACAACCCGTGCATACTCGCGGTCTTGAATTTTTTGGATGTGCTCGGCCATGGTCGCGTCCGTGCCGATGCCGTTGGCGTCCATGAGAGCAATGAGGTCGGCCTCTGTCAGGTAGCCTGGTGCCGACGTCTTGCCCTGTGTCATCAAGGCCTCGGTCGGCTCGAACCGCTCGCCGACCGTGAAAGCCGGCAGCTGGGCCGTGTCGGTCCAGTTTTCGTAGGGATAGACATCCAAAAAGTTGCGCTCCAGCACGTGGACGCCCTTGGCACGGAACCGCTCGGGACCGTACGCAATCTCGACGTCGGTCGCCATGCCCTTGGCGTCGTCGGCGCAGCAGGCCAGGAACCGCCGCACAACAAGCTCGTAGAGCCGGCCTTCTTCATTGTTGAGCACGCTGGGCGCGGCGTACGTAATGGGGTGGATGGGCGGATGAGCTTTATCATCGTGAGGGCCAGCGCGCGGCCAGAGAAACTTGTTGTTGTGGAGGAGGTCTTGCGCAAACGGCCCCCAGCGCCCTGTTGCGTCCTGTGCCTGCTTCTGGACGAGTGCCTGGAGATTCATGCCTTTGTCGAAACGGTCCGTCTCGGTACGTGGGTAGCTGATGAAGCCCTTGTTGTAGAGGCCCTCGGCAATCGTCATGACCTGCTGGCCCGTCATGCGCAGGAAGCGAGTGGCCATGCTTTGAAGCGTCACGGTGGTCAGGGGCAGTGGACGCCATCGCTTGGTGGGCTTCTCCTGGACCTTGACGACCTCGGCCTTCTGAGCGGCGAGGCAGCGCTCGTACAGGATGACGGTGCAGGCACGGTCAAAGAGATGGCCGCGCGCCCACGAAAAACTGGCCGTGTACCGGCCCTTGGTGTGCTTCACGTTGATGCTCCAAAAGGGCTCGGGCACAAAATTTTTGACCCGAAAGTAGTTGTCCACGACGAAGCCCAGTGTCGGGAACTGACATGAGCCTGGATGACCGTTAGCTGTTCATTGTTGATAAATTGGCTTCGCTGAGACAACTCGTTTGATCATACCATAGCTCAGCGTTAGCTGTGACATTGGCCCGCCGAGGGTCCGCAGGTTGTTCGTCAGATACCGAGTAAAGGCATAACCAATGCGCAGGTCCAGCTCCATGCGTGCCGCCACGGCATTGATCTGCCGCTCGTCAAGCCCGACAAGATTCTGTGCCGCGCGTAGAATGTGTCTGTAAGAGTTAGTAGTTTGCATCACGTCGCCAAAATGGCTCACGCTCCCTCGGAAGGGGTCACATACGCTCGCTCAATGTTGCTGAAGTGCGCTCGCCGGACTTCGATCGACGGCTTGCCTTTGCGGGCGGCTTCCCGGATCTCGTGGCCAATGTGCTCGCCCTCAAGATCGCAATCCGTCCAGATAATCAAGACCTGACAGTATTTGGCCTGCTGCTGGATGTTGTTCGCCAAGACCTTCTTGTCGTCGGGGATGACAGTGTGCACGGGCGCCGAAAAGAGACGGTCCGGCGGCGGATACTTCCAGTCCTTGACCTCGGGGCCGAACTCCATTGTGGTCATGTGGCCCGACACGCAGGTCATGGTGACCTCGCAGTCGCCGTACGGCGGGCCAAAGTTGAACGAGAACCCATAGTTTTTGACGTACTTGGACTGGGTGTTGTGCTGGTTATTGTAAAATTTCAAATTGTAAGAGAGACGTACTTTGCGTGAGGCGCACGAAACACCCGACTTTGGCCACTTACCGTTTGGTAATGGCCCCCAGAAAGATGACCCGCTACGGCCTTTGAAATGGACGGCTTCTCGGCGACACACAGAATCTTGGTCATGGTGATCCCCAGCCCACAAAGTCTCACGACGTTTTCTTCGTCACCCAGACGCGTCTCAATGTGACATAAACCCCGGGCAACGGCGGCGCCGCCAACAGTAATTTTCAATCAGCGATAGACCATACCGCAGCTGCGAGGCTATGACGCGTGACAATGGGTGGAAGTCCCGGCCGGGGCGTTGCTTGTGTGGTTCTCGCCGTTTGATATCTGTTTCTGTGCGTGGGAAAGGGGCCATTTGGAATTGCGCAGTCGATGGGCGTGTCAATGCAACTCGCCAAACGGAGTAATTGGTATCGAGCCAAACGCCGTATAGCGGGATTGGGGGGCCTGGGGGGCAATTACAGCGGACGTGGTCGCTGGATGCGATCGCTGTATTCGTTGACGGACGTCAAAATCGGCCAAGAGGTCTCCATCGATTCCTCATGGACCCACTTTTCTGCGGACCTCGTGGTAGAGCTCCAAATATGGGGAAGGTACGAAGTACGAGTACGACATGTTAAAATGCGGGCAGGTGCGCCCGTGCCTCTGAAACGTCATTCAATTCTGGGAGCATATCTCGACTCATTTCACACACTACTCCATCTAACAGCACCGGACACAATCCAGGGAAGTCGGTTTCCCTTGTCATAGCTCTACCTTCCCTCTACCACCATGGCCCTCCCGATTGTGCGCTCTCTTGAAGCGTGCGCCGACTACACCAGCACGGTCGAGCCCTTCCTCAAACAGCTCTACAGCTTGCCCGACGACTTCGTCACAGCCTTGTCTTCGGGCAGCGTGGCACGGCTGTACGTGGAAACGAACCCGCTGGTGTCTGGTTTTGCCATATCCCTGGCCCTGGGGTTCGTGTTCCTCGTGGTGTCGGAGATCAACCGCAACTACTCGCAGGTCGATCGTTGCTGGAGCTTGCTGCCGACGGTGTACATTGCACACTTCAACCTGTGGTCACGGCTGGCCGGTGCACACAGCGGACGTTTGGACGCGGCACTGCTTTTTAGTGCCATCTGGAGTGTGCGTGCAATTTGAGTCTATTGTTGTTGTTCTTTTTTTCCCTCGTGCTAACCATCTCAGATTCGGCTGACTTACAACTATGCGCGCAAAGGAGGTTATGACGTTGGCTCCGAGGACTACCGCTGGTGAGATAGATATCCTCTCCAGAATAGCAGATGATGGGACCTGTGCTGACCCCTGCCGTCCACCTCCCCCAGGGAGATTGTCAAGAACGCCGTCCCCAAATGGCTGTTCCACATCTTCAACTTGACCTTTATTGCCTTCTTCCAGAGCGTCCTGCTCTTCGCTATTGCCGCACCGGCCTACACGCTGTTGCTGACGGGCACCATCGAGCGCGACCTGACCTTTGCTGACGCAGCATTCGCCGCTGTCGAGATTTGCATCGTCGCTTTCGAGTACGTCGCCGACCAGCAGCAGTGGGACTACCAGACCGCCAAGTACAAGTACCGGGCCTCCGACAAGGTGCCCGCCGGCTTTGATAAATCTACCCTGGACCGTGGCTTCCTTGCCGAGGGCCTGTGGGCGTACAGCCGGCACCCCAACTTTGCGGCCGAGCAGTCCGTCTGGATCGTGCTCTACCAGTGGAGCTGCTATGCGACTGGCACGCTGTACAGTTGGGCGGGCATTGGCGCGCTGGTGCTGGTGCTGCTATTCCAAGGCTCGACCGCGCTGACGGAGCGTATTACGAGCGGCAAGTACCCGGGCTACAGGGAGTACCAAAAGCAGGTGGGCATGTTTGTGCCCACGAGCGTTGTAGGCTTCAAGACGCCTGCCGCCAAGGTGTTGCGCACGAGCGAGCTGGCCAAGAAGCAGGCCGAGAAGGAGGCCGAGAAGGAGGCCACGGCCAGTGGCAGCTACAGCTATAACACGCGCTCTGCCGCTAAGAGATGATCTACGCAGGGGAGCCGAAAAGCCAAACGGGTTTCACGTGGAGAATATTGGTATCATTGCCGGCACGCGCGAGAGGCGTTAGGATACCTTGCTTTAACCCCGTGAAAACCCGGGGACGGAGCTATGGAGAATCGACGGCGCATATGCGAGCCTGTGCCTACGATACCTCCCGGGCCAACTGTACTAATATTGCCCAAAATACCTTGTTTAGCCAAGGCCACACAGAGGACGACGCGGGCAGTACGTTCAGACGATCCAATACACGACTTTCTTATTTTGCACTTGGCTGCCACGAAGCTTCTACGACCATCGTCATAATTCCAGCGTCATACTATGCTTGTGGAGAGAAAACGTGAGAAAACGTGGCTAAAAAAGTTGCTGACGGCATCCCATCAGGCCCGTACGTGCGTCGTCGGCGATGGCGGCCGACTTACGGGCACAGTTTTTGCTGACTGATGTGTCCCGGAGGCATCGCGACAAAGTACCCCCGACCTTGAATTGGGTAGAATATGGCAGAAGGTGGAGGGCCGAGATACTTGCCGAGTTGGCGTCGAGCACAGTACCGCGCTAACTGGTCGCGCCTGCGTCGTGATGGAGGTATGTCACTTGCCGCGACCTTTGTGCATTCGCACGGAGTAGTGTCCCGGAGGTGACATTGGCGCCCGAACAGCCGCACTAGCGTCGTTTTCGCTCACCTTGTCGAAGGTGTCGCCACTCGCCATTGGAAATTTTGTGTACATTGTTCGCCTGCGCCAAAAGTCTAGTTGAAGTCAATGGACCGTGTCCGAAAAGAAAGAACACAAAGGCACCAGAGTAATGGTGGTGAGGATGAACCAATTCCAGGGAGGGAAAGAGCGACGGACTGGGAACGCACGAGGACGCTGTTGCTTCTTCTACATACCGGCCGAACAGGAAAGAGCGGCCGGACTTTCGTTTGCGGTATCAGTTTCGCTAGACCCTTATTTTATTTTGCCCCGTTCACGGATACGTTTCCCCTTATGTCATCGCTCCTTTTGACTCGGCACTGTGCTCGTGATGAATACCCTGAGACCGCCCACTCCCCGTGTGGCCGTCTTTCCAGCCGTGCACCTGTACCGCTTCAGGAACAGCCGCCTGGCGCCCGCCCGGCTCGTTGGCGGCACACCTCCACAAAACGTGAAATTTCGTTCATTTTGTGGGCTTTCGCCTCTCTATTCGCACGATTTGTTTTCGTTTTTGTTCTCTTTGGAAGTGACACGAGATTTCCACGCGCTTTCACCTACAAACTTTTCATATCCGTTACGACTCATGTTTTGGTGCATTTGTCATTGCAAAGAACTTTGTCTTGACGATATTCGGACCAATAACCCGAAACAGCGAGAGTTCGACCTAGACTATCTTTGCCATGTGTTTTTCTCGCCTAGCACCAGCTCCTATTAGTGTGAGATAAAAATACTGTTCATTTCCGCCGATATATTAACGTTCCCCTCGACAGATTCTCTCCTTTTTCTTTTCCTTCCTTTCTTCTTCTGTTTCTTATCTGCTATTCTATTCTCTGTCTTCGACGATTTCCTTCTTCTCTCATCCACGACCGCCGTCACAATTCTTCGTCAGATACAAGATTTATCAGCCATCATACGCACTCCACTTATTATGAGCACGACATTGTACAATATGCCGGACGGTGCGGCCACCGTGCCCGCCGACAACACCACCAACGACGGCAATGACTTGACGGCGCCGTCCATGTCCGCCTCGTCGTCGAGAGCATCAAATGTCGACGACATGTGGTCGGCTGATCCGTCCCGCCGCGGCTCTGATGCGTCCAGCACGACATCCATGAGCACCTCCGACCTTCCATCTCTCTTGTCGTCCGAAAAGCTCAAGGCATCCCTGGCTGCTGGCGGTGTACCTATGGCCGTTTCGGCCTCGGAGAGCAGCTGTAACCGGAACCAGAACACCCCGGCACCGGCACCGACCCGGAGACTGAAGTTCAACGGCGACCCGCTCGAGCGCAGCTTCCCCAAGCCCGAGGGAGACATTGACGTCGGCGCCGCCCTGGCCCGTGAACCGCTGAAGTGGTCTCTGGGCCACTGGAAAAAGAACGCCCGGGATGTAGCCCAGACGACGACGTCTGCGGCTGTGTCCAAGAAGCGCTTCGACGACATCAAGGATGAGCTTCGCCGTGCCCAGCTGGACATGGCCAAGACGACTCGCTGAACGGACGGGTTGAGAAAGGAGAATAAGGACTGTCTGCCGAAATGCACAGAACTTCTCTCTGGACGTACCTGAAACCTCAAAACCTAAACACCTCAAGGGGCTGCCTCCCTCAGAGGCCCTACGCCATGACATATCCTGCCGTCGTTTCTCCCATGGTCTTTGCTTGCCAATGCATCACTAGACTCTTATGGATGAAGAATGGATGCACTGTTGGATATTCTTGTGCAGCGGACACGACCGCCACACGGCTTTTCAGTGGCCGCAAACCTAATTGACGTCAAGATGTGCTGAGTCTTAAGAAACCCGCCGTCTTATGACGTCCACAACGATTACACGAACGTCACTTTTTATACCCATTGCGATTAAAAGCAAAACTCCAGTGAAGGAATACGATAGAAATTAATTTAAAAAAAAGTACATATTAATATAAATGACAAAACAGACAACAAACACGAGGAATGTGAAAATAAAGCTATGCCGATGCTAGAATAGTCAAATGAACTTGCTCCTCTTACGGTCCTCCCGACTGCTCAAGCTCCTTCCAACCTTTACACAAAACGGCTCGCCAATTTACACAATGCGCCCGGACAGGGCCACACCATAGACGACGGCCATGATGAACGATGTCAGGTTCAACAACGTCGAGATGCCGTGCAGCTTGCCAAACTTCTTGTTGAGGGCCAGCATCTCTTGCGAGTGTGGAGCCGAGTCGTAGCTTTTCTTGCCATCTTTTCGTTCTGCAGTGGGTTAGCAGGAGGCCATGCCCACAAATTCATTACATCTGCTTGCCGTACAATACTCACCCTGGCTATATCTCTCGGCCATGACCTTTGTGGTAGCTGGCAGGAGCACCAGCAAATTCACAAGGCCGGTCGCACAAATGGTGGCAATGGGTACGAGGAAACCCCAGCGGTTGCTGGTCTGGAGCAGCCCCGTGATGCCCGCAGAGTCGTGATTGGGACCGCCGCCAGGGTACGTGATGGCGAGAACCAGCGGCACGGCCGACTGGATGCCAAAGTAGATTGGGAACAGCCTGGCCTGCAAGGCGGAAAACTGAGGCCGGGGCAGAGTCTTGAACTGGACGACGCCATTGACGAATGACTGGAGGCTGTTAGCAAGTGGCTTGCCAGATACACCCAAGAGATGCATCTCTTACATGGAAAAAGGTCGTCCCCAACAACGTGCCATAACTAACCGGCAAGGGTCAGCACATTTGCTTTGTCAAGGATCAAAACTCAAAGCCAGGATAGGGGATATGTCTCACGAGAGCACGTGGTAGGGCGCAGGCTTGAGCAAGATGGATGTCTCCGGCATCGTGATGTCCAATTGCTCACTCTACATAGGTGCAAGTCAAGGTGAATTGTGTTGCTGGTTCAAAAAGTGTCGTCAGAATGTGATGCGTGTGAAGTTTCAAAGCCGTCATCGATGATTAGGAGCCACGACGGGGCAGGCGGGGCCTGGAAAGCCACTCCAGCTTAGCGGTTCATTGCTCAGTATGGGGCAGAAGTCAAGGTCTTAATAGCTGTGGCCCACCGAGTCTCTGCTGCGAGATAGTCACGTGCTTTCGCGACTTGGTGAAATGCAGAATTGGAGGGGAGCTGGGGTGCTTCTTGCCGTCTCATTGGGCGATGCTGGCGCGCCCCACACCCGTGGCTGCCTGTTTAACACATTCGATCCACCTCCAATTGAACGTCATTTTAACGTTTCGTTCAAGCTCTCCCATATATGAGGAGCTGCCTGCCGCCGTTGACCTCGACCCGACAGACTTGACCGGATCGTTGAGACTTGGCAAGATGTTCAGAGATTCTTCCAATCGCTAAATCGACACAAAACAATACCACAATGGCAGACAAGGAAGCTACCGTGTACATTGTCGACCTCGGCAGCACGATGGGCGAGACCCGTGGTGGCCGTAGCGAGTCGAATCTGTACTGGGCCATGCGTTACGTCTGGGACAAGGTCTGCACCACGGTGGCTGCGTCCCGCAAAACGTGGAAGGTTGGCGTCCTTGGTCTGCGCACCGACGAGACCCGCAACTCGCTACAGGACGACGACGGCTACGACAACATTGCTGTACTGCAGGAGGTCGATGCTATGAGCTTGTCCAACTTGCGCACGTTGGGCCCCAAGATCAAGGCCAGCAGAACGAGAGACGGTGACGCCGTCTCGGCCATTATTGTGGCCGTAGAGATGATTAGTGCAGCGGCACCTGCGCGGCTCAAGTTCAACCGCAAGATTGTGCTTGTGACGGACGGCCGCGGAGGCATTGACGGCGACGATTTTGACGACCTCGCCCACCGCATCAACGAGCTGGGTATCCAGCTTGTCATCATGTAAGCCATCTTGCCCGCAATGCGACGCTAGACAAATCAAACACCTTGCAAGGTAATTCGTCTAACACTGACAGCGGTGTCGACTTCGATGACGCAGAGTATGGCTTCAAGGAGGAAAACAAGTCGAAAACAAAGGTGCGTCAAGAGCAACTATGGCCTTGAAAGCGACGCTAGATTTAGACGTTCCGCGCCGTGCCTTGACAATGGCTAACGCATGGTGGAACAGGCGGCAAACGAGATATTGTTACGCACACTGGCGGAAAAGTGCAACAATGGCGTCTTTGGCACCCTGGCCGAGGCAATTGACGAGATTCAGAAGCCCAGTGTCAAGGCCACCCGGCCGTACAAGACATACGACGGGCCGTTGACACTGGGCGACCCGAAGACGTTCGACAGCGCCCTGAGCGTGAACATTGAGCGGTACTTTTTGACAAAGGTTGCACACCCGCCCTCGGCGACCACCGTTGTTGTACGGGATGAGTCAGCAGAAGGCGGGACACAGTCGACACGCACGCTGGACGAAATGGAGGGCGTCGAAATGGGCAATGTCGACTTTGCAGCTGTCCGAAACGAGCGCGTCTACACTGTGGACGACCAGACGAGGCTTGGCGGCAAGCGCGAGGTCAAGTTTGAGGACCTGGAAAAGGGGTATGAATACGGCAGGACGGCTGTGCACATAGGCGAGCTGGACCGCAACATTACGCAGCTCGAGACGGAAAAGGACTTTTCCATCGTTGGGTTCATCACACGCATCAATGTAAGCAAACAACCTGAAGAGGAGAGGAGAGGAAGGGGTTGAGACGGAGAGCAATCACAACTGACACGACAGGCCGAGCCATACTTGAACATGGGCGAGAGCTGCATCATTCTGCCGCGCCGATTCAGCGAGGCTGACGAGCTTGCCTATTCGGCGCTCGTCCACGCCATGGTCGACACGGAAACATGTGCGGTTGCGCGGTTTGTCGCCAAGGACATGAAAGAACCTCAGATGCTGCTCCTCCTCCCCACTGCCACCAAGGACCATGTCTGCCTCTACGATGTCCCGCTGCCCTTTGCGGAAGACGTGCGCTCGTACCCGTTCCCACCCTTGGATCGGGTCATCACAGCGACCGGTGCCGTTCTGAAAAAGCATCGACTCCTGCCCACGGATGACCTCAACCAGGCAATGAGCGATTACGTGGATGCCATGGACATCTCCATGTTTGGTACCGACGAGGACGGGTATGTATTGGAAGCCGCTGATTTTGTCCCTTGATTTCAATGGCCTCTCATTTTCTAACCGTGCGTGTTCCAAAACCATAGGCAACCTGCCGAGTATGCTGACCTGGACGACAACTACTCGCCCATCATCTACCGCGTTAGCAAGGCTGTCAGCTTCCGCGCAGTCCACCCCAACGAGCCCTACATTCAACAGGACAACGAGTTCGTCACGCGTTTTGACCACCCGCCAAAAGAGCTTGTCAGCAACGCCCGGCCCCAAATCGAGGCTCTGATTCGTGCCGCGGATGTCAAGAAGGTGCCGGCCAAAGCCAAGGGCCGCGCAGGACGGGACGCCAGAAACAACAAGCCAATCTCCGGTTTGGACATTGACGCGCTGTTGGGCGGCGGCGGCGGCGGCAGCGGCGGTCCTACCATCAAGAAGGAGGGCGATGAGCTGCGAAAGATTTCGCCCGACAACGCCATCCCCGAATACAAGCAGGCCCTGGCGAGCACAGTCAGCGTCAAGCAGATTGAGGGGTTCACCGAACAGATGGGCCAGATTGTGGAGGCGCTCATTGCCAGCAGCACCGGCGAGATCCACTACGCCCGTGCTGCCGAGAACATGCGGGTCATGCGGGACGAGCTGCTCAGTTTTGAGGAACCAGCCATCTACAACACGTTCTTGACCAACCTCAAAGACAAGCTGGTCGCAGAGAAGCTGGGCGGGCCGCGGCTCGACATGTGGTGGATGATCCGGACATCGGGGCTGGGCCTGATCACAGTGAAAGAGTCGGAGGTCTCGACAGTAACGGACGAGGAAGCACAAGAGGTAAGCGCTTGGGGTGCGTTTTGTTGTCACTAATTTGACTTGAGCCTAACTGCTAACTCTCTTTTCACAGTTTATTCGGCGCCTAGCACCAAAGAAGGAGTGAGCTCTGGCTTAGCCAAAAAATACTGAAGAAGTGACAGTACTCGGAGGCCTGTATGCAAATGTACTAGTCGCTGCAAAATGTAATGTTTTGTGATTTCAATTGAAACCTACATTTGTCTTGAGATCCGTGTCAGACAGGTGTGGCTTTGTGCGCTCCCCACTGCTTGCGGGACGCTGCGAATCCACTTCAATCCTTCTTCCTACAGCCTGCACTCTGTTGGACGAATGGAGGATCGGGGCGACAACCTTGCCGGCCGACGTCAAATGGATCCGGAACGCAGTCAATCTTTCGGATACGGTCCCGATCCGATGGACACAGTTTGCAGAGGTTGGAACGAGCCGGGACGCGTTTGGTTGGGGATTTCTTGGTTTTATTTTAGGGTTACCCCAATTCACACAGAACGGCAGAGGTAAACGGCAAGAAAGGGCAACACTTTCTGCCAACGTCCTTCTAAGCGAAACGAACCAGTCTGGTAGCGGCTTTTGTCGATGTCTTGTTGGTCTGATCAAAGTTGGCTTTTCGTTTAGCTCACCCTCGGCTGTCGTTCACCTTTCTCGTTTCTTATTCTCCTGGTATGGTTCTCCTTTTCAATTCTTCTTCGGAAAGGCGACCTTCCGACCAACCCAGCAGCAGGCGCTCACTTTCGCTTCCCTTGCATGAACGGTGTTTGTAGATCGCAGTTGTGGAATGTACGCCGTAATTGCCATCACCCGTTTTGTGCAATAAAAGAGATCACCTCGTCCCGGATTATCTGTGTGTTTCTGTTGTTATGCAAGTACCGGCGTAAATGCCGAGTTGATTTCTGCTTCTTTCGCGATGAACCGTTGTGATGATTGCAACTGGACGAAATACGGCCTTGATTTTGATGTGTCTGGACAACGATCTACAGTCTGGATCGGGTTGCTCATGGCCCCAGAGGCTCCTCCGCAGCAGTTCTCCCACACGATGGCCGTTTTTGCGATCCGGCTGTCCGGGGTGGATTCTCCGCACTCCTTTCCGCCGCTGTACTGTGGACCGTTCGTGTTGTTAGTCGTCCGCAATGTACTTCGGTCGTGGAGAAGCGGGCAGATGGGCCAATGAAAGACGAGACAAATGCTCTGGACAGCAAGTTGTTATCTGTTTTGCTATCAGAGCTATGGGTACACCAACGATACGCAGATCAAGGCTGGGTTCAGTCCGGGGTAGCCTTTCCCCTCTACTCCATTCTCATTAAGTATCCACAGGCAAAGGAAACGAGATATGGGGGAAGGGGCAGGGAACATGACTAGAGTAAGCTAGGTTGTCCCTATGAAATTCACAATGTGGACGAGCAACACAGGAAAGACAAGTGACACTGGACAGTAAATCAACTGGATCAAATTGATATTGCCAACAAGTAACGATGTGAATGGTATAAAAGGAGTCCGTATCCGGGGTGGGTGGCTGCAATGGCATCGCGTATCTTTCGACTCATCCATCTCCGGCTTTGTCCTCGTCATCTTGTTCGTCCAGCCGTCTGATTGCTCCTCCTGTTTCCTCCTTATCCCCTCTCTCCTCCTTTTCTTGTCCTTCCTTACGTCACCACCGACAAAGATATCACCATGTCCAACTCTACCGAGTTTGAGACCTTCCAAGCCAACGGGTGCGTGCCCGATGTCGAAAAGAACCATATGGAGGCCCTCCGGGAGATTGCGACAAACCGCAGCGTCGTCATGAGCGCCGAGCAGTTTGAGAAGCTCTATCTCTCGCCGCACAACAAGGTCAAGGGCGAGCTGCGCCAGACCTACGGCAACCCGACGCCCATGTATGTTGGTGTACAACGACGCCCTCCGCTCAACAAATTATGTACCGTTGCTAACATGGTCCAGGGCCCTCATTGGCTTCCTTCTCTGTCTCCAGCCGCTGTCTTGCACCTTCATGGGCTGGCGTGGGGCCAGCAACTTTGCGGCGTCCATCATCCCCGCCTACTTCTTCCTCGGCGGTCTGCTCATGTTTGTCAGCGGCCTCCTCGAGTGGGTGCTCGGCAACTCGTTTTCCTCCATCGTCTTCTCCAGCGTCGGCTGCTTCTGGTTCACGTTTGGCGGCATCCTCTGCCCCAGCTTTGGCACCTATGGCTTCTACGCAAAGGACGGTGAGCCGCTGCAGTCGGGCCTGGCCGACCCTGGCTTCAACGCCAGCCTCGGCTTCTTCCTCGCGTCCTTTGGCCTCTACGCCCTCATTCTGCTCGTGTGCTCCCTGCGCACCAACGCTGTCTTTGTCCTCATCTTCCTGACGCTCGTCCCGGCCTTCTCCTGTCTCGGTGCCGCCTTCTGGTACATGGCCGAGGACATTTCTGGCACGACTGCGACCGTAACGACGCTGTTCCAGGCGGGTGGTGCCATCCTCTTTGTTACCTGTGCATGTGGATGGTACATTCTGCTTGCCATCATGCTTGCCATTGTCGACTTCCCCTTGCAGCTGCCGGTGGGCGACCTGTCCACAGTCATCAAGGGCCGCTCCGAGCGTGTTTAGGGCAGACTAGGGAGCTTAATGGTGTGCTGGCTTGAGATGTACATGGGCCGCACATTGGTGAATGACAAGTGAAGAGAGCGGATGATATGCCAGACCGAAAGATGTTTAAAGATTGGGAGGTGTGACTGGGAGATGCAACAAACTAAATTCCGGGAACGGACAAGAAACAAGTGCGGGCTGTAGTTTCTACAAGCGTACGAAAACAAACAATCTAATAAACCTCCACCAAATTGACCCTTCACTATTCGTTGACAGTGAAAAATGCATAGTTCATTCGACTCAGCCTACGAGGTCGCATAGTGTATTGCGTGAGATGGATTTTGTTACGCCCTTCGCGGTGATGGGTGTTTTCCTATTGTATTTTGCTCGACTGTTTTATTTCCGTCGGAGACTTGCCCAATCTCATGCGCAACGGGAAGTTATCATTGTGGCTCAACGTGCAGAATCCCAACTCTCCACACTTCTCTACAGCTCTTGCAAGGCCCGGTCTGGTCTGATGTGCTCTTGTCTCTTATTCCTCCACAATTCACGTACTGCAGTCAAGATTAATATTGTGACAAATCGCTGTGATATATTCTGGCCCAAGCGCATCATAAATAATACCTTTGAGTATTAAAGGAGTGTAGTGCAATACTCTGGCTTTAAAATAAAACTAGAATGACGACTTCTGCCCGGGTGGTGGTCTACACGGCACCTGCTCAGCCTTGTACCCTCACCTCGGATTATTCTGTTTGTTTCTGCTGTTGTGGAAGTACCGACATAAATGGTGAGCTGATGTCTGCTTCTTTTGTGATGTTTCTTTGCGATGATCGCAAGTGGACGAAATACGGCCTTGATTTTGATGTGTCTGGACAACTATCTGCAGTCCGGATCGGGTTGCTCATGGCCCAGAGGATCCTCCGCAACAGTTCCCTCACACGACGGCTGTTCTTGCATTCCGCTAAGTTATACATATGGTTAGCTTTTATTTATTTTAAGTTATGTGCGGTATTCCGTTGTTGATAGTTAGGTAAGGTATCCTACCCCGTTTTTATATGCTTGTCTTTACCTCTTAGTTCTTCGTACATGTTACTGCCTATGACGAGTACGGAAAAATAAAGATGTAAACACACTTTATCGTGGCTTGCCTTAACGGTACACTTATGCACGCACCGCATTGTCTGGTAGACGCAGCTCTCTGTTTAATGATATGCTTTCCATCAACCGCTATCAATTTAACTCCGGCCACAGTCAGATGCCTCCACCACCGTCAACTTATGGCCAATAGGGCTGCCAGTTTCGATCAAACGCAAGCCATCTCGGCTGGTAGCGCCCGCGCGGTGAGTCCAGCCTCCGGGACACGGTCGGCCACAACGAGTTGAGACTACCAACGTCACCATTGTCCGCCATGGGGCTAAAGACGCCCAGAGCAAAGAGATTTATTGCCCACGTGTTGAGGAGGGTGGCATAGGTTCCAGTGCGACGTCCGTAGTTTTCGTCCTCTGCGAGTAATTGACGTATTCGGTCGATGTTATTACGGCCCAAGTACCAGCGGTTCAGCTGGGGTCCACCTTGGATATTACAAGTGAGGATCACAGTACGGGAGTTGAGCATTTCGGCGCCTCCGGTACGTCGAAATTGGACGCGGTCATCTGGAACGATGGTGTCGTAGCCTATCGCATAGTTGCCAAAGACTTGGCCGTGATACATGTTGACAACAGATACGCCGGGATACCAGTTTTGGAAGCCGTCGCCAGGCACAGGCCGCAACGTCCTGCCGTCGATAGGAATATGCAGGTGGAAAATAATGTAATTGTCAGGGTTGCCGGTGGCTGTGTGAGTGTTATCTCGGAGCATATCCGGCAGGAACGGAGCCGGCGGGTCCTCTTCTGCCGGAGCCAGTGCTTCGACTGCCGTGTATGCAATCTCCAAGATGATTTCTTCATTGTTGTGGAGGTTAATCCAGCGTAGGTAATAGATGCCTAGTACCCCGTTGTTGATTGCGTTGAGCACACCGACTACAGTCGGGCGATTGCCGGTGCGGTCACGGTTATCGGCGCCACTGAGCTGGATCTTGCGGGAAATCAGCTGCGCCAGCGATGACGTGTTTGCGAGGGCTGTATCGGCGTCTACATTAACGTCCGGGTTGACCTCCCCCTCCTCGACGGGCGTGGGGTCCTCGAAGCCGGTGAGACCCGGATACTCGCAAAAGGCGGCCTCAGCGGTCTCAGAGCTCTGGATCAAGTCCTTCTCAGCTGCAAACGGATCGCATAGGTATTCGCTGATCAGCGCTAATGGGTCCTTCATAATCTGGCCGTCGTCGAAAGGCATTACATCCACGCGCAACTGGTTGTAGCCGACGCCCGTCTGTGACTGAAATTCGTTCCAAGCATCGGCGACCACTTCGGAGGGACTGGGCGACGAGATCTCGGCCGACATGATCTCTGTGATACAGTCGTATTGGTAGTACAAGTTGACGCCGATGTTTCCGCGCCGCGAAATAGTGCCGTAGAGTTTCTCGTCAATGCTTGATGCCCACAGTGCCGGACACGTCGGGTCGAGAAAGAAACCCTGTAGACACGCGCGAAGAATGTCTGCCGTCTTGGTTTCCAGATCCGTGCCTGCAAGTACGGCCAAGTCGGCGTTGGCGCCCCCCACCGTTGTCAGTCCCAGTTGGAGCCCGAGATTACCGATACTGCCGAGGCCACCGACGACCGCAATCGAAGGGCCTTTGCAACAGTAGGCCTCGTTGCCGAGCGCACACAGGCCCTGCTGCCGCGCCAGAAGAAGCTCACCACTGGGGCAGCTGTCCTCGCACACGGCAGATGCCCCAATGGCGTTGGACGCCTTGGTGTTCCAGGCGCACTCGGTAAACTGGTTGGGCGCTGCGCTCGCGGTGCAGCAGTAGCTCATGGCGCCGACCCAGCAAGAACCCGCGCCGCCCTGGCCGCTGGTCGACGAGACCACGTGGTTGGGGTGGCTGCTGGGACACACCGCCACGGACCCGGGGCTCGAACAGAGCGGTGGGGCACCAAACCATGCACACGCGCCGTACGGCGCCATGCTGCTGCTTTCCACCGGGCAGCACGCCGACTGGTAGCCCACGGCACATCCCTTTGACTGCGCGCCCACTTCGGCCTCGCCCGCCGCGCAGCCAGGGTTACAAACGCCACTGTCCTGGAAACCGCGCAGCGCACAGACCGGCAGCGGCGCCGTCTTGGGACAGCAGAACGTGTGCACGCTGCCGCCGAAACAACCCGTGCCATCTGTGAGGCTGCCGCCGAGCGGGTCTGTGCTTAACGGCACCTCGGCAAACCCGGTCGGACAGCCCGCGCCGCAGTTGGACCACTGACACGTGTCCACCTGGCTAAAGCCGTTTGTGACGACAGCAGTCACATTCGTGGCCGGGTCGATGAAGACTGTACGGCCCAGTGCACCGGCCAGTTGCTTTGCATAGGTGCCTCGAATGTCGTCGTGGCTAATGGCCCACACCATGACGCCACCTAGGCAAACGGACTTGGCATAGTCGCCTTTAATCTTCCACGTGTCGGCGTCGTCAAACGACACCCACTGGTTGGCACCCCAGGAAATGGTCTTGACGGCGGCGTCCGCGTACAGCGTCGGGGCCAGGCCGTTGGCGGCAATGATACTCTCAATCTCGCTGTTCAGCAAGATGCCCGTCTGTTCGCTACACTGCCCGGGATCTCCACCCGAGAGATAGGGACAGCCGGGCGCTGTGCAGGCCGCGCTGGCCACCGTCGTACTGCGGCCGTACATAGCGAGGCCTAGATTAATCTTGGCCGGGTCGACGTTGTTACGCCACAGCAGATCAAACGAGCCGCGGATCTCGGTGAGGTTCGTGTGTGCGTTAAGAAACGCGCCCGTCCACTGGTTGCCAATGTCCCACGTGCCGTGCAGGTCGTACTCCAAAACGTTGAACCAGTCCACCCACGGCTGCAGCCTCGGCAGGTCAAAGTGCTGCAGATACCAGTAACTTGACGGCAGCGTCACCGACAGGCCAAAGCCGTACGCGTCGAGTGTGCCACGTAGCCTTTGCAGAAAGACCGGGAAGTTGGTAAAGTCTTCGCCGCGCCCGTTGCGGTCAGGCGCCTCTGGGTACTCCCAGTCAATGTCGACACCCGTAAAGCCCCACGTCTGCATAAACTGGAGGAGAGACGCGAAAAAGGCCTCTTGGTTGGTAGCACTGGCCGCTAGATCAGAGAACGTGGTCCGCGTCGGCTGGTCATCATCGTTGAACGTCCAGCCGCCAATGGAAATCCACGTCTGTAGGCCGAGATCGCGCGTCTTTATTGCTTGTAGACGTTGGTACAGGTCGCTGTCGGTGTTTGCCGCAGGAACCACGGTAAACGTTGCCGGGTCGATGCTGGCAAAGGCAAAGTTCACGTGCGTGTAAATGCCCTGTGGGATCTGTTCTGGGTGTATGCCGTTGCATGGCCGCTCTGTCGTCGCCCAAGCCTCGTAGTAACCAACTACCCGTCCGATACCTGTACTGGTCACATCGCAGGTTGGTGCTGCGACCGTTGATGTGCCACAGAACTCGGGCGTGGTGCCGCAGAATCCATATGCACTGCAGCACACGTTGAGCGGGCACGCCGTTGCGTTGGCGTAAGTCAGCCCCCAGCCGCCCGGATCGCACTCGGACTTGGCGCCACAGCTCGACACGCAGTTCGCGGCCGCACAGTAGTCAGGACCCAAGCCGCAGTTGCCATACTTGGAGCAGCACCCAATGGCACAGGGCTGCGTGGCGCTACACTCTGCTGCCACGACCGAAGCCGCCAGAGAGGCAAGCACGGTCAGGGTGGCGAGCACGTGCATGAGAAGGTAAATAGATGCTGTGATGGTATAGATCTTTTCGTATTTTCTTGGTTTGTGTCAACTGCGAAAAATTTGGCGAACAACAAAATAGACAATGAAGACTTGTAGGAACCAGATAGAAATAATAAAGGAAAAGACGAATGCACAAGGGTGGCCGGATACTGAATCACCCATGACAAAATTTAAAAAAACAGACAAGAAAAGAAAAGAATGCCAGCATGTAGCTTTATTTCCCCCGACATATCGGGGACAATAATTCGTAGGGTGTACGGTGATAGGGGATGGATGGCAAGGGCTATCCATAGATGACATGACCTTGCAGTGTTACAATTTGGCCTCGGTGGTTAACACTTTCATGGATGAGGTGTATGAGCCAACGATTTTTTTTGTTAAAATGAAGGAGACAAGAAAGAAACCTACGCTCGTACTGTTCTCTATCTTGGCCGTGCCGTGTATCCGGACCTCACGACATAAATTCTGCCACCCCTCTTGGAACCCCCAATATCATGCCATTATATGAGTTGAGGGGTCGAGCACCGTCCCTTTCTATTTTCATCAATGTGTCAACCTAATATTGCTCACGATAATTTCCGCTCTTTACCGACTACTCCCCCACGTAAGAATACAAAATAGGCATCTCAAGTCCGTCCTCATCGCATGTAGGTGCCAGTAATCCCGGCGCAGCAAGCCGCCAGCTGAAAGGGAGTCGTGAGGGGAAACTAGACACTCATAATTGAAACCTGAGAATTAGGGCCATGTGGTCTCGAATGGAGTCGTTTGGGTTAGGTTCTTTTTCAATCCAATTTCGCATGCATCTTTTGCATCCCGACTGTCGGCGTTCGGCCGTCGTACTACTTCAAGTCCGCAGCTAAGCTTGAACCAACCGACAAGAGATGGATGTAAAGTTGTGATTTCATCTTAATTTCTTATTTTGTGGGGCCGCCAAGCCTTTTAGGTTCGGCGCTTCCCTCCCGTATTAAGGTGAGGGTGTCAATAACAGACGACTTCATACGAAGACCTCCCCCCCCCCCACCCCGAAAGAAGCTTGTCGTAAACCATGGACTTCTCGTAATTCATAACCGCATCTACGACGTAGCTACGATGTGACGCTCCAGTCACTCCCACAAATAAACTATCAATTACTGACCATAACTAGCATGCTTACAGCTATGTGAATGGCGACGGATAAAGCGGCAAAGGGTGATTATTTGGGCATTTGAACATTGAAAATAAATAACTAAAAATAGTTAAATAATACGGCATTAAAAAATACAAACACGTCCGACTTTATTTCGTACACTCTGTAGAATTGTTTGTATCTACCAAATCCACCCTAGCAATGACCTGATACCAGTAGCTTTGCGGACAGTCAAGTGCAGCTCCAAGGCTCACTGCAGCCATTCAATATTCAGCTGCCAGATTTTTTATTTTTCCTGTTCTCTAATCTGCTGTCCTCTTCTTTGATAATTCTCTTTTCCTTTTCGTCTTTCTCTTCTTTTTCTTTCTATTTCCGCCCCTCTTCTTTCTGTTTCCTGCTTTAAAAATAAGACCGTCGTTTACATAACTTCTTATCCTGACTGTTTCTGTCGCTCTACATCCACCCAAAACCGTCGCCTTGGCTGACAACAAATGGCACGTCTTTTAATGATAAAAGCCATGCTATCCCTGGCATACGCGCTTTTCTTCTGTGCTCTTGGGCCGTTGGGCTCTCTCGCCGCGGCCAGCAGTCATCACCATGCCCACAACAAGTTGCACCACCGACAGGAACACAACCTGCACGGCGCCCGCGACACAGCCATAGACGATGCCTATGCACTGGTTAATGCGTCACTACCTGCAATCGCAGCAGCCAACAAGCTGAAGCTGCAGCAGCCACGTTTCAACACGTATCAGTTTCCACCAGCTGGCAACGCGTCATCCTACGGCAGGAGCAACACAACTGTCCCGGTCATTGGCCGGCGAGGCCATTTGATGGCCAATGGCAGCAGCACCAGTACTGGCAGTGTGCCGCCGTTCGCCGCAAACAGCAACACGACATCGCGCGACTACATTGTCTCGCCTGAGCTAGCAAAGGCTGCACGCGTGGTGGCCGAAGGCACAACCAACAAGCCTGCCGGGGCAGACTACACGGACCGTGCGGCCCGGCTCAAAGCCGAGCACTGAGGCCAGACCTCGCCAGCGTCGGGGGACAATGCCACCAGCGTTTCCGACGGCGTCGAGGCCCGGGCAGCAGCCGCTTCCTCGTCGTTTTGGATGGCGAACATGGCAATGAACGGCGTGGCGCCGTATGCCGCAGCAGCCAACTACAAAGTGTGGCGCAATGTGATGGACTACGGTGCCAAGGGTGATGGCAAGACAGACGACACGGTGGCTATCAACAAGGCGATCACCGATGGCGGCCGTTGCGGACAGACGTGCGGGTCTAGCACCGCAACGCCGGCGGTGATCTACTTTCCGAGTGGGACGTACCTGGTCAGCGACACGTTGATCATGTACTACAACACGCAGTTTTTGGGTGACCCGACGGCCCGGCCGACGCTGCTGGCGGCCGCCAGCTTTGTGGGCTACGCAGTGGTGCTCACAGACGTGTACATTGACGGGGCCAATGGCGCAGAGTGGTACGTACCGCAGAGCAACTTCTTGCGCTCGGTGCGTAACTTTGTCATTGACATTACCAACGCGCCCGCCAACAACTACGTATGCGGCATCCACTGGCAGGTGGCACAGGGCACCGACCTGCAAAACATTGACTTTTACATGAAGGACGGCACGACGCAGCAGGGCCTGTACATGGAGAACGGTAGCGGCGGCTTTATGACGGACCTGTACTTCCAGGGCGGCAACTTTGGCGCGTACCTGGGCAACCAGCAGTTTACGGCGCGCAACCTTATCTTCTCGGGCTGCCTGACGAGCATTCAGGTGTTTTGGGACTGGGCGTGGCTACTGCAGGGCCTCACTATCATCGGCGACAGTACAAAGAACGGGCCGAGCGTGGGCATCACTATTGTCGACGGCGCTGGAGGCTCCGCAGGCAGCACGGGCCAGGGCGTGGGTTCTATGATCATCACAGACTGTGTCTTCTACTTTGTAGACACGGCAATCAAGACCACGCTGGTGGCGGACAACAGCTCCTCGTTTCTGTTGCAAAACAGCCTCTTTGTGCAGGCGCCTGTGGCCGTGTACGACACGGGGGCCGCCAAGACTCTGCTCGCCGGCAGCAGCACGGGCAACGTGCAGGTGGCGTCGTGGGGCTTTGGCAACATTGTATCCGGCACATCCGGCACGTCCGTGTTCCAAAACGGCAACGCCATCACCGCACCCGTGCGCCCCGCGTCGCTGTTGCCTGTGGGCAGTGGCAACTGGTTCACCCGGAGCGCGCCCACGTACGCCGATGCCAGCATCCCTGCCTCCGCGATTGTCAATATCAAGACCAAGGGCGCGGCGGGTGACGGCGCCACCGACGATACGGCAGCCCTCAACCAGGCGCTAGCAGCCGCCGCAAACGCGAGCCAGATTGTCTTTTTCCCCTATGGCGTCTACGTTGTGACAGACACGCTTCATATCCCCCTGGGTTCCCGCATTGTGGGCCAGGCCTGGTCCACCATTGCAGGGCGCGGTGCGCGGTTCCAGGACGCCACCAGCCCGCGCGCCGTCGTTCAGGTTGGTCGCGCGGGCGATGCGGGCACCGTGGAAATCTCCGACATGCTCTTTTCCGTCATCGGCCCAACTGCCGGCGCCGTCGTGGTCGAGTGGAACGTTCACGAGGGCACAAATTCGTCGGCTAAGGGCTCTGCGGCCATGTGGAACTCGCACATCCGCGTCGGTGGTAACGTAGGCTCGAGCCTACAGGCTGCAACCTGCCCCATGTCGACGTCGGGCACGCCCAAACCGGCCTGTGTGGCCGCCTCGCTGTTGTTCCACCTGACGCCGGCTGCTTCGGCCTACATTGAGAATTTCTGGGTGTGGACGGCGGACCACGACCTCGACATCGCCTCGCAGGACATGATCAATGTGTATACGGGCCGGGGCGTGCTGATCGAGAGCCAGGGTCCCACGTGGCTGTGGGGTTCCGCATCCGAGCACTCGGTGTTGTACCAGTACCAGTTCTCGCGAGCCAGCAACCTGTTTTGCAGCATGCTGCAGACCGAGTCGCCCTATTTCCAGCCGAGCCCGGGAGCGCCGGCCCCATTCGTGCCGGGCATGTTCCCCGATGACCCTACATTTACGGATTGTGCGTTGCCCATCGCCGCCAACTCGCGCTGTGCCCTGGCCTGGCCGGTGCGCATCCTCGACTCGACCGACATCTTTGTGTACAGCGCAGGCCTGTACAGCTGGTTCCAGTCGTACGCTAAGAACTGCGAGATTGGTAATAACTGCCAGGATGGGGCCATGGACATACAGCGGAGCGAGAACGTGTGGATCTATAACCTGTGCACCAAGGCTATTGTCAACATGGTCACGCCGCTCGGTACGGCGGTCACCGTGGGCCGACTTAACCAGAACGGCTTCCTGGCGTCCATTCTAGGCTGGCTCGAGGGTGCCACGACGATCGTTGGCGACCGGTTTGCTGGCTGGTCCGTGTTTGCGTCCGGGTCGCTGGCCGGCCTCGGCCTTTCTTCGGCCTGCGAGGCTGCGTTGTACCAGACGGTCAAGTGCGACGACAGCGCCCGCAACCTGCTTACGGCGGACGCTTACCTAGGAAGCACGGGCAACAAGACGCTGACGGGCCTAGTGTGCGAAGCCGTGTGCGAGGCGAGCATCGCGTATGTGCGCCAGAGCGTGGCGGCTGCGTGCGCCGTGACACCGCACCTGCCCGGCACAAACGTGCCTTTTGTTAGCGTGGTCGATCGTCTGTGGAGCAACTGGAACCAGACGTGCTTTGTCGACCCAACCACGGGCACCAACTGCAACGATGTCATTGCTGCATTCCCGGCGGCTGCGGACATTGCTGCGCTGCCCGTGGCCGACTTGTGCTCGTACTGCTACACACAGAAGCTCAAGCTCATGGAAGCGTCTGCGTACTCGGGCGCGTATGACAACACAAGCTTTGCAGCGCGTTATGCGTACGTTGCGTCTCACTGTAGCCTTACGGGCGTTGGCAACTTTAACGGGACGGCTTCGGCAGTCACGGGAACAACCCCAGTCGACGTTACGGCGCCGGTTTGCGTCTCCGGTAAACACTATACCGTAGCCAGTGGTGACACGTGCGACTCCATTGCCGTCGCCAACGCGGCCTCGAGCGCCACCCTCTTTGCTATCAACCCGGTCCTGCGGGACTGCAGCAAGGCATTGACTGTGGGCGCTGTGTTGTGTTTACCCCAAACATGCGACACACTCTGGACGGTCCAGCCAGACGATACCTGCCAGAGCATCGGAAACGCGACGGGTAATTCCATGGACACCCTCGTTGCGTACAACACCATGCTTAACAGGAACTGCTCCAACCTCCAGCCGGCGCCAGCCACGGAACCCAGCTGGGGAGCCACCCTTTGTGTATCCTCTCCGGGAGGCGCGTATGCCGGCGTCGCAGCGTCCAACACAAGCACAGACGGCAACGGGGGCCGTGGGAACGGCTATGCGCCGCCCTATACGCAGCCCATCAAGCCGCCGACCGGTGCTACGGTGGCCAAGGGCACCAATGCCACCCTATGCGCCGCGTGGTACGTGTACGACGCCACGCTCCTCTGCGCGCAGATTTGCCTGACCAACGACATCTCCATTCGCGTCCTCACGTTGGCCAATCCAAGCCTGCACGTAGCCACTTGTGACGCAGATCTGGTCCGTGGCACCGCCTATTGTGTGCGTCCGCTGTCTGAAGTTGAGCTGACTGCCTCGTCCGCCCTTCCCTCCTCGTCGACAGCGTCCTTAACCTCGACGTCAACATCAGCAGCAACGTCAAAAACACCGTCAAACACCCCCAACCCCATCTCCACCGACGGAAAATGCGGTGCCGCCTCCTCTAAAAATGCCACCTGCCAGGGCAGCACCTTTGGCAACTGTTGTGGCCCTTCGGGTACCTGTGGCAGCACACCGGCGTTTTGTTCTGGCCGTCTCGGCTGTCAGCCGACCTTTGGCGAATGCAAGCCTATCTCCAAGGACGGCACCTGTGGCGCGGCATCGAGTGTGGACGCGTTATGTCTGTACAGCTCCTTTGGCGATTGCTGTGGTGCGTCAGGTAAATGCGGCACGACTACGGCGTTCTGCAACACCGACGAGGGCTGCCAGTCCAACTATGGTACCTGTGTTGCACGCGTGTCCACCGATGGCAAGTGCGGTAATGCCTCATCCGTGGACGCAACGTGTCTAGGCAGCACCTTTGGCAACTGTTGCGGTTCTTCAGGCACCTGTGGCAGTACACCGGCCTTTTGCTACGGCCGGCTCGGTTGCCAGGCGAAGTACGGCAACTGTGTGCCCATCTCCACAGACGGCAAGTGTGGTTCTGCGTCGAGTGTCGGTGCCATGTGTCTCTATAGTGCGTTTGGCGATTGCTGCAGCGCTGCAGGCACCTGCGGTACGACCTCTGCCGCCTGTTACTTGTCTAATGGCTGCCAGGCCACATATGGCACTTGTGTTGCAAAGTAGTTGATGGTTAGAGGTAGTCTATTTTGAGTGTGTTTGGTTGCGTGTGTTTGTTGTGTTCAGCCAAAATTAGGTGCGCGCATACGTGTAAATAAATGAAATGGAATGAGTAGAAAAAAGAATCGTGTGTTTACTTACTAGTAACCTTTGGAAGCAGACAAATAATACATAGTTTTTAGTCTCGGTTTTATTATTCTTATATTGTATGTTTTTTCAGCCCTGTACAATTATGTGCGCTTTGTACTCGAGTCCTATCACACTACAAGCTCGCCCTGTCTTTGATAGCCAAGTACTCATTAAAACAAAAGGGTTTGCGGTCGTATAATGAATGACCTCCTAGGTGTAATGGCGTTGGGTGATGGCGTGTGGTCTGGAGTCCCACATCTGACAAAGTTAGCCTCACCTCGAAACAATAAATAGGAGCTTGGAAAAAGGGGCTTGTGTTTTACCTATGTCGCGTACAACAGGGCAACAACCGAATTTAAACAAAGCAGATTATCAACAAAACAAGAAACAAAAGAATGGATGCAAGGATACCTGTGTGGCAAGGCGTCAAGTGTGAATGCGATGTATCTGTTAAGCACATTTGGCGACCGCTGTCCGTCGACGGGCGCATGCGGAACCACGTCGACATTCTATAGCCTGTCATCAGGATGCCAGGCGAACTTTGATACGTGTGTCGTCCTAGTAGTATTTGTTTGTGGAAGAAAAGGGGCTGGAAAGAAAAAAAAAAGATTGATGTGGGGAGGCTGCGAAGGGGATAAATTTCGGGCGCAATACCTCAGCACCGTGTTCTTACAAAGTAAACATAAAAATATATAAAAAAAGAATAAATAAAGCATGACAAGTGATATAACTAAAAGGCAAGTGTAAGGAAGTGTCCAACCCTTGTCCTTCCGTTTTCTTAGAATGTTATCACGGCCGGTGGGCTGGGATTTAGGTAGGCAGGGACGGAAGGGAAACTGGTAGTATGTCATCTAGAGCTTGTTTCGCGGTATGCGCTGGTAGGTTGAAGACGAGGACGTAGCTCAAAGAGCTGCAATGGAGGATGAGCTGGCGAGTCTGGCTACTGGCGGGACTGGCCGGCCCGGTGGTCGGTCTGTGGCACCAAGTCAGCATAACGTGACTGGGAACGTTCTTGGGAAATGTGGGGAATTGGGCTGAATCCAAACTCTCAGGAGCAACCATGGAATGAGGCCAACCTTTCGGCGAAAAATCCACTTTTGGCCATTCAAAAGGGCCCATACTGTTTATTGAACACCCTAATGACCGCACATCTCGCATATATCTTAATTACACTTTACAACGAGCAACGCACTGCCTGATACAAAGCATACAGCAAAAAATGGCGGCACAAGTCCACCACGGCCACGAGGCACCCGACATCGACACTGACGTCGACGCCCTCAGGGCGGCGTTTAAACGAATTCGTGGGCCGTATCCAAAGCCACCCGACAAGGAGGCATACGAATTTGTGCGATCCAAGTGTCCAGCCCTCTCGTCAGAAGAGTCAAAAAAAAATACTCTCATTACAACCACATTTGGGGCTTTGGGGATCTCCTTCACATGCACGCAGTGATCAAGGCCGACGACCTTCCAGCTATGCGCGAGCTCATTCGACTCGAGCCGGACCTGCTGAGATGCGAGTGGCCAGGAGATATGGAGTGCCCACCGATGGTGTTGGCCGCGCGCTTGAGCCGTCACGCGATCCTTGATCTCCTGATGAAGCACCGGGCTACGCTCCCGCCCGAGATGCGGGTCCCGCCAGTCTACGAAGACGACAACGACCGTGGCAACTGGGGCACGCCGCTGACAGAGGCTTGTGCAATGGGCCGCCTCGACACCGTACGCCTCCTACTACAAGGCATGCCTGAGACAGACATTAACGAGGTGACTAACGGCGGCTTTACACCACTTATAGCCGCAGCCCACGGCCACAGCGGCCCTCCCGAGGCGCGTGTTGAGTTGATCCGTTACTTGCTTGAGCGTGGCGCCGACATACACGCCATAGTGCCAGACTCCTTGGCGCCTTGGGAGACCCTCGACAAGGCATACGACAAAAGCGTCGAGGATGGCCCATATATCTTACGGCCACGTCCTGGCGGACGTGGTAATGTTTTGGTGTGGGCTCTAAATTCTGGCAGCACAGCCCCCGCCGTGGTCGCGTTATTAGTCGAGGCCGGTGTGAGCGTGTATCAGAGCTACTTGCACAGGATCCAGCGCATTAACAAAACAGACGATCAAGACGTCGGCACACACGTTCACCTTACATACGACAGGGCCTACCTTTCGCCCATCGCCACGGGCGCAATGTACCACGACATCGACGGCGTGAAGGCGCTGTTGAATCTCTTCCCTACCGACCACGAGCGCCTCCTGGCCATGACGGATGCAGTCCTTGTGCCCCAGCCCCCAGCTCCGTTACGGGACCCAGACGACGAGGTTCCTGTCCTACTACCCCTCCACGCAGCCGTAATAGGTTCGTGGCGTGGCGTATACGTATGGACTCCAGACAGCTGTAAAGCAGCCGTGGACATGGTGCGACTACTCACGGCCGACAAGGACATTTGCGCGGCGACTATTAATGCCCGTTACCGCCGACACTATACGGCGCTGCACATGGCCACGAGTTTTGACCGTATACCTTTAATGGTGGCACTGGTCGAGCTAGGCGCTGACATCGAGGTTCTACCCGGCCGAAATGGCCCCGGCATCATCCTTGCCCTCTTTTCGTCTGTCTCCCGTGTCAATAACTGTAGTTATACACACGAGGCGTCCCAGTTGGCTTACACCGTGGACGTATCCACCGACATACTGGCCGTGCTCACGAGACTACTACAACGGTACAACCCGCGTGGCGAAGATGCAAACGTCGATGCGCAAAACGCAGCCACCCGCATCGCCCTCGTAAACGAGGCCGACACCAACGGCAACACGCCGCTCCATTTTGCCATGGCCTACCGGATGCCGCGGTCGGCCGCGGCGCTGCTGGCCCTCGGTGCGCGGGCCAATGCTGTGAACAAGGCCGGGCAGGTGCCGTACACACCGCCACCCGGGCAGGAGCACTCCTTCTAGCATTACATAGTAACCAAGGGGGGTGGTTCTATTAGTTGGTCAGGCTAGGGAGCTTTGGTGTTCTATGAATACTAGAGATTGAATTAATAAAATTTATCGGATTTCGTTTTAAGAGTACAAAAAGGAATCAAGGAATTAGTGCCTTATATTCGGAATGTATTCATGAACGAAACCAATGTTGAAAGAACTGTGAACTGCTAAGTTAGCTAATATAAGTTGACTAGAGGTAAATAGACAACCTCACGAAAGTGCTGTGTGTCTACTCTTTTTTTTGCTTCCTATGCAAACAGTCGCACGTACGCGTGAAAGACAACTAAGGTAAATCTCTTGGCCGCATACATTATTCATTTCCCCACACCTCAGACCGTCACCAAGTCATCATTTCCTTCATTCACCTCAACCGAATCGGCTTGTTGGTCGGGTCCTCTTCCATGTCGCGGACGGTCTTGAGGTAGTTCTTGACCAGGTAGAACTTGATGAGGCGGTCGAGAGGAAATTTCTTGCTCTTGTACCACGAGATCATCTGGGGAGTGTACTGCACGTAGCGTATTACTAAACGATGACTTTACAAGTTAATCCGGTTCGTCAGACATGCCTTCTCAGGACATTCACCTCTTTCCGTGATGTCCATGAGCTTGTTGCCAGTGAGCATGTAGGGAACGATCTGAATCTCGAGGCCAGCATCCATGTGAGCAACACTCAACATAACCATCTCGACCTGCTCGGCCGTGGTTTCAAGGCCCTGCTTGATCAGCGGTGTAACACCGGTCGTGTCAACCGTAATGGTGGAGCCCGAGCCGCTCGTACTGTTGCGGATATCGTTACCGCCGCGACAGTGAGATCATCCTGGAGATTGCCTACACGGCAACCGAAGTAGGGCCATGGTCGTCGGAACAAGGAGGGCAAGCCACTCCATCTCCAACCCCGTTCCTGCCGGACAATCTCCAAGACAGAGTGCACACAGCAAACGGATACGTGGACAGGTTCATTGTTTTCCACCTGCACATCCCCATAGATGGCAATTCGCTGCATGTCGGGGGTGGTGGCGGAGGCTTATACGACTGGTATCTTGGCGTGTCTGCTCTGAACATGTTCCACGGCCAATACATGTACGAGCTTGCCGGGGGCGTCGACACCGACTTTCCAGAGGATCGGGTCAGAAATGACCAAATTAGAGGTGCAAACCCGCTCAATGTGCGCACTGTTCCCCTCACCTGCGGCATCAACACTCCCACGGACGAGCAGAACCGATGGTATTTGTGTCAGGACCGTACACCCCAAATACAGGCTCTGCTCGAAAACCGGCGTAATACTGAAGCCACGCTTGCCACTGCCATCAATTCATGGGCGAACAATCTATATGAGCGCGGCGCCTTCACCCCTAGGGCGCAAAATGGCGGCACTGGTACTCTCAACTACATATGGCCCTCTGTGAGCCGAACGCAGGGAACAGGTTTCGGAAACTACAACCCCGAAGAGTATGCGTTTGATGCAAACTGGTGGCCTGAGTCCGGATAGCGGGCAGATGGCGATGGCGATGGCAGACGGTAGATGGTGGATAGTGGCCATCTCACTGCTCACTCGGCGCATTGGTTTGGCGTCGCCTTTTGTCCTTTGTCCTTTGTATTTTGTCTTTGGAAGTGGCGGTATCTTGTCGTCGCCCAGGCCATTGACGTCCTTCAAGCCTTCAAGTATTCGAGGACTTCGCCGCCTGCGAATTGTAAATGCCTGTGTTGTCTTTGGGGGCAAACTCACCAATGGCTTTTCTTTTGTATCTCGATGGCGTCCTGATATTCTTTTGATAGTTCTCGTAAGAGACTTGTGGGCGAGGCCTGTTGTTTACTGTCGTTTGGAGAATGCCAAAGGCAAAGCCGTTGCCTTTGGCTCTGGCGTGCGTGGAGGCCAACGATCGTGTCCTTCATGTCCAGCATCATAGACATGATTTTTTGATTTTTTGATCTTCTGGCTTTGTGATTTTTGACTGTTTGACACCGTCGAGTCTCGTTGAAATCGCCGCTCGGGACAGCGTCGCAGGCATTGCTGGCGAAAGACTTTGAATTGTTTGTGTATCTTGCAGCGCCGAGGGTGATGTTACGCTATGCTAACCGAACAGGAAGGAACCACCTGGTGTCAAATGTCAGAAGAAAGGATTGGTCGGGGCAAAATTATGGCCCGAGGATGCTATACAGAAAACCGCTAATTAAAGGGTGGATCCAAATAATCAACCACACAAAGCCCGTTCTAAAGTAGCAGGAACTCATCTAACAACCATCAGGAAGGTCGACTCGTGCACACATCCACCCTCTTGGGCGCCGCACCTTCCCGCCGGGATGGTATGCGCAACAACATGCACGAATATAAAATGTAGAGATAATCTTGCACGAATCGGTCGCCTTGCAATGTACAGTGCTGCCTGGCAGAGAACAAGTACTCAGGCTTTGAATCGAAAACGAAGACGAAATCGAAATGGCGACACAAGACAACCACGGTCCGGATGGCCTCAACGGCCTCAATGTCGACACCGCCGTCGACGCTGACGCCGACCCTGGCTTGGCCCTCAGGGAGGCATTCAGAACAATGCGTTTTGAGTATCGACATCCAGCCGGCAAGGAGGCATACGAGTTTTTGCGAACACAGTTACCGGCCCTCATGTCAGAGAAATACACCCATTACCACAAAATGGTAGACTATGGGAATCTCGCCCTCATGCATGAAGTTATCGAGGCCGACGATGTTCCGGCTATGCGCGACCTGATCCGCATGGAGCCGGACCTGATCAAGTCGGATTGGGACGGAGAAATGCTGTGCCCGCCGATGGTGTTGGCCGCGCGGCTAGGCCGGCACGCTATCCTGGATGTTATGATGAAGCACCGGGCCACGCTCCCACCCAAGATGCGCGTTATTATCCCAGAGTACCGGAACGACGACCACTATCTTCGATGGGGCTCGCCGCTGACAACGGCCTGTGCATGGGGCCGCCTCGACACAGTGCGCTTCTTACTCCAGGGCATGCCCGATACGGACATCAACGAGGTGGCCCTCGACGGCTTGACACCACTGTTGGCCGCCGTCTGGGTCCAAATCGGTCCGTCTGAGAAAAAAGCGCGCGTTGAGCTGATTCGTTTCTTGCTCGAGCGTGGCGCCGACATCTACGCCGTTCGCCAAAAATATGATTACATATCGCCAGACAAGACTTCTGGAAAGGGATTCGACGAAAACGGCAATGAATGTCCGATTGGGTGGCGGACACGTCCCGGCGGGATCGGCAACGCACTGGCTCTGGCGTTGAGCTCCGGCCGCACAGCTCCCGGCGTCGTCGCGGTGCTCGTCGAGGCCGGCGTGAGGGTGTATGAGGGCCACTTGGATAGAGTCTCTATCATCGATATACCAGATGAAGTCAGCCGTTTTCGCCGTGCCAAGGTCTACATTTCACCCATTGCTGTCGGTGCAAAAAGCCACAATGTCGACGGCGTGAAGGCGCTCTTGGCGCTCTTCCCCGACGACCACACCCGCCTCCTGACCACGATGGATGTAGTCCTTCTGCCCCAGGTGCCTCAGCCTCCAACGCCGCTACGCGATCCAGATGACGACGTCCCAGACAACGAGGTCGCCGTCCTGCTGCCCCTTCATGCGGCGGCAATGGGCACGGTTCGTCTCGAAGAACCAACGCTGGATTCTATCACGGACGAATGTAAAACAGCCGTGGACATGGTGCGGCTGTTCACCGCCGACAAAGCCATTTGCGCGGCCACCATCAATGCCCGCTACCGCGGACACTACACTCCGCTGCACTTGGCCACAGGGTTCCATCAAATGCCACTGATGCTGGCACTGATTGAGCGTGGCGCTGATATCGAGGCTCTGCCCCGCCACAATGGCCCCGGACTTATCCTGTCCATTTTCTCGTCCGTCTCCCGCAACTCCCACTGCAGCCATGTGCGGTATGAAGCGTCGCCCTGGTTTGCCGCCGAAATGGACGCATCCTTCGACGTCATGGGCATGCTCAAGCAGCTTCTCGCACGATACAGGCCAACGGGCAAGGACGCACAGCTCGATGCGCAAAACGCAGCCACCCGTCTCGCCCTCGTCAATGAGGCCGACGCCAGGAACGGCAACACGGCGCTCCACTTTACCATGGCTTATCGCATGCATCGGTCGACCGCTGCGCTGCTGGCCTTTGGTGCGCGGGCCAATGCTGTCAACCACGCGGGACAGGTGCCGTCCGCACCACCACCTGGAGAAAAGCCGTCGTTTTAGCTCATGTTGAGCTCAATAAGGACATTCTCGATTAGATTTTTCGGGCGGTATACGTCGTCGAGGTCGTATTGAGTTGTTATTGGCGTATTCGCGTTTGTGCGTATGTGTATCTCTTTGGAGCCGTCGTTTTTCTTGGGCCTTTTTGCTCTTGGGCTTTTTTTCTTGGTTCTGAATGGCACCGTGCAGCTTGCTGTTCATTATGTTTATTTTAAGGTTTCTACCTAAACCGAATGCATCAGAGGCACAGTGGATTGAACCTGCCACTGGCTGCCAGCACACGGCGCCATACCGCTTTCACGGCAGCGTTGCGATGGTTAAAACAACCAAGAAGGACGGCCAAATGCACCTACTGAGCATCTGCAGACGAGAGACTGCAACTATCTTGTCAGCCTCACCTGTGGGCGGCGGCACGCGGATGTCTGGCGAATTGGAAGTGGGTGCAGGTGCGGGAGGCGAGCAGATACGAACTTCAGACAGGAGACGAAGGGTGGAGAGAACAGGAGAAAGGTGAGGGCAGAAAAGAAGGGGGGGTACAATACCAAAAACCGGCGGACTGTTTTATGTTTTACTCTTTAAAGTGTTTATTATTTTACTGATATAATTTGATATTTACTTTGATGGTATGGAGAACTCTGAGCCTGTTCCAACCCTTACCTGGCAGGCGCATAACACTCTAAATGGGAAAGAAGCAACCACCACGAACACCGAACAGGCACTGTGACAGCATAGCTTGCAACCGTCGCTTCCTTCCGCAAGGGAAAACGTTAGACGAAAGAAAGTACGTTCATGGCCTCCGGACCACTGGATGCTACTAACCCATCCTGCGTGGTCCTTCCCTACGAAGAAGAGACATTAATACGTCGTAATACGGAAAATGCCATTGCCCTTTCCATTCTCCATCTTGTCTACACGGTACAGAGCATGCGTGCCAGGCGAGGGAGGAACAGGGCAGCAGGGGGAGAAAATAAGAAATAAAAAGGTGAAGAACGACTGGTGCGGAATGGAAAGAAGAAAAGAAGGAAAGAAGGGAAACGAGGGACAAGTCAAGGGCCATGCACGGGCCAGTTAACGGCGACCTAGGCGAAATGAGGACTAGCGCACTGCGGTTGCTTGGTCTTTCCCTTTCCTCGTTTCTTCGCCCATTACAACGTATATCTCGCAGCGTCATGGAAGGACGTCCCATAATCGTACAACAAAAAACTCGGATCATGTGAAAAAAGTGACTAAAATAGGTCATGTGATCAATCCGTCAGGAACGCGCGCGATTACCCGCGCGTCAAAAAAGTGAGGCTACAAAAATACATCACGAAGAATATCGTTAAAATAACCACGTTTTATATTAAGTAGAAGAAAATTATTTTTATGTTATAAATATATTAATTACGCGTTGTTTTTTAGTACTCTTTTTTATTTTTGTCATAGTATACCCAAACACCGTTGAATGTACGGGGATTCAACGGGGGGGCGCGGCCCGCCAGTATGGCCGCCGTCAGCCGCCAGGGCCCTGGCCAGTTGTCGGGCGTCTACAGGCCCCTTCCACTCACTCGTTATTCGTTAAAGAATCCACGGTGATTCTACAGATAATAATATAAGCTCATCCGAGCCCTCCCCTCTCGATGAGGCGGGGTAAGGATTAGATTTTGCACATCCTACTACCTACGTTTTGGCTGTCTTGCTTCGTGATCCTCTCTCTATTGAACCCCTATCCCTAGGACCCTCTGACAGCCTGCACCACCGATGAATTACACTGCCGGTTGCGCTCCGGCCTCACAGCAAGGCCACTCCTCCGGTGGCTTATCCGGAGCGAGAGGCTGCCGGAGTATAGCCTTGCCCGGGCGCTTGAACAAACACCAGCGTAACGCTACTACTTTCCTTTATTCTTACTTCCTCCCTGTTGTCTCCTTGTTTTGCCTTCTTTCTCTTTTCTTTTCTTCTTTATTACCACTCGACAGGCCCTATTAGAGGGCTGCTGCACAACCCCGGCACATAGAAAGTGCTCACGCATAGATCTGTGGTAGTTTTTTCCCCATGAGGGTTCTGCCTAGCTAGACGCCAATAGCCAGGACTGGCTGAGAAAGGCGGATAATAATAATAATAATTCAGGGATTAATTCACGGTTTATGAAATCATATTTGCTTAGTTACATCGGACAAAAAGTCAACAACTACAATCAAGATACGGAAAACAGCGAAAATTGACTTCAGAGTCAAAAGTGTCATCTTTTCATATTCAGCGGTACAATTACTTTCCCCTTCAGTTAATTTTTAAGACCCCTCTGAGTTTCTTCTGACTTCGCGGCACGTCACCAGTTGCACCTGCCTTAGTCTCGATTCTCCGTTCCTGCCGTAGTTGTTAAAAAGCGGGGCAACGGCGTGTCGTTTTGTGTCACAGCAGGAAGGAGCGACGTCCCTTGATGTCCTTCGACAAATGCAAACCAAAACGCAATCTCTCTATTTCAACAAACCAGCCTGCAAACAAGATGTGCGGACTAGACGCAAAGACTTAAGATAGCCTAGAAAAATAGCAGAGACGTAGTGCTCTGTCTGCTCAAGGGTAAGTTCTACGATGCCATTGCTGCTTCAAGTTGGCATTTAAGCGAGATCTGAGGCTAGGTCAATTGTCACATTGGACCTCGACAACTCCTTCATGCACAGCACTCCTGATGCTTCCTTAACCCTACTACTACCTGAAAGCTTCAAACGATCTACTAGGCAAAGTTTTCATTTGTCTAATTAACTTAGTAGACGGCCGCTTTCGACCCTCCTTGCGCTAGAAATGGAGGAACGCACGACCCTCTATGACCGCGTCCGGGCTGCGTACGACCTTGGTGAGGACGACAGCGATGCTGACGCTTCGAAAATTACTGGCCCACCTGTCTCCTCCCCATCCACGCCACCGCAGCTTTTGGACCATCTGAGAGAGCTAAAAGTCAACTCCATCCGCGTCCCATTTGACCCCGACGACCAGTCGGATGACGAGGTCGTCATCACGTCTATTTACAAGCGGGACAACAAAGGTGCCAAGGGCTATGGCCCCGGTAACGGTAGCACCGACCTCGCCGGCCCGAAGAAAACTTTGTCACCTGAAGCCCCCGCATTCCAGCCGGCGACTATTCCACTTGTCGACCTCTACAGCAGCAAGGGTACGGGGAGTGTAGACGCCAGGAGCGGCGATAAGTATCCCGGCAACCGCGTTCCATTCTGCCCGTGGCTCATTGTGAGAAACTACCACTCCTGGTTTGTCGGTAAACAAAACGGTGCGCGCATTGGGCCCTATTTTGAAAAGGAAGCTATTTTGAAAGTGCAGGCTTGGGATTTTTGCTACGTGTGGCATCCGGGCAAGGGCAAGGAGAGCAAATATATCCTCCTGGTCCCGACCAGCCAGTTCCAGCACTTCCTTGACCGGATCAACCAGACCCTCAAAATCCAGCTAACGATCCCTCCCGGTGCCAATGGAGACAAGTTTGCCGTTGTCTTCGGCCAAATGAAGACGCCAGTGCCTCGGTTTTTGGGCCGGGCACCGAACCTGCTCGCGTTTGAAGCCTTGGCCAAAGCAGTGCCACCTCTCGATCCTGCTGACGCAATATTCGAAATGGCTCACGTGAAGCCCCAAGCCAAAGAGATGTTCGTCAGAAAGGTTGGGGCATTGTCGTACCAATATGGCAAAGGCTCCGACAAGAAAAACAAGTCGGAAAAGGTGCAAATGAAGCGGCTTCGTGAACGACGCGAATGGGGTCGACAGATAAAGCGAGTTCAACGGTATATGGGGATTCGTGGGAAAATCGACACTTGTGAGGACAGAACTTGACTGACATATCCCACTTGCCTGCGGATCTCTTGTGGACAGGGCATGCTAACTCGCGCCCTTTATAGTTTCGCTTCAAAGCAATAGCGCTCGCTACGTCATGCAGTCGCTTAACTACTTTTCTGTCCCTCCGTTTGCCCAGGAGAATGATGCCGTCTTCGTGGCAATGGACATTGAGTCCTTTGAGTTCGACCACAGTGCTATAACTGAGATTGGATTTGCGATTCTGGACACCCGGAATTTTACCGGAGTGCCACCTGGCCCGGGGTGTGCAAACTGGCTGGCTCTCATTCAAGGCCGCCATCTCCGCATCGCCGAGCATATGTCCATGGTCAACCGAGTGCACGTCAAGGGTTGTGAAAACAACTTTAACTTTGGGTTTGTCAATAGAGAAGAACAAATGAAACCTTACAACCGTTCGCACTCTTGCCCTTCCTTGCTAACTGTTTTTCGCCCGTGTAGCCGAAGCGAGTTCATTAGCATCAAGGACATCCTTCACGTTGTTACCCGCATCTTGCAGCCACAGCTGCGGGACGGATCCCGGAGAAATGTCGTTTTAGTTGGCCACGATATCAAGAGCGACATTTCTCTGATCAAGAACATTGGATTCCATATGACGGATGGCATGTTCTTGGAAGTTGTTGACACACAGTACTTCCACCAACACCTACGCATGAAAAACCAACAAACAGGCCTTAAAGGTGTCCTGGCAGACCTAGACATTGACCACTACTTTCTCCACAATGGTGGCAATGATGCAGTCTACACTCTCCAGGCGATGGTCCGAATTGTGGTCGAGAAACGTGAGGCGAGTCTCCGGCGCCACGCGGAACGTCTGCGCCCAGGGTGAGTTTTGGATCTGTCCGCATCCCAAATCCCCAAACCTTAATCTAACTCCGAACACACAGTTTCATTCCGGATGCAAGCATTCTCGAGGAAGGCTGGGACTCTGGCGGTGAGATGACTGACGGCAGCCCTTATTTGAACTGGCCGACCGGAGGCTACGCGTCGAGCAACAGTGGCACACCATTTGCGTTCCCATCCACTACCGACAAAGCTTTCCCTCAGAAAACACGAAAGTCAGGATCGCCGGCAGGCAAGACGGCGGGAAAACCGGCATGGAAGTCGCCGGGCAAGTTGCTAGGCAAGTCGGCAAGCAAGGCGGAAAGCAACACGGAAAGCAACGCGGCCGGAACCAGCGATGCTACGAATGAACAAGAGGATCTCATCACACTGTGATGGCATGGTTATTTTAATTAACGTACCAAGCGGCCGGGCGCCCAATCATGATACCAAAGACAACGAACAGCATGTGGTGACGAGAAAGGGGTGTTTTTGAGCAGAGAACTTTCGAGCGTGTTGATTTTTGCTCGCGGACAACACTTCCCGAGTAAGAGAGTGGGATCTAGAAGACAATATGCTAGTACAAAGTACAATAGAAAGCGTGACTGCCACCTTCCCGCAAGACAGCCATAAAATAAAACAAATAAGACAAAGTCCAAAACAAACGCCAGTGCTATGAAAAATAAAATGATATCCGGTATGTAGTTGTTTGTTGTTACACGTCGACCGATGCGACAAAACGTGTGAGTTTCGACATCCCCATTGTAGTTGTAAATTCGTTTTAAACACGTCTTGCCTCGAGAAACCCCTAGGTAGCACTTATTCGCACAAGAAAGTGGTGTCATGTCGTCTTCTCGAGAAGTTCTTTCGCTTCGTTGACCTTTGTGGCGAGGTATGGGCTGCCACCGCGATCGGGGTGGTTCAGCAGCATCAGTGTGCGGTGGGCTTTGCGGACCTTGTCCTTCGTGACTGCGCGCTCACTGCAACAGTTGTTAGCCAGTTGTACGTTTTGTGAAAACAGAAGGCGACAAACGTACTTCAGTGACAGAATCAACGTCGCTTCTTTCTTGGTCATCTTGCCCTCGAAGCCGCCTTTGTAGAATGCCTTGCCTAGCGAGCCGACACCGCCGCGCGACCGACGGAATGCAACAAGACCAGCGCGACCCTGCAAAAACACGTATGTTAGTAAAGGTTTGGGCAGGTGGGTGGAACTAAAAGGGTGTGCCCCTGCCAGTCGCAAGAATCTTGCGATGAGGGGAAAAGAAAAGCACCTACCAGAAAAGCGGCGACCGCCACGCCAGCACCAATTGCGACTGCAGAAGCCATTGTATATTTATGTCAGGGTTTCGATAGGTATATGAGTCGAGGGCGCAAAGACCGAGAGGAGTTGTGCTTGTCGTCGTGGCTGGTGCGTCGCAATGTGCAGCGAAAGAAAATCTTCGACGTCCGGCCCTTCGTGATGGAAGGGACCGGAAGCAAGAGGCGATTGCAGAAAATGGTTAAGCCGACACTCGTCTGTGCGATGTGATTGGTTGGAATGTAGTTTGGCAGAATTACACTAGCCACACTTCAGCCACATTAGATGCTGGAGTGGTTGTGCTGAACGGCGATAACGATAAGGCCCCACCAAAGAGATTTTTTGAAGTACCATCAAAAAAATTGGCAAAAAACCGAGACTGGCCGTTCGCCGCCTTTTTTTCCTGCGTTTGTTAGCGACGTCTTTTCCCTTCGACCCTTTGACAAGACGACACACAGCCTGTCGGCAAGCAACCACACATAGACGTTTCGAGTTTCATACACCGTCAAGATGAGGTATGCTTTTGTTCATTTTATGCTCTTTAGAGTAACGAGACCTGTTGCTAACTTTATTTCTACCAGAGTCGAAACGTGCTACTTTTGCTCTCGGTAAGAGCCGACCACATCCTGCCTTTCGACGATGTTGCGCATACGACGATACGATACGTTGGCGGACGACATAAAATGATACGAAGAGCCAGAAGACTGACTGTGTTTGGATACAGGCCAACGTACCCAGGCAAGGGTATTATGTTCGTGCGGAACGACAGCAAGACATTCCGTTTCTGCCGGAGCAAATGCCACAAGAACGTAAGTTGGGATCCATGTGATGGAGATCCATGCGGAGAGGGAGAGACGAGGAAAACCGAGCCAGATCTTTCAGCGAATAAGAGCAGCATGCTGACATGTGTCATTCCCCCTGCCCAGTTTAAGATGAAGCGCAACCCGCGCAAGCTCAAGTGGACCAAGGCCTTCCGCAAGGCCTCGGGCAAGGAGATGGTTGTCGACTCGACTCTGCTGTTCGCCGCCCGCCGCAACGTTCCCGTCCGCTACAACCGCGAGCTCGCCGCCAAGACTCTGGCCGCCATGGACCAGATTGCCGAAATCCGCGCCCGCCGCGAGCGCCACTTCTACAAGCGCCGCATGGCCGGCAACCGCAAGCGCGAGCTCCTGGCGGCGCGCAAGCTGGTGGCCGAGCACGGCCATCTGCTTATGCCGCGGCCGCAGCGACCCCTGCACCCCAAGCTGCGCGCGGCGGCAGAGGCCAAGAAGCTGGCGGCGCTGCGGGAGGCAGGAGTGGACGTGGACGTGGAGCTCGAGGACCTGGAGGTGGACACGACCGACGGCGTCAAGAGCAAGACGGCGGCACGGAGAGTGGTGCGGCAACGCATCACGGCCGATGGACGGGTGGAGCTGGCCGAGGAAGACGTCGGCAACTCGTCGGCGCTGGTCGACGAGGATGCTGGCGACGACGACTTCGACGAGGACGACGACGAGATGGACATGGACTAAGCGGAGAGACCAATGCGGAAGCAGCGCATCCTTGGCCTCTGTCGACAAGAACATCAGACCGAAACGAGCGGTTTACGATTTGTTTCCTCTCTCCCTCCTTTTCTTTATCGCCTCTTTTCCTCTCGATCTCCTTTGCGCAAGTCGGACTCTACAAAACGTTACTTGGGATATGGGGGGTTTGGCGTTCCTGGCGTGCATTTGCCTATTTATATTTATTATTCCATTCATACACATGCTTGGCGGCCCTTTGGACTTGACATGGTGTTTTTTTCTCTCTTTTTATGCCTTCAAAACACGCAAACATTTAGCTTCGTTTCATGGTTCCCGGTGCCCATAGGATCTATTCTAGCCAATCCAAAGTCGACGGCTTGCAATGTCGAAGAATAACCTTTGCTGGTATCATACACAAAGAAAATACATGGACAAGACGTCCTCCGCACCCTTACTTCTCCCGGTCGCGTGTCACCGGTGTCTGGTGGTACGCCTTGGGCGGCATGGCCAGACCAGCCTCAACATCTTGTTGGATCTGGGCCGCAATAGCAGCCTCTTTGCGTTTCTGCTCCTCCTCAAGGTCAGCAGCGGCCGCGGCCGACGCCGCCCAGTTGCCTGCTCCACCACGCCCGGACAGACCAGGCCGTGGGCGGGCTGACGACGGTGTTACGAGAGCGGGTGAATCGGCCGATGCGGGGACCGTACTTTTGGTCGTTGTCGCCTGTACACGTGCAGCCTCGACAGCCTCGTCCCGCTCGGCCGCAGCAACGGCCGCCGAGTCGTAAAAGTTGCCAGCACCACCCCGTCCGCCTCGCGTGTATGGCGTCTGCTGCGGCCGGGGAGCAACCGGCGGTTGGGACGTAGCAGCTTCGGTCCCGGCTGTATTCGCCTGAGCTTCGACATCCTGATTGGTACAAGAAGAAACCGCAGTCAGCAAACAGTACAACGACCAAATAGTCAGCTCTGGTACATTCGTAGAGCCGTCGTAAATGCGTCTTCTGCAGGTCACTGTGGTATTCGGGATCCACTTTCCACCACAGGTCGTGGAGAGTGGACTCTTGTTCGTGAGAGGGAGGGGGCAGAGGGCAGAGGGGGCCAGAGCAAAACATACCCGCTTTTCGGCCTCTTCTTGGTCCTTCTTGCTGTACCAGTTGCCGGCGCCACCACGGCCGACACGGAAGACGTCCATTGACATTGTGTCGAATTGGCAGGCTGTGAAGTTGTGAAGTTGCAAAAGGGTTCCTCCGTTGATCACTGCGGTTCGGGCGATGTGAGGTTGGTTGCAAGAAGTAAAAGAAGCTGGTACGTGACGGTCGTTGTCAGTTGCAAAGCACGGCGAATCACGGTTATGCCAGTGCCGATATGGCCTAGGTCCTTTAACAACGGGTATTACTCATTAGAAGAACAACCGCGCACAGCATCATAACTTATCTCATACGTGTGCGAACTGGTATGTGGTCGGAACTACATACTCGCATAAAGTCTAAAAGAGGCATGTTACTTATCTCGCCATCATCACTCCTGTCTCCAGCCTCCCTCGTCCCACATCAAGATACCGATTTTAAAATGTTGTACGAAATCTCCTTATTCGACAGAATACCACATCCAGGCTAGTAAATAAAAAGAGGAGACAGAGAGGGGCCTGTAAGCAGGGGGTTCCTTTGTGCCACTGTTCTGAGCGCGCTGCCATTCGCCAAGACCACTTCTGCATTCGTCCAATCGTCGATCCAAGCGACAGACAAAAACGCTTGGCTTGTTTTTTTTTTTTTTTTTTTTTTGAAGGTTTCCACAAGACTCTGGCGAGATGCGTTACCGTGAGGATTTCCAGGATCGGCAGTGTGGGGATGAGGACTACAGAGTGAAATATAAAATAGAACCAAAAAATAACCCACGAGAAAGAAACGTGTCAAACCCTAAGCTACCATTCTCTTGTTCACTTCCTGTTGCCTATTCCTTTTGCTTGACGACCTCATAACAGAATACCAAATCATCTGACAAACGAAACAATAATTACCTCAGCTGGCCCATTCCTCCGCAACTATTGTATGGGGAGCCTTTTTCTATCTTCCAGCTCCTTGTTTACCCCCGCGTGTGGATGTTTCTGGGTGGGGGCCTCCTCTTTTGTGGCTCTCGTCTTCACGAAAAATCCCAAATCGTACGGCTGGCTCTTTGTCCGCCGTACGTTTTTATTTTATTTTATTGTATATTTTTATGCACGTTTACATTTCTCGTTCTCGCGTCACCCTTCTCCCACCCCTGAGCCCCGCTGGCGCAGTCGTCGTTGGCCTATGGAGTGCTCCACGGCATCATATTGTAAGACTACTATCTTGGTTTTTTTCCTCCTTGCATTTCACTATTGTGTAGCCCAGTGGCTCCTCGCGCACCGGAGCAATATGAGCATCCATAAAGACTCTTCTGAAGCCTTATATAAGAAGAGCAGGATATGTTTCAATATGTCGTAAAACTGTGGGAGAATAGGCCCCGGAAAAGAGATAATACGTCTTTCGTCGTCAAAGGTCTAGGTCTGTAATTTTTTTTATGTGTATCGGTGACTAGAATGCTGTATTCCGTACTGATTTCCTATTTTGGGTCTAGTGGCTGAGGGCTCTGGCCAGCTGATGCAAGACACGAAAACGGTCGATTTGATGCAACTACATCCAAGGCCTCCGTCGTCAAGCCCCCACAAAAACGATGACTGTACCAAGTACTGCTCTCTCCTGTGACTTCTTAGGATATTTTGGGCGTTCCGTTTCTGGCAAAGCAGGTGACGTCGTCGACAATAACTGGCCAGATCATGGGGCAGTATGGCTTTGTGATACAAAGTTCCGAGAAACCCTTTTGTTGGGATGTGGCCACGTTGTCTTGGCTATTTCGTCGTGACCTTAAGTGTCTGCCTGGCGTTTCGAATTGTGCAGTTTCGGAGCCTGGTGGAGCTCAGTATCGGCTGAGCCATCACCACCGAAGGCTTTGCTCTATTATTATAATGAGTGCGAAACGGAACATCTCACGCTCCCTGCAAGTTTCGTCTTTAAAGGACCTTTCGATACAAGGTACCGAGACAGCTGGCCAATGCACACCCAGAAAAAGTATATTCTAGAATGTAAGAAGTCTGGTAATGCCTAATGCTTCCATGGCCGGGCACAAGCAGGTTTGACGTATTTTCGAGGACAACATCTGGACCATCTTGCTAGTTCCGTGCATAGGCCACCAACGCCATGGTTGGACTTGTGTGTACGTTTTATATAGCCCGCAACCAGCCAATGCATCCTTCTGGTAGACGCCAAGTCATTCGCCTCTGTTGTCATCCAGTGCCGGAGGGCCGCCCAGTCTCGAATCTCCTATCATTGAGCGTGCTACAACAGACTTCGTGCATTTGCAGCCCCCGTTTTGTGTTTATATAGGTACACTTACAACGAAGGTGTTATGCAACAAGTTGCAGGAAAAGGACAGCGGAGTTTTGTTTGCGTTAATGCTTCCGCGACGGATAATAGCGTGGTCGTATTACCCCGTATTTGCACTGGGAGTCAAAATGCCGAACCATCTTGATCGGTGCGGAAATATGCGTCTTTTGAAATACGAGTTAGGTACTGTGCGGTTTTCTTTTCGCCGTGTGAAGTCTTTTATTTTTCGAGAATCACAGAATTAATAACAACGTAACCCTCGTCCAATTCTTGTTCCTTTTGCCACTATGGAGCAATACCTCCTGTTGCACTGTTTCGAGAACCAGTGTAAACTGTTAACCGTTTTTGACCAGTAGAACACTTTGATGCGGTGGTCCTATCCGTTTCGTCCACAACCCGTCCTGCTTCTCAAAAGAGCCAATGGCTGTACCTGAGGTTGCATCCGGTGTTCTGTTTGGTTGCCCTGTCTCTCTGCAGACTTTTGCCTTCTCGAAATAACGCGACCTTGTGACCTATAATGTGCGTGTCCCGTCGTACATTGCCGGGAATCCGGTTTAATTGGCCGATCATGACCTTGCTTGCACACATTCTCTTTTATGCATCAATCTCTGCCTCCTCGTAAGTAAAAAAAATGGCAGCGCCAAAAACAAAGGCGTGGGAAGACGAAATACGCTTCGGTAACAAAGACGAAAAAATGTCATTTTTGTTTTGTGAGACAACTTTCTCAGCGATTTCTTTGGCCTATTCATGGCCAACCGACAAGGGGCGACATACAGAAATACCCATTGTCTTGTCTTGCATGACAAACAAGAGCAAGTTGTGTTCTCTTTGGGCGTCTCGTCATAACTCTGTTGCCATGCCTCGTCCTTGGCCGCTGATAGGCCCACTTCGTAAATGAAATTGGGACCTGACCTGTACGTCTTGCAGGACGCCAGCTATTTTGGCATGGTTGTAAAACGCAATCAGGCACAACATGCAAGTGGGCTTTGATATTGTCGAATGTCTTTTGTCATCCCTCGCTGCCATTACTGCCCTTTCGCCAGCCCTGTCATCATCCTGGATCATTTGCGCCATGTGTTCCTTTCTTGCAAAGCGTTACGACACTCGTCGCCCGTCGCCCCTGGCTATTATTTGCTGACGACCAGACAGGGTAATATTACGACCGGCCAGCTCCGGCCCACGATTGATTATTACGAGGCCGTATCTGGTCTCGCCAGGCCGACTCCGCATCTCAAAATATTCATGCTGGCGGCTAATTCTACGTCTCGTTCGTGAGAGCCTTTTGTGTGATGCTTTGTGGAGTAGGCCAATTCCATGGCCAACACAACACCAGAAACGCTGTGCAATATGCAAGCTGGCAAAGCAAGGTCACGGTCCGCTGGTCAACCCTCCCCTCTTTTATGTTTCCCCTTGCCCCTCTTCGTTGTCGTTCTTGGCCCGGCAAGTTGACAGACACAGCTCTTGGTGTGCGTCGTGATTGCCCGCTATTTCCGCCTCGGCCATCGGTTCGCCTGCAGGTCATCTTTGGTGGGAAGGAACAAGGCGGCCCACAGGAGGAGAAAGAGGGGAAAGCTGCACCGGTGCGTCGTTGCACCAGGAGTTATTCTTTTGGACCTGATAAAAATAGGAGGCTAACAATACGCTTTTATGGGGAAAGGGCGACCAGGGGCAGATGAGGATAAGGAAATGGGGTGTCAAGTGAAGAAACAAGCAAAATAAGGAAGGAGCCGGCTGAAGCACTTCTCACCTTGTGTGTATTCGTACACTCAGTATGACATGTATCGCGTCGAAGCTGGATGCGTTACAACGTCTCAACGTTTACATGTTACTTGACCCAGTCGCGCGCTGGGCGACATGAAAATGAAAATAATAAAACACAACACAGAGTAATTCGCTATCGACGCCCCCTTCTTCCTTCCCCTCCCTTGGTCGCCATGTGCGAATTGCGACTAGCCTACAGTGCGAGATACAGTGCCATTCAGCTTTACCCCACTTGCTCAGTCTCAGGACAGGATAATTTGGGACGCATTTGGCCAGATCACAGTGCGTATGGACTGTACGAAGGAGGGGCGTGTGGTGGTTTCTTGCAGTCTGTCCTTCCAGACGCCCACACCAAAAGGCACCAGGTCCATTCAGCTCGCAATTGGTATCTTCCTTGTACCCCGAATGGCGACTTACACTGTGATCGAAACGAAATCTCCCGCCTGATCTGCGCCGGCCACGTCTGCCAGATTTTAAACAGTACTTAAGAGGGACAATACGTCGAACGTGTTTCGCCACTACCACTGCCACAACCGCAATTCGCGCCTTCCATCTTATTCTCTGCTCTTCCCTCAGGTCCTGGCCTCCCACCTACTCTTAGCCGCCGCCGTCGTCGCCCACCATAACAAACTTGTCACAAAAAAAGTTCGAATGCTTCTGGTGAGCCCTGATAAAGCGCACTCAGTATTTTTATCCTTGGCCTTTGTTGGGCGCGAAGTAGAAAAGTATCTAAAGTTCTAAAACGATGGGGCATCATGCGCCCTCCCTTATAAGATACACCTTCCTGCGCGTTGCAGTGTTAGGGCCAACGGTTAGGCTGCGTGGCCATTACCGCAAACAACCTGTATTTGTACCGTTTTTCTTTCTGGCTGTGTCGCTGGGCCCGGAAGGAGGGGGATATAGGGAATCGTTACTACCGACAATAATTTAAATATAAAGGATTTGGGGTCTCGTGGCTTCCCCCAGCGCAGTCCCATCCCGTGAGCACCAGCTACAAAAACAGAAAGAACAGTATACAGTCTAGCTTGGTAGGAAAGGGGGCGTGTATTCTGTATTCCATACGTACTATGTGCGTCGTAATACTCCGTACTCTGTAATCGGTATCGCCTTGTTTTGTCCCTTTTGTCTTTTGAACCCCCCCCCCTCCCCGGCCGCCAGTTGGCTTTGTCACTTTTCTAGGTCTGCGCCTTCCTTTCCTCACTGTTACTTCTCACACCCCTCACCCCTTCCGAGTTCGAATTGGCATTGTGACTCGTTCCTTCCCCATAGTCTAAAGGTGGCTTTGGCGCGCGCGCGCACACCACTTCCACCACATAACACACCACACTCTGTGCACAAGCACGCTGGGAAATGCACTGCTAGAATATTTTTTTTTGTTCGTCTCCTGTTGTTTCTTGTTTCCCGTTTCTTGACTCAACTACATTTTTGATTCCTTCTTTTTTTGGTTCAACGATCAATTCAGATTCCCAAACGCATTATTGTTTCTTGTTACTCTTCCCCACGATCCCATCACGACACTTTCCTCTCCTCCCAACGCTCCACTATCGTCACCGAAAGGCCGACCCGGATCCATACTACCACGCACACAACCTGTATGAAGGACTGCACTTCCAACAACACACACCGAATCCGTCACAGACATCCTCTCCGTACCTCCACACGCAAGCAATATCACCAAAAGACGACACGTCCGACCATCTTCCGCCGTTCCTTTTAGCATTTTGCTTGAACACTCGCTTGGCTTCGTTTTGGATTACCAGACCCCCGGCAACTTTGCTCCTCCAAGCTCGCTCTCCCTCTTCCCCCCAACCCACGCCATACACAGCCGTCAGCCAGGAAGGGACGAGAGATTTAGGGCGTCTTGTATCGGTCAACCTGTTGACCGATACTATTTTGAACACGAGCAATGGCTTCCTCCAAGGTTAGTCATATTCCCAACTCTGGCATATCCGTGGCGAACCAAAAAATCTCCGGCATTGAGAAAGAGCAATTGAAGACGACAGCAAGTGGCTTTGAAGCGACAGGGAGTTTGGGGGGCAAACAGAACCGAGGCGAGAGGGGCCGACGATGACTCTGCCGTTGCCGGAATGGTGGAGACAAAAGAGGAGGGTCTTCAGGTGTGAAATCAGGCGTCGACTTGTACCGGGATAGGTTCGCTTCGGCTGCACTGTGCAGTTTGCTGATATCGTTTGTTATTTCTTCATTAGGATATCCAGACGTCCCCGAGGCCTTTGGCCCATCGCCCATCGATGTCGAACGTTGCGAATGGTGCTGGCGCCCTGAGCTCCAGCGCATCCAACGGCCTAGCCAGCAGATTGCCGCACTCTAGAAACGGATCCCATTCGATTATCGGTGCGGCTCTCAACTCGGGCCACCGTGTCGGCCGTCGAAAGAGCATGACAAGCCCGGGTGCCACGAACGTGGCCGCCATGGCCGCCATGATCCAGGAAGCAGACGTCTTGCCGAACGGTGCCCTCGCCATCAATGCCCGCCGGAACACATTGTCGAAGCCGGGAGCCAATGCTGTCAGCAGCTCTTTGAGCGGCTTCTCTCGCGGATCCTCCATGGCAGCGGCGATGGCCGCTGGAAACAAGGGACTCATGGGAAGCCTCCCGCTACCGTCGCCTCCTGCGAGCCTACCCAGTCGCAAGTTCCTGACGGCCGACGGCAGCGCGATCGACGATGACGAGGTCGATATGTCCGAGGGCGAGATCGACTCTGCTTCTTTGCTTCGGCGTACCAGTGATGGCCAACCTTTGAAGGAGGGCCGCAGAAGCAGCCGCATAGAGCTCCGCTGCGAGAAATGTGGCAAGGGCTACAAGCACAGCAGCTGCTTATCAAAGCATCTGTATGTTACCAACCTCTGCAGCAGCCACCAGTTCGGCTATAAATGTTTTTGGTTAGCAGTGTCGAGAGGAGTAAACTGACTTTTCTTTTTTGTTACCAGTTGGGAGCACACCCCAGAATGGGCTTTGACTTCAAAGCTCTTGATCTCCAAGCACCAGCAGGTCCAACTACTCGAGGCCGCATCCGTGCTTGTGACCATGACCAACACCGCCGACGCCGACGACAACGCCGCCGTCACTCCTCCCGACTCGACCCGTGACTCTGCTAGCGAAGAGGACCCTGCGTCGCCATCCGCGTCTGGATTCTCCTATCAACACGACGGTCGCAGCTCCGTCGACACCACGCCACCACCGGCACAGATGGAGGGCGGTATGAACATTGACGGTGTTAAGAGGGAATCGCTGTCCTCATACCCGTCCCCGCAGCAGGCTCCAACTCTGAGCCACATGAGTTTCTCGCAACGCTTTGAACAGCCGGGCGGTGTTGCCAACGTTGCTCGCTCGTACCAGTCTGGGCTGCCAGCTAGGAACGGGGACACCGGCCTCGGATTCGGTCACCAACGCCAGGTCAGCCGGGACAACCTGCGTCCTCTTTCGTCGGGCAAGAATGTGACCGGCCAGGAAGACAACGAACTGGCTGCTGCCGTTGAGCTCCTTAGCTGCAGCGTCAACAGCGGTGCGGCCAATGCCAATACTGTGACACCTGGATCTATGCAAGGCTCGGGACAGGTCGTTCCCCCAGTCCCCCCAGTCCCGGCACAGTATCTCGGCCAATCGGCGACGCCCCTCGGCGACACCAGCTTCATCAATAGCTTTCCCAGCCGTGCTCCCGAAAGCTTCACTCGTGGTGATTATCGTCGCTCAAGCATCGTCGACGACGTGAAGATGAATGGGAGTGGCGACAGCGTCATGGGTGACGATGAAGATACTCGGTCGCACGCTCGTAGCGACGACGACGATGACGGCGTTTTTGGCATGGAGGCGTGAAGAAATAACCGAAAGCGCCCAACATAAATGATCAATATCATCAATGGACTGGATCACCGACTCTTTGATGGCAAAAGCCACACGAAAATCACGAAAAGACGAAAAAAAAACGAACAAAGCCCACTCCCAAAGCTGACGAACGAAGTTGGCGACAAAGATAAACGACTGATGACAATTCCCTTTTCGACTCCTGATAAGATTCGACGTGTACTTAACTTTCTTTCCCTCCTTGTCGCGTTCTCGAAGTGACCTAAATGTTAGGAAGGCTATGTGTATCGGCAAATGATTTGCTCCGCCTCCCGACAACTCAGCACCGAAGAGTGGGAAATGCGCTGTAATGGTTTGCCATTGGAGCGATGTTCGCCCACGAGGTTAAAGTGAGGGTCGGCCTTGGTGTCGAGCAGATTTGCTGTTGTATAGCAACCAAAAAAAACAAGAAAAACTAATATAAATAATACAAACTCAAACAAACCAGCGGTGACTGCATCAGACGACGAATGCCGTGCGATGATGATGACGATGACGAGGTTAATGAGGTTGATGGCATTGCACGTTGTAGATGGCAATGCTTCATGTTCTGTGCTGCGCATTTGATGTCGGTCGGCCGGCGCAAACTAAAGGACGGCAATGAGACTGCGCATCACACTTTGACAGGCGATAGAGAATGGAAAGAGCGAACGCTGGAGATGTGCGCTCCATCGATGGCTGTAGATAAAAGCGCGTCGAATTACGGCGTAAGCATGCGACTGTGCAGGTTTGCGGCGTGGTCACGACAATGTTTACAATGGAAGATCAGAGGAAAGAGAGGAAGGAGAAGGGCAAGACTAAGGTTCACACATCTGAGGGAAAGAAGAAGGAGCAAAAGGAAGGACTCAGGAGGAAAGAGCGACCGTCCAACAAAGCCACACCGAAGAGCGTGAACTTAGCATAACGTTAGCTAAGAACACAGAGCTGGGACGGACTTTCGGTGCGGGCCCGTCAGCAAAAGAGGACAAACTGAGGTGAATTGATCTCTGTAGCTTTCTCTAGTAATAATGCTTGAGGTTTACCTCGGCGATGAGCTCTTGCCCAGCTTGTGCAGCGTATGGCTGCCATTGGGTATTTTCATAGAAAGGGCGAAAAGAGCTCAGTAAACACCCACCCACTATTTCTACAGTCACGGTTCTTTTAATGGGCAGGCGCGATCGTGGATCGGGGGAAAAGTGGGGCACTATCCCAGAATGGATAGCGAGCTGCGGAAACGACGTCACACAGTCACAGCCCATGCATCCTTCCCTTTCAGTTTCTCGATCAGACCTGACTACGACCGAAAAAGAACAAAACAGAAACAGCAGCTTTGCCTCTAGCAGGGCAACCGCCATGACAACATTTTCCTTGGTGATGAGCAAAGATCACCAGTACTTGTAGTTGACTACCCCTCCCCTGCCACCTTTTTTCTGTTTCTTACTGTTTCTTATTTCTACTCGACTCCCCCACTCACCACGTCGCAATCGCAATCGCAATCATCGACTCTCAAGATCATCAAACCCTGTCAACAGCCGAAATACTAGGTCAATTTCCCACTTGCACTGTCTCGTTCTATCGTTGAGGTCAATTGATTCCTGGCATTTTCCCCCATTCTTTCTTATTGCTGGAGAGGCCGCATCATTCAGAGCTTAGTTCCATCGGACTTCCACCATCCGGCACGCGACCTAATTACATCACCGCCCGTCCGTTCAAAACACAATGGGGCGCCCAAAGTCCAAATCCGGCACCAAGTCCGTAGAGGAGTCCGTCACGGTCGCTACCGACGCAACGCCGTCGCCACCGACGACGCGCAAAAAGGCTGCTGCCGAAGCAGCGTCCGCGACGGACGTGTCGCCCAAGTCGACGCGGAAGGGTGGCCGGTCCAAGAACAAACCTCGCGCCAGCCATGACGACGGCAATGACAGCGCCGAGGACAAAGAACTGGGTACTATTGTTGTCGAGGGGGCTGAAAAGGCACGTGGCAAGGCGGCGACTGCGGCCCGCTCGCCCAAGAAAGCCGCTGCTTCGACCAAGAAGGAGCGCGACAAGAGTCTGCGCAAGGCCAGGAAGGTCGTCGACGAGGTGGCCGACGCCTTCAACGCTTCGCCACATTGGCCACTGCCCGGTGTTCTGTCGCAGGCCGTGCAAGACAAAGGCCGGGCATTGCGGGGCATTGTATTCATAGCCGTCTCATCGTCGCTTCTGGCATCCGGTGGGCGCCTCGCGCTGCGCTGGCTCGCGACAGCATGGTCGCAGACGTGGATTTCGGAAGCGTCGTACTTTAGCACGGCCGGCCCAACCCATATCCAGCCCTTTGCTGCCTCTGTCGCTGCTCGCATGTAGGCCACGTCCTCTACGGAAGCCCCTCTTATATCATCACATACTGACTGCAACGCTTTTTAGTTTGAGATTAGCCGCTTCCTGGGGATCTGCGGGCAACCTATCTGCCTTGCAGGCTCTTTCCAGTGCACCGATTGTACGTTTCTTTCCCCTTCGTTTTCTTTTTTTTTTTTTCTTTTTTGTTTTTGGCGTTGTTACTCGATTCATTCGTTCGAACGTGTCTAACCTGGTTGGGTCTCTCGCATAGATCTACTTGCTCAACTCCTACTACAACGTACCCTTTGTGTCAGCATTTCTTGCAGAGGCTGTGAACATCGGCGCCGAAACAATCATGCTCGAAGTTTACGAAGGCTTCGCGGGATCTAACGAGCTAGAGGAAGAAGACTTCGGCGAAGTTCTCGCGGATATGTTCCGCGACGTCACCGCTTTTACGGCCCCATATGCCTTTGCCGCAGTGATCTATGGCTTTGTCCTAGTCCAGGCATGTCGCTTCTTCCTACCGGCAACACTGGTAATACACTTTCTGGGGATCGCCACCGTTGAGCCTGCCCGTGTGCCAACTCTCCTATCGATATCCCCTCCACCTTCGTTGTACCAGGTGTTCTCAGCTGTCTTTTTGAGCCTCTCCGCGGTGGTGGTCAACACTGTATCGGGCTTCTTTTCGCGCAACTTTATTTTTAACGTTGCCAGCAGCGGCCCCAACCACAGTGCTGCCAGCTACCGACGGACTGTCGCCCTGCGTGCCGTCGCTACCTCGATCTCTGTCGGTGCCAACATCTTTGTGCAATGCCTCCATGGTATCCCGGGAGTTGATGCTGTTGGTGCTGCCGCTTTTGCTTCCATCTGGGCTGTGGCACCTCTATTTGTTGCTGTCGGTCTCGGCTATACTGGCCTTTGAAAATACGAGGCGACAGGGTGGCGAGACGTTTTGTCTTCTACTCGCCGTCGTTTTCCTCGTTCTGTCACGATTTTTCTTCTTCGTGTCGTCTAATTGTCTTGATTGCTTTCGGGCGTCTGAACACGGGCTTTGGAGTGCTGTGCAGGCTTATTTCGGATGTTTTGCCGGTCTCAATTTGGATTTATATTTATATCCGTCCCGTCACGTTTACAATTGCTGCGTTTTGGATGCCTCGGGGTGGCAGTGTCTTTTGACAGCCGGTTTATTTCTAACTGTTTCTTCGTTTATGACATTTTCAGTTTCATGGTCCAGGTCTTCCTACTTTCAGCTGCTTCAGCTGTGGTTTTTAGGCTACCACAATATTGCTTTACAATTCTGTATTTTTATTGGAACCTAACGTTTGGATGCATACACGCCGCATTTGCTGGTGAACTTTTACCCGCTACAAATTCCACTTCTAGACTGCTAGGCCAAAAACGTTGCGTCGCAGCCCTTCTCGCCAACGTAGCCTGTTATTTTCGGTGACATTTCAATCTCAGTTATCCCTTTGACTTCCACAAACACATTTAACGGGCGCCCAAGGTTTTAAGACGCCCCCCCCCCCGGGCGCCGGCCTTGTTCTTGTTTCATCGATACTGGCACGGAGCCGGAAGCAGTTTGCATCGTTCCCGGTATAAGACAAGCTACGTTGCCGCGTCTAATGTCGAACCAGGTTTTCTTGAGCCCAGACAGTACTTATTTATTAAGCGTCCGAGACGGCCGGTGGGAGCAGCCGTTCTGCGGCATACAGGCACAGGCCGAAACGATTATTCGTCTGCCTGCTGCCTGCATCCAAATCACCACAGCCTCAAACGGTTTCGGTGTGGTCGTCGTATTTTGTAGGTTTGTTAACGTCTGCAGCCTGCAGCCACGCTACCTCATCTCGTCTTTTTTGAGCATGCCCTGCCGACACACACCTTTCATTGAGAGGATTGTCACGGCCGCACATGTGGCGTTTGACTGTCGGTAACGGTCAGCGTACGCGTACCAATAATATTTCACAATAGACAAAACCCCGCCAATTGTCGACATGCATGTTTGCCCTACGAGATGACGAAAAAGAGAAATGCGCCGTGCCACCCCGGAAAGGAGGACGTTTCCGTGCGCTGATTTGCCCGCAGCCGCTTCGTAGGGCTGCGATGGATGTCGGCACTAACGATGCTGGGCAGAGCAGTTTTCATCACTTGCATTCAACCAGAACGTTCCTTCTAACCCCAGTCTTTTTGCTTTTTGCGCTTTTTCTCAGAAACATGTTCTCTTCAGCCTCGGCGTTCTTTTCTCAGCCGCTTGGACGGCTAGCCGCGCTCGTCTCTTCTTCTTTCAGTTCCATTTCTTCTCTTTGGCTTATTCTCATTGGGAAGCCCCATGCTTTTCCCAATCTGTCGCGGCTGACGGATTGAGAGAAACTAATCCTGACCAGTAAAAGGGATACTTGTGGATTGCACGTCCAGGAGAGGCCGACACTATATTTCTTTTTGTCGCCCGCGGAACACCTTTTTGCCAAGTATCAAAGATGTGTTGTGTTCGAAGCGACTCCGTGCCCGGGCTTGGAGTCGTTCACATATTTTGAACTGGACCTTTTCATTATTCAGCCCTCTGCCGTAGCTTAGACTTTTGTCCGGCGGCCTCCACAATTTACATTATTTACTCCAACAGTGTCCATTCCATTGGAGATGTTTGCATGACTTCCAAGGTACCACGGTGGGCGGCCGCTGTGTATTCCCCGCTCTGAATTTCTGGTTCGAGTCCATCCTACGTCGCCCACAAAAATTACAAAATAAAATACCCGGAATGGCAAAAGGCGACCGGCAGGACCAACCGACGAAGCAAGACCGGCCCATGGCGCCGGGACATTAACAATACCAAGGGGACCATGCCCGAGTCTAGTAAAAAGAGCAACTGCACAGTGCAACGTGGGCAAGTCATCCCACGTCGAACACGAGATAGGACGGCGCTGCGCCCCGAGTGGTCTTGGTCAACCTTTATCTTTTTTCATAATATTTATTTTGGTATCAACGCCCTTTTCCGAGCTTCGAATGGTTGTTCATGGAGGGCAGTTCGCCATGGCGTCTACGAGGCAAATCAACGATTTCGAGCTCCGCCACCTAAGGCGTGGCCGAGAATCATGTGTCAAAAAATATCAATAAAAGGAAATAAATGAAAAGGGCATGGTTTGTGCTGCAAGAGCGACCGGGTGGGCGCAACTGCAACATGCCAAGAATGCCGATGAAAGTGGAGTGCCTTCCGGCCCGTCTGCCTGGTCTGCCTCAGTGGCTTGCCTAATGGTGGGATGTGACAAAAAGAGAAGTCGACCCACGCGGACAGCTTTGGCCGCAGAGTACAAGACAGCACAGAATCGCAAACATATGCTTGCAAAGCGGGAGGCGCGGGCAACAGAAAGCCAATTGGAGAAGAGGGGTACAGCATAATGGAGGCCTGAATCTGGCCCTTTTTGTCCTCTTTTATTTTCTGAGTCGAATTTGCTGCCCATCGCCCTTTCCTTCCACACTTGGCTCTTTCCTCTTGTCATGAATGTTCAGGGCGCAAAGCGGCTTCGGATTGGTCGACCAAGCGGCTCCGCCCTTTCTCTAACACTTGATTGGTCCGCAATTATTGATATTGAATGCCTAGCCAGGTCTTTCCGTTTGAGCCGTCGCCATTCAATTACTTCCTCGAACCCATTCGGAGTTCAAGGCGAGGTGACACCAAAACGGCGTTCCCAATACATCATCCAACCCACGGAGATGGCTCTGAGCTCCAAAGAAAGCCTGTCATCATGCAGGGGTGTCCACACCTTACAATGATGCTCGCCTTTTCCAAACACCGCATGCCCTGTTTGCTGTCACAACGACTGGTCTTTTTGTCTTTTTGTCTGCCTCTTTATTGCTTCTGGGTTTCCAACGGCCTCCTCGCAGCCACTGGTAATGCTGGCGCCTGGCTCGAGCTCAAGTCTCTGACACAATGTGCTCGACTTTGCCTTGGAATGGGCTGTGTTCCAAGGCTGAAGAGGCAGACCCGATGTTGAAGACGGAACAAAAAAAAAAAAAAAAAAAAAAAAAAAAAAAAAAAAAAAAAAAAAAAAAAAAAAAATAGGTGCGGGATCAGTTCAAATCCAAAGGAGCGACATCGATGTGGGTACGACGTGCCCCGTATCCGCTCCGATGGGCATCTTCTTGCCATTTCTTTTCAGATTGATGCTCTCCGTTCCCTCACTGCCCCAAATTAGAGGCCAGGCTACAACGCGGACCTGTTACTCACTGTTCGCCATATGACTGGAGGCTACTCACTCTTCGAATCACCCCATCATGTCCCCCTCCTTCTGGTGTTGGTGTCTCCATAATTTGGTCTTGTTCCTTGAAATCGTTGTTGTCTTCTTGGAGCATAATTTTCTTATTCTTCTCACCGCCTCTCAAATCTACCCGTCCGTTCTCTATTTCCGCCCCATACACGTCCCGGCCCCGAATGCAATCACTTTGGACCTCTCCACACACCGGTCGGGATGTGCACCGCCTTGGGAAAGACACAAATGCGCCCAAGGAAGGGACTCACACGCAGTTCGTCTTCTTCGAGTATTCAAGTCTTACTGGTGGCGACTTGATAAGGCCTTTCAAATATGCTTGCAGTATCCCATGACCCATCAATCCGAAAATAGACCGAATACGGACATCATAACCCAAGACAAGGCAGTAAAGCCCGACACGGCCAGCGGTACCACCCACCGCGTCCTTGATATCGACATTCATCAGGTCATAGGCGGCTCTGACGAAAGTTGTAATGAACTCTCTCTCTGTTTTAATTTTATTCAGAAATTAAGACAATGGAAGAAGTAGAAAGGGAACAAGCTGAGGCACCAGTGATATGGCGAGGCCGACTGTCCTTTCGATTCCTTTGACTACTCGCCAAGCTCTTCTTGCATTGCTCTGCCCCAGCTAATGGTTGCACCTTGGCATCGCTTCCAGCTGCCGTGCGTGAGAACCACGAAGGCTATACTTATGCATTCTACGTCACGCTTTTCATTGTGCCCGTTTCCCGCTACTCTCACACTTTGTCCACGTCCCCTACACCCATGAAGCTTAGTCTAGCTCCGGTCTCCATATAAACCACGATGCCTTCCCTGTCCCTAGCTTCTGTGCTGCATCTCTCCCTCTCATCGCAGCTCTCATCAGCAAATGCAATACACATTCCATATTTATTCCAGACTCCCAGTTTTTATTAATACTCAAACCACTGCCTTCTATCCAGCAGTATATGATTCCTTCCATTGTTGCTTTTGCAGCTCCAATAGCCTCACTTTTTGGGTACAATATTAGGGGAGCCCATACCAACACAGTTTGCCTTTACGTGCCCCTTCTATCAAATAAATCTTTATTTACCTTTTTTGTTAACCTGAGTCTTCCGCATATTTTTTTGTGTTATCTTTCTTTTCAGAAATTCTGATTGATTTCCTGGCAGTTCCTTGCGTTGGTGCGGATATTTGCTGCGGACCGCCTAAATAGCCCCATCCAACGTCTGCCTGATTTGGCACCACTTCGACTTACACGACCAGGCAGACCTCGTGACAAGGATCTTTTCCAACACCACCACTGGCACTTCACACCTTTGGGCATATTTTCGCACACTCTCTGCCTCACTCTTTCAATTTCGGCCATTATTTCTCTCATTCTTTTTTAAACTCTCTCATTTTTGCTCCCCCACATCTGAACATAAATACTCCCAACGCTCCCCTGCTGCCCGCCACTTCCTCCATTATTATCTATCATTCCACATTCAGAACACCACGACACCTGAATATTATATTACCCTACCACCGTAACATGCCCAAAAGCAAAACAAAGCGTTTTATTCTGCCAGCCCCTTCCCAAGCTCATCCCGGTGATTCATCCCCCTCTCCTCCGGGCCACGCCGCGCCAACCATCTCCCAGGCTGAATACGACGAGATGATGCTCACGTTCAGCAACGGCGATGTTGACTACAATATGCAAGACCACACCATTGACACTAGCGCGGCCAATGCCGGCGTCATCAAGAAGAAGAGAAGCATCAAGTCCAACACAAGCATCCACCTGAACGGACCCATGGAGGTGGACGGCTCGGTCAAGAGCGGCGGTTCCGTGAGCTTTCTGGGCGACTTTTCCGTCCGAGACAAGATCGAGGCCTACGGCAACATTGACGTCAGTGGCAATGTGACTTGCCAGTATGTCGACCACTTTGCTCATGAAGCAATCTGTTTTTTTTTTTTTTTTTGTTGTTTTAAGGCTCATCTGTTCCTGACTGACTCGCACTAGGGACAAGATCAAGTGTTTTGGAAACATGGACATTGCAGGATATGTCTTTTGCGGGTATGTGTACCGTCCACTCCCTTTCTTATTTGCCGACAAAGAACAATGATAATGGCATTCAAAAACGTACTAACAACTCACACAAATAGAGGAAAGGTCAAGATCTTTGGCAAACTGACTGTCAATGGTCACTTTGAAGTCTACGACAACATTGAAGTCTGGGGTGCTGTCGTCATTCAAGGCTACCTGTCCGTAATCCCCTATTTTCGATCCTTTCTTTTTGTTTTCTTTCATCTCACATTCCCGTCCCATTGGAACATTGTACACTGACCCAAAGCATGGCACTCTAGAAAATGCAAGTCCCTCACGGCCTATGCTTCAGTGACTACTGTCGGCGATGACTCCTACTACGAAGTAGACGAGTCCGAGACTGTTTGGGGTGCCAAAATGGTTCGACGGACTGAGCATGAGGCGTAGCCACTACAATGACTCGCACAGACAGGAACGCCAACAGCTGCGGCAGATCGACACAGCCGTAGGTTTCGATCAGACGGTTTGCCGAAAGCTTGTAACCATGCTCCTCTTCACGATGGGAAAAAATACTAAATTGGAACCTTCCCAAAACGAAACCCCGAAATCGATCTGAATGGGGCACGGCTGCCTTGTCGACCGGTCGGCCTCAATCCCTTTTCGTTTATTTCCTGTACGGCCGGGGGCTATTTTGTTTGTGGAATAGTTTTGTGTCCGGACTCCACACCTAATGGACGAGGCCGGACCGATGAAGCAGAAAGGGTCTTGCGGAGAACTGGCCGTGTCGGTATTTTGTTTCCACTTGTTCTCCTCGTGTTTTTTTGTTTTTTTTGTTGCCTTTTCCTCTTTTCCTATGGTTTTGCTTTTCGGCCCGTTGTTGTTTTTTATGCGTTTATGACTCTTTTTGGATTTTTTTTTCAATTGTTTATTCCTCTTTTTGCTTTTCGTTTTCATGGTTTTGCTCTTCTTAAGCAGGCGGACTTGCAATTTGGCATTAACTTGAAGGATCTGTATCCCGTGATGTATGACTTGGCTTTGGCTTTCTTTTGGATTTTATGTTTTGTACTTCATGTAACATTTAGTATGACTCGACGGCACGTTAGGCGGACTGGTGATAGCATCAACCTATAATTCGTATTATCTAGATGAAATCGCTTTAATACATTACTGTTTATAGCTATTTCAAAGCTTACATAATTTCCTTTGCAGAAGAAGCAGCCAGGCTGAGTCTATACTAAATAAGGTCTAGCGTATTTCTGGCGCAAGTTCGCCCAGTCGCCAAACATTGCTCAACAACGCTAAAACGCGCCCTGACGAGTCTACCTGCGTGCCGTCTGTGGAACCTCACTTTTGCCCATCCCGCTCACTCATACCATCACATAACATCACGTCGCATTTCTCGACACTGCGCACTCCCGCTATCTGTGACGACCTACCCTCCTTGCAGAAACGCGTAACGGTAGACTGACTTACAAATCCACGACACTCCGCCGCTCGATATTCTCTCCTCTGCGTCCCGGCCGTCGTATGCGGCACAGACCCCTGAGCTTCTCTTTCCAACGGACCGCTGCCTACCTTTGTCTGGTTTGAGATGTCCCGCGGCAGCGCGCAGTAGCGCGGAGTTGCACTTCCAAGCGGACGCTCACCTGAGATCCCAAACGACGGGCGTGACCAGGCGCACTACGATACCCCTCGAGAACCAAAAGACCGACTTTCTTGCCGACGTCTGGGTGACGCCTAGAACGCGCCGAAACGAGCATCATGAGCGTTGCAATCGAAGCCGGGCTTGCCGACGGCGATGGCGGGGTCTCGCCCAAGCACAAAATGACCCCGCGGCCACTGAGATCCTCGCGCGTGTCACCGCCGCCTGTGACACCAGCGGCAACGACAACTCCAGCAGTTCCTGCGGGGACGGCTACCCACGAAGACAGTGAAGAGGCAGCACAGAGCCATGAAGCATCTGCCCCGGAGCCGTTTCCGCCCATGACAAGTCCAAATATGAGCAGGAATAGACTGAACTCCTTCAGCTTGCGGACAGACCCGGACGCCCAGGCAACCGTAACCGACTTCCTCGACTTTACCGAATACCTACCCTCCGACATGACACGGTCTCTGACGCTTATTGGCAAGCTTGACGACGCCTACATCGATGCGTCGACCAATGTGCACAAGCTGACGGAACTCTGGGGCCAGCTGCCCAACACACCTGCCGGCACCCGTCCCTCCGCCACAAAACTGCGGGCTGACATCTCCGACAACCTCAACCAGGGCATTAGCGCACGCGTCTATGCCCACGCAGAAGCTCTGCGGATGGCCGAGAACGTCAACCGACACTACTTTCGTGCCAAAACCATTCTGGCCAAGCTGCGTACGATGCTGGAGAATTACCCCGAGGCCGAGCAGCAGCAGCAGGCACAGCTGCAACAGAAACAGCAGCAGCAGCAGCAGCAGCGCGAACAGGAGCAGCGGCAGCTTCAGAACCAGCAGTCGAAGCCCAAGAAGAGCAACGGCCAGCAGCGGATGCGGCGGCAACGTGTGCCCCGCATCACGGTGCCCGGCGAGGTCCTGGCGCCCTACGACTTGGATTACGAATCCTACAGCGGTGAGAGCGACATCAGCTCACCATCATCCGACGACGAGTCGCCGCCGCCCACCACGATGCGGCGGAAGTCGACACCCGCCGCACAATCTCGGCTCAAGGGCCTTAAGGGGACAGGCGCCGGGGGTGTTGGCGTGGGCCACGGCGGGTCCTCGTCGTCCTTCTACCCACCCAAGATTCCCAAAGTGCGCGTGCCGCGCGAGTCGCGGGTGCCTGGCCAGCCGTATATTTCAACCAGCTCGGCACTGGCTCGGCTGAAACCACCACCCGAAAATGCCGTGATCGGAAGCGCAGATGCGCCCTGGCTGCGGCTGACGGCCTATGAGCTGGCAAAGCTCAGAAAGCGCATGAAGAAGAACGCACAATGGTCACCGAGTGAGACCATGATTGCCAGGGAGCTCAAGGCGCTCGGCCGCAACCTGGATGCCTTCAACCAGGCACGCAAGCGGGCCGAAGCGGAAGGCCGTGTGTTTGAAGGTGTCATCCCAGAATCGCCGCTGGAACTGAGTGCCTCGAGTGCCGACGCTGCTCTTGCCGGCGAAGACAACCAAGTAGAGGGCCAGGGCATAAAGTTGAACGACACCAAGAAGTCGAAGAACGACCTGGGCCAGCTCGCTGCGCGAGAGGCGGAGGAGTCTACCCGGAGGATGATGGAAGCAGCGCGTGCCATCTTTTCGCCGTATCCTAGCGCGACACCGGATGCAGCGGCAGCTGGATCAGGCAGCCTCTCTGCAAGAGCCACCACACCAGCAGTCACGAGTGCAACCACGCGGAAGCGCAAGCGAGAGGGGCCGGTGGATGTCGCAGACACAGTGGAGGGTGTTGATGCTGGGGCAAGCGAAGCAGCGACACCGCTACCCACGTCCCAACGTCAACTACAGAAGCGGATCAAAACGGAGACGCCAGTGCCGATTCCTCAGCACACTGCGGGCTCGGCGCCGCCGCACGATGCCAGCAACAATAACCTGGCCACGCCGGCTCCCCAACGCGCGCGTCTCTCCATGACGCCCGTGCATGCACCTGTTTTGGGCCAGGGAAACGGTGGCGGTGCTGCAGCATCGCAAGATGCGAGCGCAAATGCACCGCAGTCGAGACAGTCCACAACCATGTCATCACCCCTCTCGAGTGGAGCATCGAGCCAGTCGGTGGCGGGCTATGGCACTACGACGACGACGACGGTGCCTCTCAAACCGCCGGCCGAGACGCCTATCCACCCACCTATGCACAAGTCGACGACTCCCATCCACCCTCCCGTTCGAGAACTACGGACGCGGGAGCCGATGCGGAAGGATCTTCCATTGCATCAACAGCACAATGGTACGGTCGCCGGTGAGGATGCGTCCGAAGACCTGGCTGTGCCGCTACGGGCATCCCGGTCGTCGTCACGGGCCTTGACACCCAACACCGTGAACCCCACGAACGCCTTGGGCATCATGGGCACGGTGCTGCCGACAACCGAGGGTCCAGCAGCCGGTGCGATGCTGACGACGGCAGGGCCGTCGACGACTATGACGCGTCGTGCGTCGCGCGGCGTGTCGGCGGCGCCGCCGAATGTCGGTGCGAATGCTGACGGTCCTGGCCCGTCCTTGGCTGCCGAGCGCCCACGGCGCGCCAGCACGGCACACAACACGCCTGTCCCAGACGGTTTCCGCCAGACGGGGGGTACAAGCGGCGGCAAGCGCGTCAAACGACCCGCACCGGGCGTGGTCAGCCGGACCAGCTCAGGCGGTAGCGCCGCCGTGGGCCAGCGGAAGGCAGCGCCCCGGAAGAAGCGAGGATCGAACGCGCACCAGCAACGGCGGGACAGCCGCGGCAAGTCGACGGACGGCGACGAGGTCGAGGTCGACGATGACGGCAACGTCATTGATGCCAACGAGCCGCGCTACTGCGTTTGCAACCGGGTCAGCTTCGGCACGATGATCCAGTGCGATAATGTTGATGTACGTCATTGTTCCCTCCCAGTAAACCTTTGCTCGTCTGCCCTTTTTTATGGTGTCGTTCCCCCACACACCGCTAACTATCTAGAATTGCAAGCAGGAATGGTTCCACCTGGAGTGTGTCGGCTTGACGGCCGTGCCGGCGCGGACGACCAAGTGGTATTGTCCAGACTGCCGCGTGCTGCTCAACATTGGCGAGAAGGGTGAGGTGAGCGCCCGCGGCGTCAAGATGTGACCAAGTGTCCAGATTGCGGTCAAAACGAATCTTTTGCGTATCTCTTTGTTTTATTTATTCTCGGTCCGGATCAGGGAGAAGTGGTGTTGCGGTTTCGGTCATGTATCTTGTTGCTATTTTTTTATTTTGACTTGTGACCTTTTCAGCGTTTGCAGGACCATTCCCGGCCGAGTCAGGGGCCGTTGTACCTTTGATGCCATTTTACTTTTATTTCATTTGGTTTCATAGGCATAATTTGAATTTGTAGGCCGCACTTTACGTCTCACGGTGCTTCACTCGAGCCAGCAAGACTGCATGCCCAAAAATACTTCATGTATCCGTCGGCGAACATCGGCAATGTTATCTAAACGACGCGGGTCTTTGTTCCACGGACGATTAAACAAAGTCATTCTTCCCGTCATCGTCGCGTTGCGGGCTATTTTCCCGCGCCACGCATTTGCCACGTGTTGGAGTGCGAACTGGGAAGAGTTCCTCGAGCGTCCAAGTGCCTCAGTCTACAACAGCCTATGTCTTCCAGTCGCTTCACCGTCCTTCGCCCCTTTCTCACTTTGATTTCCCCTTTTCTGGCGCCTTTCGGCTCGTTTGGATCGTCATCTGACCGATACGGTCTAAGGAAACGGCCAAAGGCTACCCCGTCCTTAAGACAGGAATATCAGAACGTGGCTCGGCCGCGTGAACAAAGAGAGAGGCTGTAGCCACTCTTCCATCGTCATCTCGTGTTTGTGACGTTCTGTTCTCTCGGGACTCACACCAGCGGCAATCGACGCTCACATGACACGTTGTTTCTTACCCACCAAAGACACCGTTTTGCGACCGTTTGGAGAAGGGTGCGGCATTTCGCTCATTGCCAGTTGACTCTGTTCGTTCGATCTGGGTTGAAACTGCGAACATTTTCGGCATGCCAGGTGTCCTATTTTACGCCCCCTAGGTATGGGTATGAAGCACAAAAGAAAGAGTGAAGAACGTGGCGAGAGACAATGACGGAATGACTCCCATAGGCAGCTGACCACCTGCCTAACGCCCCGCTATATTTACTTCTCCAGACGCTCTTTCCTTATCTGTGGAGCGCTAATGGAATATGCACCCAGCGCTAATCACACACCCCTGCAGGCGGTAATGTTAGGCAGTTAGTGGCTCTTGCCCGCTGGAACCCCTCCAAGCCCTCCAGTCCTCCCCCCCGTGTACACTCCACCCCCGTAACTCGGCTCCCCCACCACCCTCACTTAGCCGCCACTTCCTGGGAAGGTCACCGGCAACGAGACTGGTGACTGAGACGGTCGTTTGCTGTAGGGCAGGCGCAAGGCAGGGTCCGTTGCCTGTCGTCATATGCGCCAGAAATGTACTCCCACACCAGAAAGGCTATGGCCAGGTACAAGTCACTTCGGTACTTGTAACAAGCGTGTCGTATTGCTGGCCGGCCCTGTACTGACGATAACCACCGAAACGCGATACTCTGTCTCTGTGCCCCCTCAGCCCCCTCTCTCATCTGTCCTCGTTTCTCCGTCTCGTCCTCCTTTTGGCCAGACTTAGGCGAGGCCAGCCTGGACATGCCGCTGTTCATTCCCTAATTAAAACAGTACTGCTAGCAGGCTGAGACCCTGACCCTACCCCACTCTGCCACCCGTTCCTTCCGACCATGTTTGCTCGATAGACTCATCGACGTAACACTGTGCCGCCGCCCACTTTCCCTCTAGCTCCCTCTCTCTAGCTGCTCTTGGAATAAAGCTACGGCGTGCGCAAAGACGCTCTATTGTTGGCCATAATCAAACCGGTCGGCCCTTCCCAGCCTGTGGTTTAACCTACCCAGAACACGCTTCGCGCCTTCTTATACCAGCACCCTTATCCCCCTTATCGCCAAATCCAGACCGCGACTTGGCAGCAACAACACCGACTGCCGTTCTCCTCACTCACTTGCTCCTTCCTTGTACAAACTGCATCGTCCCTGTTCCAACTCTTGCCTGTATTTTGTATCTTTACTTCGATTTCTGCCGCTTCCATTCGAACAACCCTTCGTTCTGTTTTCTAACTTCTGACACACATCCCGTCAACACTCTTTACGCCTCTGGCCCCTCCCGCTGTCGTTGCCGCACCCTCCAACCAGACGGCACCCTGCATCCACTTGTGCTGCGCGTCGCTGGAGCTACTGCATTCTACCCTTTCGATTTGCCTTGTCCCAGTAATACGCGCAACACACCCAGCACGACCAAACACACCCTCTCTAGAGTGCCCCATATTACTGTCCTGCATCTCCACCGTCTCCCCGTCCAGTCACATCTCGGCGCTCCCCTGGCTGGCGTGTCACCCCTCTTCACCCCGGCCTGTGGTGCTGCTTGCTTGTGTTGTCCATCCTTGTCCCCCGCTCGCCTGGAACTCTCCGACCACCACCGACGCATCGAGCTGTTTCTCTGTGCCTCCCTCGTCGACCTCTGTCTTCTCTGCCCACCAGCCTTCCACGGACCGACCATCACGACACCGCCTCCGTCAACGTATCGTGCCGACAAAGCGGCTTCTGCCTGACAACCGCTGTGAAGCTTCACGTACCAACACGCCAAGGTACCACAGAAGCTCGGCTTGCTGGTACTAGACTGTACCGTTGCCTTCAACGACCTTCTTCGGAACCTCTCACTGTCGCTCTGACTTCCGGACGTCTTCGGTGTCTCCTAATTGTCACGTCAATTTTCAACTGCCAGTTACTTCGTCGGTCCTAGATCTACCATACCCTTGGAACCCCGAACCCCTTCCGCCGTCGGCCAGGCGGTGGGCTTTAACGCTTAATGCCTAGTAAGAGCTATCCGCGTCGAGTTTGTTCCTCTGCTTTTGGCTTTTGGCAAGACATATGTATCTGTACGGATTGCGACTAACACATGTTTCCCGCCAGGTGCAAAGAAGGCTAAGAAGGATGCAAAAGAGGCTGGCGGCGTGGTCGCGGCGGTGACCAAGCATGCGTCTGGAAAGTTTACGTACGTCATCTCCCCCATATCCCACCCCTCGGCACGCATTGGTCCTCTCCCCTCCATCGCTTCCCCTCCATTGCTAACGCACACTTCAGTAACGGAAACGCCCCAGGCCCTGCGTCGGACACTTCCAGCTCCGCAAACCAGTCGCCCAGCGTCGAACCCGTGGCGACCCCGTCTTCGAACGGCAACCCGTCCATCTCGCCCATTTTGGGCGCTGTCCCTTTCTCTGGCGCCCCTTCGTATGCGCCCTCGCCGCGTACGATCCCGGGAATGGGTGACTGGGCCCCGTCGCGCGGCGGCCTCTCGACAGGCTTGGCCGGCTCGCCTGGACATCTCATCAATTTGATGGGTGAGTCGCCTCCGAGCCGATGGTCCTCGCCTCGGCCCTATGGCACAAGTCACACGAGCCACACGAGCCACCTCAGCCTTGCCAGCAATGGCAGCCACCATACCAGCGTCTCTGTCTCGCCTCCGATGGCCGGTGAACTCCGTGGTATAACCGGCCGCAGACCGCTAAGCTACCACATGGACCCCGCCGTCCAGTACCCGCCCGTATCTCAATCATCCCCACAGCATCCCCCCCATCACTCGGGAACATCACCAGGGCACCGCCGAGACTCGCTTCATTCGCACTACGCCCAGTCCCGTGGTGTGGCCCCGGCCGCAGCCGCAGCTGCTGCCATTCCGAACCCTCCTCTGCCTCACCAACCGCAGGCTCATTTCTACGGTGCCCCCGACATTGACATCGACCTGCAGTCTCGCCAGAACGGCCTGAAGGCTGGGCAACGAGGATACCACTTTGCCTTTGACACTCTCCCGGCCTCTCACTATCAAGGTGGAAGCGCCGAGACCGTCGTCACGGCTGGCTATGAGGGTGGCTTGGAGGTACACTCCGTCTCAAAGCGTGGACTGGACCGACTCGCCAGCCTTTCGGGCTTGCGTGGAGGTGTTGTCAACGCCAAGATTCTTCCGTGGACCGTATCGAGTCCTGCTCTAGCGGACGCTTTCCCCCTTGTTGCAGTGGTTGTGCATGGTCCCGTTCTGCCTCCTGCGGCCTCTCCAGATGCAGGACAGGTCGAGGCCAGTGACGTACCGACGGATGAACGCTGGAAACACGGCCGCACGGCCGACGGGAAGCCGGGTACCGTTGACAACAAAGATGCAAGCCCGCAGCACTCGCCACTGGTCGGTGCCCATGGCGAATTTCCTACTGGTAGGACGTTTTCGGGCTCTGCCCTCCCGATCGAATACTACCAAACATCTGTCGAAGTGTACTCGTTGAAGCTGAATCGGCGGATCTGCACACTTCTCGAGGCACCCAAGATTCCACTACAGATCGCTGTCACGAGTCCCATCTTCCAGGCGCCTTCACCATCGGGCGCATTCCACATCAAAGCCGATGCCGGAAACATTGTCATTTCGTCGGCTGTGACAGGCGAGTGTTGGCTGTACCGGCAGATGGCCTTTTCTGACGAGAGCGATCTTCCATTTATGTTTGTGGCCAAGCTGTGGACAACACTTCAGCAGTCTCTTAAGGGAGACTCCAATGCTGGAGACGCAGCGACCGAGGGTGAACGCTCCAGAACCGCCGCTTCTACACCGAGCTCTTCGCCGCGGCTCGGTCTTAAGCAGCCTGTGTTGTCGCTTAGCGGCAAATGGCTTGCATATTGTCCTGCAACGCCATCGTCGCAAATCGCACTGCGGGCGGTGGTCCCTGTTCCGGTCCATGGGCGGGCGCCCGGCTACAGCTCGATGACACCGCCGCATCTTCCACCCACAACCGCTGATGTGGATCTCCCTCATACAGAGAGTGTCATGAACAAAATTATGCGTGATGCCACACAGGAGCTTATCTCGGGCGCCAAATGGGTTGGCCAGCAAGGCTGGCAAGCTTTTAATAACTACTGGAAAGGCAGCCCGGGAACTTCGGCGCCTCAAGCGCCCCGGTCACCTCCGTCATCAGCCTATGCAGGCCGACTCGACGGCCAGTTTCCGCCCACGCACGGCGGGGCGGCACCGGCCGTTGTCTCGAAAGAGCCCGGCCTTGTCTCTGTTATCGACATCACGGCGTTAGGCGGCTCAAGCACGATCCACCCCATCACAACGTTCGCTCCGACCCTTGGCTGCAGTTTCCTTTCGTTTTCGCCGACTGGTCTCTGGCTCTTTATCGCTAGCACCAAGGGTGATGTTCAAACTGTATGGGATTTGTTCCGCATCCAGTATACCAAGGCCTCGCCTCTCCAGGCAGTTAGTGTGCCGGGCAGCTTGACCGGACCACGGGTTCGGCAGATTGCCCAGTTCTCCCGGATGACTGTGGCTCGCATCGTGGATGTGGCGTGGACCAAGCCCAACGGTGAACGTCTTGCCATGGTCACAGAGCGGGGAACCGTGCATCTTTTGGACCTGCCCTCGAGCGCGTTCACTTGGCCGCCGCCCCGTAGGCGGGGGACGCGGCCACCGTATGGCGCTGGAGCTGCTGGGCCTAGTTCCGCTGGTACTGACACGGCAGCTGGGGGGACCGCTTCGACGGCTGTCTCCTATGCATCAAATGCGCTGACAACAGCTTTTGATGCGGCCCGCCCCCTTCTGACGCGCCCCCGTCGGAGCAGCTCGAACGTCCCGCAGTCCACAGGCGCTATCATTGCAGACCATGCCAGTCACGGCGGCAAGATCATTGCCGCTGGCATCAGCCACTCCCTTGGGAAAACGGGCAATGCCATCAGCCAGCTCCGACATACTGGGGAAAGCCGTGTGTCCCTTCCATCGGGACCGTTCGCTCCAGGGCCTTCGTGTGTTGCCTGGGTGGCCGGGAAGCGCCACCACTCTCTGTTTGTGTTGGGTGATGGCTTTGTCCGCCACTTTGTCAGTCGCACGCGGAAGAAGTCGTCGGGCCAGCGGGTCCTGCATCTTGGATTCAACAAAGACCTTCGGGTGCCCAATCTGCCAGATGATCTGTTGTCGACGGCGGTCCAACACTATCTGGACCCCGAAGTCTTCTTGGACTTTGTAGAGCAGAATGACGCCGGGTCCAACACCATGGTGCTTGCCAACCATGCGCAGCACCCATCCGTGGTGCCCACCGCTGTGGAGTCGTCGATCCCACACGCCGAAATCGAGTCTAGCGCACCATATCAGCCTTTCCACACGGACCGGCGCATTGCGCTGTACGAATACGATCCGCTTCGGCAGGGTGCTCTGTATGCCCAGTCACAGTCTGCGCTGATCTACCCTTCTTCACTTCCCTCCCACGAACCGCCGACGGCTGAGTTTTCCGCTTTAACCATCTCCCCTCCAACACCTGCCCTCTCGACCTCGCCAATGGACGATGACCTGCTCACAGCGGCTCCGTCGGTCACCGGCAAGTCCAAGTCTGCAAAGAAGCAAGCTAAGGCCGCTGCCAGGGCGAAACAGAATGAGCAAAGTCAGGACCCAGAACCTTCTTTGGTCGATACTCTTGAGATTGAGACCAACAACGGTAATGGTAACGGTCACAGCATTCCACAAGCTCCAACCAAGGCCAACAGCAGCTGGGTCTTTGGTCTGCCGATTGTGTCCACCCTCGTAGACACGGGCTTCCCGCCCATGTCCGAGGAAGAGTCGTTCAACATTAGCCACGAAGAGACACGGGCGTTGCCAGCGTCGGCCATTGAGCGCGTGCTCGAGCAAGTGGGTGGCGAAGAGCAGATAGTCGTAACGACGCGACGGAGGCGTGGTGGCGGACGTCCGTCGCCGGGTGACCCGGACGACGAGGACGGGTTCTTTGAGGACGACTGCGAGGTCCTCGACTTTGCGGACCAGAGAGTATAATTTTAATGGGCTGTGGTTTAACTGCACAGCGTATCTTGGGACCTGTTTTATTCGACGAAGAAAACAATCATATACTGCACGTTGCACTTTGTTTGGGTTTGAATACGGTGTTTCTCTCTTTGATCCAGCATCTTGTTCCCTTGCATCCTGCTTTGAGTTTGGGACTTTTTGTGTTCGGGTTGCTTTTTATCTCTCGTCTCCATTGGGTAGCATAGATGCATTGACTTCATACTCATCTCAACATCATCCGCGCATCGAGTGAAAGCCAATAACAAAGGATGTATGGCATAGCCATGATTATTGACAATGGCACGCAGCAAAATCAAGGAATGTCTATTTTTATTCAGTTGTAAATATGTGTCCAGTCGCCCGTACGTTTGTTTCCCTCGTTGCCTTCGGCAGGTGTCATAGTAAGCAGCCGCGGCAGCACCATCGAGCCTTTTCTTCGAATTTTTAATTACCAACAAGACCTGGGCCATCATGTATAATTGACAAGGACAGCCATGCAATGGCCGGTGGGGTGCATAGCATGCGCCATCGTGCCTGGTTCATCCTCCTGCCCATGCGCGCATGCATCCTCTTGGGCACATGCGCACACCAGTTCTCTCGGCACCTTGGCGTCTCGTTTACGCCTTCTTCTTGGCGGCAGCTGCCTTCGCCTTGGACGACTTCTTGCGGTTGCTGCGGATCATGACGATGCTAAGGAACGTGCCGACAACGGCCGAGCCCAGCAGGATGAGGATGACGGGGATGCGGATGGCCCAGACGCGCGGCGGGAAGAAGTTCTGGAGCGGGTGGTCGGCATCAACAAAGGGCTGGCGCAGGGAGGGAGACGTCAGCATGGGGCGGCACATACGCGCATGAACATCTGCGCAAGTCTGAAAACACGAAAATTATGGAACCGTGGGCCGACTCACCATCAACAGAGCCCAGATGGTGTAGTAAAGGAAGACGACGGAAGCAGCCACGAGCATGGCGAGACCTGCAAGTTTGTCCAACTGCACAGGCAGAGTTAGTAACATAGCAATGTCAGAAAATGCACACCCCAGGATGCACTCACCATCGTCAAGAGACTCGGTGCTTTTGATCGCAAGACAGGGGGGAACGGCGAAAAGCGGCGGCGAAAGTCGTCAGGGGAAAGAGGTGACAACTGGTGGTGTTGAGGAAAGTCAAAAGAGCGACAAGAGCAGAGAGCGGAGCTCGGAGTGTATGCGAAATGCGGTGATGGATCAGTCTTCTCGAGTGGTAAAAGCAGGATGCATGAGGGAGAGCATCGACGACGCGCATCGAGAGCCAGATGAAAGTTAGTATCGTGTTCTATTCTCTTAGCCCATGCAGAAGTGCAATGCCCCCCCCTGGCGCAACCTACTCCAAAACGGCAAGGCGCGCTTTCTGCACGCAAAGAGCTCCTGCTACAGCAGGCACCCGTGGACCCACTTTGATTTGGTCGTTTCTTCGCTCGCACCTTCCCGTCCCAATTTTTTTCGCCTCCCAAGCAAAAAGGCGACGCCACAGGCTTCAAGCCACCCATTTTTCGCTCCATTCACGTCTGCACTTGCCTTGCGTACGCGAAGCGATCATCGCGATAATTAGGCCCTTTTCCATTTTTGTTTTCTTTTTATTCCCTGAGACTTCTGCCCTCGAAGTTCACAAAGGCGAGCTTAGGGGTGTCTGGCGACGAAACTGCGACGCGGCTGATTCTGCACCGGCATCGTTTTCGACTGCCTTGACCAACAGCCCCCCCCCAAAAGCATCCTCTGTTTGCAGTTTGCAGACTTTTGTCGGTCTTTGTGTCGTTCTCACCGTCCTCACATCCTCACGATGGCCGAGTCACAGTCACCCGAGCTACGCGACCGTAGCCGAGATGGAAACCGAACGGCCAGTGTTTCTCCGTCGCCAGGGCCGGCTGCACGCGACCGCTCCCCGTCGCCTCTCCCGCGTCGGTCGCCATCTCCTCCCCGGCGACGGGCCTCTCCTCCTCCTCGCCGACGCTCTCCACGGCCGACGAATACACACCCCTCGCGCCGACGCACACCGCCACCCCAACCGACCGACGCAGAAAAGCAGGCAGCGGCCAAGGCCGAATACAACCGTCTCCTGACGGCACGGTCGGGTGGCGTGTACGTGCCGCCAGCGCGGCTGCGTGCTCTCCAGGCCCAGGTCCAGGACAAGACGTCCAAGGAGTACCAGCGGATGGCCTGGGAGGCTCTGAAGAAGTCCATCAACGGCATGGTCAACAAGGCGACCGCGGGCAACATGCGCCAGATCATCAACGAGCTGTTTGGCGAAAACTTGATCCGCGGCCGAGGCCTGTTGGCCCAGAGCCTGATCAAGGCCCAGTACGCGTCTCTGCCGTTTACGCCCGTCTATGCGTGCATCGCCGCCTGTGTCAACAGCAAGCTCCCTGCCGTCGGCGAGCTGCTGCTGCGCCGGCTCCTGCTGCGCTTCCGTAAGGGCTTCCGCCGCAACGACAAGGCTGTGTGTCGCAGCGCGACGACGTTTATCGCCCACTTGGTCAACACGCAAGTCGCCGACGAGATGATTGCCGCGCAGATGCTGATGCTGCTGCTGCACCACCCGACCGACGACAGCGTCGAGATTGCAGTCAACCTGACCCGCGAGGTCGGCAACTACATGGAGACAATGAACCCGACGATCATGGTCGTCGTCTTTGACCGGTTCCACCACATTCTGAACGAGGCCGATATCGATAAGCGGACGCAGTACGCGATCGAGGTACTGTTCCAGAACCGCAAGGATCAGTTCAAGGACCAGCCGGCGATCCGCGACGACCTGGACTTGATCGAGGAGGAGGACCAGGTGAAGCACCTGCTCGAGCTCAACGGCAAGTTCGAGGACGAGGCGACGCTCAACATCTTCCGATACGACGAGAACTGGGAGGCCAACGAGAAGGAGTACGCCAAGCTGCGGCGCGAGATTCTAAACGAGAGCGACAGCGAAGACGGGTCTGACCGGTCGGACTCAGACTCCGCCTCCGACTCGGGCTCCGATGACGACAGCTCTAGCGAAGACGAGGAGGAGGCCGCGCAAAATGCCATCGACATCAAGGATCGGACCAATGCCGATCTCGTGTCCCTCCGCCGCACCATCTACCTGACGATCCAGAGCTCCATGAACGCCGACGAGGCCGTTCACAAGCTGCTGGCCGTCGACCTGCCGGAGGGCCGCGAGAACGAGCTGCCGTCCATGGTGGTCGAGTGCTGTTCCCAGGAGAAGACATACACCAAGTTCTTTGGCCTGATTGGCGAGCGCCTAGCCAAGATCAACCGCCGGTGGTCCACCATGTTCGAGGAGGCCTTTACCAAGTACTACGAGACCATCCACCGCTACGAGACGAACCGCCTGCGCAACATTGCCTGCTTCTTTGGCCACATGCTCGCCAGCAATGCCATTGGCTGGTACGTGCTGTCGTGCATCCACCTCAACGAGGACGAGACGACGAGCGCCAGCCGTATCTTTATCAAGATTCTGTTCCAGGAGATGTCCGAGGCCATGGGCCTGCCAAAGTTGCAGGCCCGCTTCCGCGACGACGTCGACCTCAAGCCCAGCCTAGATGGCCTCTTCCCCGTCGACAACGCCCGCAGCCTGCGCTTCTCCATCAACTACTTTACCAGCATCGGCATGGGTGCGCTGACCGAGGAAATGCGCGAGCGGCTGATCAACCTGCCCAAGCCGACCTTGCCAGCCGTGGCGGCCGCCCCGAGCGACCGTTCTGGTTCGCGCTCGCGCTCGGGCTCGTACTCGAGCTACTCGTCGTCGTATACAGGGTCGTCCTATTCGCGGTCGCCGTCCCGCTCCCGCTCTCGTTCTCGCTCTCCTCGCCGGAGACAGCGGTCGTACGACTCGCGTTTGCCGTCCGGCTCTCGTTCGCGCTCCCGCTCTCTCTCCTACCGCTCCCGATCTCGATCATACACCGCGTCCCGATCGCCGCCGCGAGCCGCCAAAAGCGCACGGGGCCGCCGGTCCCCGTCGCGTTCCTTGTCTCGGTCTGCGTCTCGGTCTGTGTCGCCTGCACCTCGTCGCAACGGCAAGCAACCTGCCACCACCCGGCGCCAACGCAGTCGCTCCTACTCCTACTATTCTCGCTCACCAACGCCTCCTCCTGCGGCTTCGTCGGCGTCGACAAAACCAACCGCATTCAAGGACAAAGAGCGGCTCGTGCACCGCGGCCGTTCGTTGACGCGCTCACGCAGCCGCACAGCGCCGCGTTCACCGTCTCCCCGTGGCCGTGGCCGTGGCCGTACCCGCAATGGATACTCACGGTCACCGTCTCGGTCACTCTCTCGCTCGCCGTCCCGTTCTCCATCGCGGTCGCCGTCGCGGTCGCCTTTGCCACCAGCTGGTGGCAGCCGCCGCCGCCGCCGCAGTGATAGCGTGTCAAGTGCTGGAAACGATGCGCCGCCGAAAAAGCATCGCCGTGGGGACTAGTTGTACCGCTGCTAGGATTTGGCGAGCAAATCCTATTCCAATTCCAATACTATTTTAGTACCGTTGTAATCGTGGTAGTTTTTGGTGTGACATGAAGATATCCTACATTTCTGAGCTTATTTTCTCTACTTTCCCTATCATCTTCTTTACTTCCTGTCTCATGTACTCTAGCTTTCATGTCCGGTTCAGCGAATGTTGTTTAGTTGTCTACAAAAAACTTTGAATTTCTAGATCAGGGCACACATCAATGATAGAAACACGCGCTGCGATTGTGAAGTATATACACCATAAATAGTATGGATATCGTTCCTATACCACCACCGCGGCCTCAGCCTCCTTGGTCGTGTCGTCGTTCTTGTCCGCCTCCTTCGTTTCCTTTTCCAGCTCCGCCTTGGCCTTCTTCTTCAACTGGATCGCGCCCTTGGCTAGCGCTTCTGCCGGCATCGGCCGCAGGATCGGCTGCACCACCCACCATGGCCGCTTGCAGCGCCGGATCGCCGCCGCGGACGAGTTGGGGTCGTCGACAATTTCTGGCTCGACCTCGGTGTCTGCACCGGCCTCGTACTCCGCTTCGAATGCCTTGTCCTCGCCCGCCAGTAGCGCCTGGCCAACACGCTTCTCGAGCATGACCAGAATCCGCTCGTAGCCAGCCATGTCAGCCTTGCGCGTACGGGCAAGTCTGTCGCGGATGTCGTGGTGCTTGCCGACGGCGTGGCGCAACAGGTGAAACAGGTGGGCCTGGACGGCGACAAAGTTGGGCGAGTTGAAAATTTCCTTGGGGATGGGCTGCGCGGGCGTGGCACTGCCATTGCCATTGCCATTGGTGTGATTGTCCTGCTTGCGCTTCTTTCGTGCCGGCTCGCCGCTGTCAGCTCCTTTGCCACCAGCTCCGCTCGACTTGCTCTGCCCAGGCTCCTCTTCCTTCAGCCACTCGACGGGATCGCCAACAATGAACAGCGGCTTGCGAGCAGGCGGTGCAGCTTCGCCCAAACAATATACGTGCAGGATGTCGAGGTAGCGCCGCATGACGGCATCAATGCGCCAGCCACCGCGCCGACTGCCTGGACGGCTGCTGGTCCAGTATTCGCGGCGCGGGTCGGGGGTATGCCAGTAGTATTCTGGATCGGCCACAGCCGGCGCGGAAGATTCTGGTTCTGGTGCAGATACGGAAGGGGGTGGTGGTGGTGAAAACAGCCCGGGGTTCGATAAGAGACCCTCGGCACTCATCACGCCGTCAAACCCTGTGGCAGCCAGGCAGCGCTCAACATCGCCGTGCTCCAACACATTGCCGTTGGCAAACAACACCGTCTCCTTGGGCAGGTTCTCCCGCAGGTACCGCAGCATCGTCCAGTCGGCAATGCCCGTCATGTGGCCCTTTTGCTCGCGCCGCCGCCCGTGCACCGTCAGAATGCTCGCGCCCGCCGCCAGCACCGTGCGCGCGTACTGCAGTGACGCCTCCGGCGTGTCCAGGAGCCGAATCTTGGCCGTCACGGGCACATCCAGGTTCTCGTGTAAGGTGCGAATCAGCTTCGCAATCAGCTCTGGCTCTTCCTGCAGAAAAGCACCGTAGTGGCCCTTGCGGGCGATGCCCTGTGGGCAGCCCAGGTTCAGGTCGACGGCATCACAGTAGGGCGCTACGCGCCGAGCAGCGGACAGCAGGGCGTCGGCATCGTTGGCACAAAATTGGACAAAGAGGGGTCGGTCGATGGCCGGGTTGCCATCAAGAAAAGGGCGCAGGCCGTTGTCGGTGCCCACACCAGTGCCATTGGCGCTGTCACCACCGTTTTGCTGTTCACCGGTCTCTTTCGGAGTGCTCGTTGTTTCACCCCTTTCACCGCTGTCTTCCTTGATGGCCTCAAAGTGCTGTTCGCGGTAGCGAGGGCTGTCGACAAAAAGGCGCGCGTGCAGCATCGGGGAATAAGCCAGAACGGAGGTGCGTTGGTCGGGCGGCAGGAAAGAACGTGTCAGCATACGCCAAGCCTGGCGGACAGCAGGTTAGCAAAGCATCTACACAGTGGTAAGCGACAAATGGAGGGGCACGAGGGCATACGAATTCGGACTGGTCGACCATGGGGGCGACAATGTGCTTTGGACTGCCAATGCTCTCGTAAAAGGCACGGCCGTGCAGCTTTTTCGAGAGGCCATTTGATGCCTCAGCCACTGGAGGCACCGCAGTCGCAGTTGGGACGGCGGCTTCTGTGGGTGACATGGTGGCAGTAGAGCGGCCGAAGTCAAGTCTAAAAACGAATGAATTCGTGAAAGAAGACGACGAGGGGAGAGGGATGCAAGTTGACGGCGCTGAGCGAAACGGCCGCGCCCAAGCCCACACCGGTCGCAGAATACGGGCCTCCAGCTTTTCAGGGTCTGTCGCAAAGGCAAAATGACAGAGTGTCGTTGTGTCTGGGATTGTCGCAATTGCGTGTGGATGACGAGAAATGTACGTGCGCCTCGTTTAAGTGATTAGAAAGTATGTCCTGTTCCGTCTTTCCGGTTGGGGAAAAAGTTTCTGTGGCGGGTTGTTCCTTATCGCGATAAGACTTGGTCGGCCGCCACCTTCTGCCAACGCCCTGACACTTGCCTTTTATGGATCATAGCGCAAGGCTGAGAAAGAGCGGGAGAGCGGAAACCCGACGGGGTCCAAAATGCTTGGCTGTCGCGTTATGATTGGCCAGCAGCCTGCATGTTGGGTCCAATCCTCAGCCCCGCGTCATCTGCAGTTCAGTGGACTCTTTGGACCACTGGAATAGGAGACGCCCCCACAGGTGACGTTATTCTTGGGACTTCTGAGTGTTTCGTCGCCATAGCTTCCCGCGCCACAATGTAGGACAATAAATTATGGTTTTATGATCAGGGGCTGCGTCCTTCCTTTATGCCACCGCACCATCGGATATTGGGAACACACGGAGGACTCTGCAGTCTGCTTACAGCGTATGTCGGATCTTCTGACTTGCTTGTTTTGTTCACTTCTCATACGGGTTTTGTAATGGCTCTTTGAGTCGAATCTTCAGTGCTTTCCACTTCTGCGTCTGTTATTTTCTCAGTTGCTGCTAAACTAGAACAATGCACACACTCTCAGAAATTAGGCCGCCTGCAGCAAGGGGAGGGGAAAACAGAAATGCCAGAAAGGGAAGAAAAAAATAAACGGAAAATGACAAGAAAGCCGGCAGAAAGGGAAAACATGACAGGAAAAAAAAATTATGAGCGCGATCGCCATGACTAAGAAACAGCAGAAACGAGATAAGCTAAGCCAATAAGGTAAAATAATAAAAACACTCAAGAAAAAGTACCGTTAAGTCGCTGCTTGCTTGCACCACTGTTTTCGGATGCCCCCAAAACTCAAATCCGTCCGTTGTTTCGTCAAAGGACTTTTGTATGTGTTCCATCTTTTCAGTGGTGCTGGTCTGTTATTCCTTCTTTCGGACCGTCTTGGGCAGAATACAAACTGAATTGCTCCTACCAGTCCGGGAAATCCCCTTTCTCTCCTCTCTCTCTGTGTCCTATTTTCGTTGGTGCAGTGCAAGTCCGTGTTGAATTTTGATATCGTTTATGCCGGTTGTGACAGCCGCAAGTCGTGGACAGCCAAACGATAAAACAGATCGGTATATGTGGTTCTTCAGCTGCCACGTCGGAAAGAAAGGGTCACGAGCCTGAACAACGCCAATACACCAAGACAATGCTGTTCGAGAGACAAAATTCTCGAGTAACAGAAAATACGGCTGCTGAAAATACAATATGCGAGTCGCAGAATATCGGCTTTTGCTAATGTGCCGGACGATCGAAAACAATGTATGATGAAGAGTAGCCGCTGTTGTTCATGTTCGTTAGAAGAAGTGCGTGTAGATCTTCGAGTTTTCGTGAACCTCCATTTCCTACAGTAGGATAGTGAGTTAGTATATATCGTAATTAAAGAAGACAAGCAAGAGCAGCGCAGCGTACCATTTTAAAGCTGTTCAGCTCCTCCTTGATCTGCTGAGCAAGCATAGGTGTCAGGCGGTTGCAGGTGGCAATCTCGCCCCGGCGGTCGTACTCCTGGCTGTGCCATGTGTCGTAGAACACAATACGGGGGCTGAACGTAGCAGACCGCTTCATAGAGCCCTGCGGCGTGCTGCTACCACTGCGGCTGTCGTTGCGCAGACGAAGCGCCGACACAAAATAGTCCTCGCCGCCAATAGCCACAGAGCCCGTCCGTTTATGGCCCTGCACATCATCGTTGGGCGTGCTAGGCGCGCTCGACGCCGGTGATTCGCTAATGGGAGGCGGGTTGTACAGCTCAAGGGCGGGGCCACGCATGTCCGCCGGACTTCGCGATGGGTTGGAGGCGCCGCTGGTGTTCTTCAGAATGCCCTTCCGGACAGCCGCCAGAACCTCAGCACGCTCCTTGTCGCCCTCAATGATGCTCTTCCGCGCCGCCGCCGAGTTGTCGGTGCCCGAGCTATCCAGGCGGTCAGATGTGATGGAGATGCGAGAGGCATCAATCGAGTTTCTCTCCAGCCGCGGGAAGCCAGTACCACCGCCGGTTTTATCGTGAAGGTCCGAGTTGACATTGACACGCTCGCGCTCAGCCTCCACCGTCACCATCGAAACAGTAGCCTCAACGGCCTCGCCGTTGGACGTTGTGACAGGGCTGGCCACTGGTCCGTCTGCAGCCGGAACACCAATGACAGACTTTGGCCGGAACAGGCCGACAAGCGACCGCGTGCTCTTCTTCATGCCACGACCCATTTTGCGAATCATGATGGATGCAGACGAAGCCGTCGATGAGATGGACAAGTTGTCGGTCGAGCCCGAAAAGATCTTGGCGCCATAAATGCTGCTGCCAATGCCGCCCTCCTCCTGCTGCTGCGCAATACGAGCCTGCTCAGCATCGTACGCCTCTTGGTCGGTCATCTCCTTCTGCAACTTGTTCGGCAAAGTCACGTTTTCAGTTTCTTCGTCCGGACCATCTGCCTTGCGGAAGTCGGCAGCGCTACCAAAAGAGAACGCACGGCGGAGTTTTGACGTCTTGCTCCGAAGCCTGCCGCCCTTCTGGTTGATAGCAGAAAGGTGGCGCATTGCAGGACTCTCAAGGTGGCTCGGCATCCCAGACGGCCGGGCCGCCGGAGCCTCGCGGATGCTACCAGCCGGGCTAGCTGTGTTGCCGTTTTGGTTGATGGCGGGAGGGGCCGTTACAATTGAACCGCCAGCATCGCTGCCTTCGCTACCAACGTCGACAGGTGTGCCAGTGAACGACAGCGTACTAGCCAGACGGCTGGTGACATCGGAAGAGATGCGGGGCGGGATGTTGATGAGTCTCGGGGTTTCTTTGTTCTTGTCGGTAAGCGCATCGTTCTGGTTGACAATAACTGTAGAAGCAGGATTGGTAGTGGAGCCAGCAACAGAAGACTTGTTCCGGTTGGTAGACTATACGAAATGGATGCCATGCATTAGTGAATCGGTTCAGCCCAAACCCACCCAAAGTATTTCGTGATTGGGCAAAAGAGCGTTACTGCGTATGCAGGGGGGATTAAACAGTGGGAAAGTCATTCATGTCAAAACGCGTAATGGAAAAAGTACTTACAGATGGACGCGAGCCACTGCTGCGGTGGGATGCAATGCTCTCTGAGCTGCCGGCCTTTGTGTGATGCACCACAGGTTGGTGCGAGTTCACGGGCGTCAGAAGCTTTTCCTTGATGGGGCTCCTTGGCGCAGGCTGTTGTTGCCGGCGGAAATCCTCGGGCCTTGGCAGAACAGGGGCAATCGTGTACTCGGAGGCGCTCAGAGACGACATGCTACGGCGACGGAACCGCTTCACATCATCACCGGACTGGCGATGCAGCTGGATGTCGTCGGCAGCCAAACCGCTCAGCATATTGTCGTGGAAACTGTTCCGGCGTGGATCCGCACCCAGCTGAGATAGAGGCTGCGTGCGCAGCATTGAGGACTTTTGTTGCTGGTCGGGCAGGCTACTGTTGCTGCCGCCGTTCGAGGCGTACAGGTGGCCAACGCTGGCCATGCCGGAACCGGAAGGCACAGCAGAGGCCTGCGATTGTGAAGCCTGCTTCTGCTGTTGCTGCGACGAGTTGCCAGCCGGCCGCCTGTATCTGTCTGGGGAGGGACGAGCGGGAATCGCTTGCGTAAATGAGAGCTGCGGAGCAGAACCAGTCAGATAGGCGGCGGACTGAGGACGCGGTGTAGCAGACACCCGACGAACACCCTGGGCAGGCAATGATGAGTCGTCGCGGCTGCCTACGAAACGGTTCGCGGCAGGTGTGCCGGTAGCCAGGTTGTTCGTGGAGGCGCTGGCGGGCTGGCGGCTGATCCGTGCAAGGCTCTGAGCACTGTCGAAGCTCTGCACTCTGGGCAATTGAGGAGCAGTGGCAGAGGTCCGAGGGTTGCCGGCCGTGGTGTATTGTGAGTGCTGCTGCATTTGAGGTTGCCATGCATTTGTGGCGTGAAGGCTCGGGGTAGACGTGAATGCATATGGCTGGATCGGTGCCGTAGAGGAGCGGTAGAGCACAGGAGCAGCCCCCATGTTATTAGATGTTCCGTAGAAGCTGGTGCGCGGCTGCTGGGCAGCATACTGCGATGAGCCCTGGTTCTGAGGAGGCAGCATGCCACCAGCGGAAGAAGGCCGTGTTTGAAGCATGGTCAAGGATCCCGTTTGTTGAGGGTAGCCCTGGACCAAAGCAGCCATATTACCCTACCGCCTAGACAAAGAAGCCTAGTCTTGAGAGAGCGCTGTTGGCAAACGGGTCAGTAAGAGATGTTCATGATAACTACTAGGTAGCAAAGAGAAGTGTGGAATGGAAAGACGCTGTGTAGTGAATCACGAGAGATTGTCCAACATGGACGGAAGATGATGCAAGCTAAATGTTCATGGCCGGGAAAACAGGCAAACCGCCTTTGTCTTCACAAACTTCTGTTGAATGCAGGGGAATGTAGGTGAATGCAGGTGAAAACGAGTCTGTTTGTCTTGAAGTTTTCGCACCAAGATTGTGTGTACTGGTTGTCTATTTCTGGCTCAGGCACAAGAAACCTTGAGCAACCCTCCTCGACGACGAAAGAGAAGAGTGAGCGAATTTGCGGGTTTCAATAAGCTGGGGGTGTGGCAAGACCGTTATATTGGTGACTGGGCGCGTGGGAGAGCAGTTTGTAGGGCAAGATGGGCGGTAAAGCAAGCAAGCAGCAAAGTATTTCACCAGAATGGTTTGGTTTGAAGAAGGGGGTATGGCATGTGCGGGCAAGGCGAGACACGCGAGGACGATGGGAGGTAGGACAGAACTAACAGGTCGGGTCGATACCGTGGTGACTTGTCAGACAGTGTCGACGAAGATCACGTTCAAGTGTAGCCGGTCCCAGTCATCCAGAACTAAGAATCGAAGGAGAAGACGCAAATGGGAGGAGGAGAGAAATGAGTATGGTCGGTTGGAATTGTGGAAGCAGCCGTATTCGCTTGTAGTTCGTAGGAGAAAGGAATATCGAGAAGGCGTCGAGAATGCCACAATCGTAGATACGAAAACCGAAAGATACGATGTTCGGTGGAAAAAGGGAAAGGGGAGATCGTTCAAGACGGGCGAGACGAAAAAAGAAGATCAGGGTTGATCGAAGCGGGAGGAGACGGTCGAGAAGCTGAAAAGAAAAGGACAGACGAGAGAAATAACGAAGCACACAAGAACCAAAAAGTCAACAGAAACCCTCCAAAAAATGATCGTAGAAGTAGCGGAAAGAGGCGTAGTTTGCAGACGATAGAAAGTCGAACGAGACAAAACGAAGGGAAAAAGAAGAAGAGGAAGATGGGATAACGAGCGGAGGACAGAGCGAGACAAACGGACCCCGGTTGCTCTCCTTTAACCAGAGAAGAAGCCGAACGAGAAAACGAGCGAAGGACGACGAGCAACAGACAGAAAAGAAACAATAGAAGATGAAGAAGAAAAAAACCGAAACAGAAAAAGAAGAGGCAAGGAGAAAAGGAGACGGCCAGGGACGCGTGTGGATTAGCACGGAGAGGAAAAAAGGAAGTGAGGTCGACAAAGAACGAAGGAAAGGAGCAGCAGAGGAAAAAGGGAAAACGTAGGAAGGGAGAAGAGAGGAGACGAACAGACACGACGAGGAAAGGAGAACATGAGAGGAGAGAGGCGAGGCAGAGGTGGAGATAGAGCCAGGCGAGACAGTGGCCCGCTGGAGCAGGGCCAAAACACACCCGTGGCTGCGCACCGGAGCCAGGGAATACGGGAATGAGAAAATGAGAGTGGGGGAGGGGGCGCCGCAACAATGCAACCTACTACTGCGACTACAGCAGGCTTGTGTACGTCTAGGAATGGGGGTGATGGTAGAATAAAAACGAAGGCGAAATAAGGGGGGAGGGGCCTGGTGGCCCAAAAAAACCAATGGATACTTTTGAGAGGGCAAGAGACAAGAGATACTCGCGAGGCAAAAGAAAACGGTAAAAATGACAGGCGACGAAGTTTAGAATAAAATGCACAGAGGAGATGCGAGAATCTTGAAACGAAGGTCGATTTAGGGGGGAGTGAAGTCAGAAAAGAGAGCCGAGGACAAGAAAGAGGCGATGCAATGCAGATGGCAAACAACCCCCCAAAAGGCTGGGTATTACGCCCGAGATAGAGGCAAGAGCGACCGCCAAACAGCTTGGTAACGACTCAATGGCGTGGGCAAAAGGCAGGAGACAAAGCAGGGAAGGACCGACCGATGGCGCTGGATGGGCCGGAGATCGAAGAAGGCGCTACGCTACTGCGAGTGGATGCGGCCAGGAAGGCGGTTACGAGAAAATGATCGAAACAGGAGAAAAGGTTGTGTGGAGCTCTTTCCATAAGTCGTACATGTACAGAGGCGAGGTCCATCGTGCACCCAAAAAAAGTCGGGGAATACAAAACGTGCGGTGACGGTGCCTGAAGCGGTTTGCTTTCAGGGCCGTTTAGGGCGTAAGTCAGGGCAGCCATGCTGTTGGACAGAAGGCGTTGCTGACCCCACTAGGCCCTGGAAGTTGCTCGATGCAGGTTGCTGCAGGCTGCTGCAGAGCACGATTCCAGGGGGCCCTGGAGATTTACACGCTAGCGCGTGTTGCGAGATGCACCAAAGAGGAAAGGCCCAGGTTCCAGCACAATAATAGACCACGGAGCACGGAGCACACAAGCGTTCAAAGAAGGGAAAGAGCAGCAATGCTCCGCACATGTCTCTGGCCAATTTGGAAGGACCTTAAGCAGCCCAATTTTGGCTTGCAGGCGAGACAACTGCAGATATTACATCGCATATATTGCGAACGCAGGTGCAAAGAAGGAGTCTGTCGAGTGGCCAGTTTCGCTGACCTGAGCCTCTGGAAAGCAAATGTCAACAACGGAGGAAACCATTGAGGAGGAAGACTTTCTGCTTGGTCTGACCTGCGACATATCGTTGCGCAAAAAAAGAACAAAAAAAAGATACTGCTAAAGCAAGACAAATCTTTTCCGGAACCGCTCGGTGCGAGAAACGCCAAATCTCAGGTCAACGAGACAAATGCAGCACAAATGCCATGTATTACACCATAAAGCAACACCGTACAGGATTCAACACGCTGCATGCTTTCGATTATGCCAGACCATGGCAGCCAAGATGAGAGAAAAGGGGGGATCTGATCTGTCTTGCCCGGGGTTGGGCGGAGGTGACAGGGACGTCTCCAAATGACACACATCTGCACATTACCACACCAGAAAGCCCTAAGCGAGGACCATTTCTCTTTACCCTTTGTCCCTTTTCCCTGTACTATCAAACGCGGTCTCATCTCGACCGCTTCGGCGACATACTTTCGTAGTGTTATGTGCAGATGCGGCATGTATGAAAATAGTGTAATATTTACAACCTGAGCAGCACGAGGCGTCCCAAGACAACCCAAATATTAAAGAAGACGGGATCCCGTAACCCAAGACCGAGGGCCCAAAGGACTAATTGCCCTATCCCCTTGCCTTTGCCTATGCATATGCGTATTTTCCGTGTTTTGTCTGACGATGTGCCGCCGACACCAGCGACAGTTCGTCCCTTTCCCCGGTCGAAAGCCGTGCGGCAATCGTCGACAGTGCGTGAGCAACAGGGACAGGGTTGAGCCTTTGGGGTGGTAAGTTGATTTATTTATTTTTCTTTTACGAAGTATGTTTTTCTTTCCTTTTTTCTCTTTTGTTTACGGGTAGACTCCACGTACGATGACCGTTCTCCACAACACTCCGTAACACGCCGGCCCTCTTCAGGTCGCACATCGCCATTACAACGTGCAGTTTACGGTCCCATACCAGGAGCATTGAATGCACCAAAACAGAGTGTTATTTCGCTTGGCTGCACGTGGAGAAAAGACAACCAAGCTGTCAAGCTACCCTGCATTTTGAGATTCTCTGTCAGATGCAGACAGGAGAGGGGCATGGGACAGGATGATGGATTTAGCATCTCGTCTCCTTCCAGTGCAACATAAAAACTGGTTGAACGTGGCACCGTGCGGACGGAGCATGGGTTCTCGCCAGGGGGAATGGAACGCAAGGGCCAACCCCAGAGAAACACAAAATAGGGGACGCTTTTGCGAGGATGACCAGGCCACTACGAAAGTAAGCAGCCTTCTTTTGACATGGGACACCCGTCTTGATTGCTCTTGATTGTGGACGGGCCATTCATGCTGGCCTGGTATGGATTCTGCGCAGTGGCAAGAAAAGATGTGAAGTTAATCAAGGAGGCACGGCGACTCTTCCGTGTAAATCGGCCTGGCCAGGCCCCTCGCCAATTGCAAAATGCGGATTCAATACAAGGCTCAAATTTTGCAGGACACGGAGTGCGTGACAGTGCGGTCTCTCCCGTGTCTTGTACTCGCAAAAATCGCCATAATGAGACAGTTACCGATCCACAGGTGTTCAATAGGGTGCAATAACGACAAAGCCATGGGGAAGAAGGCTACACCGCTCTGTTGTACACTTTACTCTACCAGCCAGTGTAAGAGACTCTCTGATCTTGGCATGCCCGTCGCTAGATTGTCGACCTACTTCTTCCACACAAGATACGTCGTGTGAGGAGCCAAGTAGCACGGAAAGGTCGAGTGGGTGAAGTGGGTGTGGTGCTTTAAGGAGGCAACGGGGTGCTCGTGGGAAAACGGGGGCAAGCAAACAAGCAATACGGAATGGGCAAAACTAAAAGCCAAAAAAAAGGACGACAACAACACAGACAACACTGGCAGGCCAAGCGTCGAGCGGATATGAAATGGAATGCTGGCCAGCGCCCGTCAACAGAAAAGGGGCTCTTAGGGTCTGATTCTCGTCATGGCTGATCTACAAACTCAAGGTGTGTTTGCTGTACGATGTATGGAGAAAATGCAAAGTAGAAACAAGGGGAACCACACCAGAGCAAAACAGGCAATTGCTAAATTACGAGGAGCGGGGGCGAGGGAGCAGGGCAGGAAGAGTCTGCAAGAGGCGCGAGGCAAAGGATAGGCCGTGCGTATTCGTAGGAATGGATCAATGAGATCAGGCGTCCTCCGCGTCGTATCTGCAGGGGAAAACAAGACCCTGACAATGGCGAGCGAGGAGACACGAGTCAGAACAAAACGAAGGAAAGAGAAGCAGCTGGAACTGCATACGAACCGCAGAGCACAAAATAATCACTGCCAAACCAACCAGAAGG